TAAAATATTTATATTATTATTATTGTATTCAATCTTTACAACATTGTCAGATGCAATCTTCTCAACAGAAGTGAGATTATATAAAAGAGAATTATTGAAAAAGAAGTTTGAATAATTATAAATCAGATATATACTTTGATAATAAGAAGTAGAAGCTAGTAATAATTAGCAACTGTAAGAGCTATTGATTTGCAGTTAAATTAACTTTTAATAAAATTTGATTAATAAAAACTTATCAATAGATTGACTAATACAACTAGAATGATATAAACTGTAATAATCAGATATTATATTATAGAATAGAAAAAGTTAGATAATTTGATAGAATAGAATAGATGTATAGAATAATTGAAAACAAGACAGAGAAGATTGAATGAAGAGATATAAATAAATAAATAAAATGAGATAGTTGTAAATATAATGTGATTAGTGATGAGATGATATTGTTGTGATAGAAATTCTTGTATATATAAAGCAAAAGTATTTTACTATTTTGAATTAGACAATACATGATTACAATAAGAGTTTGATGAATATATACTATAAATATTTCAGAGATAGTATATTATAAAGATGAGTGCAGATGACAGAATACTGTTATAAGAGTATAGATAAATTTGATAGAAAAGAATATAGTAATTTTGATTTATTATTCTTTCAGAGTATATACCACTCTCTATTATCAAGAATAGTATACACTATTATACTAGTTATTTCATATAAGAAGAGCTGAAAAGCTTAGAAGCTTTGAGAAGCTCAAGCAATTTTTGAATCATATAAATAATACAATATATTTATATTAATCTTATTAACAGTGGTTGTATATTGAATAATATATCTGATTACTCTATAGAATCTTATCAAAAGACTAAATATTATATATTTATCACTGATGATATTATCTGTTATAGATGAATCTATTTTTTATATATTAAAAATCAAACTATTAAATTTTATACTTACTGAATTCAATTTATAAAAAATCTCAGCTTTATATTACTGATACTAGTTAGAACTGATATTAATAATATCTTTTAATTAAATAAAATAACAATAATAATAATCAAAAATAACATTATCTGAGAATCTACTATATTTCAATTCTTTTATTAAAATAGTATTTCTGAGAGAGAAATCTGTATAATAATAATATATATTAAAGCAGTGTTTATAGATATGAATATACTGAAGAAGTTCTAAGCAGATGTTTTTAAAATAATAGTTACAATTATCAACAACACTTCAATATCTATTACTTTATATAATAAGAAATATTAATCTATTAATATTAAAGAAGTATTTATATAATATTTTTATACTATTTTATTTTCAGTACTAATTAATACTCTGTCTTAACTTTATCATTTTAGAGAGTTAGATATTGATATTTATATATATTTTTATAAATTTTAAAAATCTACTGATAAGCTGTTCATTAGAGTAGAAATTTTTAAATTTATAGAATTCTGTGATAATTTAATCTACTATCTTTAAAGTTTTATAACTGATAAAATAATTATTATCAGTGATATTATTTTCTCTACAAAGAAATCTTCAACTCTATAGAATGATATTAATTATATAATATTTAAAACTGTAAATTTAGTGATTTATTTTATTAATGATACTGCTGTTTCTGAATTAATTAATACTGAATAAATAAAATCAGTGAAAGTATTTATCATCTACATCTCTTCTTTTTTCACTGATTTTATTTTAAAAGAATATAAAAATACTGTTAGTAGATATGAGAGAGTTGATAAATATTAACAAAAGTTGATGAAATATAAAATTGTAGATTTAAAATAAAAAAATATTTAAATAATAATTTTATATTCTGATATCTCTTCTGATAAATCAGTAGTCTCTGATTATTGAATTTATATTGAAAAAGATTGCTTTCAGAATTTCAATATGAATTCTGATAATATATTATAAAAATTTCAATAAATAATATATAGCAATTGATTAAAGAAGAGTATATATGAAGAAATATACATATTTATTATCAATAATATTACTAATTATATAATATTTGTGATAGCAGTGAAATGAGATTGAATCTTATATTAGATTAATATAATTATAGTCTATCTATATAACTGACTGAGTAAAATGATTTATATACAGCAATCTACTGAATTTGAGATGAGAACTTTATATATACTAGTTTACACTGTTATAGACTGCTCTATATAATTAAATTTCACTACTAAAATTTGATATAATTTTTTTATAACATTACTCTGTAAAAATGACTTTAAATCTAGCTTCTATAACTCTACTCTATAGTATTATATATTTCACAATCATCTTTATATAATAATCTATATAAATAATTTTTATATTATAGTAGAAGATTTGACAGATACTGATTGATTAGTTAATACTTTTATCAATAAATTAGAAATAAAAGATTTGAAAAAATCTTTGAAATATTTGAATATAAAGATTGAACATTGCTCTGATAATATTATAAAATTGATATTAAGATGCTATATCAATTATTTAGTGTAAGATTTCTGTCTAAATAACACTATCTCTGTCTTTATATTAATATTTAAAAAAATAAAGATAGATAATACTTCTGTATCAGAATAAAAAAAAGAGTTTATTAAAAAATAATATTAATATAGAGTAGAGTGCTTACAGTATCTAGCAGTCAAATTATATTCAGATATTATATAAACAGCATTTCTATTAGTACAGAAGAATACTGTATTTATATCTAAAATATAAAAAACTTTTTTTTATATTATACAATATCTAAAAGAAATAAATGATCTAGATATTTTATATAAAGACTTTAAAAATAAAATCAATAAATTTCTTAATATATTATATCTACTGATAGATTATATAAATTCAGATTGAATAGAATTATTGAATAGTAAATATAAATTTATTTCAGATTTCATATTCAAATTAGTAGATGCATCAATTTTATAATATTTATTCAAACAATTTTATATTTCTTTAAGTTCAAATAAGACAGAATATATAATATTCAGTGAAGTAGTATATAAAGTAATATAATTGTACAATATAATAATAAAATTAAAATTTATTATAATAAAGAATCTCTTACTTATCAGAGTAGATAATAAAGATTTAATTGATTTAGTTATCATTGTTATAATCATGATATGCAGCAAGTATATTGATACTTGCTTCCACTATTCTCATATACAACTGAATAAAGATGTTATTTCAATTAATTATATTTTCACTGAGAATATGATAGCAGATGGATTAATCAAATCTCTGAACACAGTGATATTTAAGTATTTTATTAAATTACTAGAACTTTTTGCTGGCAATAGTGAGAATGATTAAATTTCTGTATATAGCATGTTTTTGAAATGATCTAGATTAAGATAGCTAGCATGGAATATTTGTAGGAACACATCACACACATTGGCGCATGGGGGGGTGTTGGGCACTAGTTGCCCAGGTGGCCCTCCACCGCATGTGATTACCCCTATATAGTTAGCTAGCGACCACAACAATAACAAGATCAACCATCCCACAGATTGTTCCCCATGAATAATGAGCATTGAACGCCGCTTGCTCTGACATCATCGGGACCGCCTTCTACACGAGATCTGATTATCCCAATCAAGAAGCGAAACAAATTCTGAGTGATATTCTGGATTTTTCACAAGTACAATTCCTTGATCACGTAGAATGATACGGGTACTGGTATTCAGTTGAAAATCAAAGGCTCTCCAAGCGGGTGAATTTGCCCACGATACTTTACGATCTATCTAATGTGATCTCACTTTTATCCACTGACAGAAATAGCATATGTGACACATGAGGATTGAGTTGTCTGTGATTCCCTGACTGCTGCTCGGACGATTGGGTAAGATCTAGTATTAGTTGACAATGCTTAAGCTAAGTATGCATTGCAGCTCTGTGCAAACCATGAGAGTTCTGAGTAGCTTTGACTTTGCTTTTCATGTATTGAGAAAGGAAGAGAGCCTGATGATATTTACTCATCTACGTGTTTTTTAACACACATCCCTTGGAAACATCATCACGACAGGATCTGTATGAGCTTCTTGAATGAGGGGGGTTTTAGGATTGATGGACTAGAACCTTCATCCCACCTCCCCACTTCCCTCTTCAGATGTTCTTCCTTCGATCTTTGGTGGTGCGATGTTGGTGTTTGAACGAGGGATGAGATGTGTTGTTAAGTGAGAGAATGAGCCCCATTTGATTTTTAACATGACTTGCGGACACTCTGGGAGCGCCTTAAGGCTAATTGGAGTGGGTCGCCCGTGTGGCCGGCTGCACGAAAGCTACCTTGGGACGGCTGGACTTGGAACATGGAACATGGATCTCCCCGCTAGTCAATAGGACAAGCTTGGAAGCAACATTGAATGTCCATTTGGGAAGAAACTCAAATTTGCAAAATACAGTCAAAAGGGCGCCAACCTCGAAAACAAAGAGGGGAGGGGAGGGCGGAAAAAGGAGAAAGACACAGGGACCGTTAACGCCAGCTACAAGGGATTCATTCATTCATCCCTGCTGGACACGACGCTCGTTCCTCCCTCTGGGCACGCATTGCCGAATGCTCCAGCTCCACCTTGGAAGGTTTTCCGTAAACTTGTATGTAACTAACTAGTTACCGAAATATCCATTGTTGATAATACGCCGAAATTACACAACCAGACCTGTCATTACAGCCTAGTTGGCATGAATGGCCGCCCTTACACATCTCAACTACACCCGGGGTACCTCGGCTGCCTGCTGAAAAGTTAAGATAAGCAGGTACCTGGTTGTACCCTGTACTTTGCCTTGCCCTCCATGGTAATAACAGCCCAAGGCCCAAGGAGCACAGCATGGGCAGTGGGACCCTTACCCTTCAAAGGCCAGGACGAGTGAGTATGGTCATAGCGTGACAGCCCTGCCTGCGCCCACCAGCAGCTGGCCCATCTCGCCCGGTTCTGTTTCATCCCCTTATAACCTCCTCCGCTCACCCACCTCCCCTTCCCTTCCATCTCCCCCCAAGGCCGTCTCGAAATCCCCCCCTTTCAGGAGAAAGCTGCCGGTTCCATCTACCTCACAACCCCTTTTACCTGCCACATTAACCTCCTGCCTCGCAAACTTTAATCCAAAAGGACACAATGGCTACTCGCAAACGGACCCGCGGAGAGGATAGCGAGGAACTCGTAGCTCTACCCAGCGATGAAAGCGAAGAGGAAGAGGAGTAAGTTGCCAGAATCGCGTCCTCTGCACCATCATACTCTATACGCCCTCCTTCTTTCCTTGACGTCATCAAGATTGGCCCATTGCCATCGTTCCCAATTCCCAAGGAATTGAAACCGTGCAGCGATGTGCAGAACCCATTTCTATTGTTGTTGCGATCGCGCCAGCTTGCCCTTGGGTTAATTGGGCTGTTGCAATCGCAGAAGTGGCTGTCGTCTATTTTGGTTTCCCTATCCATCTAATCCGACCTTCCTATCTCTCTCTCTCCCTCTTTTTTTTTTTTTTTTTTTTTTTGGAGATGAGAGAGCTATATGGCTTAGAGCTCATATAACCAGCCCTCCCTTAATCATTAATCTTGACGGTGCCAACATAATACTAACCACTTGCTTTGTAATAATTAGATATGAAGAATCCGATTTCGAAGAAGAGGATGCGGAAGGAGAATCAGGCTCTGAGGAAGAATCCGAAGCTTCTGAGAACGAGGCTGAAGGAGAAGAACGTAAGTGGATTTCCTCTCACCCTCCTTTTGTTTCCCCCCTTTCTCCCCCCCCTTCTCTTTTTGTGTGTGTGTGTGTGTGTGTGTATCAATTGATAGCAAATCAATTCCTGCCCCCTTCATGTGTGACGATGGAGATTCGCCTGATTCCTTCATATCTCCTTCCAGTGCTACACCACTTGTCAGATTTTATAACATCGTGCCCTTTACTAACCTAAAAATCCCCTTTCCTCATATGATAGCCGCACATAAGAAACGCAGGGTAGCGCCAGAACCCGACGCTGAGCACGCAGACGCAAAAACGGCAGAAGTCAAGAACGGTCTGGGGGCTGAAGGCGAAGCTGATGGCGCAGACGAGGAAGATGATGAAGAGGAAGAGGCGGAAGAGGAAGCGGAACAGAAGGAGAACGGCGGACCAGCGCTTGTTACGAAGTCTGCACCGGCGGCATCCGAGGACCACGCGCCAGCTGAGAAGACTGCTGCTACCAATGGCGCACCTCCTTCTGCTGTGGAGGCAGGAGGTGACTAGTGGCGGTAATGGTGAATAAAGATATGGTAGCTGTGGGGTTGCAATAGATAAGAGGTTCGTGGATGTAAAAAAAAAAAAAAAAAAAAAAAAAAAAAATCTCGGAAATATTTGTGGTTTGGTTTTCAGTTTGTCTTTTTGTCTTTGTCCTTGTACTTCTTTTCTGTTGCGACAGGGGGAGGTTATGGGGAAGGGGTTTCGCGCGCGGGGAACTTTTTCTACCGGGGGGCCAGGAAGGGAAATGTTTTTTGTTAATGATAACGAAGTAATTAATAGTGGGGTTTTCAGTGTTTTATTATCTTTTTTTTTTTTTTTTTTTTTTTTCAATGTCCAGCTATTTCCACCTTAGGTAGTAAAAAATGTTTATATATATATATAAAAGCCCTTCTGCTGTTCCTGGAAAGAATCCCCCTTTTTGCTATAAACGGAGAAAACTAGCCAGGTTCATTACCTTTCACTCTTTATTTGATTTCGCATGTTTTCACCTCTTCATGATGACATTTGGTGTTTTCTGTTTTTTTGACCAGTGCCTCGTTTAACGTGGATCAAATATGCCAGTGTGGATTTTTCTCATCTTGTCAACCTGTGTTCCCTCCGCTGACGACGTAGGAATCCATATATATATATATATATAAAAAAGAAGTCGAACAAAAGCTAGGATCGGCGGAGGACCATGAGAAGGAGAGAGAAGCTGGAGAAAGAATCAACTCTTTATGTTCGTTCGTTCGTGTGTGTGTGTGTGTGGGTGGGTGTGTGTGATTTTTAAATTATTTTTAAAATATTTTAAAAGTGCCTCGCTTAAGATATTTAAATATCATCTCAAAAAAACGTTTGTTCTCCTCAGGTCAAACCCCAATCATTGGCAGAAACGACGCTCCGCCTGATTTTAACTACTAGATACGAAATTTAAATACATTTTTTTTTCTCTTTGTTAGCTCCTTTCCTCATTGGATGAGTGTGTTGTCTGTTCAATGGTGCATGCATTGGCATGTTCCATTCATGCTTTCCTCTTTCTTCTTTACTTAGTTATATATATCTCTCTCTAATCTGTAGTTATGGAGGATGTTAACTTCAAAAGTTCGTTCCCGCCCTAGTAAATTACCTTGAATTTATATTTCACATCGTGGAAATGCTAATAATAGTCTTCCTGCATTGGAAACAATGTGTAAGGTTTAGTTGTAGATGGCGAGTAAATCACCTACTGAACCCCCCTTGAAAAAATAGGCATCAATGAGCATGGCATAGGTAACAAACCAGTTGTAAAATGATTATCTCCCGAACTTACGAGAATGGACTTTTTTGAAGTGCGCCTCCGTATACCCCCTCTTAGTCCTGTCCCACCCCGCTCTCTACCTTCGTTGATTGACTTCTGACACGGATTTGAATTATTTTCCACCCCTATGGGGGGAGGGGGTGGTCCAGGGTGGAACGTAAAGGTGTAAAACTTAAGGGGCCCGTTCATTGAGAATGCCTTTTCGGCAAAAAAATATAATCCCATATACTAGGCGATGCAGAGCAACAAAATCGATTGAATCCTACTCCACTCTCGTCCTGTGGGCCGATGATATCAATGGTGGAGAAGGAATAGAAAGAATGATACAATATACATCTTAAATAGATAAGAAAACGTTTTATTTGTTTTTAATCGCTACATTAATATTAAGAAAGAAAAGAATTGACAGCAAAATGACATGGGTTGAAACCTAGGTAACCGAAGAACGTAATAAATGATCAATCGATCGTGTGAATACTATATATAGAGGGATATCTTGCCCATTCAAACCCAACTCCACATCGCAGATGGTGTGACTGGTAAACCAGGGGCATGAGATAATTAAACGCGAGATAGCACGTCCATGAGCTCAAGGTAGATGTAGATGTTGTAAGCACTGTAAGCATCAGAGGAGTGTGTCACTGAGGGGTCAGCTCGGGGGTATGAAGGAAAAAGAGGGTGGCTAGAGTGATTTAGCCATCACTACCACTGCTTCTGAACGTAGCGCACAGTTGGCAGTAGTGGTGTGTCAGGTCCAAGACGGGTTGCGGAAGGTTTGTGGCTTGCACAATGCTGCGTACTTTGACGGCGCCTTCTTCTTCGATCAGTTTGCGTATGGTGAAGAGAAGTTCAGGGGAGAACTACATGGTTGGGTTGGGTGAAGGCGGTCAGTTTCTTTACAATATGGAATAGAATGGGATCCTTTCCCCTTTCTATATTTGCTCTGGGTGTATATATTACTAACCTCTGAATACCACCGATATTGCCAGGCAATAAGTCTGATCAGAGCACCGAGCATTCCCCGTGTTTCGCCTTGACGCTCATACATTTTCAGAATCCCCTTCATCGCCTTTGGTGAGAATCTGATGGATAGGCAGTGTTGGTAGGCTTCGATGGCTTCATTGAAATGCTGAAGTCGCTCAGCGAGCTCCCCGAGGATCTCCCATTCTGTGGCTGATTTCTTATAATCGACTGATTGTTGGCGAGATTGCGCCATTTCAGTTCGCCAGATGGTGTACACGCGTAGGTCCTCGTAAAGAACCATGAATAGATTGTCGAGCCAGCGCTCACACAATCGCTTGTTCATGAATTGAGAACATGAATTAGATGGCGCATCGGGCTGAATAAGACGGCCGGAAAAGTGTCAGTACAGCTTGGACTTGTTTGCTTTCTGCGGGGAATATAAAATCAGGTTTTGTCCACTCACATCTTCTCCGCCGGATTTGACAATTTCCGATGCAACTGATTGTTCTGGGCGTTCAATGGTCACGGATTTCTCCTTGCCCTTTTGATCCTTATCTCCCTTTGTCGATTCGTTCTCTTCATCGCTTCCATTCGTCGCCTCTGATTCGTGACCATCTACTCCGTTTCCATTCACTTGTCCAGCTTCACTAGTCTTCTCATGTAAAGCCACAGTGCTGGCGTTCTGGGCAGCTGTAGAAGAACCCTTAGCATTGACTTGGCGTTCCGCTCTATACTCCTCTTCCATGACGAATACCTCACTGCGGATCTTCAGGAGTTGATCCCAGCCAATCTCCGCCGCAATTTTTGCGAGCAAAGTGTAAGCTCTCAAGAACGTGCCCTGGTAGCCTGCAGCATGCAGCTTTCTAAGTGTAGGATGCACGACGTCATGAGGCTCCCCTTGCTTTGGCTGCCCTTCATCAATTTCATCCAGAATGCTCTCTGGGAGGATAGGTAATAAAACTCGAGAAGGTTGGGGCATCCGTGGTGAGTCCTTGTCCTGGTAGGTGAACATGGGACACGAGTTTAAAGTTAGAAGCGCTAAATCCCATTGTTCCATGTTTATATATACTTCTGCTAACCGAGCCCAGGAACTGAATTCGCTAGGGGCGGCAGTGACGCTACGCTTAGCACATTCAAGTGCCATCTCATGTTCACCCTTACTCTGGCAAAATGCTGCTTGGCAATCTAAGAGAGAGTAATCCATTGGCAGGTCCTGGAGTGCATCATGTAATAATCGTACGGCTTGAACCTCTTCATCGGCAGAAATAAGGACGCGCGCTAGTAGCGACGATACTTCAACATCGCGTGTGCGTAACTTTTCAAAGAGGTTTATACCAGAAGCGTATCGTCCCGTCGTGTGGATATATTTTAGAATGCCAGACGTTAGGTGATTCGTGACAGTGTTGGGGACTTGTGTTTCCGCGTCAGAACTCAGCTGCCTCCCTGCGATGATGATCAGCAATGCGCTATCAATGGGTGTGGGTCCATATCCAAACCGTTGAAAAATAACTTCTCCGCCGCGTCGAGAAATTTGTGTTCCATTTCAGTATTGGTGACGGGGTTAAACCTTCTAACGCCAACAATCTTTTTTATGTTATCACCGTTGCCATCGTCTGCATACAAGTACGCTCTCAGGACACCACATAGGAAAGTTTCCAGCCAGAGAATTTCTGTCACAACCCGTTTATCTCCGCGCTCATCGATACAATAGCTTTCGAGGCTGCCTGGAATTTTAACCTCGACTCGCATATCAACATGGGAGAAGGCATTGTAGCAACTGTAAACGGTCAATAAGAGTTCTGATCGAACATCCAAAAGTCTCTCACCAGTACAATCCCGAGACAACCTTATGATTCTTATCGACGGGGGAGTATGTTAAGGTGTTGACGTAAGCAGCCAAGCTGGCCGACGATGAGGCGTCTACGCCGGTGACATGGTGATAAACACCAGTCTGTAAAGTGGAAAGAGAGCATGTTAGGGTACAGTATTTCCTCTTGAGTCGGCATGGCGCACATACTTGGTTATTTGGGCTTGTCTTTGATTGCTTCACCACATGGACGAGGTCCGGGGGACCTAATTCCCTGAGATTCTGTAAGGCTTCCGTGCGGGCGTCAATTGAGGCATATATGTCCTCATCCTCGATGATCCTGTATGTTGAATAATAGATATCTTAGCAACTTGGACATGACGACGCACAAGGCGTATTGGTATGTAGTATCACAAGGAAACTAATATACTCCTCTGAAATAGGTGTGCGCAGTGGGATCACCTACTCTGGGATCGCCGGGGCGACCATGATGTTGAAACGTAAGCTTAGGAAAGCTGAAGAGGATTAAAATAGGCGGCAATGCGTGTATGAAATAACAAATTGAATCAAGCGCTCCGCTGATGCAGGGCGCAGCTCATCCACGCCAGTTGTTGTTGAATCGCGGTGGGTGCATACGCAGTATGTTCAAATAATGGCGTGAGGTTTGATCATTTCCCGCTATTAAAAGCCACCTGGAGAGCAGCCGGTGCGCCATGCCTAATCGGGACGATCTTATCTGCGCCAAAGACCGCGTCCTGCAACACGACATATGGCGAACCTCAGGTAACACTCGTAGCTTCTGGTGTTCTTTTTCTTTCCTGTCGCTATATGCCACTGTTGTGTTATATTATTATATGTACTGATCAATCGGTCGAAGCACATAATGCTGTCACGAGTCGGGTGATTTTCTTACCCTAGGGCTCATCTTTACCCACCTCTAACGATGACGTCCTTTGTTGCCCTCAACATCGAGCCAGATGACTACAGCGAAGAGGAAGTCGATGATACGAAGGAAATTCAAATCGAAGAAGCTTTAAAACTTTATCACAATGCCTTGAAGCTTCACTCTCAAGGGCCACAATTCTATGACCAGGCCTCGGAGGCATATGAAGCCCTATTTAAATCCGAAATATTCAACTACCCGGAGTCGATTTCGGAGTACAAGAGGAGTCAACTTGAAGGCCCTGATACCCAATATGAAAGCTTCCTTGAGAAAACGGCTCCGGGATCAGCTGTTCCCCTAGATGCCAGTGATACAATATCCAGTGCTTTACCCCAGACACTTTACCTGTCTCACAAAAACCGCGGCCAGTTTATGCTAGATCACCTGGGGCATTTACTACGCACCAAAAGATCGAAGGCTGATGACGGCTATGAATCCATTGTTGATATATCTGCAACGTCTAGTTCAGCAATCAAGTCATTCGCTGAAGCCTTGGAGAGGGACGATACGGACTTGGAACTATGGAGGAAAAGCGCTAGAATTGGAGATGCTCTCCAAAGTAATCGCCTCGCCAGATTTTGCCTAGAGAGTGTGTTGGAAGGCGATGATGATGGGTTTGATGACGGGTTCGAACAGCTAGGTTTGGAGCAAGCTTTTGCGATTGAAGATCTCCGGCAAGTCCTCAACATCCTCAGCGACGAGCTGTCTATGTTACAACGCCCACAAAGGCGGCCAAGAAAAGCTATTCTCCGTCTTCTGCAGAAGCAAACCGATTCTTTCCCTTATCTTCCAAGAGGACTAAGTGTTCCGAGTACGTTTCGGAACCTGCTTGGAGTTCCACCTAGCCGCCATGTGGTTTCACTTACTTGTGCAAGCTGGACAGCACTAGGTGGAGCTGTCCTGCAAGCTTTACGAGATGAACAAGAGGGAAGGAGTAGTTTAACTCCAGGAGCAGCCCTAGGAATTTCCGTTCAGGATTGCCGTGAGTTAATTGAGATTTCTCCGTTCTCCCTTCCTCTTCTTCAACGGAATGCCGCAACAGCAAAACAAGGGGATAGAGCCAACCAAAGTTTGGATATTGGGGTTCCTGATGCGGGGGAGCTCCATCATGCCCTTCGTTTGTCGGCAGAGAGCTCTAATAAGGACCGTGCGTCGATCGCTTCTGATAGCGATAATAGAGAACCTAGTCCTCATCCAGAACAGGTTTCCGAGACATACCTTGAAAGTCCCCAACACAAAGTTGATGAGAAACCAGAGGAGAAGATATCACTGCTAGCGCAGGATGAAGCCAAGCAGACAACGGCGGCACCGCAGTCTCGGAAAAGATCTTCTGCGTCGGCCGGCAATGACGAGCATCCAGATGGTGGAAGAATGAAAAGCCGTCGTATTCGAGCTCGCGAATCAAATGCCGAAGTCCACGCGCCATCGGCGCCTGTACCATTTGATGCAGCTAAATACTTTGAGGAGCACCTAGAACAGTATGTGCATGCTGACCAGTGGATGTTTGGAGTAGTGGGCGCTTTGTTGTCCAAGGCTGGCGTCGAGGATCTGGGAACGATTGATGAACTGCAAGATATTTTGTGCTCCGATAGCGATCAGGAACTTCCAGATAACAACATCCGGGACTATATCGCCCAACGTGTCCTTTACAATGACCTTCGAAAAATAATAGAAATATGGGACGATAAAATAGCTCAAGTCGCTTTAAATAGTGATATATTTTCTATGGATTCGACAGACGGCATAGATGGAACAAAAAGATCTGGAATGAGTATATTTCTTGACCATTCACGGCAATGTCATCCAAATCCCGACGAAGTGATTACTCTCGTAGAGGATGATGGGTTGTCGCCTTTTCTGGAGCATATTAATGGTGGATGGTTTTGCCCCCGTGAGGCTGCATTTCTGTGGCTGGAACAGCACCTGAAGCCTAATCCCGCTGATCAATTGCCATCGGAAAGGGAGAACCAGCTGATGGGATGTTCTTCCTATACGAATCGGCTTTGGACCAAGGATATGAAAGAAGCAGCCTTGAAAATCCTCACGGAGAATGACGAATTCATCTATACAAAGCTAAATAACGACGCAATGGCTTGGGAGCAAGCCGTACTGGCCTCCAATTCCACAAACAACATTTCCCCTTCTCAACTTCAGGGTTTTGCGGAGATTACACAAAGCATTTACGAACTACATCTTGATATATACGCCTCAATGAACGGAGCTGGCAGTGCTGATGGCGATCATTTAAAAGTTCTAGAAGAACGAGATCGTCTTGCTAGATGGAGCACCCTCGCCCGCTCTTTTATAAATTATCAGAACGATGTATGTTTAAACAAAGCCATGTACATTGCAATTGAGCTTCGTCATTTATGGGCCTCTGTTTTCCACTTAAATTTGACAGAAGAAGTCCCCCGGAACTATGTTTTCCTTTGCCTCCAGGACTTGAGGCATGTATTGGTTGCCCTAGGAGGGCCATCGATGCTTTTGCTAAACAATTTAACAATGCCTGAAATATCCATTTCTGCCATAGATGAAGAGATTTCGAGACTCAACTCAATGGATTTCTTTACGAATCTTTTCAGCTCCGATTCCGATGACCCTCTCCGTCTTATTGAAAGCATTGAACCTATACTGGACCCCTCATCTGTCGAATTTGTCAATGAATCGTTATCCGCCGAGGAATTTGAAAGACCAATGGAGAAATCAGAGCCACGCGCGAACTATCCATTAATGTCCACTATCCAGGGCATGATTTCGTTTTTAGACCGGGGCGATGCAACCTTGAGACTTTTTCTCTGGAGAAGACTTAAAGGGGCGTATGAGTCAATCCAATATTTCCCCAAAGTCGTATCTTGCTATCTTCGGAGCATTGAAATAATTGCGGGAGAGCTTCAAAATCCCTCATTCCTGAAAGAATCGAGTGAACATCGGCAGATTTCGCTACTGAAATGGATTAAAACCCTTGATGATTTGCTAAGTAAGGTGGTTGGGAAGATGATAGACGAACCGGAAAAATCTTTTGAATGCTTTGACGTGGCCCATTTACAATCTTCGATGTCTGCCGTAGTTCAGATTTCCAAACTTTTGCATTCTTTCGCCCTATTCGAAGACTCAATTCGCGTTGGTCAGGTTACCGTTCCGGATATACGGCCAGCATCAACAGCCAAGACCTTAGAGCAGTTCAAAGGAAGGCTGCGAGGAATGCAGGTAAAAATATGGGTTTTGCTCTACGCACTACTTAGAGAATTCATGGAACAAAATAAGGAGTTGTTTGACACCCCCAACGATGACCGTATCCATTACTTACGCTCTGTCCATAACGCTCTCGGAATCCGGTCTTATTGCAAATATTCCAACAAGTTGCTTTTGAGGCTTTTGAAGAAAGAGCTGTTGACTCTCCCGTCAGAGGATAGTTATGAATTTGACGTCTCACAGGTTCTATTTGACTTGTACGGACTAAAATTTTTGAACCTGGACGATATTGCGAACCATGGGTGTCCCATTGAAAGGCTGGATCGTTCCTCAGCTGTTATGATGATTGATTTCGTTATGACACAAGTCAATAGAATGAATATCAAAGATGTGCACAAATCGGAATTGAAACCGACTATAGACACCATGCAGATGGCTATTGGCCGGGCTACCAAGTTCTCTACTCCGCTGACTTTCAACAAACGTGTCTTGTCAGCGTTCTTGAAATCACCAATCAATCCATCGGACCTCTTTCGTGCTGTTCAAGGCATCGGAGAGGTATCAATGATACCTGTTCAGACAGATAGCCTTGAGCTTGCGGAAAAGGGTTGGTACTTCCTCCTCGGTTCTATATTTTTGTCGAAATTTCGTGCACAGAAGAGAATAACTGCAATCCCAACGGACGATTTGGATGTTGCAGCGTCTTTTTTCAGGCAAGAGTTGGAACATGGAACAGGTAAATGGGAGACATGGTACCGCCTGGCTCAAGTGTATGACTTGAAACTAGAAGAGGATATCGCTTGGTCCGCTGACAAGTTGAACAACAATCGATCAGACCTGGCGGTTTTACAGCGGAGGGCGATACACTGCTTCACCATGGCAGTTGCAGCTGCCATACGAACAGCAGACTCGTCACCTGAAAGTAAAAGAAAGATATCTGACCTATACACGGAATTTGGATTCCGGATGTATGCATCAGCGACAGAACCATTGTCCATGGAAGCTTTTAGTCTGATGGAATTTACGAGACATTACACAAGTGGCGAAAACCAACAAATGTACAAGGCAAAACTATTCCCAGATATGAACAAGTATTCTGCATGGAACTTTGCAAGTTACCTTTTCCGACGAGCGACCGATGACCGGCCTAATTATTGGAAGTATGTAATCCCATTCCCCCGTTTGCTCCATGAATCAAATACTTAATGCGCGTGGTTAGGAACTATTACATGTTTAGTAAATGTCTATGGAAAATGTTCTGCTGCGATGGTGCCACAAGGGGGCAGCGTTCTCCAGTGGAGTTTGACGATGTACTAGATTCGCTGGTTGATGCAATTGAAGCGTTGCCATCTAAAAGGGACAGTCGCTCGGATCCAATACTTGAGCCTCATTTCAAGCTCGTATCTATTGTTCACAAGCTGGTTCAGAGAGGAATTTTGAAGGTTCGTTGTTTGGTAGTGCGCATCTATAATCAATTTTTTGTTTCTAACTATGAACAGGCCGAGGATGCAAGGGAACGACTTCTTGCTACGCCTTATGCACGGAATGTGAACCTAAATAACGACGGCTGGAAACCGTATATCCTGGAAGTATTGAGAAACCTTCGAAGCGCGGACAAATCAAATTGGCACCATCGCATTGTTTTACGCGTAAGCCATCTCTCATCCCTTCTAACTAGTACTTTTTTTGCTGACGGTGATCAGGCTGCGCACGTACTTTATGATGATTCCAAGGACGACTCATCTGCTATGGCAGCCAAATCCGAGATTTCGCAGCAGATATTTACCAAAACAATGACCCTTCAAGTTTGGAGACCGGAAAACGAACGCGCTGGCAGGCACTTTGTTTATACGACTCGATACGTGTACTTTTTCGTTGGCCTTTTAAACCAGCTGAATGATCGAGCAAACTTGGATATGCTCATTCGGCGCGTGCGAAGGAAACCGAACGACTATGTCCACCATTCTAAGCTCTGGGAAGATATATGCTTAACTTATGTCAAAGTAGGTTACTCAGTCCAGATTGTATTTAACCTAGAGTAGGAAATGCTGACATCTTCTTCCAGCTTTTCCGCCGTGTCGGTGAGATTCCAGAAGGGCATGAAGAGACTGTTTTCAAACTTGTCAGCCACGACGAGTTCGCCATTCATTGCAAACGCCTAGAAGACTGGTGTCAGCATCATTCTTCCGAAACACAGCTGGTGGATTTGCTCAAGGATGCTGTTGAACTGAAAAAGCTGAACAATGGTCTTATGAAAACTGCGATATTCGAAGAACTTGTCGCAGACACCTACGCAGTCCTCTTCCAGAGTAATATATCCAAATTCATGGAGCAGGCAACTGAAGAAGAAAACCATGAACGGATGAAGGTAGATCATCTCCTTATGGTCGGTGAAGGGCCTGAGGGCAACCGAACACCACCGGTCTCCGCGACTCACGCGCAACCCGGGCCCAAGCCGCGTTTTAAGGGAGTAACGCGTAAAGAGCTCCAACGGAAAGCCGAAGCAATCGCCACACGGGCCCTAGCGCCGAAACCAGCACCGAAAACCTCAGTGCGCCAAGCGGAAGAAGAGACTTCCACAGTGAAGCAACAAGAGGCCATTGAAATTGCGATACCGTCACTACCTAGCAAAGAGGAGGTCTCAGGCATCCAGAGTAGCGTTCCGGGCAGTGTGCATGACAGCGCCGATAATGAAAGTGAACTTAGCGAAATTGATGAGGCGAAGGTATTAGTGGAACTGGGTGAAGTGGCGACTACGAGAGCAACAACCGCCCAAGAAAACACAACAGTAAAGAGGAATTTATCCCCAAAACCCGCGTCGGACGGCCCGTCAACGAATGTCAGCCTTGCTGATGGTGCAGAGGTCGAGTCGGGTCCAGCTACTTCGGCGCAGGACACAAAATTGGAATTCGAACTTAAGGAGGCGGAGGTTTTAGACGTGGACATGGAGGAAAATGCTTGATTGCTCGTTGGATCGGATTACATGCTACTACTCGTTATTGTAAATATGCGTTTGTGTTTATTACCATTTCGACTTCAATCATCTAAACGGTTTGTTTGCTACTGTTCGCTATGGATCAAAGATTGTTTTCGGGGTTTACTCTAGGAAGGCAGACAGATATTGGGCTTCTGGGTGTGGTGGCATTTTCAACCTGGGTTGACATTGGACTTGGCTTGTTGCGGTGTAATTAATGAAGCTTCTCTCTAGACGCTATTTCTATCATGTATGTAAAACAATGCGTTATCAACAGACACATTGTCGCTCACTTGGAAATCCCCTTTTCTTCTCTGCTCGAACTACAACGATATACACACAACCAGCTACTGTGTCTGAGCGAATTTTAAATAAAGCAGAGCTTCCTTAAGCAGTCGTTCTCAGCGATAGGAGAAGGAACGGGCACTCATATTAAAATATTGTATCTGGAAATACCTCCTGTTTCTCTATCACGGAAAATTCTCGGATCAATAATATAAAACCTATCACATCGGCAGGACAACATCAGGGCAGGGGTATCATCGCGAACTACGTAATATAACTTGTCATGTTTTTTTTACTCTATTTCGTCCAAGACACTCTCTGGAGCAAAATCCCGTTGTCTTGCTGTCATCATTCGCTGTCTTCTCACCTTGGGAGATTTTCTGAGCGTAGACATAGATCCTGAGCTTCGTTTAATCTCTGAATCTAGTTTGAGATGTTGAAGCTTCAGTAGTGAGTTCTCGACGTCATCTTCACAACTGGTATAGTCGCAGCCAGGCGAGTCCTGCCGAAGTTGCGGCATGATGTTTTTCTTGGATTTTGTTGCCTTTTTGGTGGGAGAGCGGGAATGTAGTTCACGTTCGAGGTTGGCGATTCTCTTTCGGAGAGTATCGTTTTCTTGCTCTAATGCAGCTATTTGGTCTTCCGAAGACGCTTGCGGGTCGTTGTGGACTATATCAAAATCAAGTCAGCCTAGTTGCTGAATAAAAGTATGAGAGGGCGGGAAGGGTTTCGAGCGCTTACTCCTTACACCCCTTGACAGCAAGTCCAACTTTTTATCCAGGTGCTCATCATGACGTGATTCCTATATTTCGATTAGGTTGAATATGCCAATCTATAGGGGTTATTGTGATAACGGCATTTACCTGCTCATCCCAAGCCGCTTGCCATCGTCGCTTCTCTTCCTCAAGTCGCAGTTCCATCTCCTGCCAACACTCTTCCCGCACATCTTGTTCAATCAACATGCACCTTTCCTCGGCTGCTCTCCAATGGAACTCAGCTTCTGCTCTCGCAATTTCTTCTTCCGCCAGTTTTATGGCCAAAGCATCGTAATCATCACTAATCTTTGCAATTTCCAATGCTGCAGTCTCCAGCTCTTCCGCTGAAGCGCAGTAAAGACTGGATTTCGACTTGGTAGTGTTAGCGTGAGTTGGACTTCTCCTTCCACACCCTGTGCTGGCCAAAATCGTGCTTGTAACGGAGGGTATACGAGGCACAGTGACTTCGCGGGCTAATGCGGAATAGCGCAAGATTTGAGATGTCGCGTTAAAGTCACCCTGGGCGTCTGCTGTCACGATCATAAGTGCTCTTTGCGGGTGCCTCGGATACGATGCTCCATGGTTCGGTGAAGGGAATGAATTGGAGAATAATAGCTCAGTGAGTTTGCATTGCCTGTAGGGTACAAGCGCCTGCTAAAAGAATATTTAGTAAAATTCTAGCAATGGTAAATAATAGATATACATACTTTGTTCCCGTCCTGGAAATCACTCTGTGTTTGGAGACATTGGCCTAAATACATCAAACTCTCGTTGATTTTCCCAGCTTCCGCAAGCGTCGCTCCTGCTGTCTTTGCATTTCTCGCTCGCTCGGAACCTATTCAAGGTTAGTAAGTATGTGCTGCCTGGATAAATTGTAAATATAGTTCATACCAGCAAGATCAACCACAGTCAGTGTATTTCCAACCCATGATTCATCCCCGAACCTTCTATCTCGGACTCTCCGTTTCACCTCAACACAGAAGAACCCATGGCTTCGTGAGCTAACACTATTACTTCCTGTTCCAGTCACTTTTCGTTCCAGCAAGCCCGTCTCCAAAACCATCAGTGCGTCTTCGTACGTGCCACAAACAATCTTTCTCAAACCTGCTACGACCTTACGATCCTGTGAACCTTCAGTAGGTTTAAATAGTAAATGACGCCGTCTTTCTTTCTGGTTCAATGCCGCTCTTGAACCCGTTCCTGAACTTGAGGGAGTAAGGAGATCAAAAATTCGATCATTATATACTTCATACATCGATACTAATACCACAGTCGCCCCTTCATGCGGATTAGGAATCGCAAAGTCGCTCACATCGGGAAATTGGGGGAGCGCACTCGGCCGATGAGGCAAATGGCGTCGAGGGAAATTTATAGTAGACATCGAATCCTGTTTATTGTGAGAGGTAATCTTAGCTACACGTGTTGAAGATTTGCGGTGGTTCCAACAGGGTAATTGGGAAGGAATAAGGTTTCTCTTTGGAGAAGTCCAACTCTCTCCAGGACAGTCAACTGACTCCATTGGAGAAACAAGCCGAATCGTTGACGTGCATGAACCTTGTCTAGGGGTAAAGTTTGAATTCATTGGGATGAATGCTTCCGAAATGGGGCCAGCAGAGAAGGAATCCGCATGTAAAATAGGAAATGGGGAATCAAAAGGGCTCCGTACCGTCATCGGGGTTTGACATCTCGACATAGCTGACATCGGAGTCTGGGCCCTTGAACCTCGACCTCGTTCGTTCCATGGGTCACTATAAATCATTTCAATAAATGATCTCGCAGTAAAGAGCTGTGCTTCTGAGGGGTCGGAGTTTGCGATGGACGATAATAGTAGAGGGTTTTCGTGGTTATCCAAATTTTGAATGGTTGACGAAAGGGAACGGAAGAGGACATCGAGTGACATCTGAGTTATTCCGCGCTGTGACTTTGACCCAAGGATAGTATGCGTCTGATACAAGTAATAAACTATTTAGCTTCTCGCCCCTACTCTCGATATATTGACGAGTCAACGAAATAATCACAGAGATATCAAACCTTTCCACTCCCAGTTACACCCAAAGTAGCAACCAGGCCATCTCTACCCTCACAAAGAACACCTTTTATTAGATTGGGCATCCCAACTTCCTCAAAAAGCTCCAATTGCGAGGCATTCTCTTCAAACACTTTTGTGAACCCGAACTTCTCAACAGCTCGTTTTCTCGAATCGCTCGGTGGCTGCAACGTGATATGGGTGGGCCAGGGGTGGCTTTGGTTCCCACCATCTTCAGACAATTGGGGCTCCGGGCGCTCGACCGTGAGGTATTCCTGCTTTGGAGTATTGTTTGCTTCTTTCTTGTTCATCGGCGGCCTAAGCCGCAGGTAGACCTGGAAAAGCGACGTTTGCCCATCCGAGGGCTTCGGGTCAGATTCCATTACTCCGATTTAGATTCACTGGGTTAAATAAATGAAGAACTTTCGAAAGTTACAATCAACCAACGGTAAGGAATCTGGGTACGTTAGTTGGATTGTGAAATAGACGTGGTTGCAATCTTCCATCATTTGTTGCTGGTGTTGTGAGTTGTCAAAAAATCCATGTAGGCCGCAAGAATGCTGTTGCCAGGGCAACAGCCACACCACAGCGCAAAGCCAAATTGCCTATACGTCATACTCGAGCTGAATAAAGCTTCCAACTTTCTACTGCGCAATGATGGTGGACGACAAAAGTTGTTGACGAACCATAGACGGAAACACCAATAAGGAAGCTCACCAAATGAGGCCGAGTCTTAGCTGGTGGTATTTTCCCGGCCTGCATTGCACCTAGAGAGTAGTAACTAGTACAAAAGCCGCGTGATGCCTGCGAGAGACCTATTGTCAATGTCACAACTTGTGCGACCTGAATTACATTGCACTTTTGCTACCAATCCGTATATAACAGTTAGGCTACCTCAATGCGGGGTTCAAGTTCGCATCCGTGACAAGAACTCATTTTCCGAGAGAAATTTCTTATGGTTCTAACTCATCTCTCTAACCACCACCTCTTCTCCACACTCAGGGCAGTCATCGAAACCCTCAGCCGGGTACGCATGATGATTACTGCACCAGACAAGTTTGCCACACTCCAGCCTTCCCCAGACGCTTTCCACAGCTCTGGTTTCCAGCCGGGAATAAAAATAGGGCTCCTTCTCTGAGTGTGTTATTCCGTCTGTCATTGAATCAACCAGCATGACATACCACACTACAGATTTTGGATAACGACGGTATAAAATCGCCATCCGCTGGGCCAACAGATGAATATATAGCTTGACGGGGTCGGACTCGTGGAGGTTTTCATGAATAGATAGGTCATCTGGTGCGGCTGCACAAAAGCCTGTATCTCTGCCTCGTGCGAACATTAGTTTGGCGGCTCTTTTCGCCAGGGAGTAGAACCCTAGCTGCGAAAGGCGAGTCTCAACCCCCTCCCCCAACAAGCGTGAGGAGTTCTCATGTCCGGTCTGGGTTGAGTTCGCCACCACAGCGCTGCACAATAATGGTATTATTGTGCTTAATAAAGTATTTGGCGAAATAAAGTCCGATTTTGTTGTCCAAAACCGATACACACAAGCCTGAAGTGGAAGAGGGACAAAGCGAGGCTCAAGTGGTAAACTCACCTAAATTAGCTTCCTTGGTGTGTGCAGACGATTATCCAGCTATACGGTCAGTCTTGGCTGCGCTCTTGATTCAAGGGCCTTGGAAATATCGATTTTCAACCTTGAGAGTCAAAGTGGTGGACTACAAATAAGACTACCAGCTAGAAAGGACCTAAAAGGTCAGAAAGCATATTTTCCACCAGCAATTCGTCTCGGTAACGCTCAAACACCCGGTCGATGACATCAGCAAGCCAGCGTATCAAGCTTCGGACAGTGTAATGAGCCTTGGTAAACTCCCAGTATTCCGGAAACCAGCCTGCATTTTCCCAATCAACGATACCGGTTATTTTTCCATTTTCTGCGAGGATATTCCTCGGGTTCAAGTCACCGTGAGTAAAAACGATTTCGTGGCAGATATCATGAGATCGGGCAGCACGTTGTCGAATTTCTTCACAAAAAGGGTCTGTTAAATAATTGTTGAAGTCGGCTTCAGTCTTGAACCGCAATTCTTCACGCTGGCTGTCAGGGATCCGCCAATCTAAGAGACCGCCTCCCTCGGAATTACAAATTTGAAAGTCTGTTGTTGGTCTTGGTATATTTCGAAGCTGTGAAACGTATTCTTTCAGGTCCAGTACAACCTGCTTCAACTCTTCATCAGTCATTGTGTCTATCATTGGACCAATCGGGCGTCCAGGAACACAAGTCATGAGCAAGTACGAAAAACGAGGTGTCCCTAAGACATCGACAGGTCGTGGTGCAGGAATACGGGTAAACTGCTCTACCAGGCGCAAAGTATGAGCTTCGACATGGTATTTCGGAGTCAAAACTGGAGATCCTCTTCGCAAGTACAAGCCAAAAGGTAGCTTTTGGACTGTCATCGAAAGAGACCGACCGTACATGCGAAATCCCACCCAGTGTAATTTGTCGTAAACGAATGCTCGAATGAAAGATGGTAACATTATCCACATCGGCCTGAAAATTCGGAGAAATGGCGTCACTAACACAGAGGTACATGATTTCTTTGCTCCTACGCACCCATTAGTAACATTATTCGATGGGAATGGTCGTGAGTCCTACCAATAGCACCGGGAGACGTGTTCATATGCTCTTTGGCGTCCATCCAAGCCAACACTTTTGAGAAACGTGCATGAAAGCCAAAAAGCTCTTCGTCAAGGATAGGAGTTAGTTGAGGGGTCCGATTCTCAAGGACCATTGTATCTGTCGACAAAGAACGGAGAACGTTAGGTCCGCGTGTGAACGTGTTGCTACCCACAAAATACTGCGATTAGTTGGTATCAATGTAAAACTCAGAGGAGATAGGGAGATAAGGAGGTATATCACTAACAGTCTGTTTTCTGGTCCTATCAGGGTTATTTACCCAAGTTTTGACCTTGAAATGTACTTGCCCTTTTCTAATAGCATCAAATGCCGGCGTGGACAACAGCCAAAGATTATCGAGTCTCTCCGACGCCTGATGGTGCGGATTTGAAAAAAACGAGCGCCAGTTTTCTAGTGACTTTCGCGACAAGAAAGCCTCAAGCATTTCAGAAAGGGCGGTCTCACGTACCCGTCAGCTAGTTCATATTAGAGTAATTATCACACATACCCCTTCGGACAAATCCTGGTCTGAAAATGCAAGCGGCGAAACCATGTGAACGAATTCTTCATCGGGATCTGAGTATGATTTGAAGGGCGTACGCGAAAGACAACAGCATCCTCCATCTCTATCGTAGATGAGCATCCGTATCTCGCTGGATAGTGACGTTGCTCGTGTCGGCCGAACTACGCTTCAAATTAGAAGGGTAGCCCAATATTGTCAATGGGTTTGACGACTCACACTTATCAATGATGATTTTCCAGTCTGATAAAAACTGTGACACATTTTTCTTTGGCTGAGAGCGTTCTCCAGCGCATGTCATACGAAGAAAATACCGAGCTGCTTCTTGGGGGTCAAAAGCGTCGTTGATGAATGCCCCAAGGATAGAACGATCTGGATGCGGCACATCCGTGATTGCAAGCAAGGCTTTGTATTGAGCTGATTGTTTATCTTGAAAGAAAAGTTGAGACGCTGACCCAGGAATGTTCCATGGGAGAGCCGCCATAGCGGAAGGTATCGCGGGATTTTGTGTGTTTGGAGCACTCAACTTTGCTGGAGGAATCTGGGATCGCGCTCAGTTACCCGTGGAGGTAAAATCAAAACAGAAAGGCCTAGACTTGCTCCCGCCCAAAGTCTGGGGCTATTGGCTGTTAGCGGGTACTCACGTGATTTACCGCGTTCGAGGTTTCCTGTCCGTCTCCAAGCTTCAAAATCAAAAGATTATCGAGCTTCACTTGCGGCCCTCATCTTCGCCATCCTCAGGTAGCCTACTCCGGTCAACCCTAACGTCTTCTGCTACAACCCTACCATCTAACCCGAGGCTTGCCGTAACTGCCAGTGACACTCACTCAGCATGTCTGAGCCCATTCCTGAGTCTATCCCGACCAGTCAAGACCCCCGAAGCAAGCGGCCCCTAAAACGTCGCGCGCTCACCCCCGTCTCCGAACAAGCCACTCAAATCCAGTCTCTCTTTAAAGACCCGTCGAAGGACATCCGTATCCCTGGTCCCTCCAAGCCCCGCACAAGCTCATCTCTAGCGCCACCACCAGAAATCGTCGCCAATGTCCAGGGTTCCTCCGCCGGCGCGGGCTCGGGGGAGTTCCACGTCTACAAAGCCAGTCGGAGAAGGGAATATGAGCGCTTAAAGCTCATCGAGGAGGAGTTGAAGAGGGAGCAAGCGGATGAGATGTTTGAGCGGAGAAGAGAGGAAGCTAGACGTAAAGATGAGGAAAAGACGGAAAAGAATAGGAGAAGGAGGGAGAAAAAGAAGAAGGTCAAGGAGAAGAAGGGTGCTGCGGGACCCTCGGCTGCTGGTCCTAATTCCGAGATGCGGGAGCAGGATAACGAAAGGAATTCTAATGGAGGGATGGATAGGGATGAGCATAAGGTCTCCGGATTAGAGAACGCTGCGGATCGGACAAAAGAAGAAGAGTCTGGGGTTATAATTCACGATGACGACTGATTGTTCTTGGAGTAACGTTACTTGATTATTAATTTGAGAAGATCGGGGGCTGAGAGTTTTACGGTACAATGCGATGCTACGAGTAGGTGATAACAGGAATTATATGATTGATGGTTTATTTGATTAATTTTCCGGTTATTCATACAGGTCTAAACGCTGTTGAAGACTTGCGGGAGATGGGATAGAGATCTATCCGGTTGAGAAAAATCCAAATCAACTATTCATCACCGCCGCCAACATTCGCAGCTTGCTTCAGGGTTTTGGCACTGCAGATATCATCGACTCGGAGTAACATGCACGCAGACTGTAGAAAGGAACGTTAGATGGAAACATGTTTTAGAGCGAATATTTATTAAAACTTACCTCAACTGCAGTTTTGATACTCTGTAATTTAACAGCTTCAGGTTCCCACACACCATAGGCTTTCATATCAACAACTTCTCCTGTATCGCCATCAACACCATAGGAGTTCTTTCCTTCAACGTGTTTGGCTCTCAGGTTAGTAAGGATGCGAATGGGGCTGGCGCCAGCATTCTGGATGAGTGTTCTTGGGATAACTTCCATCGCATCTGCCACAGCCTTGTAAGGCCATTGCTGAATACCTTCGACGGATTTTGCCAACTGTGACAATCTCACCGACACCGCCATCTCAGTTGCTCCACCGCCCGGTGAGAGACGAGGGTAGAAAATGACATTCCTTGCAACGGACATCGCGTCTTGTAAATTCCGTTCAATTTCGTTAAGAATATCTTTTGACGGTCCTCTCAGCAAGATTGTGCAAGCCTTCGGACTCTTGCATTTCCTGAGAAATGTGAAGTACTCGTCGCCAATCTTCTCGATTTCGAAAATACCACATCGAGTTCCGACGTCGGATTCTTGAAGGTCATCCACTCGGTTAACGATAGTCGCACCAGTTGCACGGGCGATTCGGTTATTGTCAGTCTTGCGAACACGTCGAAGGGCAGTGACATTCTCCTTGACCAAGTAATGTTGTGCCAAATCTATAAATGAATTAGCCTTGGCAACTTAATTGCATAATCGGCAGGTTCACTAACCAGATACACCCTTCTCAGTGATCACAAGATCCGGCTTCAGTGCAAGAATTGCGTCACACATGTGTTTGACCTGTTCCTCCTCGATCTGCAATATGCGGTTCCAATCATCCTCCTTCGAAACCTCGATGTTTGTCTGAGACTCTCCCTTCTTATATTCGAGAGGGCAATCCAGGAGGATAATTCTTGGGTTTTCTATTCTCCGCCTCATTTTTGGATGCGTGATATCCTTGTTGAGCATAACCCCATCAATGACCTCGCTATCCTCAATCTCTCCGCCCGGTATCTTTTCTACACGAGCGTAACGCTTGATATCAACCTCCTGCTTTCCACCACCAGCATCACGTGAAACTGTTCTCACAGCCTTTAATGCTAAGCTGCACATGAGGTCGGGCCATCGAGAAACAAACTTCGTGCCAATGGAAGACTGTATCAGTTTATACATAGCTTTGTCATCATTAATATCAACTGGTAGAGATATATCTTCCACAATAGCAAGTGCATCTGAAAGCGCCCGTTTGAAAGCCGAAATTATAACGACCGGGTGGATGTTACGTTCCAGTTGGGGAAGCGCCTGGGCCAGCATTTCACCAGCTTGTCGGTTGTTAGAAAGTGGTTGGAATTACAAAGTTCACGGGGAGTAGGTACCTAAAATTATAACAGTCGTAGTTCCATCGCCTACTTCCTCGTCTTGTGCCCGGCTGAGTTCGATCATACTTTTTGCTGCGGGGTGAGCCACCTCGATTTCTCGAAGGATAGCATGACCGTCGTTCGTGAGAACAATTCCGCCCATAGGATCAAGAAGCATCTTCAACATCGCTTTCGGTCCGAGGCATGATCGAATAATATCTGCCACACTGCAATGCTTCGTTAGCTACGATGCTTCAATTGTGGGGTCGTATTCTTGCGGGAACGTAAGCACCTACGTCTTTGCAGCGGTAATGTTGGACAATTGCGCTTTCCGGCCAACTTGTCTATCCCCACTCTGGGTATCTGCAGACCGTACGTGAGCAATCTATGTCCCATCCCATTATCAAAGGTGGTTTGAACATACTCATCACCACCACAGGAGCCTGCATTTTGACGAAAATCTAGATGATTTCCAGTGGCGGGCAAAAGTAATTTCGCTGGCGGGGAAACAGTGCGAGGCTAGGAAATTTCCAAGAGAATAGACACACTATAATATTAAGAAGAAAATTACTGAACACCTTGTAGCAAGACTAGGTGCTAGGCACAGTTGGAGGAGGAAGCTCTTCTGGCGGCACTTGATGTGGTTCACTTTTTTTGTCTAAGTGGCAAAGGCCCAGCAAACATTGAAGTTCGCTCTAGCCTGAAAACAGCCTAGTTCAACAAGCTCTCAGCATTCCATCCCACTTCAAACATCACCCAGATGTAGATTGCGGCTTCACCTACATGCGGAAAACGATGCGGAGTATCCAAGACTCCAAATCCCATTTGCACTATATTCCAATGTCCGAATATCCTGCTGGCGGGGAAAGCTATCTCCTCACTGAAACAAGTGTGGTCAATGACTCTCATTGATCAAATGCTGCCAGTGCGCTTCACATGGCAACTTCGAGGCTCAAAATCCCTTCTATTTCTAAAATCGTGGTAACTGTCGTCGTTGTTCCCACACGACTGATAACTGAGCGTAGGATTTTCCAATTCTCTGCGTGCCTGAAAGCGGCTATCAACTTTCCGAGGAGCATTAACATGCCACAATCCCTCCTCCATCAGTGAAGCCAAACTGCCATTCTCCGATATTGTCCTGTTGACCAACGTTGCTAAAACTTCATCTATGGTTCCCTCAGATTGGTTATTCCTTATTTCTTTTTCTCCACTATACTCTGTGCTATCTTTGTGGTCTTCTAGGCATTGGCTAGTTCTGTCCTCTACGGACGATAGATCAGGATTCATGACGTGCAATTGGCCTTTTTGTCCAGTGGCTTTCAACCGAGAAACGTGCGTAATTTCCAATTCCTGCAATACCTTGTGCTTCTTCGGATATTTCCTTTTCATATATCTTGGTTGTTCCTCTTCTTCTGGACTGAAAGCTTCTTCTGGCCAGTAGTCCATATAATCATATTGGCGGTACTTGAAGTTCGGGTTCTTCTGGGCTAACCTCTCGACTCGCTCCTGGAATAACTGACGATAATTGTTCTGGAGACGTTCTGGCAACTTTCCTAATGCTCGCGGATCGATCTCGTACAAAACCTCTTCCTCTTGTTGGACCGACGCCACAGGTGTTCTGTTGGTGTCGGAATCATCGTCGCTGTAGCTCTCACGGCTGCTCCGAAAAAGACGTTTGTGCCGAACTCGCTGGTCCAAGATTAGCTCTTCCTCTGTCATTCTCTCTTCTACAACTATCAGCTGCTGCCCGATGTGGTATGTGAGATTAGACTCACTGCTTTTGAAACGCTCGATTCCCCCCTTCCTTCAAACCAACATGCGAAGTTTCTCTGAAATCTAGAGGGATAATTCCAAGAAAATGGGGTATTTGGAAATCAGGGCCTTCTAACTTACGGGCCTCTCCGGTGCTCAGTTGTTGGTGTTCAGAGCTTTGTGAACGGTAGAGGAGCAACACGAAAGGGTCAGAGATAGCGAATATATTGATTCATCCCTTATTCCCGTTCTGAAGATATATCTTCAAGTTATTCACTTACTATAATTTACCCCCCTCAATACGGAACACAATAAGAGCATACCCGTCAATACCGCAGCTTTTCAGCCCCATGGTTATATTCATGCAGGTCATAAGAGCATTCAACTCATTAGCTTGTTGGCGAGTGCTGCTGGTAAAAATTATCCAAAGTCTACTCTTCTAAGCTCCTTAATTGTTGTGTGAATGAAATCACTTCCCGCCATTGGAACTTCTTGATTCAGGGAGACAATAAAGTCTATAGAAGATGAGTATGAATGTAACTGGTTCGGCGGGAGAATGAATAAGTTTTCTAGCGAGACTAAATATAAAATCGAAAAAAAGAAAAGAAAAATTACAATGCTTAGGTAGGTCCCTATACTCCATTGGCCATTTTTACCATGTAGACCACTGGTTATTGTTTAAGTTAACGACAAATAAAGAGTGACAAATTTGTATTTGCTTCCTTCCCACCAATATCTCGATCACGTTAACGACCCTTGATTCAAAACTATTGTGAATCAGCTAGCGCAGAGGGGAAACAAATGCAATATCGTTTCATCAATACCTCCGAAGTCGACGGTAGATAAAATCGGGTAGATAAAATCGAGATCCTCATACAGAAAATAGACGCATCCAGGAACAGGGGAGGCCTTTGTACAGCACATTGCGGCCTTGGGTTATATATGGTCTATTTAACTCATTTCCATTCTCTCTATACTGAGAACAAATGTCCTTGTCAATGCAAAATAGTCAGATAACATGATTAGCATGCATCTGCCCTTGTTACTGTAACATCCATGTTGAGTGATTTTCAATTTTGTAGTTTATCTGTGCGTCTCATCCTGTACGGATTGAGGGTATTTTATGAGCTGAGACTGTGAGTTACCTTGCGCAAGGGGCTGTGACTTCATCGCTTCATAGTCGGCTATGAGAAATAGGCACTCGGATGATTGATATAATTTGCGCGACCAGAGATAGCGAAAAGACAAAGTCTATTTTCCATTTGAGGCCCAAAAAAAACAAAATAGAGACCATGGACAGGGAAAATTATGCACATTCAGGGTATGCTGAACTGGATCGACCATACAATGCGCTAGGTTCATGCACATGATTGGCCGGGTGCACTGAGAACTTTGGAATGTGGAAATCCAGTATGGTCCAGCTTGTAAGAAGAAGAGAAAAAGGAAAAAGGGGGACATAAAGGAAAGACAAAATGGCATGCTTGAGCTTTGCCGCAAGGTCAGTTGCACAACGTTGAAGTTACCCGATTAGGGTTTCCATGATGCCAAGCCCGAGATTGTCATAAAGTTCACTAGCAGAATCTGGGTTAGCGTCGAGCGAACTCCTTTGATGGCCACCAGTTTTTTTTTTTTTTATGGTTAAACGGCGTTCTGAGGCCCACGATGATTCGAACATATGTCTGGCAATGATGCCGATAGGGGCATTTCCAAGGGAATGGAAGTTACTGGGCCTGCGCTGGCCCAACCTACAAATCACAATGACTTGATTGTTCCGGCGAAAGCTCAACAGCAGCTCTCGAATCTAAGTTCAGACGTCGGGCTTTTTTCGCAGCTCGCGAGCAATCCTTTCTTCACAGCAGTATGTTCTACCAAGTGGGTGACTTTGGTTTATTATACCACAGGCTAATATGGTCATGGTATTCATAGGGCTTTGGTCTTGCGGGCCTTGGAGCTGGACTGACACTCGCCCAGCGAGGCCTTCGGCATGGTGCTGCTCTCCTCCGGAGGCGTATGCTTGTTGAGGTGGAAATAAATATTAAAGATGACTCGTACGGCTGGTTTCTGCACTGGATGACTCTATATCAACGGTCGCAACTTCAAAAGGCACCTGCCGCCAGCAAATCCGGTTTCGTCGATTCCCTCCTCCGGAGACTCACCCCAGGAATGCGACAATTATCAATCCAGACACAGAAAGTGGAACATCCCAATGGCGCAATGCATACACAATTTGCACTTATACCTGGACCTGGAAAACATGTACTCCGGTATAAAAATGCGTTTATATTCGTCAACCGAGTACGAGAAGCCAAATCGAGAGATCACCAAACTGGACGACCGTGGGAGACGGTTACTTTAACTACACTGTATTCTCAGAGACGTATCTTTGAAGACCTATTTAAGGAAGCGCATGAGTATGCTGCGCGGTCACAGGAAGGGAAAACCGTCATTTACAATTCTTGGGGCACTGAGTGGAGGCAGTTTGGCCAATCTCGGCGCAAGAGGCCTCTGGAATCCGTTATCCTGGATAAGGGTGTTAAAGAGCGGATAGTAGATGATGTGAAGGATTTTCTCCAAAGCGGATCCTGGTACTATGATCGTGGCATTCCCTACAGACGCGGTTATCTTCTCCATGGGCCTCCAGGCAGCGGCAAGAGTTCGTTTATTCAAGCACTCGCGGGAGAACTGGATTACGACATCGCCATCCTCAACCTCAGCGAGAGAGGTTTGACTGATGATCGCCTGAACCACCTTCTCACAATCATACCTGCCCGCACCCTGGTATTATTGGAGGACGTAGATGCTGCCTTCGGGAACCGGCGCGTGCAGTCTGACGCTGACGGATACAGAGGAGCCAATGTGACTTTCTCGGGCCTCCTTAATGCACTTGATGGGGTGGCTAGCGCGGAAGAACGCATAATTTTTCTGACGACAAACCACGTTGAGCGGCTTGACGAGGCTCTTGTTCGACCTGGCCGTGTTGATATGACCGTCAGGCTTGGCGAAACTACGAGATATCAGGTTTCCAAGCTTTGGGAGAGATTTTATGGTGACTTTGACAAGACGGGTTTTTACCAGGCTCAGTTTTTGGACAAGCTACATAAACTGGGTGTTATCGAGGATGAAAATGGCCACAAGATTCCAGCAGAGAGGGCCACAAGTGCTGCGGCTCTACAGGGGCTCTTTTTGTACAACAAAGGTGACATGGAAGGTGCTATCAGGATGGCCGAAGGCCTTGTGTCTGAGGAATAACTTCAGCCTCTAAAGCGGGGAGCCAATTTATGCGCTATTGCATTTAGATCGATGGATATACTCTCAAGGTTCGAACCATTTATCTTCAACCATTGTGTTATTAGATTCTTCCACACTCTCTCAATACTAGACCTCTTTATACAAGTCGGCCAAATGAGAGTTAATCCCAGGCCTCTCTTATTATTACAAATTGCTATTCTGGAGGGTTGCCTGGCCGGCGCATAATAGTCTTGCGGTGATGGAGCAATCTGCACCTTCCTACCAAATTATTGGAGAGCTGTTTTCCGCCTCGTAAAGCGCAATATCACGTGACATTACAGACCAATCCATGGATGTCTATTTTGGTAACTAACAACGTCAACAAATCCCACCTCACAGAACATCAACTTCCCCATCCAATAACGGCTGCGCTCTTTGCGCCGCTCTTCCTAGCGCCGCTACCAAAGCCACAGCTCTGCCTGCCGGGCCGTGCCAAGAGAAGGGAGAAGTTGACAACTGTTTCCCTGTTTCGAACATCGAAGCGCCGAACAGTTGATGTGTTTTCAGGGATAATCTCCAATCACCTTTTTTATCGCATGCTCAGCAAGTGGTGTCTTGATGCCTCTTCCTCAAGGTTTCGCGAAGGTCATGCTGACATTGAATGTTGAACAATGCTCAGTCCCACCGATTCATTCCTAGCTTTGTTCTTCATGCAAAGAGCCAGAACCCGAAAAAGCAATTTTTATGTCGGTGATGGGATTTAGCATCCAATCCTGCATCACTGGAGCCCCAGGGATGGCACGGTGATAGATTCCACAGCTGCTTGTCCCTTGGAGGATCGCTCACTCGCCCAAGCATCATTCATGTCCAGGCGTCAAGCTATTGCAAGGAAAGGAGGGCGCAAGATTTTTTTTTTTCCCGTGCATTGATCATCGTTCCTATTGATCAGCCTCTTTTTGTGGAGGAGCTCGCCGGGCCATTTGGAAAAAATGGCGTTTTCACTGAAGGCAGCATTTTTCTCCATTTTAATAACTATCCTCCCCTCTTATTCTTTTCATTTTTCCTTCGCCGTGCTAGTTAGCCTCAAGCTTAGATTGCTACACGTATTTTGCCCTTCTGTCTCATGGGCCTTCTCATATGGGCTTTGTTACTCTCCTTTACCAATAAAGTCGTCCTCTGAGCCCTACGAAACTTAAGGATTGTATGATTCTTACTACTGACGACTCGTTACACATGCTGCTAGCCTAGCCTCCATTTTTAATAATCGAGGGCAAGAATGGCGAGCCAGACTCAGTTTCAGCTATTTCCTCAGGTTCAGCCTCTAAACAAGCCCAATGGCAATCCATTCAGAAAAGGGAATCGACGACGTGCTACAAAGTCTCCAGTAATTTCACCGATCTTGGGTGACGACAAGACATCTTTCCAGACCGAGGCCGTCATTCTTCAAATCATCGAGGACACAAACAAGACTCCTCTAGCCCCTTCTCCTACGGTTCATATTGTGAGCGCAAATTCTCCCTCACTCAATACGGAACTCAGAGAAAAAGCGAAAGTTGTGGAATATCCTCAACTGTCCGAAAATGGCAAATCTGTCCCTCCCCAGCCAACTTCGCCGGAACCTATTCGATCCGGATCTCCCGTTCAAATTGAGGTGACCACCTCACCGCCTAGATCACCTACATCCCCAGTGGTGTCAATGAGGTCAATATTTCCCCGTTACGATCCCAACGTGCCTTTGAGCCAGCAGCAATACTATCCCCAACGTTCGAGGCCTAACGATCTTCCGCGGGAAGTTATATCGAGATGTGACTATAGCCAAAGTGTGGCATCTCCACAGTCTGCTTCTTCCCGTACTATGCGCGAGTCCACCCAACTAGCTGCTGCTGCTAAGGTTACATCCTCCCAGCAACTCACACGTCTGTGGGAGGCTGCAAATGGAGAAGGGCCACAACCTGAACTCGGAACATTTCACCTACGTATTTCCAAGTGAGTCGAAAGGCAATGGTGTACATCTTGCGTTGGGGTATATGCTAATCAATGATTCCATAGAACGGACCATCTAACGTACACGTTTGGAAGCCAATCTGCAACACTATATACACTGAAAACTAACTCAATGGGTGACGTGGACATTCAAAGATCTCACCCCACCAAAGAGAATACCAAGTCTCCCATAGTTACAATGAGCAACACGGAAATTAACAGACCTAAAGGCAATGGCTTTACTACGGTTATTTTCCCCATGTTGGCAGAGATCCTAGCTAGAGATCAAGCGTTGAGCTTGTCAAGGCAACATCAGCTAGCTCCAACAGACGCAATGGAGGTGGAGGAGGATGCTGTTAGGCGGGCAGAAGCTCAAGAGTCCTGCATACTAGAGTGGAACGGGTCTCATGGTCGGTACGACGTGCTGCACCAGGCTTTGTTTAATGACCCAAGTGACGGTCAGGAAAATGAGATCCAACAGCAAGGGTTCCCCATCATAAATAAACGGGGCCAAACATTACGCCTCTCGGTTTCCGCCTCTACAACAGATAGCGCACAGTTAGACCATCCTCCATCAATTCTTGTTACAATACCAGGACGGGACTCGACCAAGGATATTCCGTTGGTAGCTCTAGACTTGGAAACCATGACGCTGTCGATTTCGGCGGGCATCATATCCTCCACGATCCCGGCTTTATACTGCATAGACTCCCTAGTTGCCTCAGTTCTCATAATCGCTGCAACGGACCAATTTATTAGAAGTATTCTTGGCGGAATGAGCATCGAAACTGCTGTGACCAAAGGAGAATTCCCAGATCCATATAATGTCACGTCCTCCAGGGCACCATCAGCGGCAGCTACCTTCCAGCCAGGTTTTAATGGTCAGCTAATCGCCACACAGGCGGAGCGTGAAGAGGCAGAGCAAGAAGCTAAGCTGATGTCACAAATTCATTCTTCTTCCAAGCGCAAGAAAAGGTATTCGTTTTGGAAGAGGTCATCCTCCTCCTCGCCAGAGACGAAGACAAAAGTGAAAAAGAGTATTAAGAAAGCCCCAGTTGTGATTGAGGAAATTGACCTTGAAAACTACGGTAAATATAGCAGTGGATCTCGCGAAGGAGAGAAATTACCTGGAATCACGAGGTCTGTGCTCAAGCTTATATTTTGGGGATTTAAAGCTGTTATCTGGGGCCTCACTGTTGCATTGAAGTTCATCGCATGGTTCCTAGTTAAATTGACACGGTGTTTTACCAGCGAGAAATTTTAGGTAGTGGCTGGGAAGAAAAGGGCGAGGCGTTTTTGGATAGGAGTTTCAGAGTACGACATAACTCCCAATGGAACTTGTAGTGAAATTATGATTAGGATGAGATATTATCACGGCTGAAGAAACGACTGGCGACAATTCGTCGGCTAATTGGAGTTTATTCGCAAGGTTTAAAGGAGTTTCCCGGTCACGTCAGCTTGTGAATCCAAGGGTGCTTTGTACCTTTTTTTTTTTTTTTTTTTTTTTTAAATTATCATTGTTATTTATTGGGCCCCTTTCCTTTGCATAGATATGTCTGCAATTTTTGTTTTCCGCTGGTTGCACATCTATTACACCTTGTTACCCTACCATTTACACTACAGCTATGCCCGGGCCAACCCCCGTCACTTCACTTATTTCTCTCATCCTTTTTCAGACATGTGTTGGAAGGACAGGACCGCAGAACAAGCACATAATGGAAAACCAGAGGACATGATTGATGCTTGTCTCCATGGAACGTATGCAATGCCTACTTACCGATTTTGATGAATGAAACGTGGCGTGCCAATCAAAGAGTTAATTGCCAGGTACAGATCGCGCTCTTTAAAAAGGGCAGGATGACTGGGCGATAGAGTAGGTTTATGCACTTATAGTTATTAACATGAGAGGGGCGTGTGAAACCGGAAATGGGGAATAAGATGCGGGGTCTAAAATTCTTCGAACGGAACATATATAAATACCAAAAATAATGCACTGTACAAGTAACCTGGGAACGGTTATTGGCTCTTGCAATCTTTGGTATATATATTTATATATAAAACAGCAAGGCAATCAAGCCAACCCAATGAGCCAACTGCAGAACCCGCGGCCCAAATATCAAACAAAGTCTAAGAATGGTAATCCAATAGGGGTATCAAGGCCCAAAAAGGCTGTATCGGTGTGTTCATGACCTGCGTATCCTGTCTACCAACGACGGAAACCGACGAGTAGGCGATCAAAATGCTGCTGAATTTCGAAATCCAAATACTAATCGAAAATCGAAACATGCGCAACTAGACCAAAAACATCAAAGGAAACTCAATTCATCGTCACTCGAGCCAACAATATCATAATTTACTGCTCGCGAGATGGACTGTTTTCGTAATGAGGTAGAAGACCTTGTTGTCCGAAGTCGAGTTACGGCCGTAGTGCGGGGCCGCACTTCTTCGCTCGCCCTAGTTGTACACGTGCGCTTGTGTCGCAAAAGGTAACGGGGAGGTAATGCTCTGGCAAGGATATCTTCGTCATCACCGTCGTTGTCATCATGGTGATCTCTACAGTAATCATCATTGACAGATTCACTGTAATCAGACTCTGATATCACATCATCTTGAATTGCAGACTCGCTAGATTTCGTATTCGAGTATTTATTCCTGTTATGAATGATAACTACTTCGACCGTGTTGTGTCGATAAGGTGGCTTTCGAAGTCTAACTTCAACAACAGGGACACGGTTGGTAAAAGAACGATCGATTTCCGTCCTTTGATGTGATAGCCTTGCCTTCGTCATATTTAGTTCAGTGACATCACGGGTTTTCGTTATGTTCGACCGCGTGAATCGGCCAAACGTCAGCGGTTCGGAGTCGTTTGTATCACGCTCATCGATGCAAAAATTCCAAGAACGGGCTTTCCTGGACGGTAGTCGGCGACGAGGTGCACTTGGTGACAAAGGATATGATATCCTAGTGTGTTTTCTCGAATCCAAGTTTGGGGGATTGACAACACGCTTCCTTTTCCGAGACCACAATGGAGAGGTAATGTCTGACGAAGTAATGCTCGAACTATACCGCTCTGAACAGGCCGAAAATGTACTAGAGCTTCTGGATGCTCTCGCATCATCTGAGTCATTTATATCTGGGAGCTCAGCTAGTGGATCTGGAAGGGAGCTCATCTGGTCTTGATATGTTCGAAAGCTCCTTCGTGCTCCATTGGGACGACCCGCAGTAATCCATTCTCCAATGCTTTCTTCCCATATGTAACCGGTTTTGGACAGAGCTAAAGACGGCGTTAAAGAGAAGATTTCGTCCTGCCCTGAAGGCCCATTAGAATAGCTCGTTACTCTGGTCTGTATATGGGCAGCCCAAGAATGGTGATCGGGATGAAGAGTAGATTCAGCAAAATTAAGTGCCGCGTCCACTGCTACTTTTCCTAGAAGCGCTCTAAGCGTAGTGTACGGTTGTAGCTTGTCCCCTGTGAGCGCATCCGTCAAAATTTTTAGGTGAGTGAATCCATCTTCACTCAGTACTTGGCCGCAGCAGTGTGATATGTGGGTCACAAAGGCCGATAGGCTAGCTGTGAGGTCCTTTCGGCTTCTTAATGTACGAGTAAAATATTCAAAAGTACTTAAAAGCCTTGTCGCTGGAGGATCAACAGCCTGCTGGTTGGTCCGGGGTTGCACGTTGTTGGATGTGATAATAAAATCTGCCATCAGAATATGCCCCATTCGTAACAGCTCTGATCTTGAGCGATCTTGGGTTACATGGAAGGACGTGCCCTCGATATCACGCTGCACTATGTCTGAAAGCCTAGCCAATATGTGTTGAATTGAAGATGCACTGGATGGTGTAGCAGGTGGCCGGCTTGAACAACGAACGATGTATGCACTGCAGAGAATACCTAAAATACTTGATATGCTGTTGTTCAAAGCAGTTTCTAAATGTTCATTTGTTCTCGCTTGTGAAGTTTCCAAAAAGTCGCAATGTGCGGAATGTAATTTCCACCTCTCTTCATCGCATTCTTGTAATTTATCCGTGATAGCGATTGAGTTGGAAGCTGGCATGGCGCAGTAAGTATGCGATCCAGAAGCTGCAAGGGCCATATTCACAATAAACGAAACAGACGCGGAACAATCGTGATCTTCGCATGATATCGACCGAATAGCATGAGTCACGAATGGCTTCATGGACTCCGTAGCTATCCATTCAACTGGGACAATACCGCACCTCAATAAAGACCCAACCGTGCGAAAAAAGAAGCTTAGATGACTCGCTTTGTTCACATATGCAGCTAGCGTATGGAATACACCAAAATTTCTGGCCGAAAATAAAGAGCAATCCAGATGCCTGGGATCTTCGACCCTCATGGTAACAGAGAGCAAAGCAGATATTATTTCTTGTGCAGCATCGTACGAAGACGAATCGATCGAATTTAATGCTAGCTGACGAGCTATCATCGGAGATATCCACCTCTTCCGAATCGCGTCACAGACCAAACGAATCCCATGGAGACGAACGAGTGATTTGAGTGGTTTCCACCCAGTATTAGATGTACCGTACATACTTTCTAGCTCTGTGAAAATAACATTGGCGATGTCGATCTTTTCGTCCTTGTCCTCGCGATTATCCACAGCCTCTTGTTCCCTCGCAATGTACGTGGAAGTTGCACCCAGAGCCATATGCATAAGCGATCTTGCTCCAACACTCGCACTTTTTTCCGCAGCTGTCATTGTAAGAAATGTATCCCAAATTTGAAAAATCCCCTGCGCGATGGCAACATACGACGGCTCGTTATATTCATTACATGCGTCCGTCCAAGTCTTCCGGCTATTCCATCCGTAAGCAGATAATCTCCGCCTCACAGGGCCCGGACGGGAATTTTCAAGCGACGAGTCTTCGTTGGAGTTTGCAATCGTCGCATTCCCACCGGCGACTCCATTTGGCTCCTGGGCTTCTCGATGGTGTCTTTTTTTCTCGTGGATAAGCGGCGTGGGTATGGAAAACTCCCCCGGTTGAAGCTTCTGAGTCTCCGGGCTCTTCACAACGACCCTTGACCTGCTAGCAGTACGAGCAGAATATTTATGCTTAATACGCTTGCGCACAGCACCACCCGGAACCCAAGTTGGATCATCGGGCGTGGATTCGGACTCGGACTCGGGAGCTAGTCGCTCCGTTTGTGCCGCCGTACGGCTTTCCTGGCTTAACTCAAACGCAGTGGTATGGTTCAGCGTTGGAACCCCCATGCGCGTTATCTTCCAATGCTTTTCCAGACGCAATATAGTGGAGGTTAAAGGGCGCAGCGCCCTATTGCACCACCTCGATGTGATGGCGACTTCCGACACGGCTGGTTTTGAACGGGAGGTGGCTGAATTCAGCGTCATTGTGACAACAAGACGAGAACCTTTGATCCGCGAAGCCTTCCACTACTATTAAAGACAGTATATTTTAGCAACGCCATGTTGAGCAAACAATCGGACGGCTCTCTCGTTGACATACCAGCTCAACGCAACACGACCACCGTTGGCTGCGGCATCAGCTTCACAGCTCTCCCAACCTCCGCAAGCGGTCTATCGTAAACCTCCAGAAGAAATTCATGAAAAAGTAAAACGATACACTAATATATTTTAACAAGCAATCGAGCTTTAAAATATACAATAACGACTACTCTGTCACATAGTTGTTGAAGCAAATCCAAAGCTCCGAATTTGTTCCCGATTGAGGTCAAAAATTGGCGGAATGTAAACAATAACATACCACGTGATCTTATTTCCACTCAACCTCCACAAATTTTTTGGGACGGTGCAGACACTTTGAAACCCTTCGAGGTTTCAAACAGCAATTTATGAAATGAGAGAAGATGTCAATCATTTTAAAGATATGTTTCTATAATACAGTGTTATCCTGCTTTCACTTGCTTCCCACGAAAAATGACATATCATCATACAGTTAGGGAAAACTTAAGAAAAAGCACATGAGAATGGGGACTTGAACATGATTGAAAGCATAATGAGATATGAAGGGGGTTAAAAACCATGCTATGTAGATCCCTAGATTTTATACAATGAAGTGGTACCACAAACAAAGGAAAACGACGGGATAGAGAATATGCAAAAAATAACAGAATACTTTGTGAGTAGAGATGGGGTCGTAAGAAAGGAGGGGAAACATGTTCAAAATTAGACATAGCAGCACAACCGCCCATAGAACTCGACAAATGACGTTGGCTCAAATGCGGAGGAGCTTTAGTTCTTTTTCCTGTCTCTAAGAGTTGGCTTGGTAAGCAAATATATTCCCCGCTCAGCGGTGTTTCTAACATTGGTGGGAAAATTTTTCTGGGGAATCTGGTGGGATTCGGACCCTTTTACTTTTGAAAAAAAATAAATAAAATAAAATAAAAAGGAGGTAATAATAACATGCATAGAAGCAGGGGTAATTAAATGATCAAAAAATGATAGGTGGCGAGTTTAAATAATACAAAAGTATACTCAAACTTAGGCCGTCTGAACAGTGGATTGCTTCGATCCACGGAGCTTAGGGTTGCTGGCTGCAGCCCGCTTCTTCTGCTTAGAGCGAGGGCTACGAGATTCGCCACCCCCCTCAATAAATTTCAACAGTTCATCAATGCTTCTCGAGTCCAGCCCGATGCTTTTGGAGGTTGCTCCGTTGGTAGTCGCTGGTGCGTTTTGGCCAACCTGAGGCTGCGGTTTGGTTCCCATCGTCATGCGCGGTGAAAGGTTGGTTCGGCGGAGTCTGCGAGCTTGGATGTCCTTTGCGTGCTTAGCGATGGACACAGCATTCTGGGTCAACTGTTCAAGCCAGCTTTCTGCTTCTTTGGTATTACGGTCGTTGGGGCCGAGTTCGTTGAGGAAGATGTTGTACGCGTCACGCATACGGTTGACGGCAGCCTTTGAGTCCTGATCAAGCGCAAGGGCCTGGGCAAGCTGGAAGAGAATGGTAGCTGTGTTGATTGACTGTCTTCCAAAGAGGCCTTCACAGACGGTCAGTGAAGCCTCAAACCACTTTCGGGAATCGGGATATTTTTTGAGATGTTGAAGCATGACAGCAGCGTTGTTCATGGTTGTAATCGAGTCTGGGTGGTGTGAACCGTAGATAATTTTCCAGAGTTCCAATGCATGTCTGATATAAATCAGAGCAGTATGAGTGTTGCCTGATGCGTGCTCGAACAAGCTGAGATTGAGGTAGCTCAAAATAGTGTCGGCAGAGTCAACACCCATTGTTCTCTCAGTAACAATAACGGCTTTCCGTGCCAACTCAACGGCGGCTTCTTTCTCATCTGTCTGATAGTAAAGCATGGAGAGTTGATGGTACAGCTTGGCTACTTCAGGATGAAGGATGCCGTAGATTTGTTCATGGAGGGAGAGAGATTCCAAGATAAGTTCCTGTCCTATTTCTTTCTGGTTTTGCATAATCGAAATTCGCCCAGCCTCCAATGCTTCTTCCGCAAGAGCACTTCGCGGGGAAGCATCCTTAACGAGAGGCACGATGTTCAGGATATCCTCTGGCACAAACGTAACAACGGGCCTAGGGCTTGCCGCTACTCGGCTTGGTGAAGCACTGTTGCTCCCCTTTTTCTTCTTTTTCTTTCCCCGCTCGTCTTGCGAACTATGAGTGCTGCTAGGCTCAGGAGAATGCTCCTGGGACTTGATCTGCGAACGTTCGAAGGCAAACTCGCGGGCACCTATCTGAAGACCAAGTTTAATAGAAATATCTCGCAGAAGTTGGAGGCGTTTGAGTGACGAAGTCCACTTGGGCTCGAGGTTGAATCTGAAGCGGATCTTGATTTGTTTTTCAATATCCCCCTTGAGCGAGGTAGGTGTAACCTTTTCGAAAGAGAAGTCACCTTCTGGATAAATTTCCCTCAATTCCTCATCTATCTCTGGACGTGGGTTTGAGTTGACTTCAGCCCCGAGAAAACAGTTCAATAGATGGGAAACGCAGGAAGCAGTGAAGGGAGATGGGAGATATCGCAAATACCGGTTAGCGATATGTTTGAAGGAGCGAGAAACCATTTCTTGGATCAGGAGCGCGGTCAACGCCAATAGCCTTTGTCCCTTTGCTTGAGAGAGTTTGGCCAACTTGCCTAGGTATCGAACATTGATTCCTCGTTTGTGGAGGAGTTGGGTTAGTGACTCTCCATCCATCGGGAAGCCAACGTCGCCATCATGCAAGTCCTGGATAAGCTCTGGAATGACCTTGGAAATCAAGTGATCGCAAGCTGACCGGACTTCCTTCTCGTCCTGGGCCCACTCCTCCTTCTCCTCATCTGTTTGAGGTACTTGGCCGCTGAAGACATCAGGGTTGAGGGCAAGCTTGAAAGCAGAAATGTCAACGCGTTCCTGTTCGCTAGCAACTGCCTTTTTCTCGCCTTCGCCCGGCTCGCTCGTTGATAGGACCTCAGCCTTGTCTTCATTTTGAGCTTCAATGGCTTTAGTCTTCTCAGCTTCCTGTTTCGCAGTCTTTCGTTTCTCAACCTCAGCTTTAACATACTGTCCCATCTTATATCTCCAGTACGACTCAACTAGTTCTAATCTCAAGACAGACATTCTATGGGGATATGGCTCATGTCCCTCAGCGTCTTCAGACCAGGCTACATCCAGTGGAGTAATGCGATAAAGATCGAGAACATATTTCCGGCCATCGGTGCCCAAAAGACCCTTGGTTTCTACACTTCCTTCCAGATCATGCCTTTTTCCTTCTTTGTCCCAGACCGGATGCTTCTTAACTCGCAGCGAGGCGGATAGTTTCTCAAACACTGGAACAAAGTCTTTGTGCTCTGCAACAACTTCCTTTCCCTCGACTCCTCCATAATCGATTTGGTGTTCGCCGGGTTCGCGTTGCTTGAAGATGCCGGGAACAATGCTCTGGCCAACCAAACGCTTACCCAGATAGTCAACAACAACAGTTCCAGGGGTGAAGAGGCCGGGGATATCGAGCTGGTTGACGGCTTTCGCGCCGACAACGTCTTTCCCCACCGCAACCCTGGCAGCTTCATCGCCACCTTCCGACGCAAAAGTTCCAACCCCATCAGCTCCGAAGGAGAAGAAGATATTGTTATAAACAAAAATCTGCGCATCCTTTCCTTCAGTTGGGTTCAGGGGTGCAATTTCGCCCTTTGCAACTAGTACAGCTCCACGAGCAGCTGCGTCGTTGTAGTCAGCAAAAAGCTTCGAAGTCAAACGTTCCCTAAAGACTTTGTCCTGGACTGTTTCCCTGGGAAGCTCTCTTGTGCTTTGGAACTCTTCATTCCAGTCCCTCAAAGTTTCGGAATTGTCCACGCCAAAAATCAAGCAGTTCTCTTGGGAACGGGTGATGTCTGACTGATGGGCTGTGACAGCGGATGAAGTGGGTGGCACAAGCCATGGGTTCTTGGGAATGGAGTTTTGGAATGGGAATGTAGTCAGCAAATCCTTTTTGTTGTTTGATTCCTGAAGGGCTTTAAATGAGGCATCGAATGAGGGAGAGAGCATAGAGATTAACGTCAATAGCGAGTGGGCGCTGTAGTTCTTGGGAGCGGGTCTGGGGAATGGGTCGAATTTGGCGTTTGAGGACTTGTTTACAAAGAATCCAGAAACGTGGGACGTTATCTGGTGTTGTTCGCCTTCATTCGTAGTTACCTGGAGATATAATAAATGCCCCCGTTGGCGAAGGTGGTAAGGAGGAGGGTTCCAAGGAGAAAGAGAAATTGCTTTCACCGTCTTGGGCAGTGACGGCTGGGCTCGGGGGAGTATCGTTTGCAAAACTGGAGGAGCTGTCATGTCATAGTCTACAAGCGCGTGATCTCTGACCACGCCCCTTTCTCCCTCCTTCGTGTCCGTCAATTGCTCGCCAGCAGCGACGGAGTCATGAAGCGACAAGCCGGCACAAATGCCGTGCAGGTTGTCGACACGATCTCCCGCGGCGCCAATCAGCTCCCTTATCCGAATCACATGCATCCGAGCCTCCTTCTCAGTGTAGGGGTCCTCGACCAGGACGACTTCCGAATTCGACTGGATGTCCTTGACCTCGGACAGTTCAATGTAGTCATTTATCCTGGTTCCATTATGCTCCAGGTGAAAGCTCGTGTACTGAAAGGTACCCGGCAGCTCAACGATCGACTGACGAACATCCTGGACTTGTTCCTGGCTCGATACCTGTAGGCGGAGTAAGCTTTATGGATGAATTACCATTGTTGGCGGAGGGAGATGGTTTTCTCACCGTAACTTGGATGTTGTAGGGCTCATGTGGAAGCTTGACGGAAATCTGGAAAAGACCTGAACTCAAACCCCAAATCAGTGTCAGTGGCCTAGTGTGTATCATTCGGGTATCAGAATGTTCCCACCTCCGTCATGTTCTCCGTCTACGTGATGGCCGTTGGGAGTTTGTTCATCTCCATTCTTCTCCGCAACCTCTGAAGCCGAAGGATTAGCGAACGCAATTGAGATAGCTTGCTAAGTTACCAAAAGATAACGTCAAAGCATCGATCAACTACTTGACTTGCAGGACGCCCTCATACCTTTGGAAGGTTCCTTCTCCTTGGTGGGTTGCTCCATTATTAAATATTGTAGAAAAACAAAATGGGTACAAGATATCACAATCGGCACTCAAATTGAGACGAGGGTTGACAAAGCTCTTCCCTTCTTCTGCAAATAGAAACTCAATGGGTGAAATAAAACAACAGACGAAGAGAAATGAGCACAAAAAGGAAAAGGAAATAAATAAATGAAGGGCCAGGATATATGGTTGTGAGTACGCAGAAGAAGTGAGCTCTCACTTTTTTATTGACCAGGAGAAAAAAAATTCTTTTTGCCAAAACGGCAGCAAAGACCTGGAGAAAATTTCACGGAAGTGGATTTTTTGGTCGGGTCATAACGGGTTTAGGCGTAAACTTGCCGTAAAATACGGCACCGGGTTCATCCCGAACAACCAGATACACCCAACCTTCCCACTGCGCTGAAGAATAAATCCGCTCAATCCAATAAGGAACGTGCATCTCAAGTTACTCTCGGAAAGCTAGGCCTATGTGAGTGTACGCTTGCTCCGGAGGCTATATGAGCGAAATTTGTGCAAGCCATTGAACGTTTAAGGGGAGTCAATCGGCAAATGGCAGATACAGTTCCCTGAACAGTCTAGCCTGACTGTCAAAGGTCGATAATCCATCTCTCTACGCTGCGTCATACGTTTCCTGCATCGTCTTGGGCCCTGTATCCTTTTAGGGCCCTTTCGCCCGGCTCTGGGGTGATGAAATACTAATGGCTCCGGATACTCCACCCCGAATGAGGGGCCGCTCATCCCGAAATCGGTATACCTGCTTGCGCGAAACACACCTTCCTGGCCACCATGACCGGATTTGATATTGACGGGGTTTGTGTTATGAGATTTGTAATTGCGGATTTCTGGCGTTGTTAGGGAAAACGAGGGAGTTTGACAAAGCGATTGGAGGATCATTCGCACAGATGCATCGGATCTGGTAGTATTTGGTTCAAGGAAGAAATTCAGTCACTGAATCTTCACATTCTAAAAACTCATTCCATTAGGCATCTATGAAACTCCTGAACTACATTGAAGTGAAACCGCGAAGTAGGAAAGTGGAAGAGTAGGATCATGGTCGCTTCTTATGTTGTTGAGCATGCGACCTGATCAACTAGATCCTTGCGAAAATCCTGAGCATGTTGTGGCAATTATCAGCCACATCTTGTTTGCGCTAGATCTTCGCTCCCTGAATTCCTGGCAGATGTAAGCACCCTTGCAGCCGGTGAAAACTTTTCGGAGTCTTTCTCCATACATCATTGTATGTATGTGCTTGGTAAGAGGATATATCAAAGCAGAAGGCGGTTGGATCTATTCTCTGTGTTAAATGGTCAATTGCTAACTTGATAGATAAAGGCGCCTGCTATATCCAGTAATCAAATTCTACGTCAATTACTCTGTAATGGAACCTTGAATCCAATTGTTTCCATCGAGATGTTGTGTAAGCGTTGTTTGACATGCATCCATTGGTTGGTTGGTTGATTGGGTATTTAGTGAAACATCCTGGGACCTCTCGAAGCTGCCCAGATGTACCGGCGCAGTGGCGGCTCGCCGGCGAATAACCCCAGCCCAGCAATCGGTTTTGCGAACTTGAATCTCTGACTGACATCAACCCTCGTTGACTTAAATGTTTTACTTTCTTATTATTTTTTATCACTCTTTTCGCAAGGATATTTTATGCTACGTCCATTCGTTTTTCTTCCCAATGCCTCCACATTGGTACTATTAAATCCATCGCCAGTCGCAAGTTAGGTGCTGCAGGGCAAGATCAGAATTCTTCGGGTTTTACTTATTGGGCCGGCATTTTAAATCGGCATCGTGGACCTCCAGCCTGAGCAACATTCCATCTATATCGCGCGCCATGCGTTTGGCTCGCGTATGTAGCCGCACACAAGTATTTTTTTGTCCCAGGCCAAGGGCCGTTGGCCCTCAGTTTCTCCGTCCCTGCGGTATTGCTCCCTCGACACGACGGTGCTATGCGCAAAATGCACCCCCTGTCGGTCCCCAAAACCTGAATCAAGATGGTCCTGAGGAGGAGGGTGAGAGGGAAAGGAGTCATAAAAATGAAGATCCCGGACCTTCTCTGAAAACTACCTTCTTAAAAATGTTGGAATCTGCAGCGACCATGTTTGCATCAATTGCTGTGCTTGGGTAAGAAGAAAGACTACCTTGGGTAACCCCCTAATGCAACTTCTCTCTTGAGCCGGATATCGTGACCTGACTATCGATTTACCCGTCCAGTGCTGCCGGATACTCTTATCACCGATACTATAAGTTTCTGGTCCTTGAAAAAATGGACAACGCATTCAACCCAGGCGATCCGGCCCTCGAAGTCGCCGGCGTAGCCCCTTCAACGGTTACCGATGACAGTGACACAGGCCACTGGATCGAACGCGAGGAGCAAAACAAAGTTGATCAGATAGTCAATGGCACCTCTCGAGGACGTTATTACCTTCTCATCGGCGAAAAGGGTACAGGGAAGACGTCCATGCTCCTCAGCGCCATGAGAAAAATTGATGGCGATGGTGTGGCTTTTTTTGAAGCCCATGCAGACCTCGAAATTTTCCGTATACGGCTTGGCAAGGCGTTGGACTTTGAGTTTCATGAAGAGTATGTATGAACGTAAAATAATTGTTAAACCTTTAAATAACCTTAAGGACGGTTGGTTTTCTTTACTAAGTGGATTCTCCTTTACAGCTATATTGGCAGTCTGTTTAGCATCAGAGGGCCACGAGACACCACCGCATTGCTAGATATTGAACGAGCTCTTAATAAGCTTGAGAAAGTCGCTCTTGCGCGACGGCGCAAAGGTGGAAAGCCTCTCATTTTAATTGTCAATAGTACCCATCTAGTCCGAGACGATGAGGATGGACGCGACCTGCTAGAAATGATCCAGCAGCGTGCTGAGCAATGGGCAGCAAGTAGCTTGGTTACAATGAGTAAGTAGTTATCCTGCTCCACCACGTACATAACTCCGTATATATTAAAAGGGAAATTTCCTCAGTTTTCAACAGTGATGACTACTGGGTGTATGAACGGTTAAAGCGTTACGGTACCCGAATGGAAATTATTCCTCTCCCAGATCTTCCCAAGGAGAAAGCAATGCTGGCCTTACGACAGTACCGGATAAAGTATTTCAACGAGACCTTGGACGATTCAATACTAGAAAAGGTATATCAGAAGGTTGGCGGACGACTGTCATTTTTGAACCGGGTGGCGAGGTCCAAGGATATGCTCCAAGCCTGTTCGACAATACTACAGGCGGAGAAGACATGGTTTCTCAACAAATGCTGGATATTGGGATCAGAAATGGATGACGATGTAATGGATGAACAGAAATACTCGGTATGAAATGCCTTGTCAATTCCCCATACAACGTTCTGACGGAGTGCGCTTTCATCTTCACATGTTTTCGTGCAACGTTCAATTGTCAACTCCTATTATTATTTTCTTTCTTGTGCTAAAATCTCCCCTAAGTCTGCTGCCATGGTCCTCGCCAAAGAGCTCGTCGACCGAGAAAAGGCAATGGAGACCTACGATCCCGAAAAAGGCCATATCCTACCGGAGATGCCTCTTCATGAGGCCCGACAAGTTATGACAAGAGCAGACTTTATCCAAAGTTACGATCACGACAACATATTTACCATCGACTCCAGAGGCATGGTTCGAGCCGACTCTGTTCCGATGCAAATCGCCTTCAGGGAGATATGTTTGGAACCAGGCTTTTCAGAGCACCTGGAAAATACCTTGAACAGAATCAGCGATATTGAAAGCTTGGGCAGGACCCGGGAGTTAACCATTAAAGACTTTTGGGATAATGGGTCGTTTAAGGCGATTATTCGTGATACTAAAGGCAGAGAGGCTGGGACTGTAGAAATAGGTGTGGTCAAACCGAAGGATGGGGATGATGATGACTAAAAGACGTTCAATCCCTTACATATGCAATGTTGGATGGATAGACTCCTTTCCTTTGTTTTTGAGGTAAGTATATGGCCAGATTCCCTGTTCTTATGTTTAAATTACTACTTTCATCAAAGAGCTGCAATTTTTCCATAGGCTATTATGAGTCTTAGACTGCGCTTAGCTTTTTTTGTATTCCCTCTTGATAGATTTACTTCGGGCGGATATCCGTTCGTTACTCTCTCTTCTAATTTTCTTCTCCCAAAGACCTCATACATGGAGAATATATATTAAAATTTTAAACGTCACGTTAACTCTTCTATACATAACCTTGATCAAGAAAGCAAGAAAAGAAACTCTGCGATCTTAAGGGTACCGCCTGGGCAGGACGGTTCTGCTGACCAATCAGCATTCGCCAAGCGCGACCCTCAGATTTTTAAACAAATCGTGACATCACAACATCCAAGGTGTGTTGAAACGTCAGACACGACACTTGAATACATAGATACCGAGATACGTCCATATGGCACCCACAAGGTGCCCAAGCACTGGGGACCTGAGCTTCTTCAGCTAGTTCATTTCGACATTGACAAAATAACAAACGCGCCAGTGCCCAACCTGTTGTTGCCCACCAATCCCTGTCGCCACTGTTTAACCATGCCGTCTCGAAAATCGACGACTACGAAATCAAGCCATGGGCGGAAAGGAAAACATACTCCCCATGAATCACTGCCCACAGGGTGGCACTTTCAAGCTCCCCGTTGGCTTCGCGCTCTGTGCCGGTACAGCAGCTTGGTGATATGCAGCTTGGCACTCAGCACTGGGCTATTCTCGCTAAGCTCACAGATTACACAGGGAGATTTGGCCTGGACGAGCAGGCAATACGATTCCTGGTGGGGGATCGGGGGACTGCTAGCATGGAGAACTGCTGAGTTAACAGTTGTCTGGCTATCAGGATATGACGGTCAGCGCCTGACACATGCAAATAATTCAGCGCGTTCATCATACAATTCAGATGCTAACTATTTAACGTGCACTCAGCCCGCGACGCTGCATCTTTCACTTACCTAACTCACCTGCCAACCTACGTCCTCCTTTACAGCTTCTACGGCATCCGTCCAACCACCCTAATGACAGTTGCCTTCATTACCCTCCTGTCGACCGCCATCCCATTCTTCGTCTTCCGCGGCCCCAGCCGCATACATCAAATGCACCCATTCATGGTTTTCCAGTGTTGCGATGGCCACACCACCCTTACCGCCATCAGCAGTACCAAAACTACCAAGGATGACATTAAACTCCGCCACCCCACAATCCTCGCAGACTGCCCAACAACCGTCTACACCACCCTTGTCGCCTCTGGCATCTACACTCTAATTCTCTACTCCAGCGTTGTAACCTGGCTCCCAACCTACCTCGTAACCTACTATGACGGGCTCCCCGATATACGCATCGCACACGCAGGGGCCAAAAGCTTCATCTCTCTCCTCGCCACCCTGCTACCCGCCGGCTACGCCCTGCGCGACTTTCTCTTCGTCAGCTCTGTCGGCGCAGAGCGGCTTGACGAGCAGCGTACAGAGGACTCTACAGTCGACCTTATAGGTCCGGGGAAGGAGGCGCGCGAGCAGGGTGATGAGGCACCCTCCGGTGAGTTGCTCGTCATGTCGGTATATCGCAAGTACTGGCTGGAGTTACCAGCGAAAACGCGCTCCCTGCTTTCGCGCACGATAGAATTGGCAGTGATGATTATGTTTAATACCGTGGTGCAAGTTGTGGGGACAATTAACGGGGCAGAGGTGGAAGGGGCAGTGGGATGGGGTTCGATTTGGACTCTTGCGACGTGTGTGACTGGGGTGATGTTCGGGTGGGTGGAGGCTGCAGATGGGTTATGAAATTGAAGTCGAAATTGGTCCTTACCCTTTTTTTTTTTTTAATTTCTTATGCTAATTGTTTCTTACCTTGCTGCTCTCCATTGCCCACTTTGCTTATTATGTTTCCCTCCTTTTCTCCTCATCATGCCCGGTCTATTCATATTACTTTGCGGGGGTGCTGGCAAGTCATTGCGCCTCCTTCATTTGATCTAGTGTTGGTTTTGAGCACTCATTATTTCTTCCCCGTTTTAATATGTTCCTTCTCCATGGGTTTAGTTTCCGCTTTCTTTCCTTTTAGTTTGTGATCGGAGTTTTCTCTCTATTTGTCTCCGCAGGTGGGGGAAAGCAAAAAAATAAGGTAAAGGGAGGGATGGGTAGATGAGGCGCTAGCTATTCAAGTTTATGCTCGTTCTAGTTTAAACAAAACAAAAAAGGGAAAAAAGAAAATCAAAAACATGAAAAAAAACAGAAACAGAAAGGAAACCAAAATGAAGAAGGAAAATGAAAAAAAGTGAAAAAAAGTAGTAGAAAAAGAAAAGAAAAGTGGTGCCCTACGAAGGGGTGTAATTAAGAAGTGGCCCATAGTTGAATGCAAGATACTCTTCCGGAATAAAGGACTTCAGTGGGGGGCCAAAGTAAAAAAAAAAAAAAAAAAAAAAAAAAAAAAAAAAAAAAAGGCCAAAGCTAATAAGCTCTATTTATTCCGTAGGTTTTATCAAGTTGCATTACTGATGTTTATACAACAAAATCTCAAAAAAGTGATTTGAAACCAGAACTCGAACCGAACCAAAACGGGAAATACGGACGGATACACAATGATAGAAGACAAAATGGAACGAATTAAAAGATAGAGCAGCAAATGGATAAGAGAACCAGGAATAAGACATAAGGTGAACAAACGAAGAAAGGAATGAAAAGTAGATATAATATAATAAAAAGAGGTTTACACATTAAAGACGGAAAAGGAGTATACCCGCGGGAACGGCGCTTATCATTCCTTGACTGGAGCCCTAAAGCTGTCGCAACAACCGAAGCGTAACAATGTAATCCATATTCATCCTTCCACAAGTTGCTTTCGGAGGGTCGTGACGAAAAGAAAAAAATGCCATCACCAATTAGCAAGCACACCCTTCCTTCGCAGTAGACGCCCCACGATCCCTTAAATTAATCCGTGCATCCTCCCCAGGCCTCCCACCTAGGCCATTATTACCCGCCCCCGCGCCGGCACCAACGCCCCTCGGTCCCTTCAGGTTCGTTTCCGGAATCGCATTGGCAATCGCAGTGAAGACCTCAAGCACGTTAGCGCCGGTCTTTGCGCTGGTTTCAAAGAACAAAAGCCCTTCTTCCTCCGCATACGAGCTTGCCTCGCGAGTAGAGATCTTTCGCGCATCGCCAGCCGCAGAATCCCGCAGGTCTCCCTCCTCACCTTCTTCACCATCTCGATCAGCAACAGAAGATTCACTGTCGCCACCCTCAGAAGCGTCCGGTCCTGGTGAACCAGTGGCGGATCGTCTACTGCCAGGAGACCAAGTTTGTGTGCCTGGTATTTTTGCCGCTCCTGCTGCGCTGGGATCTTCGTTTGTTAGATCGAGCTTGTTGCCCACGAGGGCAATGACGATACCTGGGCTGGCTTGTCGCTGGAGCTCGGCGACCCAATGCTTAGCCTTTATAAGGGAGGAAGGTTTGGTGAGGTCGTAGACGACAAGTGCGGCTTGGGCATTGCGGTAGTACATGGGGGCGAGGGAGGCGAAGCGTTCTTGTCCGGCTGTGTCCCATATTTCAAACTTGATAGTTCTGTTTGGGAGGGAGCATTTTTGAGTGAGGAATGCGGCTACAATTGATGATGTGGGTTGAATGTTACGTTAGTCCACGAGACATTGACTGGGTCACAAAAAATTTGGAGGAGTAAGATGTTCGCAAAAGGATAACGAGGACCCATACCTCCTATCGTTGGTTCTTTGTTTTCTTGGAAATCGTTATTTACAAATCGTAGGACGAGAGAAGACTGCAACAGACGTAAATCCATAAATTAGTAGAAGAATCTCAAAACCTATCATAAGAGTTCCCCCATGGTAGAGGCCCATATCTAATAGTATCTATCGGGTTTGATGGGATTCAACAAACCTTTCCAACAGCAGCTTCTCCCAGCAGAACGAGCTTCACGCTGCTGCTAGGTTTAGGACCAGCCCCCGCATCTGCCATAATGCCGTATCTCTCTGCTTTCCTTTTATAACAGCTCTTTTCTCAACGTCAAAATAAGATAAATGTATACGTATAGAATTAGTCGTAGTTTATTATTCGACCAGCCAACGCGGAGTTCGGATAGCTCCTGGGAATAAGTGATTATTCAAGAGCCTTTGATTATATATAGGCTTTCCTGTTCCTCTGTGCAAAGAGGCGAATGGAGAGTGTTCAAAATAGATGACGGAAGGACGTTGGCGCAACCTTTGGGGCCCAGGAGCTGTGGTTGTTCAGTTTGATGCCTGGGAACGCCCAGGCAGTCAAATTGTTGGAATTGGAGCTAGCGTTGTGCCCTCCACGCAAATGCAGCCTCGTGGGACAGAAAAAGCCAAGAAGGACAAGAGAAAAGCAGAAGAATAAATGTATCTTCCAGCGAAATCCACAAGGTTGGATGACTCTCCGTATGAGCTTTCGGCGTGGAAGAGGGTCTTCGTTTCCAAGGTTGGAGGAAAAGGTGGAGGTTGATGATGAGGCACCTTACTTAGTTAGGACTAGCCGCCACCACCCAAGGACAAAGTTATTACCTAATACGCCCACACTCACAACCGAACTACCGATCTCAGCCAAGGGATATTATCAACAACTGAGTCCTTCAAGATCAGCGAAGGTGGCCCAGACCCGACCCTTAATATTTGTGAGAAGTTCTCCGGAGAAAGAGGACAATCCTTGAATCGATGGTTAGCCAAGTTGGAATGGGAGCTTAGGAATTCCAGAGTTGGAGGAGTGGTATCAGCAGAAGAGCTCCTGCCAGCAAGCAACCTTCTGTGTGGAGCCGTATAGCTAACAATAACCGCATTCCATAAGATGGATCCTCTTCTATCTTCGTCATACAATTACACTTCGAACGACTTCGTAATAACTACTTCCCGGGTCAGCCTTACTCCCACAAAATAAGTATGCTTTTTACAGAGCAACTATCCCGTTTTTTAAGCGCTACTAGCAAATTATCATAGAACTTCTAACATTTCACTAGCTTAACGCTTCCGGCAACTAGAATGGAGAGCCGAGTGCAAGAGCTACTAGCTGGACTCGCAAGAGTGACATGACTGCGAGAAGAAGAAAGCACATTGCGAGAAGTTGCCGAAGCGCGGGCAAAGGAAAAAAAAATCCCGTCAGGAGGAGCAGTGATGATGTGAAGAAGTGAAGGCAAATTCAGAACCTACAACATTACCACACTTCCAAGCATCTGCATATGCTCGAGCATGAGTAGCATATCTATGATAAGCTCCCAGATCTCCAAGGTGAATGCATTCCAGTCTTTCTTGGTGTCGTCCAGCTGGCATTGAAAGAACCCTAATACTACGATGACGGAATCTACACTCACATTTCATTTTCTTCCTGAGTTGGGCAGGAGAAGCAATCTATAAACCATGCTACTCAGCCATACCACAGATGCGTCCTCCATGGTATACCGTGGCCTTCAACAAGCTATTCACTTGAAAGGCGTTCTCCATGGCGACGCGGAGTCGCGAAATATACTTTGGAACCCCACCTGCCAACATGTGATGATAGTTGATTTTGAATGAGCCATTAGCCAGAGAGCTCCGTCTCATGTGTCTGCTAACTCAGCAATAACAAAAAAAGAGGGCGTTGATGAAGACTTGTTTTTCAAGGGCACTGGGGCAGGGGAGAGCTCTCACCACCAACGCCATGCTGGTCGTAAAACCTCCCAATCCAATCCCTCCAACAGTTTTAGCAAAGAGCTCCAACGCATCGAGACTATGTTTGGGAGCAATACTGCATAGCACGAGACGCCTTCTGACTCTAGCAGTACCTCTTGTCACATCTCGGCTTCCGATAGCAATAGGTTGTGGAGTGGCAGTTGCGTAATCCGACATTCAGTACATCGGTTTTGCTCGACGAAAACCGATAATATCCTCTAAAGGGCTATCTGCACGACCAGATACAAGATTTGAAGAAATGATGGGCTCGTTGAACCAATGTAGCAATGACCCAGTGCTGTGATTAATGTGATATTTCCCTTTCCGAATTTCTACTCCACCACCTTGCACAATACATTGCCAACCACCACCTAATTCCGGCTTCATCTGGTCGTTCATTTGAGGTCTTTTTTATTATTTTTCATCTTTCTAAGAACTTTTTGAATTGCTAAATTTTATCTCACTATTTGTAGGACTACAAATGTATTGTCGCTCTTCTATATCCTTTCTTTCTCATCAGACTATAGAGGTGCCTGTATCTTTCCTATATGCTATTATCTGGAAGATAGTACAAGCAAGTTCAGACATCAGTCATGATGAAGAGTCAGCCGTATATACTCAACACTCAAGTGAGTGTATTTTATATTGAATACATGGATTTAACTAAATCAAATTTATTTATCGGCAACTCTACAATACTATACTGTTCAAAATAACAGAGTCAGTATTGTTACTAATAAGAAGAGAAAAATAGCATGTGAAAATAGCGAAAAAGAGAGCAGGAACTTATCCCAGTAATCTGCTTCTCAACAATCTCATTCATATATTTTCTACAACCCTTTTGCAGAGAAGCCCGAGGACTTTGTCCTCTACTCCGATAATATAATACCCCAGTGTAAAGGGACGTGACCCTCTATGCACCTGAATTAGCTGAATGTTCCTGGGCTGGGAACTTGTGCACAACAAACTCTTTGCTTGTATTAACACCATACAAGGACTCACCATAGGGCCTGCTTGCATATGAGTATATAGAAGAATAATACTAAATCTGCTTAATGATATCTATCTAACTCACTCAGTCGCCAGTTTGCATAGCCTCTCAGATTTTCACAGGCACGTTGCTTGCTTGTCCTGTGTCTATGAAGGCAATGATCTCCCCCACGCTACGGGAGAAAAAGCAAAGAGACTAAGATCGCACAATAAAAAGGAATTTTGAGATCGCTGACAAGGATCTTCTTTTGGTTATTTGTTCTCTTTGATTATTATGATTATTTCTTTTCTATTTAATTTTATTTAATTTTCTTACTTCGAAATGTGTCTTCCACCCTGAAGTAAGAAGAAAACCCTCAAGACATGAGAGAATTTGAGAGGTTTGAGAACTCCAGGGGGAGCCGTGATAAAACCTCGTTTGTTCCACATCCCACATCTCTCTCCCTCTCATTTCACATGTCTTAAAAGCACCGCAATTATATACCCAGACCCAGGTACGTAGGGGAGAGGTATACGTTTACCTGCATATATGCATGATCGCGTTTTTTCCTTTTGTTTTACAACATCCTGCCCGGGAGAACAAAATTAAAATAAACAGTAAGATGGGAACTTAAAAAAAAAAAGAAGAATCCCCGCTTTTTGATGGTGACACGACATGCTTTGGGACGAGATATATATGATTCGCTCATATATGCAGTTGCTCTAAAAATGGAAGATACAAGACCTAAGCGTAGAGCGACTGCAATAGGAGAAAGGAAAAACGTAGTTTAAAAACAGGCACGCCGTTGTAGGTCTGTCTCATTTGTTGTCAGGCAAGGCACAGTGGCAAACCCACGGAAAAAACAGAGGCTGTAGGGGTGTTTATCACCAAAACAATTGATTGGTCTATAGCTGCGAGAAGTGGTCCGTTCAATGGGCGGATCAAGAGGAGCAAGTTAGTGCAAGGCAGATATCCACGGCAAAAGCGGGAAAGCGATATCTGGACAGACTGCAATTTGAGAAGCAACACGAAAAGGGACATGGGTCCCGGTCAAAACCAATAGGAATAAGATAGGGTTTGGGCTGTGCTATGGAAAGCATCTCGCACACAAGAGGATGAAAACAGCAGGCCGGCTCCCATAGGCGGATGTTTGGAAAAACCCCAAGTAGACAAGTCAAGCAAATGGGAGGAACAGTGATACGTGTCTCGGAGAGTAAGCCATAAAAGGGGTGTAAGGGAAGCAGCCGATGAATAACAGATAGCACATGTACAGGACAAGTCAACAGAGCAAAGAAACGAATCAAGAGCTCCTCTTCAGAACTTGAATCCAGGAACGTACAGCACGCAGACTTTCACATGCAAAGTCCAAAAGTCAAAATACATCCACCATGAATTTTGACCAACGATGCGTAACTATGTCCCTGGCACCACCCTGATAATTAACTATGATTATTGGGTTATGTATGTTGTCAGGTCTAGCTGTCATTGATTAGCGCAAAAAAGAATGCGTTGCAAAAGTCAAAAACTGTGTTCGCCATAATAGAATAGTAGTTGTACACGCGAGATTGGTATAGATCTAAAAGGAGAAAACCAAAGCCCAATTAAAAACTAACATGACGAACAGGCTTAAAAGGAAAATATATAAAGGGGTATGAAACACAAAAAGAACGATAGGACCGCGAAGTCGAAAATCTAGGTCTTGTAGTATATCTCTCATAGCCGTAAGGAAAGTCTCCTGTCTATAATTTTTTTGGTAACGCCATAAAATCAAAACGAACAGTAAAAGAAATTAAGAAATAAAAAATAGGGAACAATATTAAAATGTAATTAGGGAAAATAAAAGGGAAAAAAAATTTAGTGTCGCGCTTTTGGGGACTCAAGGAAATGGAAGCGGAAATGTAGATTATTCCCACTGGTACATCGAAAAATTGCGGAAACGGGTATGCCGTACAAAACGCTAACAAGTTCGCAAATAAGGGGAATCGACGATAGCGAGAGGTATCAAAACGTCATAATGGTGGTGGTACAGACCGGTCTCCGGTTAATATTAGGAAAAATAGTATATTTGGTTGAATGTCAATCGTATGCTCTTGACCATGCACCGGTACTGTGCATGAAGAACGGAGAAGTCGAAAGTATTTTCTGATTTTTTTCATTTTGGAATGGGTGGGTTGTTCGATGGTAATGAGGCTTGGTAGAGGATGAAACGATGAGATAGAGGTGAATTTTCTCCATCAAATATTTGTACGTATGCCGCCTGGAGTATACCCTGATTGGGCACTCACGGAGGTGGTAGGTTATGCCGTTGGCTCCATACATCGCATCCTTTGATGCCAAATTGGCAGGTCATCGCGGTTTCGGGGGAGGTTGCGGCTTAGGCACGCCAGTTGTGTCATATGCTCCTCTTCCCATGTTTGTTGTTGACAAGTCCCTGAGGATCATAGGCAAAATCTATATTAAGCTGTGGAGGTGGTCAGCTAAATGGCTAAGTCACATTCGAATGTTGTCCTCGGTTGATTTTCTTTTCGATATTTTTTCCTCGTTTCTTTAACAAAAAAAATAACAAGAGTGAAAACAAAAACAAAAATAAAAAATAACAACAATAAAGAGTAAACAGTTGAAAACTAATGGGTGGGCAGCTCGCATTGCCGGCTATATATACATAACCGAGAGCAACAAAGAAAAGTTGCCAACGGCTCACTCAAACGAATAGCTCCCTGCATTAAAGAAAGAAAAGTAGGGATTGCCAACTCACGCTATGAAAATGCACAGCTAACCACCCAGGTCTAATCGAGGCTTGTCGGAATCACAACCACGGCTGAGCAAGTCCAACAAGGGTATTGATTCACGCAAGGTAAGAATGCAACAATTGGCAGCGTCGTCCAACGTCGTATGTCCACAATAAGTTCCAGCGGTCAAATAGGGCAACTTTTAGAGGGAGGGAAGAGACAGAACAGGCAGAATGCGCTCGAATGAGTCAATAGCGGATGTGTGGTATTTTGCGCCTTCGGAAATGAACGAGAGAGTCCGTGTTCTGATAGCAGGATAGAGGTCGTGCGACAAGAGGAAAAGGAGGTCAAACCGAGGCAAGGCAGTAAGATAAATGGAAGTCGATTTTAAGCAGCGTTATTAAAGATTGTGGGTTTAACAGCCAAAGGGCGAGAGAGAGAGAGAGAGAGAGAGAGAGAGAGAGAGATAGGGATGAGGAGAGCAACGGCCTTAGCGCCTGGAGAGGAGGAGAAGGGATGAAGGAAAAAAAGAATGAAAAGGGAAAAAAATAAAACCCAAGGAAGCCCAGGCGAGACGCTGGGAGGTCCGCCGCATATTAATATGAACAGAGCTACTCCGTACCAGGGCAGGTAATAAAATTGGAATGGATGGACCGTCCTAGGCCACGGAACGGAGTACAGAAAACGATCTTCGCCAGGCCCCTTTTCTTGGTTAGAGCTCATTTTTCCAAATTGCTGGGGAAGAAGCAACGAAGGTGGATACCCTTCAATACGGCAGTAACAGAAAATCTCGTCTTTTTTCGTCATCAGCAGCGCTATTAGCAGCCATGCTAACTAGCTGGCCTCAGTACTAGTATTATTGCTATTTTTGCAAAACGCAAGCAGCTCCCGTATCATGATTACATCCTGGCCTGTTCTCCTTCTCCACAACGCGTCCCGTCAGACTGGCACAGCTAGCATCCGAGTCACAAATCTGTGTGTCCTGAAACGAACGACAATCAGACGACATCAGTTCTTTTCGATATTCTTTGTAAGTTGTTGGTAGAAAAGGCAATAGAGGGATTCCAGCTCTCTATATCAATATTCTCTCTTTTTTTTTTTTTTTTTTTTTTTTTGGGTTAAACCCACATTTCCCCTTTGTGAAAATGGATAAGCCACCAGAAAATATATCCTGGGCTCTTCGCAAGTTTAACAGGATTTTTTTTATTTCATTTTTTATTCGTTTTTTTTAGTAGCTCTTAAAATGAACTTAAACCCGAGTCGGAAAAAGAAAGAAATGAAAGTGGATACATTCTAACTAAAATACCTGAGGCGAGCAGTTGTGGCTAACCTTAGCCCCCATTGAATCCTGGTATGGATGCTGGCGATGGAACAGTGGGAAGTCCAGGATTTAGCTTCTTGTCTTCCGCCAGGTACTCCGTAAGGCCTAAACTAGGCGTTTTTAGGGGGCTTCGGAAGACCCAGTGTCTCTCATAAGCTCTGGCTCGGCTGGTAGCCGCCTGATTGCTCCCCTGGACTTCTTTTCTCCTTCGATCTACCTGCGCAATGGGACGAATCAATCTTCTTCAGTCCTTTCCACCGAGCCTCCAAGTTCATTCCTTCACACACCACGTCGGTACTCTGCCTCTGGTAGGACAGACGGTGATGTCCCTTCTAACGCTTAGCGTGTGTGCCTGGGCTAGCTCTGAAACAAGAAAGGGCGTCTAATCATGGCTGATTAGTGGCACCGATCTTTAGATGGTCCATGTGGAAAAAGTGATACGTTGCCGAAAAGCGCTGTGATCAAATTGGCCCGGATGGCATTTCCATAAATATGACTCGTTGTACAGTCCGCTATCGGTCTCGAGACTTACAAAAAGGACAGTTGGATTTTCCTCATGTTTGAATGGAGTGGTGATTGGTGAGCAAGACGCGCCTGATGGACAGGAAAGAAGTGATAGATCATGCTAAATATTCACAGAAAAGGAAATGAGCAGAATGATATCAGATATTTTAGAGCAACTAAACCGCTTAGCAGGGGTTGTGTCCAGGAAAGAGCATTCAATAATGAGGAACAGGATAGGCCTCAACCAACTTTTCTCTCACCAACCCGGGTGGTTGGCTTGAGTCTGGATGAATCCAACAGCTATTCCCAGCCTACTTCGGCAGATAGGCAACAATCTGAGAACTGAACTCAACATGTATTGACTTTCTTTAGGTAGTTCCCTTGCAGTGACACTAACGAAAAGAATGCCTATGCATTTACAGATACAATCTCTATGAATTACTGGATAAAATGCCGACTCCTTGTGCACCTCAATTTGACTTAAAAGATTACTTCAGATGGTAACTTCAAATTGAGAACACAAACAAGGACTGACAGCCCCTCTGGTGCATATTGGGAATGTTCGGCTCCTAGCAACGAAGGAGAGGCGTTGAATGTCTGTTTACCTGGTTGGGAATGTGAGTTGCAAAAGTTGAGGGGAAGAGAAGTACATGCGTATGGCGAATAAAAACTGTGAAGCGGAATATTTCTCAAACCAGCGTTCCACCATCCCCGACTGGCTTGTTTGGTGCCATGGGGAAGTGTCTGTTGCCTTTTGACCCCTGTGCCCGTTTCACCCTAAGAAATGGAAGTTGCTTAGCGAGCGTAACGCGACCACACCACACAGATTGCCAAAGGAGAATAATGACGATGATGATGACGGCGGTTGCTGGTGACGACGAAATCCATCGAAGACTGACAAGGGGTGAGATGTGGTTGCATAGCAATATTGTAAGAAAATAAAAGAAATATATGTCTCTCGAGCAGGGCAGCAAGGGCAACAAACAACGATGAAATTATACAAGAGACAGAGGACTCCGAAGGTTCATGCATACTTTTAAACTTTCAACTGACAAAGAGGCTTGCTAAGGCCCTGTGATCCAACCGCGTAACTCATTACCATCAACCCTCTCCTTTGTTCACCTCGCCGCCTGTCTGAAGTATCTGACCAACCCCTCCGTCAACCCGGACGGCAGAGGCGTCAGACACCCACACTCATTTCAGTCACAATTGGTTGCTTTCAAGGTTTAGTGAATATAATGTCCTTGTCAAATAACACACGCTCCTTCAAGAGTAAAAGTCTCAATCTTCTCTGTTTGCGGAGCAAGCACCAAGGAAGCAAAAAAAAAATGATAAAAAGTTGCACGAAATCAAAATAAAACAATTTCTATTTTGTGGTCTTCCACGTGGCACATGCATGGATCGTATGGGGCAGACGATGAATGGGCTGTAGTGTGTCTGGAAGCTACATGTAACTCTGATGAGGTGATAATAATATTGTAAATCGATGGATATGGATATGCATCCACATCCCTAAGCGACTTCGGCAGTATTCTGGCCCTCTCTCTTCTTCTCTTAGCGGGGACTTTGAGCTCTCCATATTTATCATGATGGATGGTGATGGCTGGCTGCTGTTGCCGGTTGTACACGTTTGAAAAATAAAAAGAATAAAAATAAAAAAAAAGCAGCTCGGTCATCGTCCTCCAACATGAAAACTAATACAACCGGGACCAATACAACTGGGACCAGGGCCGGTTCACAGATGGCAACGTGAGAACGATGAGACCCGGTTCGCCAACTCCGATCAAGAGAAAAAGGCGTCACCTAAGAAAGCCACGCTTACCCACACTCCGGGAGAGCTCTGACTCAACCCGGTTCTCGAACGAGTCATTATTCTAAATCTATCACCTTGGAAGTTAGGCTGTGATGCGCTCCTCAACGAGACGCCGTTTGTTTTACTTATCAGCCCTTTTCTTACCACCGCAGCCAGCGAGAGGACACAGTGAGAATGATCTACATACATCCATCGTAGCAGTTCTCACAAAAGCAAAAAAACTCAAAAAATTTTTCAATTCGTTGGATGGCGGATGCGGCTTAGGCAGCTTTCCATTTGCTCGGGAGAGAATAATTATGGAGGCTGGATGGGGTCGCACCATTGCCCACTTCCACGTTGCACCTTGATCCATCATCCATGGAAATGATCCATAAAGCCAGCCGAGAAACCCACAGGAGACGCGCTAAGATGGTGGGGCCAGAGAGAGCACACTCCGTTGAAAGCTAGAAGAGCGCTAGAATCTTTCTAGACAGCTCTCGAGGTCTTGGTTGGAATGTTGAGAATCCATGCTGGTTCTGATTGGTTTTTCTTCTTCCCTTTCTTTTTCCTTTTATTGCTTTTTCATTCCGTGAAAATTTCTGGCCCGTCGTTCGTGTTGGTTTTGCTGTTCAGACACAGCTTGTGCATGCAGGCCAATTGAGAATAATAACAATCGTCCCAACTTTAAATAGGTAAAGGAGTTATTTTGTCTTCGTTTTGGGGGTTTCATTACCTGCCAATCGCAAATAAAAATGGAAAGAGAATATAGCTGCTGTTGGGCAAAAATCAAGAGAAAGATGCTCCATCGGATAACTCTAAGCGGGCATCTCCACGGCGCCCCCAACCTTTTTTCCCCTGTTCGTTTCCTTGGATCTAGGTCCGCGGCCCGCTGGTGCATCCATGGGTGTGTTGAGAGCTTTTTTCCCGCATGTGGTCAGCAGGGAACAACAGGGCTGGCTGGGGGATCCTTTTGCTCCGGGTTACCCCTTTCGCTTACTAGTAGTCCGTACTTCGCCATACGAGAGGGGTCTGACATTCCTCCTTTCAAAGCCCGAAGGAAGTAGACTCTCAAGCGGTGGCTTCAATGAACTTCGTCCTGACTTCCCATTTCCTCTTTTCTTGACATCATATGAAGTCTTAGACTGCATGATCTCCATCATTGCATACGGGCGTCTGCTCTTCTGGCCCGTTTCTGAATTTAACTGCAGGGTTGAGCTTGGAGCCTGGAGTATGCTCGCCGCATTTCTACCAAGTACCGGCAGGGCCTGGTCAGCCTCGCAGCGAGTGGGAGCGATACGAGCCTCCAGACGCGAGCGCCACCATAAGCACGATTATCGAAGCCAGGTCCAGACACCGCATTCCTTTTGCCACGATCTCGATGTCTTTTTACGCCTCTCAGTACCAAGCGCGTGGAATTGGGAAAGTGGCGGAAACGACTGAGATCAAAGCTTTCGAACAAAAATAATGGGATGAGCAAGGACTTCATACTCTCACGGGCGCTTCCGAGAATCTCCATACCCCGCTAGTCTACAACTCAACGACAATACCCGCTTCCTACAAGTGAAGCACCAAGTCAACTGGCGGGGCAAATAAAAAGACGATCATGGGAAAATCTTGCTTTTGTTGCTTTTGTCTGCTGCCGGAGGCGTGTTGATCACATTGCATGACCATCGATATCTGGCAACTTCATTCAGCAGTTGCATGTGGCAATTTTTGATGAATACTACGCAATAAGTACGAGTTAAGAATCAAAAGACGCCTCAGGAAATTTGCTGCCGAAACTTTTCCACGCCAATCAAGAAAACGAGAGGATCAAAGCCTGTTGCCATGGTTTCAGGAGGAAATAAAGGCGAAGAAAATTTTCACAACCTTGTCGATCAACGAAAAAAAGGCCAGTCACATGACCTAATATACTCAAGGTTCTCCTTCCATTTATTTCAGAATGATTCCGTGGTTGTTCGAGAATTCCTTGTACCTTACGAGGTCCAATGAGGCTTAAAGCAGTTCGGTACGCTTGTGCGCAGCCGCGGACCAATTTCCGAGAGCGAGAGACGCCTTTGCACACAACACTCAGCCAATAATTGGACGGAGTTTTTCTCACTGGACAAAAATGCCTTGATTTCTTGACAGGGGGGGGGGGGAAGCATTAGTTGTTGGAAACCAGTTTCATGCGCCTAGTTACTAACCCCTTTCAAAGTGTTATATAAATCAACCATCAGGTACTTAAGTTAAAAGAGCGGCCTGCGAGCACACCCAGAACAACAGACAATTTGCCATCGTTCCTTGACGGTCTTCCACCACAAGGAGGAATCGCAGAAAAAGCAGAAGAAAGCGAAAGAAAAATCAAAAGGGACAGTTCATTCCCCCAAAGGAAAGGATCCGCGCAACTTTTTTTTTCCTCCCTTTTTTTTTTTTTTTTTTTTTTTTTTTGCGCGATACCGCTATCGATGAGGAACTCAGGTAATGTTTTGCAAAAATAAGTTTTTTGTACGGGAAAGGACGTTACACATAAGGATACAGGCTTGAACGAAAGGTTCCAAATCTACATTCATGTGCATCCCACGTTACTGAGACCAGACGATGGAAACATCATCTCCAAGTTCCCACTGTTTCTGTGCCTCTCGTAATGAGGTTTTTTTTTTTTTTTTAAAAAAAAAAAAAAACCTTTCGCCGAATCGCTTTTCACACGGATAACATCAAACTGAATTCGCAGAAGGCTGAGCTCAATCGCAACTGGCAACTAACTAGGGGACGCTATTATCAACTATGATATTAGCTCCACCCGATTCCGTCCCCTGGACCGCGGAATCGGGCCCGGGAGCTGCCATCGTTGTCACCAACCTAGCAAATCATCAAAATTGTTTGATCTGTACATTCTTCGGATTGTTATTGGCTTTGTAGTGCAGACAGACCTAACTAACCATGTGGTATCGCGATTCCTTTTTGCTTTTCTTTTCTTCATATCTTCTATACCAGACTAGGAAGGAGGAATGGCATCCCAGGGCTACTGCGGATTACGTTCCCCATGTGTTTCCAAAGCGCTCAATTACGCCCTTTTTTCTTCTTTTCCCACTACCCTCCTTCATTCGTTCCCGATTGCCGACGGAAATCGAGCTCTCCTCCATTCTAATAACCGCCCCTTTGTTCCGCTCTTGGCTCAAGTGCGTAGTCAGCGGGAGTGATTTAACCCGCTGCGATGAGCCAATCGCCCGGGTTCGAGGCTCCAACGCCCTCCACCTCATGGTTGGCTGTGGAACCGCTCTCTCCCGCTCAACCGGCGTGCCGGACGGGCGTTGCTGGTGGTGGGGAACTTGCTATATTTTCTTTTCTTTTCTTGTGGTTAAGTGGAAGAGGGGAAAACTCAAGATGTGATTGAGCCATGCAGACACACATACTTTTTGATAATCACACACCTACTAAAGTCTAAAGGGGATCCGGTTGAGAGCATCTATTTTTGTCGACGAATGAGTCTGGGAATCCCATTAAAGAGAGCTTCAGGAACAGTGTCCTTTTGTTTGCTTAGGGCCAGCCTTCAATCGGGCACTGAAGAATGCTGTGTTGCCCGGGTGGAGGATGAAGAATGTTGGAGCCTCTTGCTCGGTGACGATGATTCGGTAGACGGAGAATGCTAATGGCTATGAGTATTGGTCATATTTGCTTCTCCTCTATGTGCTATGTACTCTACGCTCTACAAAGAGAGTGGATATAATATTCCTGGTTTTCCATACGTTAAGTAAATGGAAAAACAACTACTCCGTAATTACTAAGTTATTGCGTAACACTATAAATTAGTTAGGAACGGTGTGACGACCAAAAGTAGGCGTGTCTGTATAAATCCCACAGATGTCAAAATGTGTCCACCAGTAAGCTGTGTTGATGCCTGCATTTTCCCTCCTCAAATACGCCGCCTAGCGCTTGCAGTCGAAAAACTTGCGAGGGGGGTTCGTTGGTGGGAGTCAATTTTTCAATTTGAGTGGAAAAAGTGGACGTTGAAAAGAAAAAATATAAAATATATATATAGCAAGTTGAAGTTGAGGCAGATAGCGAAACCCCACGCATACGATTCAGCCTTGTGCAAGAAAAAACCCTCCATATCCTCCTCGTCCTGGTTGGAAAATTGATATTCCCTTCTCGATCAATTCCTGAATCATATGCGCCCACGCGTTGAGTACCCACGTCCATCGTCAATCAGATATGAGAACTGAGACACGTTATGTTGAAATCACGCTCTGGATTCTGGAAAGAGAGTGGTGGTGGGGGGGAATTGAATTGCAAGCTACGGGATACCAGCTGTGTTCCGAATGGCTGTGCTGCATGGCCGGGTGGGATCGAAATCTAGCTGAAACTTCTCGCCGCAGGACAGCCACCCGTTAGAATGAACCATTGGTCTTTGTCGACGATGGAAAACTGAAGATGTCTGTTTATTTCTTGGCTAGCGGATCGTGGCAATGATCGAGCCTCAAGACTCGAGCTTTGACCGCCGACTGGATGTTGAGGCGTGTGCTCGCCTGTAATTTTGATCCTTCTCGCATTTCGTCAGCATGGTGGTGAACATATTAGGTTTGACACTGAGGAATCCGTCTCCACGGACACAGGTCGAGACTACTGCAAGCCGCGACATGCCCGTTCTCCACTTGTGGAAGTGGAAGGGCAAAGAAACAGCCTGTGAGCAAGGTAATTGGCAACTGGACTGCATTGCCGTTGATGCATTAGAGTGCGTTTAGCTGATCATGTCTGCAGAGCCAGACCTGGCCTTGAACCCGCTAGCCCAACCCGTAACCCCAACAGAGAAATTGGACCGATTGACGAGCATCTAAACGTACCAAGCGAGAAAGAGAATCGAGATGAGTGGTAACGAGAGGTTCGAATCTCAGTCATGAAGCACTTTAACGTTTCTTACTCCGGGACAATCAACGATCGACATTGATGTGCCAATGGATGAAAATATTTTTCAAGTATTATTGTCCGGATAATGTCTTGGAGATTTGTGAAGGGAAGCATCGGAGATCAGCAGACGTCTACCTCGCCGAACGACTTTGCGGGAAGAAGAGCAAAGGAACAATAGTGTTGATGATCTGGTTCGTTTGTTTCCTCAAAGGCTGGCGTGTTATGGCTCGGGTTGCTAGGACACCAGTTGATCACAGGCGCTGACGGATATATCCTTATGTCCACCTTCCAGGACCGATGGATTAAAGGTATGGCCCTTCCCTTCTCTTGCGATAATCTATTCGACTTTTTTGTTGCTGTTATTATTATTCTAATTCCTGAGAAGTCTCTTCAGCATTTTTATTTGTAATTCTGAAACGTGTTGGTCAAGATTTCAATACAGACCATGTTTTGCAAATTTATTTTACCCAGCGGCCAAACTGCTTCACATTGGGTGTGGGTGCCATTTCTTTGAATATGTATCATCCATAACTGACAATTTGAATGGGAAATCCCACCATTCGCCATTCATTACTCCCCTCAACACAAAGAGACCTGGTTTCGGCAGGGATCAAGTGCTCTACGGCGTAAGCAGCCAACCACTTTGTTAATCCAGTATCCGCATACGGAGTACATTTGTCCAGTTAGCCTGTGTGTCCTTGACTCTACTAAGAATTGAAAATCCCTGGACAGGCCCTACGCTGAAAAATGAGCTGTGCCGCTTGTTCAACAGCTACACCTACAATACCAGGTCTGTTTGGGCACAGGGTATGGGTATTCATCCTTCATTATTACCCCAAATTGCTTGTCCGCCTTGCCGCCCTCTGTGACCAAGGAGTACGTTGTACCAATCGGGGCTCTGCAGGTTTAACAAACGAGACGCGATCCCTAGGATGGATCGCCAACGGCGTGAAAGAAAGAAAAGAACATACGATCCATGCTCCCAACCGTCGGATATAAAACTTCACACCACTTTCCTTTATGTTTTATTCTGGGTCATTCTAAGCTTTGCATGTTCATGATAACACGTCCAGAACGGCTCTTTATTCCCCATGGGGAGCCAAGGCAAGACCCCAGACAAGACAAAGAAAGTTTAAAATGCTTCCAAGTTGTCTCTTGCAAGACCTTTCTGGGGTAAATTGCGTCTTAAACCGTCAATTAATTTTTACCTAGGTATTTTTGCGTCTGCCGGTTCGCCAGTATCGATTTATACAGAGTATAGCGCATACACATTGACCATCCATTCTCCTAAATTTGATAACAACACCTACTACAACAGCCGGGATCGTCATCTATCCAAACAAGGTCTTTGGATAGTTTCTGTAATCCCGGCTTCAACCTCTCTTTCAGTCATTCTCCAACTACTCTATCTATGAGATTAGCGCTTACCCGATCCCTTCCCGCTACAGCTTACCTACTTCAACAGATTGATACACCCAGCTCAACTACGGCCATTCTCCCATTCCATCTATGAGATCCGCCCCGGCGAAATCCTTCCCAGGTGCCGCCTACTGATACTGATGACGCTAGCTACCCAGATCAACTGCTTCCATTTCCCTCGGGGTCCATCTGCAGTTACCCCTCCCCTAACTTTTAGCAAACTGAGCAATCAAGCCTTCATTGCCTGTATCCGTTTGGCGCGCATCATCGATGAGTTGATATATTTTCAAATAGTAATTACAGTTTTACCATGAATCGAAAACCATATTGGCAATAATGCTAGACCTCTCTGTTTACGATGGATGGTATTTTCTTCCAGGAGCCCCCAATGAGTGTCCTGTACTATCTTATCCATCTTGTGTAAACCTCTAATACAAATACTCATAGATTTCACCAAGGATGCTATCGCTGGCTCATATGCTGTATTGCCACCTCCATTGCGACTTATCATCCTTGATGAAGAGATCAAGCCAAGCCAAGACCCTCATTTTCCTCTCTGTTAGGGTCTCTCCTTAAGTATAGCGCTCGAATGGTGGGTTTCTTCAGTTGCGAAGTGGGCATCAGGATAACGTCGTATTTGAATGACTACGGGCTTCATTCCGGCGAGGAAATGATTGACAAGCGAGCATTGTTCGGGCAAGTTGAAGAGAGACTCAGTGGTGGAGTTTATCACTTGGTTCATCATCGCTTGCTCAATGGAATTTGAATCCGTTGCAGCCTTCTGAAGAATCCACCCACCGTCCATGAGTGTCCGTAAGACTCTGTCAATGTCTTGATAGAGGGTCTAGTATGCGACCAGATTTGATCGAAGCATTGTCCACGTTGACCTTAGCCTAATTGAAGCAAGCGACGCACTGAAGGCTAAAAATGCGAGAAGATGTTTTAGTCACATCTTGAGATCGTGGGATTTACGCAACCGAATCCAGGCACTTAAGTCACTTGATTGCACAATGGGAGACTGCATACGAGCAAGCAATCAGAAGCGCAAAAAAAAAAAAAAAAAAAAAAAAAAAAAAAAAAAAAAAAAAAAAAAAAACTTTCCCCTTGGGTCTTGTTTTCTTTATCTCTCAAAAATGACAAGTCAACTATATGTGTGGTTCAATATTGTCAAAGCGGGCTGGATTACCTGGTCAGGATGTGCTTGATGCACGTTCCATCCCTTCCCCGGACTTCTAAGCGACACTCCTATTCATTCAAAGTAAAACAATGGATTTCCTTCCTACATGAGAAAAAGGAAAACCAAGAAAAAAATTTAAAATCTATCGATGAAACTTTTTTCCCCCTTCAAAACAAAAACAAACAAAGACTCTCAATAATGAGGATATACGGCATACATCGTGCAGGACCAACCAAACAGCTGTTGGTGATGAAAACAAGGCAATGTTCTTGGCCGAACCGTTACTCTATCGGAGTCTTTACGGCCTGGACTGATGACCCAGAGATCCATGTGGTCGAAGCCATTTGCTGATCATGGATTTGATTAAGACTTGGTAAAGGGATATTCCACAACATGGTTGATATTGCCTGCTGCTACTGGAAACTGAGGAATGAGCCAAGCCAAACATTGAAAACGATGCGAGGGGCGTTATTGATGCTCCGGTCGAGATGCAAATAAGTATCATATCTGAATAAGATCAATCACACCGTGGCTGGATGGCCTCAGGTGAGTTTAGCAATTGTCGACGGGTTAAATCTGGAACTGAATTCTCTGAGATTTAACTGCGGGCGCTTTTGAATTTCATCGAAAGGCTGACTGAATGGTATCTTGGAAAGGGGAATTGACAGGGTCCCTGATGAAGGGCAGTCTGACACGGGCCCATTCAGCGGAGGACATTAAGAATTGGAATTTTAGGAATGAAGAGGAAGGGGTATTTTCCGACCCATATAATTTTGCCTTCTCCTAAATGACATTGACGGAATTGGAAACAACCAGGATCTTCAGGGTTGTGAATTGGCGCAGCTATACGCCATTTCAAACTATGCCCGCAAAATCTGTCAGTTATTTGATGCATATCGGGGAAATGGGTGGTATGATAGAAGGGATAAGTAAAAAGCGACTACCACAACTAAGACAAATCAACAAATATGGGGATATTCCGCTCTGCTCACCTCCTCATCGGTTTGGCAAATGAGTACCCGAGGCTTTTTTGCAGTGCACTGTCGGCTCTCCATCTTTTGTGAAACATCTGTCACTGCACACCCATCCGCGAGTCCCTTACTGTTCGCTTCCGGGCCAATTGCAAAGCCCAAGCACCTACACTTCTCTACCACCTTTTCCCGCAAAAGGGCGCTCTTCTCACCAATCCCACCGGCAAAGACGAGGGCATCAACGTGACCATCGAGCTTCACAACGTAGTTTCCGATGAAGCCGACGATGCGGTCGACGAATATTTGAAAGGCGAGTCGGTGTTGGTTCGTTGCGGGCGTTTCAGTGGCTATCTGAGAGAAGTTGGTGGTTCCCGCAAGACTCTTCCACCCAGATTCGTTGTTAAGGATTCGTTCAGCCTGATCCGACGGAGAACATGGTTAGCTTCCCATGTCTGGTGAAGCGAGGGCAGGGGCCAAGGCCATGAGCCAGTGGTTTTATATCCATGATCTGGTGCCAGTATAATGGAGAGGGAGGAAGGGCTTATCTGAGGTTAACGGCGTACGGGTAGGCATACAGTGCTAATGTGCATATCTTTCGTGCTCTCAGGGCTCAATTTGCCTGCTTCGGATGTATAATGAAAAACAAGGCTGTGGATGTTGTTAGCAAGATTGATTAGGAGCAGGCTATCATTACGATAATTTATACCTCGGGTCAACGTCTCCGCTTCTCGTTGCCCCTGGAAGCCCGGCCAAGGGTGTCAATCCCATCCTAATCAACACAACTTGTTAGTCGACAACGAGCCAGGGCCGAAAGCACGGCTGTCAAGTTGATATGCATTCATGTGGATGAGACACATACGATGTATCAATCGATTTTCCAGCCCGAATAGCGCAAACGGACGCACCACTACCCAGATGAAGCGCCACGATATTTGTCGACTCAATCGGCTGTTTTAGGAACTCTGCAACCGATCGTGTGATGAACGAGTAGCTAATGCCATGGAATCCGTACTTGCGTAGCCAGTTCTTTTTGGCATTTTCAGGACTGATAGGGTACGTCTTGACGTAGTCCGGCATTGACTGGTGGAAGGTGGAGTCAAAATATGCCACCGTTTTCGCCATTGGGATTTCATTGAGACAGGTGTCGATTATATCCAGTGCGACAGTATTGTGCCTGTTTGATTTCCCATGGTTAGCATGGCCATTTTTCTTTAATATGGACAAGTTAGTAGAGGTAGGTTAAATCTATCTCATGTATCCATTTATCTCCTCAGACATACAACGGCGCAAGCTCCTTCAATGCCTGCAAATAATTATATGCACCCGCCGTTAAAACAGCTTCCTTTTCGAAGTCACCTCCGTGCACGACTCGATGGCATATATATGCGAAGTCATCCTTACTGGCAACCTCTTGCAGGTCCGGGTCGTTCAAGAAGTGGTGCAGAAGATACTTGAACGCCTCTTGAGGGCTTGAGATGCGCCCCTGGATCTCCTCTTTCTTCTCCTTGTTAAGTCCTTGAGAATGCTTGAAAATGCATGGAGGTGTGGTAATTCCTGCGACCTGCGCCCAGGCGAGTTTTATCGGCGGTTTCTCTGCTTTGTAGATGGAGACTTTGACGGATGAGGACCCAGCATTTATCGAGAGGATTGATTGGGCCATAATTGAGGTCGTTATGCACGAAACATGAATCTATGTAATGGTCACACTAAACTCATGGAGAATCACCATTTATCCAGCTTTATTGCTAATTTACACTCTATCCCGGTGCCTCAGGTGATTTTTTGATTTAATTTCCGCCTATTTCATTCTTATCCGACTCCCTGGTTAAAGCTATGACATACACGAACCGGTTTTTGGGAGCCAACCTCTAGTGACGTAGCCAGCATGGCTTTTTATCAACGACGCAAATGTATACCTAGAAACTAGGATAAATAAAAACTGTCGGTGTTCAAACGAGCGTGGGAATTGCTCATTAATTTCGATGTGTCCTACGTCCGGAAATAGCTACAATTAATCTATACGGAGATATCAATACGGCCTCCTTGATCCGTCTAATATAGTTCCGTTGCTGCATTTCTATATTTTCCTCTGGACAATTCTGGAAAACAAATAGAAAAATATGCCTGGGGAAATCATCGATAAACCCAATCCAAAACCGCTTCCGTCTCACCTACCTGAGGTAATAGACCAACTGGCCGTTCGGCTAGCAAGGACATCGCTAGACCAGAATGTCGTTGATTCTCTGCAGAGATTCCAGCGTGCGGCGAACTATATTGCTGCCGGTAAGCTCCTTATACATTCTTTTGATATGATCTTTTCATATTATGTGCTGATATCCCGATATAGCTATGATATTCCTGCAGGACAATGCATGCCTAAAGCGAGAGTTGAAATTTGACGATATTAAACCGAGATTATTGGGTGCGTTTTTGATTCATGCTCTTTTGCAAGCAATTATACTCTGGCTTACAAATACATGAAAAGGCCATTGGGGAACCTGCCCAGGGCTGACCTTCGTCTATTCCCACCTGAATTACTTGATTTGCAAGCATGACCTTGACATGATATATGTTGTGGGACCGGGTCATGGCGCACCAGGAATCCTAGCTGCGCTCTGGATGGAAGGTTCTCTGGAGAAATTCTATCCAGGATATAGTCGAGACACGAAAGGCCTTACGAAGCTGATCACTACGTTCAGTACCACGGGTGGATTTCCAAGGTTGGGGATATCTCTGTCTATCTGAAAATTCCTTGATGCCGTTTGATTGTGCGGCGACGTTGACATTTCCGACAGTCATATCAACGCCGAAACTCCAGGTGCAATCCACGAAGGCGGCGAATTGGGATATGCTCTATCCGTTTCGTTTGGGGCGGTCATGGACAAGTCAGATTTGATAGTCATATGCATTATCGGTGATGGCGAAGCAGAATCTGGGCCGACAGCAGCGTCAGTGGAATGGCTTATGACCCCAGATGAAGACGAGAAACTGATTTTACCCTGAAAGGTCCTGGCACGGATTCAAATATATTGACCCTGCAGAATCGGGGGCGGTGCTGCCCATTCTCCACCTCAATGGATTTAAAATCAGTGAACGAACCATATTCGGTTGTATGGATGATCGCGAACTCATCGCTTTGTTCGTGGGATACGGTTATCAACCACGAATCATCGACGATTTGGAGCATGTTAACGTCGATTTTCATGGAGCACTAGAATGGGCGTTGGAGGAAATCCGCAAAATACAACAGGCTGCTCGCTCCGGAAACCCGATTATGAAACCGCGTTGGCCTATTTTGATTTTGCGAACGCCTAAGGTTAGTGCCCAAATGGCAATACACTATGTCTTGTCGATGTTAACGTATATGGTTCAGGGATGGACTGGTCCAAAACAAATTCATGGCCAAACTATCGAAGGTTCTTTCAAAGCTCATCAAGTCCCTCTTCCGGCGGCCAAAAAGGACAAGGAAGAATTGAAGGTGCTAAGCGAATGGTTGATGTCGTACAAACCACATGAGCTTTTTACAGAAGGCGGTGATGTGATAGACGACATTAAGGCTATCATCCCTCGAAATGACTTGAAAAAGTTAGGGCAGCGAAGTGATGTTTATGAATCATACAGGACACTCAAACTGCCGGACTGGAAGGGATTCCATATCGAGAAGGGCAAGCAGGAGAGCTCTATGGAGATTATCGCCGAGTTCATTGACCAAGTTTTCGTCGATAACCCTCACTCCGTTAGGCTGTTTTCCCCAGATGAGTTGGAGAGTAATAAACTTGGTGGCGCACTAGCACACACGGGAAGAAACTTCCAATGGGACCAGTTTGCTAATGCACAGGGTGGTCGTGTAATTGAAGTATTGAGCGAACACATGTGCCAGGGGTTTTTGCAAGGGTATACATTGACAGGTCGAGTGGGCATTTTCCCTTCATATGAGAGTTTCCTCGGCATTATACATACAATGATGGTTCAATTTTCCAAGTTCACCAAAATGGTAAGGCTCAATTTCTTCCTATTATAAATCCAGATATACGTTGCGGAGATGCCTCTGATTATTTGTACAGGGCAGAGAGACCGTGTGGCGCCGTGATATTGCCAGTATCAATTACATCGAGACAAGCACATGGACTCGACAAGAGCACAATGGATTCTCACATCAAAATCCATCGTTCATTTCAGCAGTGTTGAATCTGAAACCAAACGCAGCCCGCGTTTATTTACCACCGGACGCAAACACATTCCTTTCCACGTTAAACCATTGCTTGAAGTCCAAGAACTATATCAATCTCATGGTTGGGTCCAAGCAGCCCACACCTGTATTTTTAGGTCCAGATGAAGCTGAAAGCCACTGTCGCGCGGGTGGTTCGGTGTGGAAATTCGCGTCTACCGATGAAGGAAAAGACCCGGATGTGGTGCTTGTCGGCGTCGGTACAGAACTCACATTCGAAGTTGTCCAGGCAGCCGCCCTACTCAGGGAACGGGTTCCGGAATTGCGCGTGCGTGTAGTTAATGTCACGGATTTAATGATTCTTAGCAGGGAGACCAGTCACCCGCATGCCCTGTCAGACGAAGCATTCGACGCTCTCTTCACCAGCGAACGTCCGATCCATTTCAATTATCATGGGTATGAGACTGAATTGAGGGGACTTCTCTTTGGTAGGCCGCAGATGGAACGGGTTACAATTGCATCATACATGGAAGAAGGAAGTACCACGACACCATTTGATATGATGCTGATCAACCGAGTTTCTCGATTCCATGTTGCCCAGGCTGCAGTTTGTGGTGGTGCCATCAGGAACGAAGATGTTATGATAAGGAGATGTGAGCTGCTTTCTGAGTTTGACCATAATATGAATGAGACAAGGAAGTATATCATGCAGCATCATAAGGGTAAGTTTACCCCTGTACCATTTTTGAACGATCAGGCTCTGGATTAGAGCAAAGTAGCTAATACACCGGTAGACCCTGACGACATGTATGACACGCCAAAATTTTCTTGATAGGAAATAGATCACAGAAGAGACTTCGTTGAAGCACTTGGAGGAAACACCTGGATAGTGTTGAGGGCTGTGCAAACCAAGGGTACTTTGAGTTTCATAACGGCGTTGCTGAAGATACCAAAAATGTTTCGTAAATAAGCTGAATAGGCATAGTTATCAATTCTGTAATTATGCCTTAAGCCATTGATTATCCGAAATCATGAATTGCAAACGAGTTTCCATGTGTTATCTGAGCTTCCAGGGCGAGCACAGTCACGGGATGGCGCTATACTGGAAGTAACAGCGTACTAACTGTATATGGCAACGCCCATCCGCTAAGCGAGTTGCCGAGCCTCTGATCCCACACCACGAAAAATGCAGCGATGTCGATAAGAAACGGCAGCGCGAAAGTACCTTTCTACCCACGCTGACGACCGCCAACCGATCGACTCTCCTTCTTCCTACCGACTAAGGAAAGACAGCAGCAGCAACAGCTTTCCCCAGAACTCCCGTTGCCTGCAATCATGGCTGCTCTCAACAAGATCGCGCCCAACAGCCCTTCCCGGCAAAATCCTTCCGAGCTCGAGACCTCCCTCGCAGGTGCTCTCTCAGATCTGGAGACCAACACCCCCGATCTGAAGGCCGCCCTCAGGCCTTTGCAGTTTGTCTCTGCTCGTGAGGTAAGAAATTGAGTGCGAGTTTTGCTATTGATTTCCTGGAGAGATTTTGTTTGGTGTTTGAATGGTGGGAGGCATGTGAGATACATGGGGCCATTTTTCGCAAAGAAGACTTGAGAGGAAAGGATGATGGATACTAGAGCTCTGTGGAAATTGGATATTGTTTGCACAGAAGAGAAGGGACACCAGTTGGGTGGATAAAACAATTTCGACACGGATATGCGCTGATCCACAACTTGAAATCTTGAATTTCATCTACTGATTATGTATGCCCCGAACAATATAGATCGAAGTCGGTCACGGAAAGAAGGCTATTGTCATCTTTGTCCCAGTCCCTCTTCTCCAAGGCTTCCACAAGGTCCAGCAACGGTATGCCGATATTCAATCTCATGTCCAATAAAACGAAAACGAATGACATTTCCTTATCCAAACAATCTACAAAAACCCAAAGCTTAAACCCACTAACCCAATTCCTGCAATAAAACAGTCTCACCCGTGAGCTCGAGAAAAAGTTTTCTGATCGCCATGTCCTAATCCTCGCTTCCCGTCGCATCCTGCCACGCCCCAAGCGCTCCGCCCGCTCCCGCACTTCCCAGACCCAGAAGCGGCCCCGATCCCGCACTCTCACCGCTGTCCACGAGGCAATCCTCACCGACATCGTCTACCCTGTTGAGATCGTCGGCAAGCGTCTGCGAACAAAGGAGGACGGCACGAAAGTTCTCAAGGTCATCCTGCACGAGAAGGAGCGAGGTGGTGTTGACCACCGCCTGGACGCATATGGCGAGGTTTACCGGAGATTGACTGGCCGTGGTGTCAAATTCGAGTTCCCTCAAAGCAGTGCTACAGAGTTTTAGAGGACTGAGTAGAAAGAAAATAAAATGTTAAACGCAAATTTTCTTCTTTTCATTTCTCGTGCTTGGTTCTATAAACGGAATGTAACTGCGGGTAAAAAAGGTCTGGGGAACAAGGTCGTGGTGGAGCGTTGGGCCGTATTTGTTGCCCGCTTCCTTCTTTTTCTCCGGTCATGGAGGAAGGAATGGGGGCAATGAAATAAAATTAATAGGTTCGGAAATTTTGTCGTTTTTTTTATGGGAAACGAAGCGATGGGGTTTCCGCAATCTTAGCAAAATTTTATGTCATGTTTTCTTTTTGTTCTCTTTTGTTCCTTCTATATTTCATGTTTTTAATCTGCCTCTCTTATCATATCTCTCTCCGCGTGTTTGTCTGCATAAATGAGCTTCTTTCACTGTACGGAAAATACATCGACGAATCCTGAGGAATTTGAGGAAAAGACATGAATGGAAAGGAGGTGTTCCTGTCCTTGCTACAAATTTCCGTACCTTCGCTCTTGTTGACAATATTGCTGCTGCGGTAGGGCGAAAGGCTTGCGGCGTGGAGTAGAGGGTAAAAACGGATAACAAATATAAATATGGCATTGTAGGGCTGGTAAATCCCCGCGAGACAGGTACTCGTACCGTACCCAAAAAATAGAAGATAACCAACGTAACCCACCAACCCCCAGACACTCCCCTTTTATATTCGAGGAAAATCCTTTTTTTTAACCACAATAATGTAGAAAATCTACCACCAAAATCAGCATCTCTTTGATAAGCAAGAGTTTATTGCACAAAAGTTAGATACTAGTACTAGTATCTATCTATCAGATATAAATTGGTAGTTAAATTCCCTTCTAGATAGATGGATAATGAGAGCTCTAGTTCTAATGCAACTAAAACCCACATCAGAGCCTCTCTGAGCTGAGGGAAATGCACTGACGTGTCTTAAGACACCCCCCTAGAAAACAGGCTTAAGCAGGATGGTATACACCAAGATCAGGCATGGACCTGATGAGCCTTCTGTGGAGGTATGGGGGAGCATGTATCCAGTCCTAGTGGGCACATCTCTTCCTGCGAAGAGATTCTATCTCTCTGGAAAACAATAACTGGAAGCAAGCTGGATAACCAGAGCTGTAGTTAACATCTTATCACTATTCTATCGCGTAATTAAATCGAACATTATTCGGTTTCATAGAAGTATAAATATCTTTTATTATTGACATTTTGATTATTAAAGTAGAGACATGTCTTAAAGTGGAGAAGTGTTTGAGTAGGTGATCGGTCTGAGAAAGTGATAGATTTTGTTAGTATGAACGGATGACCTAAGAGAGGGCAGTTAGATATTCTCCGTAGCAAGTCTCGAGTAAGGGTAGAATGTAGAAAGGTTAGAAATAGGAAAGCCAAAGGCGGTCTGCGAACTTGAAATTTATCTGAAACCAAATGCAGCTAACCGCGATTCTCATATCCACCTCGTGTAATCCTACCAATCCCCAGCACCATCCAATAGGCAAGTTCTCTCTTCACCATCTCCGCCTCCTGTTGTTTCCTCGTATCAGGTCTAATAGCGAGTTCCTCTGCACCCCCTTCGGCCTCCCACTCCACCCGTACAAACACCGGAATCTCAATGACATCCTCGTCGTCTTCAATTCTAGTCTCATCATCCTCACCACCTTCCCCACCTCCTGGAAGTGACCCTGGCACAACCTCCATCGCCACAGTCGTCCAGTTCCTTCCCTTGTCCCATATCTTTCCTGCTTCAGCGACTTTATCCAGTCCTGATCTGGAAGAACGCGGGTCTTGCGCTCCTGATGATGCCAACGCTTCGTCCCAGACGTCACTGTTAGCACCTACTTCAAATTGCGGGCAGAGCATCGTGACTTTGGAGGCGACGAGACCTGGGGTTACTGATGGCGTAGCTAGGGTGACGCGGATGGAATCAAACATGTGGTTTTTGAGGGTTATGAGGAATTGGACAGGCCTACGGGGCTCGAGGGCGTCGAGGTTTATCGGGGGAGAGCTGGCCGGGAATGGAGGCAAAGGGCGCATGGTAATAAGTGGAATGTAGCTCAGGGCTATCAAACGGATCCGGAAGCGGGTTGATTGTGGTTTAAATTCAGGTTTGACGAGGATGTGCTTGCACGCTTTGCAGCGTTTTGATCTCTTAGTTCGAAGGAGGATGGGGAGGGGACGGAGTTCATCGACGAATTTTGTAGAGGGAGGTTGGGAGACCTTTTGCTCCACAGAAGCAAGGCCATCCCAGCCACAGTCCGAGGATGCCATTTTTCGAATGATTGCTAGTTCAGTGTTGGGGTCAGGTATATGAAGCCCTTCTGCTGGCGTGAGGGCTTCGCGCATGAGTGGTGGTTTTGACTGAGGCTTCTTGCTGGCAGCACCATGGAGATTGCCGATTCCTGTAGTGTAGAGAGACATTATGCGATTTAATGCACTGGGTGAAGAATAGAAACCTCCTAGTTCAGGTCCAATCAAGGGATCTGTAGGAGAGGCGGATGTTTCCGTTAACTGGGTTCTATAAAACGATTTTAGAGCAGAGAAACGGGACTCCAGGTCTACCGTTACTGGCCTTTCCTCTGAGAAAGGAGCCCCAGCTGACTTTTCATCATGAAAAGCAGGAGTTGTCAAGTCGTCTGGAGAGATGGGGTTTGCCAACGGAGATTTAACTTCAGAGGAGGTACGGCTCTGGCTATTCTTTAATGAAGTAAGCTGAGCACGAATGTTGGTTGGCTTATCGAATTTGATTCCAATATCAAGCGTTGTCCACATGCAGTATCCGCATGAGAGTACCCAAGGTCCGTTCTGGGCTCCATTGTCGGCGCTCCCAAGAGTTGTAACGGATAGGGGTGAGGTACATATTGGACAGTTAAAGCAATTGCGCGCACACCTGTATATCTTTCCTTAGTTTCAAGTTCATTCTGAATTTATTTTCCTGGCTCGAAGGGATTCGTACCTGTTCCCTTCGCTCCTTACCATACTGCTTGGTGTTTCAAACAAGCAATTTGGGCAGTACCAGCACACTATTTCTTCCGTTATGCATCTTGGACATTTTATCTGATGGCAATCCTCGCAGTACAATAGATGTTCAGGGGGGTAAAGAGAGTAATTCGCCCGAGGTGATCTGGGATCGAAGGTCCTCTCCTCATCATCGCTATCGGGGTCTTGCTGTTGACCACTAAGTGTGATATTTGAAAGGTCCTTTGAGAGCCTGTTCGTTGGAAGACCAGGAGCGCTCGATGTGTCTGCGCATGGACACGATATAAACGTGTAAGGAAAGGGACGAGCCATTATATAGCAGTTCGAAATACAAATCTTCTGGCAACACCCGGCAATTTCACTCTCATGCCTGAGGGAGACCACAATGGTGCTAGCACTGGCGAAGTTGTTCAAGAGGAAGTTCGGTTATGGCATGGGTCTCTTCCTGGCGCAAAACAGGTGTGGTCGATTCCAATTGAAATATTACGCGTGTATATCCAAGGGTCCCCATCCATTTATTGATGGCTGCGTTTCCCGCTTTTTCAATATTGAGATGAAGGGGGAGGGAGGCCCTCAGTACGATATGATTCCGTGTCCGCAAAAGTTGAACGAATAAACGGGTGCAACCTAGGGAAGGTGGATTTTAGGAGTCTGCGCCAAGTGAGGGCCAATATATGATTCCTGTTAATGAAGTCGAAGGACCATTGGTGGTATTGTTGTTTCCCCCGCGCTCTGGTTTTTGCAGGCTGGAAGGTGTGCTTCTGTGGTGACTTTACGATGGTTTCTGCCGCTGAACGAACGCCTTCACCATCAACACCACCACCACCACCACCACCAAAAGAGGATCGCTGTCAAAGAAACCATCTTTCTTTCATTTCTCCTCGTTGTTTACATTAATTGCATGTAGCCATATTCTGCATATGCATATCTACCCTTATGTCCTCTTTTATATAAGCTCTATTCGTGCATCTCACTCATCTGCGCCTGGAGGATCAATTTCATAACCCAATGCTGTTACGTCCAACGCTTCCGAAGTCTCCTCTTTTTCGGCAGCAATTATGCGAAACTACGAGAAGCTACGCGGTACAGGCTCCAGGGGCACCAACCCTAGAGGTATTCAACCGGAGGACGAAACTCCTGCAGAAGGAGCGGGCGGGGAGAAATATCAAGCTTGGTCGCAAGGTTGACTATCTTAAAGATGAGGTCGCATTTCGCCTGAGTGAGCGGTTACTTGTAAGGAAACTATTCTTTACATCCCAACAGCAAGCTTTACGCCGTAAATTGCTATATGCTTGAGGGAGATTTTCCAATAGCTAATGTTTATATTGTTTGGTCAGGATATCAACCGCCAATTCCCAAATGTTTTAGATCTGGGCGCAAACAGTTGTAATATCGCGAAAGCACTCACGCAGCCAATCCCTCCTCCAGAGCAGGAACCCAGAGATGAAAATAAACAGGCACAGGAGCAAAATGCTTCTGAAGCGGCAGTGTTATCACCACATACTACTGTCGGAAGTCGAATTTCAACGCTAACGTGCATCGACGAATCCCCATCCCTCCTATACCGTGATGAAGATCTCCCATTCAATTCGCGGCTGAAAATTACACGCCAAGTGGTTCCCACTTTAGAATCCCTCCCTTTTGGACCCAACACCTTCGACGCGATCCTCTCCTCCCTCTCCATCCATTGGATAAACGATCTCCCCTCTCTCCTGACACAAATAAACCATATCTTAAAACCAGACAGCCCTTTCATCGCCGCAATGTTTGGCGGCGATACACTCTTCGAACTACGCACGTCTTTGCAGCTAGCAGACCTTGAACGGCGCGGAGGCGTGAGCCCGCATATCTCACCCTTGGCTGACGTCCGGGATGTCGGGGGATTGCTAGGGAAAGCTGGCTTTAAGCTACTTACGGTTGATGTGGAGGATATTGTGGTGGAGTATCCAAATACGTTTGCCTTGATGACTGATTTACAGGCAATGGGGGAGAGTAATGCTATTCTGCGACGTGAGGCGGGACCGATATCAAGGGATGTTTTGTTAGCTTGCGAAGCAATATATAGGGAGCTACATGGGGAAGAGGGAAGAGAAGGGATTCCTGCTACGTTCAGGTTGATATATATGATTGGGTGGAAAGAAGGAGCAGGACAGAGGCAGCCGTTGGCCCGTGGGAGTGGGGAGGTGAATCTGAAGGATATACTGGGTGGAGGGGATTTCGAACAGCGGTGAAATGAAGCACGCTTCGCTTTTCCTTCGACTGGTTTCTTTATCTTGGATAACTGGCTGATAAAGGGAAATCCTGCGAGCGAACAGTGATGCTCCGCATTGAGATCGATATTAGAAGTGCTAGTTGGCCAAAGAACAGTTTTGTATGATACCCGCTGTAACAGTAATAGCAAAATCACACCCATGATCGTCTATTTAGAATAAAATTTTCTGTCTGTTATTTCTTTCAAACCGTCCTTCGATCCGTCATGACCCGAACAATGGATCCGACTCCAACAATATCAACCAATTTCTCATGCCAACTCAGCAACACGCTCATTTGTTGACCTCCACCTCCTTCCCCAATATTCCGCGCCTGTATTTGCGAAAAGCCCGTACTTTGCGGAGACAGTGATGATTTCTTTGACGGCGAGAGGCTCCCAGATGACTGCGCAGCCATCCCTTTATATCTATCGTTACGTATAAACAGTTAGCGTTGTGAATATAGAACGCTTTTGGGGCCTATGCATATCATATAACTCCGCGAACTCCAACAGAGAAAGAACTTTATAACCTAAAACGAAAACTACGAATAGCAACTCACAAGTACTTCATCAAACAATCCCCTCTCTCCGCTCCACCCTCCCCAGAGCAAACGCCCTCAAGCACCCTCGTCATCTCCCCCTGTCTTATCCCCGCCAGGACCTCCACAACGGTAGCTAGATGGACCTCTTTCGCTCTATCATCACCACCTAACGGCGCTGTGTCCAGTACATAGCGCATGACCCCCTCCAAGTCGCCGGACCGGAGCATTTGGCGGACTTGCGAACCGATGCTCGCCGCCGCGCTGGAGTTTGTGGGTGGAGGGCAGTTGCTTGGTACAAGGGTCTCTAGGGGAAAATTTACGGAGGATTCTGGGTCGATACTGTCGACGTCGACGGTGCGGTAGTTTATGAGGGACATTGTGCCGTTGGTAGTGGTGTATGGGGTTTAGGCTGGGGTTCTTTCGGGGGCTGGATCTGCGGGGGACGTGTTGAGTGGTTTCCACCGCGATGGTGGTCAGCTGAATTGCTTCGTACTACGTTGAGGAGGTAATGATATTATTGATCAAATTGGGAGAGGTATTGGTTTTTCGTGGGATAATAATGTCGGGTTGATATGTCGAGTTAACAATGCGGGAGGGAAGGCAGTTATGTCAGCGGCGGGTGGAGGCTCATGTCGTGCCAAGCACTGGCAAAACCAGAGCCCGCTGATCCTACGCGTTATCAATGTTTCAAGGAGAAGACGATTTTCGATGATAACAATATGCATGATTGTAATCAATATCAGCATGTTGAATCTCAACATTTCGTTTTCGTTTCATTTCATCTACTAATGATGGTATTTTTGTACTATGCATAAAAATGTCCCTTATCCTGTTCAATGGACTTTTGGACTGCCGCCTTGCAAAAAATGCCTATGATCAATGTTTAACCAAAAACGCCAAAAATGTCAAGGAATCCCAGGAACGCCGTCGCTATGCAGAAGATATATCTCGCGCAGGGAAGGAAATGGGAATATTAATAATGATACAAGTCGCACTAAAGAAAAACACACCGCATAGCATCCTAAATCAAGCAGAGCGAATAAATGAGAGCTTAGGTGCCAGACAATGTAATTGCAGGAACAGTGACATTCGACGCGGCCGTCGGAGGGACTTTGACTTCTGAACCTGCAGCAGCCTCCTCGTCCTTCTCCGTTTCAGCGGCCGGAGCCCCTCGTCCCGATGTCTTGGACAACATCCGTGAGGAGAAGCGACAAATGGCACGGAATCCCTTCCTGACCGGAGAAAATGTAAGACTAAGCCCCTTGCTAATAGGGTTCCAGATGGCGGATATGATGCTCACGGCAGCATCGAAAATAACCTGGAACCACGGGTCAGGGAAGCAGCGGATCAGGACAGCAAAGGGTATGCACATAATAGAGCAGAGGATGCAAATGAGCCATTGGATGCCATCGATGGGCCGCACGGAGAGTGCGGATCCGCCAACGAAGATGATCAAGATTTGTCCCGCGAACATGAGGAAATTAATGCCGATGAAGTAGTAGTTTTTGAGAATTCCCTCGAAGATATTGATCTTATTGTCGAGGCGGCGGTTGTTGAATTCGTTGAAGATCTGCATCCAGACAAAGGTGTTGAAGACAATTGTGTTGAGCTCCGCCTTAACAATCGGGTTACTAATGTCATAGTTGAGGATGCGGGCGCCGCCGAAGTAGAGGGTGTAGGTCACGACTAGTTGGTAGATGGTTTGTCCGATGATCATCTTCCACATTGTTATTGTGAACAAAGGTGCAGATTTGGGGGTTGGTTTTCGATCGAGGATTTTCTCTGTGGGGGCATCAGTAGCAAGTGCCAACGCGGCGAAGGTATCCATAATGAGATTAACCCATAGCAATTGTACCGGTTTCAACACACTCTCGTTATTGCTGTTTGAGACGGAAGACACGAATGTCAGACAGACGGCAGTAATGTTGACGGTAATTTGGAACTGAAGGAACTTCGCAACTGCGTCATTTACCGCTCGCCCCCAGGAGATGGCAGTAACAATAGACTTAAAGTTGTCGTCCAACAGAATGATCGAACTGGCTTCTTTGGCAACCTCTGTACCTGCAATGCCCATGGAAAATCCCACATCAGCAGTCTTGAGCGCTGGTCCGTCGTTGGTTCCATCACCAGTAACAGCAACAGTCTCCCCGAGATGTTTTAGGCGCGCAACTAGGATTCGCTTGTCTTCTGGAGAAGAGCGAGCGAGGACTTGCAGGTTGGGAAGGATTTTGTCCATTTCCTCATCCGAGAGTTGTCGAAACCTTGGTCCTTCCATCGCGATGCCTTCTGGCGTTTTGATGCCGCACTCAGTGGCGATAGCAATGGCCGTCGTAATATTGTCGCCTACAATCCAGGATCACCAATATTAGTTTCTGATGACCAATCCACGAAACCTGTCTTAAGTAATGAAGGTGAAATACAAACCTGTGACCATTTTCACGGAAACTCCGGCCATATTGCACTTCTGAATAGCAGTCGGAACCTCCGGCCTCAGAGGGTCTTGAATGCCCACAACACCAATCCAGGTCATGCCATGAAAGATGTCATCAAAATCAGCTATGGTACGGTCGTCTTCCATAGTCTTCGCACCCGCTGGTGGCCATGATTCGAAATCTTTGTATACCATGCCAATGTTGCGGAGAGATCGCTTCGAGTAAGTGTCGATAGTTTCGAGAATCATATCTCGCGAGGTCTCCGAGAGTGCCTCTGAAGTATATTGGCCACCCGAGGTGATAGAGATTATCTCACTGGATTTACCGAGTAAAATTTCCGCGGCACCCTTGACGTGAAGACGGTATTTTCCGGATGGCTGGCGGACGACGACACCCATACACTTGCGTGTAGAGTCGAACGGAATGAGCTGAGCAATCCCAGCATTAGAACGTTCCTCAGCTACATTCAGCAACCCAAGATAATTCTTCGCGAGGTTGAGCATTGCAACCTCTGTTTTGCTTCCAATGAACACTCGCTGCTCATTTTCTTCACCTTCGAACGCGGTCGAATTGAGAGCAATGCTTTTATGGAGAAGATCCCTAATTATAGGGGGAAGGCTCTTGAGCTTCTCTGCCATGTTTGAAAATCCTTCACCATCATCTGAAATCTGGTTGAAACTAGTGTCGATACCGACAGTTCCTGCCACAACAGTCATTTTGTTTTGAGTGAGAGTACCAGTCTTGTCTGAGCAAATAACAGTTGCATTTCCCATTGTTTCGCAGGCACGAAGGATGCGGACAAGGTTATTTTCATTAACCATGCGCTTGGTGGCGAATGCCAGGGCTAAGGTGACAGCCAAGGGAAGACCCTCTAATAATCGAGTATTAGAAATTTGCTTTCTGATTTGGGTTTGATCAGCAATCGGTGAGAGCTTACCTGGAATCGCAACGACAATAACAGTGACTGCAACGATTAAAATATGCAGGAAGTCTTCGCCTTTGCGTGCCGCATTCCCAGGATTATCAGGGAGTTGGACAAGGAAGCGAATGAGAAGGATTGTGAACAAAATAACAGCCGCACTATAAAAATTGGTGAGCGATATCCTCATGGTCAAAGAACGGAGGATGATTATATAGCAGCACGTACGCAGTTCCAAGACCTCCTATCCAATTCGCAAGTTTTCCAAGCTTCACTTGGAGAGGGGTGGGATCGTTCGGGGTTTGCAGCGATATCATAATTTTGCCGTAAGTAGAATTTGGCCCAACGCTGGTGACGAGATAAGTGCCAACTCCTTCAATGACTTTGCTTCCAGAAATAATAAAGGGATCGAGTTTTTTCGTAGATGTGCCATCCATGATGCGTTGCCACACCTCGTGGCCAGGTGTTTTCTTCATTTGGTCCGATTCTCCAGTAGCGGATGATTCATCGCATTTGACACCATGGCCGGTAAGGAAAACACCATCCGCCGGGATCGCATCACCTGGCTCCATGTGGAGGATATCGCCCACTGTGATAGTGTGAATGGAGACCATGATTGATTTCCCTGAACGGATCACTTTGACCTGGCGGTCGTCTTTCTGCGGGTTTGTCAGTCGAGAGCCATTTAAAATACACTATACACACTGGAGATAAGCAAGTTAAAGGATACGAACCCTCTTGTTCAGTTGAACGAACTGTCTTTCCTTCTGCCAGTCATTCGCTGCCGTGACGATAGTGACAATCAGGATAGCAACGCAAATGGCAACACCTTCGATCCAATCAACCTGCGATCCCCCACTAAACGTCTCGTAAAGGCCTAGGGAAAGGGAGACCACGGCGGCAATGGTGAGCAGGATAATGATTTTGTCGTTATAAGCTCTCCACAGAAGAATCAAGAACCCATCTGCTTTTCTTTCTGGTAGTTTATTGGACTGAAAAACCCGCACCCGATCGATAAACTGCGATTGTGTCGAAAAGCCAGTTTCTGTGGGCATTTTCATCATTTCGAGCTTCGTCTGCGAATATTTCTCCGAATAAGATCGTTTGGTGGCCTCTTCAAAAGAAACGGTTCCTTCTAACCTGCTTTCATCGATCGACAACCCCGATACCAAATCCGTTCGTAGCCCACGCTCCAAACCCTGTAAGCCTCCAAGTGCTACGAATGCTTTGAGGGACTTAGGATTTAGCATCTTATTCAATTGACCAGGCGAAAATGCGAACGGATTATTTTCCACTTGAAAGTCTTTGATGTTTCTCTGATCTGGTTCCAGAGCTTCTGATAATGGCACGTCATCGTAGTCAGCTCCGTTTTTCTCTAAGTGCAAGGCAGCTGTAGACCCAGCCCTTGATCTCAGAGTCTCAACATTTGAAAGAAATGAGCCAGAGCGCGAACGGAGAGTCTCTCCATCAACGGAACATGGGCTGTTCGGGATAAGCAGTGAGCCATCGTTGTGCCGAGGTGTGGGCTGATCTATCGAGATAGCGTCCTCATGGCTACATCTCGAATCCGATGTTGATGAGTCGGATATCTTTGACTAGATGTCAGGTTTTCATTCACACTTAGAAATCTTGAGGTTGGGCTGCCAGCCTACCGAAGTATTTATGAAGGTTGGAGGAGCCAGCAATTTGTTATTGTTGTTCGCCATCGGGCAATAGCTGGGAAACCCAGAGGCGAAGAAAAAGGATATGTTCCTTCAGGGAGGAGCTGGGGAGTTATAGAAGGAGAGATTGAAGATCGAATACGGTAAAACAAAGAAACGAACACGATCTAAAGAAGATAAGGGTCGACGATGGTTATTCGGGCGGAACCCATAACAATTATAAAATACAAAAGGCAAACCAGACCGATGGCGAAGTCCCTCCCTGCCCAGCCAACCATTTTCTTACCTAGCTTGGCCCGGGTTGTGCTCCCTGCATTGGACTGGGGTGGTCGAAAGAAGTGAGCATTGGGGCTGTGCTTCTTGGAATCCCCTTAACAACCAAGCCCGAGCCAACCAAAGCCAGGTGGGAGCGGTACGAGGCAGCGGGGCCATTCGCCCACCCGGCTGACACCGCAAACGTCGCAATACAGGCGCCGCAGCCCATGTTTGATCAGTGTCCCTCCACAAGCTCTTCAGGAGGACAAAATATTGGCCGCTCACAAGAGAGCCGCTGCCCTGTGGTCCAGGGGGTTATTTGGCTGCCATGATTGGCTGGTGGTAACTTCCCGAGCTTGGGCGCCTGGCCAATCACTGCCCGCCAATCGAACGGCGGTTGATTTGCCAGCGGATTAGCCACTAATCCAAAATAGTACTAGTGTATAAAGCTAACCAAGCTTGGGATCTTTCCCAGTAGTACGTACATGCACATAAAACATTTCACCTTGCTACAAGAGAGGGCGAAGAAGACCTCTGCACAACCGAACTTTGGTAGATCTTGGGGGAAGCTTCCAACTTCCAAGGCTCCCTGATGCTTCCCCAAGCTCTCGCTTCAGCTCGTATTCTGTCTCGCCGACTGGCACCGTTGGGGCTCCTTACTGACTGCGGCAAGGCGTGATGCTACCTTCCAAGTTCCAGCAGAGCGACTGAGATCAGCGAACTCTGTATATGCTCGAAAACTCACTGGTCTTGCCCTTGGACGAACTGTTTGGGCACTTACAGCAGTGGATTCCCCATCCAGATAAACATATCTACTTTTCCGTACGCACGTTTCAGGCGGATAGATTCTCATAGCTTACTTATGATGAGCGCTGAGTCCTCCTATCGGATATAACCATCTTTTCGTCCACGCTTGGTAATTATGTTACACCGCCCTTCTTGGCGGGAGGAATATCAATTCGTCAACTCTTCACGTCTCCTCAGTGAAATTAGCCGGAACAGGATATGCAGGGTATTTGGTAACTAGCTCTACTGCGTAGTGCGGGTAATCTCAACAGATCAACTCAGTGTGGGAGGTGGGGAAAGAGAGCTTGGTCATTTTTTAAGTCATTGTGCGGAGTGTGATGGAATGAATTTCCATTTACTGGCCTTTCTTTCAAATCCCAAACCCAGTGTTCTTCAGAGGGGAAGAGCCCCCGCTTCGGGTGTCATTTGTGCTCTGAAACTCCGCTCATTCCTGTCGAAACTGGTACTATAAAGTCGTGGTCTTGGTTTCCTTGCAAACCCCCATAGGTACACTGTCAGTGCTTTGAACCTTGCTTGGCCAGTTGTTGTCAACTGCTGTGATGCTGGGATTTTACCAACTGTTGACGTAGGCGGAGAGGCACAGCCGCTAAAGATATGATATGTAACGCATCCCGTTGATGGAACTTTTTGTGAGCTAATCCCGCAGAAGGCCACTCAAGAACTTTCGAAAAGCAAGTGCAAAAAGCGCTTCATCAGTAAAAATATTTACATAGTAAATATTCCTCCCTCAGTCACAAATCCTCCCGATAATAATGCGTGAAGACGAACCTCGTTTTTGAAAAATGGCCAACACCTTGACACCCTTAATGAAGAGGGTTTGAGTAAAACGAAAAGCTTGGGGGGGGTTAGTCCCACACACAGAATTAGCAAATATCCGCAGTGTTTCGGATACTGGCCCCAGAAGCGGGGGATGTTCTGATGCGGGATCAAATCTCTTGGTGTAGGAGTTTCCACACTGCGAGAGTCAGAACAAAACTCCAGCAAAAGATAGCATCACATCTCCTGGGGAATAGCATGGCAAGCTGAGCAATGACGTCGACTTGGCAAACGTCACAAATCCGGCAGCCGCGGTGGCGTTGTGGCGGACCACCCTGTGTCAATCTGTGGCTTTGACTGTGGCGTTCATTGCACAGCGTGATATTTCAAGCCAGCTCATCATGACCACATCAAACCTCCACCAAGATTTGATTCCTCGTGGTTCTTATATCCGCCATGTCCCAAGAACTAATTCACTTTTTAGGACTCCCAGGATGAAAGCGTACGTAATCGCACCGTTTGGCCTGAAGTCAACAACTGATCGCTGTGCCGCTGGCTCAGTTCGAGGCATAACCGCGAATATTCCCTCAGACCTAATATTCTCTTGGACCCGAAATCTTTCCCTGGTAATTCCTGCCTCTTTGCTGAGTTATGCTTTCCTTTCGCTTCTATCTCATCGCTATTTGTTCTCCTGTCGTGTCTACTATCCTATCAGTACCTGGCGTTCCTGAAGGAGAACTGATATACCTTCCAGTAACATTAAAGGAGCTACGCTACGATTGAGGTTTAACTCCTTCGTTTTGAAAATGTTAATTCAGATGACCATATCGAGATTATTTTGGAGGCTGTCGAACTAATTCTTCTCGGACAAAACCAATTGCGCGCCTCAAGATTCCCCTGTACGTGTTCATGTTCGACTGGCTAGTGAGTTCTATTGAGACCTCTCAAAATCGTGATCTTGTCAGATAGCTAATGCGACTTTGCACAATTCCAGAGAGATATTTTCTATCTTGAGCTGTTAGTCCAAGATCCATTACGTTCTCTAAAACGTCGAGTCTTACATTTACAATTTGCAGCAAGTCTAAACCGAAAAAATAAAAGAAAAGAGAAATAAAAGAACTTTGGCTGTCTTTTCGGCACGTAAGTCAACGCATGTATCAGCTGCGATGCGTTATATATGACTAAGAACTGATGCGTATCATATATAAAAAGCAAACGAAAGCAAGATCCAAATATAATTATATTATTGGATCTCTACTTATGTGGTTGAGTGTAAGCTAATCCCCCACGAGCACACATCACTTCAAATACAGTAAATCATCCATTGTGTACTCCCAACTAACCTGCTTTTATTTCTTCAGAATTTGCTCAGCTACGTTAACACTGCCCTCGGACGTATAATGTCCGGTTGCATTATAAAACTCGTGTTTCATAGAAACACGGGATAAGAGCCACATGAATTATAGATTTGTGTGATTTAATACCACCCACCTCGCAAGCCATTTTCTGAATAGCTTGCAAGCGTTGAAAAAGAAAAAAAAACACCTTTCCAGATCGCGGTTTGCCGTTCTAAATTCAAAAATGCATTGCAATAACGGTACAGTCACGTCTCACGTTTCGACGGCTGGCTGTCGCATGTTAACGGCTACCTAACGGCTACCTAGCAATCTTGTAAGTTTAGCTTTTCTCTCTCGCTCAATCTCCCCTTTTTTTCTTTATTTCTTCCTTTTTTTTATCCTTTATTTTTTGGCTATATTAAAGCTATTGTTTCTATTCATTTTATCCCTTACTTGCGCGAAATCAATGAAATATAATCTCCCCGCACGTCATTCTACTCCCAGCAAGAAAAACTTCCAAGAACGAATCCAAAAACAGCAGATAATAAGTGAAGCATGGAAGGAGATTATCAAACGAGCATGGTACGTGATATATCTTCCCTTCCTCTTAAGACATGTTTTCGCCCTACCAGCAACATTTCATTCGTTATTTCAATCGCCAAGATTCCCCCAATCTTTCGATCTCAACCGCCCTCTTCTCATCTAGCGAGACTCTCCCTGCCTCCAAAATTGCAGTGGTGACGATCGTATTCTTAATGGTTGGTAATCCACGATTATCCAGCTCTTCGAGCGTCACGCGTCCGTCGTTCAAGGCGCTTACGGCATCAACAAACTTCTCAAAGCTGATATAGCCGTAGCCTGTCTGACCGCCGAAGTTGCCTTTTTCATCAGGGGCATAGCGCATGTAAAACCTGCGAAGGGGCGTCAGCAAGAAATGAGTCACTTTAGTTTAAAAGACTTGAAAAAAGAAAAAGAAAAAGAAAAAGAAAAAGAAAAAGAAAAAGAAAAAGAAAAAGAAAAAGAAAAAGAAAAAGAGCTTTCTTGTGCTGTTCTGTCTGATGAGGTTGGCTCTGGGGCGCTGCACAATATTCTTTTTTCGCTTGTTGATTGGAGGCAGGGGATGTTTCAAGCGCGAGTGTGTGTTTTCGGGGCGGAGTAGAATATGTGCAACTTACGGGTTTATCCAGGCGACGTTAGCTTGGCTATCATCTGTCACATCATAGCCACGCTTGGCTTGGTCGATTCGGATTTCGCCTCTCGAGCCCATCCCTGAAGTTTCCAGATGGTGTTAGTTCTCACCAATTGCAAAACCCCCTTCCCAAAAGGCTTATGATAAATATATAGGATTGGGCGAGGAATAGGATGGCGGGGAACAAGAAATCAAAATCATTCGCCTGAACCCGTACTTACAATGGAAATACTGATTCGAATGAACCCCAGCCTTTTGTGGCGCCGTCCAACTGGCAGTATAGACCCCCGTAGCAATCTTGCTCGGCTCGCCCTTCTTCCTCCACTCCACTAATAAGGTAATCGTATCCTCCGTCTCCGGCACACAACCCAGCTCCACCGCGACACCCTTCGACGCCATTGCGGTCACCTTCACCGGTGCATAATCCGGCACCATACTCTCACAGATATCCACATGATGCGAATTCAGATAATAGGAGATATCGCTATCGCGGCCCGCCCAGGTCTTGAACGTCTCGAGCTGACTTTTGGGCTGGCTCATGTAGCTGTAAAAGTAGTTGAAATCGCCCAGGGTGCGTGCCTTGGCGCGTGCATCGGAGTAAGCTGGATCGAAGCGTTTGTGGTGCTCGACGAAGACGAGGACGCCGTGCTTGCGCGATTCGTCGAGGAGGTGGAGATGGTCTTTCAACAGCTTTGTAGCGGGCTTGGTGATCAAGACGTGGATCTTGCGCTGGATGGCGTACAAGGCGATGGGATAATGGGTGGTGTCGGGGGTGAAGATTGTGATTGCGGAACCCTGGGGTAGAGCATCTATGGCGGTTTTGTAGGCCTCTGGGTCCACTTGGTCGTCTGCTGGAAATGATTGAAAGGAGACATCTAGGTTGTTATAAACCTGGGAGATGTTTTTCTGGAGGTGTTGTTCTGTTCCACGCGTTTTTAGGAGCTGATTGGTGAACGATATTTATCACCCCCTCTCCCCTGAGTTTGATATAGAAACAGCTGAATGAAGGAATCCATATATGAAAGTTCACTCACTAATAGCGGGAAACTTGGACCCGGACACTCCTACCATGCTCAAATTACCAACTTTACCTCTCCTGCGCAGATCGAAAAGGGTCAGGCCCACAACACCAACTTTCTTGTCTGAACCGGATGCGTGCCCGTCCACAAAACCAGTGGTGTATTCTCCCGTTCCCACCTGCGAAACGGTATATCTGTAGTCAGAAAATTTCCTCCTTCAATCGATTTACTCAGAGATTGGGGAAAGCAACAGCCTCACCATCAGAACACTTGGAGGAGCCATCTTTGTTGTAATCGGAAATGTGCGTTTGTTTATAACTGACTTTTTCAATGAAACGAGTTCACGATTGTGACGATGGAAGGATCAATTAAATGAAAGGGTAAGAAAGCTGCAAGACGAGAAAAATGAGAAAGGAAATAGGAAGAGGTTGCAGAAGGATATAGCATATCAATTTTGCCTAGGTGTTTATGTAGGTAAGTACAGCAGATAATATCGTGAGAGGTCTCTACAGAGAACAGAATCGCGGGTAATTCCAGCCATCGGATACAACAAGCAAGCAGCAACACAAAGGGGATGCGAGCAAAAGTCAACTTGCGGAAAAAAAACTTTATCTTTATAACAAATTTGAAAGCCCATGGAACTTTAAGCATAGAACTGTTTGCAGTGGAATTTGTTTATATGTGTAGTTGTTTTATTTCAATGAATGAATATTAGCACTAGTAGCAATCATGCGTCAAGTAACTTAACTAACTAGTTAGTTAACTTTTCCCCTCTTACATCATCGCTTCCACCCATGATCCCCGCTAACAAGCACGCGAAAAAGCTTTAAGCCAGGGCACAACCGTCGATTGGTGCTGACAAGTCAAGGATGGAATCCAGTTTTGTTATCCCCGTGAAAAGTGCAATATATTCCAAAGATGCTATCTTCAACAAAAAAAAAAAAAAACGAACTTGGCTGGATCCTGTTCTGGTGCTGGCAAAAGCCGGAGAAGAATTCTGTCTCTTGGAGTGAGGTGTCCATGCAGCAGTATTTCCCATAACATACCCCTTCTGATGCGCGCTTGCTGTTCTCTATGCTGACTTACTCCCTTCATTGCTATTTGGTTTTGTAATAATCCCGCTTTCTTGGGTTTTCAAAAATTTTGTTGGAGGATTCCAATGAGGCCTGCTATTCCCTACAGTTACTGTATTGTTAGAAATCCATAACAAACAGCGCCATGATATTCAGAATCATCTATCATCTATAAAGTTAAAGATACATGTACATATAACCCTTTGACACGGCGGTTGATCATCGTCTCGGCATATGAAGAACTCACATTCCATTAGTTTTTGGACTGAAAATGAACCATTGGCGCGTTCCTAGCATTCACTCATTCTATGATCTAGGCGTCACATTCTCAGGGAGAGTTCCTGGAGTTACAGTTCCTGGGTCAGATCATCAAGAGACCTGTTCCGGCTCTAAGGAGTGCTTTATGGGCTCCTAGACGCGAACTTTTACGGTACTAAAACAGAAAACGATCACACGGTTTTCATGGCGAGTCCATGGCGGGGGATCCAGACGGCTACGCAATACGTGATGATGTTTATGGGTAATGTGCTTACAGAAAGGCATATAAAGATATTCTGGAGATATTCTGAATCAAGTTGATATAGCACATGCAATTCAAATGATAATAATTCATTCTTATCTTAAACACAACATCAACACACTATTTCTGCTTTCTTGGCTGCTTCAAGACATGTATCTGTTGAGTGAAGGAAGTATTGAGTGTAGCTTCTGCTGAGACTATAAAGCTTGTCTGACTTAGTTAATCATTGTTCTCCAAAAAGCATGAAGTGTTTGATTGATTGAGAGAGTTCAAGTTCTGACTGAGGAATATCAAAATTTACTTCAGAAGGGACAGCATCACGGGTTACAGTTGAACGTGGTTTATTAAAAGTTGGATGTGGTTTAAAAAAAGTGGGTCTGAAAAATAACCGTCGTGGCATCGATCGCCGCCATGGGTGTGGTAGACCATGTGGAGTTACTATTGAGTGGTTGATATTTAGAAGGATGCCCTATGATGTCTATTGTGCTGCTGCTTTGGTGGCTGAGCTGTAGTAAACGGAATTCTCTGGAAACCTTTCAGGTTCCATCATTAAATTACAACCAACACTTCTGGGCCTACTACATACCCATTCATGAGGGATGATTTCTATGACATCTCAGTGCGGCCTCCAAACATCTCGTTGATGTATGGGCAGGACCTTGGGCGTCTACTCCTAGGTTGTCACTACCCGACTCACTTATGGATTTAGGAAACGGATGTGCCTAGGGAATGAAATGGCCAAAAGATACACAACAGACTGACAGTGTACGGCCAATATGTACGTTCTGATAACTTGAGGCCAAAAACACGCTAAATATTTTGAATTTGTCTCCATCAGTGGTATACAGAGCGATGTGTCCGGGCGTTCTGGACTGAAGAAAAGGGTTGCTGACAATCTGTGCAGTACCAATGATAATCCGTATCGTGCTGGCATAACGCCCGTCGATTGGTAAAGAATCTGTTGCAACGGTTGCAATGACTTCTCCTTCCCCTTCTGTGGCTAAGTTGATGCGGGCTTTATCCCTGGTATTAGCCAAACCTTCCTTTGGCAGAGAAGTCCAGTTTAGAAAGTGAATCATGTGCACTACTCACTAGCAGACAGGAACATGACTGCCACGAGCTGGAGATAATATCGCTTTCTCTTCCTCCGCCTGAAGACTCTTTCCCATCATCTCCCATAGTAGATCCAGAGTGAAAGAGGGGAACTCCTCCAGCGTCTCCGCGAAGTCTGGCTGTGTTTTTAAAGATGCAACGTTCCGATGTGCAAGGCTGGATATCACATCTCTCAAGCCACCATCTGTGGATCCGTATATAAAGCGAACAACCGAGTAAAACGTGCTACCGCACCATATATGCCGAGCGGCAGCTTCGAACTTCTCTTTTGCCAGGCTTTTCAGCCCCGATATCCCATATTTTTCACCAATGGTATACATCCGAGCATGGAATAAAGATGGAGGATCTCCACTAGCATCTTTCTGACCTTCTCTATGATCTGATCCGGAAGTGTATCGATCAACAGACGTAGATTGTTCTTCGCCTTTGGCCATAGGAACTTCCTCTTCGAGGTCCGGCCCAAACGTATATTGATCAACTGATTGCTCTTCGGCTTCATCAACAGAAACTTCGGTGGAGGGTTGGCAAAATGAGCAGCCATCAACAACGTAGTCTAGTTTGTAGAAATAATCCACCATCTTCTCGACTACTGAAGGGTCTTCATCGTTGAGGTGTACCTCTCCGGTTTTAGCTTCCTAAACAAGTTATAATCTATAGTCACCAAAATCGTCAGACATCGTACCTTGAACTCTCCCTCGCATGCTGCTTGGAAGAAATCTGAGCGGGGGCAAATGATACATCGATGGACATCATAGCTCCTGACCCTTGAAAATATGGTAAAATCGGAAAAGAGTCCCGTGCCAAGAATTCTAATAAGAACGTCAGGTAAGCTCTCTATGATATATCAAAGGGAATTGGAAGTCTTGCCTCGACAGAGATTCTTTGAGCTCATCCACAGGTTCTGTCATTTCGCACCCAGGCGACATCCTTATGCCGCCCTCCGTGGCTATCTCTGATGATTACTGCTCTGGGTGCTGAATGTGCAGTTTTTTGGAGCGAGCTCTTGTCACATACACTCTTGGCGCCTCGTGACCATTAAGTGGGGTAAAGTCGAGTGCAAGAGCCAAGTGTTGGGCACCGGTTGCCCAGGATGCCAGTCTGCTTGGCATGTTATCTTGGCAGTTATTTGATCTCCATGCAAGATGATTGATTGAGAAAAATAGCATGGGTAAAAATTGATTGATATAGATATGGCTTGCTAGCTAGCTCCCTTCCTTCTATCTATACTATCTACGACCCGCCCGGCCCCACCACATGAGCTACTAGTCCCAGACATCAATATAAAGATGTAGGTTTTATCTAGATATCATACACAGACTTCATACAACTGAAGTAAATAGAAATAATATATATCTATTAGTATATACCACCACTAGATACCATCGCTAGATATCATCGCTAGATCTGGAGATCTGAAAAGTTGGATTTCTCTTCTCTTTCAAAACAACTTGAGTGTGATGGGTTAGCACCTGTTAGTCGTTAACTTACGCAACCAACCCCTGCCGCTCACCCGCTCACGTGCTCACGCGCGCTCATGAACACTTCTCTCCTCGCGATTTCCGCTCTGCAATGATGTAGTCTCTAACAATTCCTCTGCGTAACCTCTAACATTCTTCCGCCCCCGCGCGCCCCACCATTGCGCGACCTCCGATATTCTTCCATTCCGATTCCTCTTCTATAAGAACCCCCTTCATACGACTTTTCCTTCTGATCTCTTTTCTCTTTCTTTCCCTAGTCCGTTAATCGCTAGCATGCCTGTTACATTGAGCCTTCGGAGAGTGATTCAATAAAGCAAGAAGTCAGTTAATAAAGAGTCTTCTAAGATACATGAAAGTCAAATAACCAGCTCAAATGTAAAGACAACAGACATTCAGAATCAGAATTTAGATTTGTGTATCAATACAGACAACAATGATTGGGATTCACTGTATAGTCTCTTCTATGTCAATGATTTCAATTCATCAAATACATCAATGTCCACTGCTACAAATAAACAATTCCACAACTATGGAGATGATGAGAAGCGCAACATCAGTTTTACCTCAAAGTGCAGTGGCTTTTTCAGTGACAGCAACAGTGTTGTAATGGATATCAACTCAAGCAAAAATATGCTGGGGCTGTTTTACAAATGAGGTGATGTGGTGTCTAAGCCTCAAGTTCAGAGTGCTGGAGGCAACAAAGGTACATTACTTTCCTCCTCAATTTCTTTAACTCCTCACCATCCACTCCCTTCTATTCTCGCGTTGGCTATGGCTACCAATCAGAGGGTTTGCCAGCGGCCGCTTTGGTATGTCTGTCGAGGCAGATACGGCTGTAGAAAGTGTCACTGAAGCTGGCCTTCACACATGACAGTCGGGTGGAAGTAGAGGTCCGTCTCTAGACTCGCTCACAATACATTCAATTCATTAACCTCTTCTGTATTTCAGATGGCCTCATTGTGGTAGATGGTTCGATGGAGATAGGCCATGGTGGTGAACTCACAAGCGAGTCTGCAGGTGGAAAGACTTTTCTGCCAATGCTACCTGCCCATGAGGCACCCACTGATCAAGGTGATGGGCTAGATGGGATGGTGGATGATGGTGGAGCCTCAATGACTCCCAGAGAAGTTTCCTGAGAAGTTTTAGATCTGCTTCCCAGGTTCAATCACCATTCTGCATTCCCACTAATCCTCTACATGCAGAAACCCCGTCCCCTTACTATGGATAAAGTGGGCAATTCTGGCGCACCCTACGACGGCGTCTCTCCACATCCACAGAGTCCACCTCAAATCTCAGTTGACCACGCCGGTGCGACACAGAAGGAGTGGCTGGTCAAAAAGATTCTGAATTTCTGAATCTGTGTGTGGGAGGGCAAGCCACTCCTGAAGTACCATATCACATGGCAGTCTACATAGCAATCACAGTGTGATCTGATCTCAGGCTGTGAGAAACTGATCAAAAAATTTCATGCAGAGTGGAAGAATGAGCAGTCTTCACTGACTACTCTGACAGATCACATGCATTTCAAGCAGAAGAGAAGATTATGCAGAGATGATACATACAAGATTGTAAAATCAATTGTTTAGAATTCTCATCTATTTACATATCATTATCAATTTCAGCTCTGATTTGTTCTGTACTTTTTCTATCTTGATTGTTACTCCGTTCGTCTATGCTCCGGAGGTAAGTATAAAAGCCTCTCCGGTTCTGGGTATCTATATTTATATTCTTAAGCTGTAATAAATCATACCGCAAATCAACTCGAAAGAGTCACGCCTCAACAGAACCCTGTAGCTATCTAGAAACCCATCTGACTTGTAACAGGGGGCATTTGCCGCAATGCCGAATGCGAACTATGACGTGCGAAGACTTTCAGCAACCTCCTCCTTGAACGCCAAGGGTAGCACCAATGCATCTCCGCCGTTGTTAGAGCACCGTTAGACACCAGATCGCCTCAAGCTTACGGTCGAACATCTAGTTACGCGGAGATATCCACAGAGCAGGGGAGAGCAAATCATTCTGATCTTCCCTGGCTTTAAAAAGCATAGCTGGACTTGAGCACAACCAAGCTCGTTTCGCGTTCAAGTGGATCCTCTTTGACATCGGTCAGCTTAGTCGCGCAAATGAAACTCTCCTACGGTGTAAAATAGCCTCAAGAATATCATGGTGCAAGTCGAGCTACTGACTCGCAGCACGGGCACCGAGGTCGTAGTCCTTCCTTTTTAAAATAATTTTAACTATTCTCTTCTCAGGCCTCCGGTCGTCGCCGCCATGGTCAACTGTTATAGTCATGTAGAGAGGAGGGGTGATGGGATTTTCCAATCATGATTGGTTGTTATTGGTGGCTCATATGTGAGGGGATAATTGAAATTAAACAGTTCATTCTAGATTCAAATTAACTAGTTAGTTAACTTAAAAGCTTATGTGCATAAGCTTCAGACCCTTGGAAGAAACCCTTCCCCACATGACCCACACACACACACTACTAGATAATAACAACAACCAAGATTCAACTCTCTTACAAATATTCACAGCTTAGTCACTTTATATTCCATGATCATAAACTACTCTTTATTTTTATTAGAGCTGCTCTAATACTTTAGTTGCATACTAGTCATTATTCTGAGAATTAGCATGCCACAAAAATATTAGAATGACTCTAATGAAAACATAGAGATATACTGAAGTAAGTATTAGACAGAGCGAAGCGAAGTCTCTGATTGCTGATAGAATCAAGAATGGCAGCTACCTGCCTATCTACCTGATCAATATCAATCAATTGCTGATGGAATAGAGAATGTTAGCTACTGATGGACCTACCCACCCACCTGCCCACCTCACTGCATGATATTCTATTGATTGCTGATGAAATATAGAATGCTAGATAGCTGTCTATCTGTCTATCTGCTTATCTGCCTATCTATCTGCCTACCTACCTGCGCGATATCGGATTGATTGCTAATAGAATTGAGAATGCTAGCTATATAGCTAGCTACCTATATATCCATCTCCCTACCTACCAACATGGCTGCTCAATATCCAATCAATATCTATGAGAATAAACATCATCATCTAGCTGCTCATCTAGCTGACTCCCTGGCTGCCAACCTGTCTATTTATCTACTCACCTTCTTGATTGAATGGTATCTACCAATGGTGTATATTGACGGTGATATATCGATGATATATTTGGATGATGGCTAGCAATGATATATATTGATGATATCTAGCGATGATATATATCGATAATAGCTAGTGATGATATTAATATAACTTCTCACTTTTGCTCCGTCCTGCCCAGCTGCATATTTCATAAAGCTCCTGCTATACAATGTTGTGTCTAAGCTGTCCACTCCTTCAAAGCAATTAAAGATGCATTTCATCCCCTGGGACTTAGAGGTTCATTTGCCCACCCCTTGAAGGGGGGGTGCTGGGGGAAGGCTGCCCCTAGTATCAATTCAGTGTGAGAATATAGTATCGTATTTCCAGCCACTCTTTCTTCAAGCATTAGCTGGTGATATTTGAGTTCTTTTACTCCAGTAGCCCGGCATCTTACTTGTCATCTTTGTCTCGGAGTCCGAAGTACGGAATTGTAATTTCCTATATTAAATTAGCACAATAATGCAAAGTGACTGAGAGGGATTTTAATTTTGATTAGAACTCTGAAATTCTTTAATTTAAAATAATGAAGACAGTGTTTTCAATATAAAAAGATGGTTATCACTCTCATTAAATCTACTTTTTTAAAATCATAATTCATCATCACTTTCTTCAGTTTATCAAATAATCATTAAGATTTTCTATATATCATCTTTTATTCCTCAAGTTCATCTTTTATCAACAGAATGAAGATCACTCTTGCTTCTCTATTTCTTGTCATTGCTGGTTTGACCGCCGCCTCTCCGGCGATCATTCCTGATAGTGAGTTGAATGTGCAGTCGAAACCTGGAGCATCATGCAATAGAGCTGGACGTGTTATCTGCAGTGACAGCAATGGGCAGCGGTGTGTAATTTTATACTCCCTTGCTGTATGGCAGATAGCTAATTGATAATCCTTGAATCAACAGATACCCATATATACTTGTCTGTGTCAACCGTGGAAGAGGACTTAAATGGGAGATTCAGGCCACCTGTCCCTCTGGCCAAACATGCCATTATAGTGGTGGTAACAAGAACTGGGCATGGTGTGAGCCCTACTGAGGCTGCTGTGGGATGTTGAGGTGAAATGCTGAGCAAGTTGACTGAGATGGCAATGTGATGCAGCAGTGGTAGCAGAAAGAGAGATGTGATGAATATGAGTTCATTGTTCTTTATTGAGATGAAAGAGAGGTTATTTGTTTGAAGTTTCTTCTTCTCCTTTTTCATTATCTTCTGCTTTGTATTGACTGGCATTCTTGTACTGTATCTGCTTCAAAGAGTCTCAGTCAGAGCTTCATTTATATTATAAATGGAGTTCATGAATGCAGAACAGATTCTCATAATGAAAATCAGACTGATAATAGTTTTGATATAGATGGCCACACTGTTAGCTTCACAAGTAATGGTGGAGTGAAACCATCACCAATACATGCATTCAGAATCAGCTGTGGTGGTCACTTATGCACCGGTTACTTCTGTTCACCCATGCCAACAGGAGTGCCCCTGGATCACCATGACTCAAAAGACCCAAATGCAAGCTGTCTGGTACCAACAACCACTGAAATGGGAATTGGGGGTTGTGCGCTTTTGGCGGCGCGAGAACAGGAGCAGCAGGATCACTCAGTAGAAAACCACAAGATCAATGCATATCATATCTAACAACCTATCTCAAATAAAATAAGAAAAAGCATGTAGGAGAATCAGCTAGAAAGAAAGGAACATGTTGTACAATCAAACCATAAGAAATTGCATACATGAAGAATACTCTTGCACATATGTGTATGTGTGAAGAGGAAAGATCTATCTAGTGAGTGGTGGTGAGGTGGATATATGCAGGGCAATGCCTGGTAAAAAATTTCCCCGCACTGGATCCCCATTACACCACCAGACCACCACGGCGCTGGTGGTGATCGAGTTCTTTTGCCCTAGTGGCCTAATAAGATATTCGGCCATTTGCACCCCCGGATTCAATGCGAATACAACCTTATCGCTACATGCTGTCCAGCCGTCGTCGCTTGCAAAAACCCATTGCTGATTGGAGTCGTTGACAGCATGAACGTATAGCCCTCGCTCTCCATCCTTCAAGTTGAGCAGGAGGCTTTTGCATGGTGATTCGAGGTTGACCAGTAAAGTGCATGTCTCGAACAGGGCTACTGCCCTACGCACTTTAAGGACACTATTACTGTAGTCCTTCGAAAACTAGGAAAAGATGATTATACGCAGCCCAAGGTGTACCGGCGAATTGCCCTCCTCAACACGCTAGGTAATGCCCTGAAGGCCATCATGGCGAACCGACTGACCTATATCGCCGACACTGGGATTACGGACCGTGATATGGATTAGTCAATACCCCTCGGTGAGTAGAAAATCTCTCCCCATTTTGCATTCAAATGACAGTGACGGTCATCATCGGCTGAGGAATCCTTGGATACTCATGTACCAAGTTGGATTGTTTTACTTTTGATCTAACTAACTTATTAAACTTTCCAAAGAGGAACAAAAAGACGCATGTACAGTACGACAGAAAATCAAACTAGGTAGGCCCTGCGCCAGATAGAGAACAGTAAATCAAATCCAGAACCACAATCATCGTCCGATAGCCTTGAATATGTGACCAAAGACATACATCGAACGCTGCGGCCTCGAACCCCGGTTGTTTGCTACTATTGGTACCAAGCCATTGCGGTGCATGTCATCCATGTCCAATCACCCGTTGAAGGACGCATCGTTAAGGGAGCATCTGCATGGTTGCAGATCGGTGGAACTTGGCGGATCTTCCATTTGCTGGAATTCTCGCTTCGAGTTCTGCAACGGCAGGGAGCTGGACCGAGAGGTTTGTACATTCGCTGAAACGGAATTGTCGGTGGGCACTCTACAAGAGCTATACGAATTGATTGAGTATGGGTAGGTTGTTCAGAGGGAGTTTCTTCACAATATACATAACTGTGAGTCATCGATTCCCAGAGCTGTTAACATATCAAGAACTATTCACTTCTCTCCTTTGGTTTCCTTTTCTGTTTGCCCTGCTCTTTCTTTTTGGATTTCTGAGGTTTGGGGATAACTCTTGTATGTTGTTTGGGATGATGGAGGGTACAGCTTCTCCTGCATTTTTATCAGTGAGATGTCTTTCTGCAGCTGTAAATGACACTCACAATATCTTTATCCAGTGATGGAAAATGGCTGTTTAAATCACCATCTTTGCTAAATTTAATTGTAAAGTACTGATTGTCTTTGTGGATGTAGATACCCCTACAATGACGGTCATTAAAATAACTACACAGCATACACTGAAGTGTCTCTTTTCATCAATAACACATCTGGATGAGGCTATTGTACCTGCTTCATGACTTTTTAACCCTCTTTAAACTTGATGGCTGTACCTTATGTTGCTGAAACACAATGGAAAATAAAGGCTCTGAGATTTGACTGTAGAGTTGCATACTCAAGTTCTGTTACTGTGCATAAGGGAATGGTAAACTGAGAGAATACTAGACGTAGAGAACCCTAGAAACTGCTAGACCTAGAAAATGCTTAAATTATGGATATGTTGAATAAAGAAGAATCTCTTTTTGTTTGGTATATTGGGTGTGCGAACATTCCACGGATTTTCTATTTTCCGTTTGCGTTATTGGACATTCAGGATTTTGTTCCCTATGTACGTATTTGGCATGAATTGTTAAAATGAGCAGGCTTGCAGTTGTTGTATTTACAGCCTGGACATATAGAAAAGAAAAGACAGAATATTTTTCCACGTATCGTTCCACCACTTGGTGTGGGATGGTTAATCTTCTCATTGTGTGATCGCTAGCTAACTACCTCTATATATTCATCTCACCAGACCTTTTCTCCAATACATATATACATATATATATATATATACAGAGTATTCTTCATGTATACAATTTCTTATGTCTTGATTCAATCATTCATTCATTTCCTTCTAGTTGATTCTCCTACATGCTTTTCCTTATGTTATTTGAGATAGCTTGTTAGATATAATATGATGGACGTGGAATGTTGGTTTATTGTAATTATCTAGCGGGCGCAGCACTGCTTGAATAGGCGTGGTCACGTGGTATTCTAGCGAGCAATAGGGATGCTGGTTCTTTATATTAGGCCACTAGGGCAAAAGAGCTCGATCACCACCAGCGCCGTGGTGGTATAGAGGGTACGAATCACCCAATCCAATCCCCCCAACACTTTACTACATGGTTCTGCTGCTCCTGTTCTCGCGCTGCCAAAAGCGCGCAACTCCAACTCCCATTTCACTAGTTGAAGCTGAACTTTGAATGACAGCGATTGCTAGGAGGTCATATTCATTGATTAGTATTAGTTACTCATAGTGTCGATAGCAATGTGTAGCATGCATTCTCATGAAAGCACATAAATAAAGAAACCGCTCCAGCCTTCCCTGCTGGGATCACGCAGCACTGAGTCCTCTCCTTTTATTTGCTTTTCCGTTCCGCGCGCCTCGTTGGCAGGGTATGAACGGCTCCCCAAGCATCCTGCATATCCTTACGAGAAATGGGCCAATGCGGGCCGTTACGTAGAATTTGAAAAGACTACTAGTACTGGGTGACAATCCTGCTTCCTTGCACTCCTCTTTCAAAATTGTGTCCCATCAACCAGGAAGCAACCCTCCAACAAACCAAGTACTTCTCAGGTGCTCAGCTTCTATTTGCTGGATCTAACCAAAAATTAAAAAAGCACTCACCTGCTACTGCCGCCAGCCTGTGCCCACCGCATCAAAGCAGGACAACATAAGCCTCGAATAACTTTCCGCAAAGTCCAGTGTGCATCCATCCGCACCTCGGCATTTAGGCATTTCCACACCCGATCATCACATAGCATATGTCCTGCACTGTCCATACACATGCAGTACACACGCAACAAATCGCACAAGGCGCATCCCCCATCTTGGACTTGCTACATGATGCTTTTCTTTTTGCTTTATGTATCTTGAGCCTGTCTCCCCAGCCCTCCGAAAGCCGGCAGAGCTCAACTTTTATCCGCACTACTTTTTTTTTGGTTGCCGGTTGCCCCTCCCTTAACGCCCACCCCACTTCTACGCATGGCGGTACCCCTCATTGACACCTAGGACACTGGCGGTGACGAAACAGGGATAAAGAGCAAAGGTACTCAGCACGTAAGTCTTCTGCAAGGATATCGGTATTATGTTGGGGTTTGTAAAACAAATTTCAAAATACTTTTAAAGGGGCGGTGAGCGTGCTCCTTGACTCGTCCGCACAGAGTCAGTGTGAATTATCCATGAGGGAATAGATACAAGGGGATACCAGGATCCCTCCCGCATTGATTAATGCGGCATGCATGCAATAATAGACACGCACCATACACTGTACCAACTGTACTAAAGACCATGTGAGGCTGATTTTCCAGGATAATAGTCTCCAGAGTATGAGAAAGCTGCGGGCAGGGGCAGGGGCCAACCCAGGCGACCTCGAGCCCTGGGCCGAGGTCTTCTCCTTTACTACTTGTAAACTTGCTTGTCATATGAATTTACAGGAGAAGAATACTATTTCGTTTCAAGATGTGGCCTTAAAGCAATCAGTAGTGAATAGTTTCAGTTGTTGTTTGTAAGAGGGATATAAAATCTCCTCTTTTTAAAATTTTCTTTCAACTCAACTAGTCAACAAAGCGCAGCTCAATTTCTTCTCTCAGTAATATGGCACATGGTGATGCTCCCTGTGATGCAGGATCTTCGGACGGACGTACAGATACTAGTACTAACAACGCAGCCATGCATGAGATCATGGGGCAATATGAAGAAGGCAGCATTTGGGAGAAACCGTCCACATTTCAAGGCGGGTGAGGACCATGGATAAGGCCACATATACTGCGTATACTATACTATGTGCATCTGTATGATGGAGAATTTGTCCTGGCACTGAAGGTGCTCTCGACCTGAAGATCTGATTGGCTCAGACCTCAGGTCCAACGCCAAACTCCCCCGCCACAGAACTTGCTAGTGTTTGAAAATTCGACAGCCACGGTCCAAAAAGGCAATTGTGAAAAATTTGCCAGGCTGTGATTGGTCATAAATTGCCAACGCCTCTCTTTTTTTTCTGCTTTTTTTCTGCCGAGCCAAACAAACACGACAAACATCAGGAGGTGAATTAAATTTGACATCTCCTTTCTTTGCTTTTGAGCCGCTCCAGCAACAAACCTCCAGCTCTGCTCTATTCTCCTCTCCTCTCCTCTCCTCTCCTCTCCTCTCCTCTCCTCCCCTCCTCTCTCCTCTCTTTTGTTGTTCTTCTTTGTCTCTGTCCGTCTTTCGTTTCATTTTCTATTCTACTTTTCCCTCTTGTTTCTTTACCCTCTAGTTGTATTGACTACGATTCCACGGAGTACGCCACACTCACTTTTTACTTATCCTCATTTCTATCCCGTTGTGGCTCGGGCCCTTGTCCGCACTATTGTCTACGCTATCTGCCCCTATTTTACAGACGCTACGGAGTTGAGAAGTTGCGGATCAACAGAAAAGCTTTCAAGAGTCCGACCGCCTCCCTGCCATAATTTATTTTTGTGGCCGTTGGAAAATTGTCCTGGTTCAACCAGCAAAAGCGCTGGACTCCAGGTGAATGTGACATTGTTCTAGATCTCTATCGATAACATTCTCGACCTCCTCGAATCTACCTGTAACATTATAGTCACGGCTTCTTGTTCTATCTTATTGCCCCTTTTGGAGAATCTTGTTTAAAATCGCTCTTCCCATTCCAATCGGATTCTCACTGTTTGAACCCCCCAATGTCGCCAAATACCGCAGCAAACCTCCCTCGTCCTGTCCGTCGACGACCTTCTCTGCTAGCTAGTTTCCGTCCCAAAACTGCGATAGCTGGAGCTGATCTCCCTTTGCCCCCGTTGCCTTCGCGTCCACACACCGGTGTATGGGTCCCTCATAAGGATGGAAGCTATCGAGAAGCGGTTTCGCCCTTTTCCCATGAGATTGCGGTGTGCGACTCGAGCGCCAGAAAGCAACATCATCAACAGCAACAAGTACAATCTGGTTCTTTTGCAACACCAAGCTTTCTCGATCTCGAACCAGAAAATCACAATGCGTTTCCACTTCTGAAAACAAGACATCGTGCCAGCAAGAGCTTCTCCAATCTACGCCATGGTGTCACACACGAATTGAGGGCCGTTGCGCGTCGCCTTTCCCTGACTATTCGACACAAATCTTCCAAGTATAGCCTCTCAGTACCAATGGCGGGGAATGATGATGGCAATACTTCGGACGACTATAGGTCAGCCGATTCAGGAGCTGTCGTGGGATTCCAGACCTGTCGTTCATTTCATGGTCCTCCCGCCAGTAGTCTCAATACGCTTAACCGTCACGGTTCACCACCCCCGCCGCTACCTTGCGTGACAGATCCGATTCCAGGAAATGGTTCGGAGCCGCCAATCCTCCCCGATGATCTCTCGCGTGGCGCCGCTGCCAGAGCTGCTGCTGCTGCGCAAAATGAGATGGTCAAAATTGGCCGTGTGACCTCACAGGACGATTCGAAGATATTCGAATTTGAAACGGCTCCGATTGAAGAGTCAGATGTGGCAGGGGATTCTGAGAGTGGCATTGACGTCAACCTGCAGAATCGCGTAGATGTCTCTGAAGATGATTCGGAGGTTGTGCGCAAAAGTATGATTCCCACATCTAATTCTTGAAACTGGTCGATACTGATTCTATCCGCCATAGATCCGATGGATTATCTGCCCGCTGAACTCATGGCACACGTCCTTTCGTTTCTTGATTCCGACTCGCTGAAACAAGCAGAATTGGTTTCCCATCAATGGCACGAGCTTGCCTCTTCTCATCATGTGTGGAGAGCAGCGCTCTGGCATGAGTACAAACGCTGGCCTAAGGCAGGAAAACTAGCAAACGGCCAACCCAAGTATATGGGGTTAGGACGTATTCGACCGAACCAGGACTGGAAGAAAATGTTTGCCGTTCGACGAGCTCTGGAATCTCGCTGGAAGAAGGGCAAAGCTGCGGCTATCTTCTTGCATGGTCACAAAGACAGCGTCTATTGTGTTCAGTTTGATGAGTATGCAAATTGTCGTCCCGGACCCGCAAAATTTTATTCTTCTAACTCAAATGTAGGAACAAAATCCTCACTGGTTCCCGCGACCGAACTATACGTGTCTGGGATGCGCACTATCCCTGGCCTTGCCTCAAGGTCATCGGAGTTCCTCCTGATCCACCATCACCGTTCAGACAGGGCCGACTTGTATTCGAAGCTCCAGAAGACGATGAATCTGCGCGACTCCCTTTCATCAGCATCTGCCCCACGGTCCACTTTCACCAGACCATGTTACCCCAGCCTCTGCAACAGGTGACTACCACCGCGGCTCCATCCTCTGCCTCCAATATGACGACGAAATCCTCGTCACTGGCTCTTCCGACCATATCTGCATAGTTTGGGATATCAAAAACGATTACAAAGCTATCCGTCGCCTCACAGGCCACCAAGCTGGCGTCCTCGACGTCTGCTTCGATGACAAATACATTGTCTCCTGCTCTAAAGATACCACCATCTGCATCTGGGATCGGCGTACGGGTGAGCTTGTCAAACGCCTCCTGGGCCACCGTGGGCCAGTCAACTCGGTTCAGCTCCGCGGTGAGCTGATCGTCTCCGCCAGCGGTGACGGCGTCGCCAAGCTCTGGAATATCACCTCAGGTCTATGTATCAAAGAATTCACTAGCCGTAACCGCGGCCTCGCCTGCGTTGAGTTCTCTGAGGACGCTCGCACAATCCTAGCGGGCGGTAACGATGAACTCATCTACCAATTCGATGCAAACACAGGTGAGCTTGTGAACGAGTTGAAGGGCCATTGGGCCCTCGTGCGCTCATTGCATATGGATTCGACAAATGGGCGGATAGTCAGTGGGAGTTACGATAGGAGTGTGAGGGTGTATGATGCGGCAAGTGGGCAGTTATCGATTAGTTTGACCACTTGGACGTCGAGTTGGATTCTCGGTGCCAAGAGTGATTATCGGCGGATTGTCGCGGCGGGTCAGGATGGGCGTGCGGTCATTATGGATTTCGGGTATGGGCTTGATGGGATTGAGATGCTTGAAGAGTGATTTACAGGAGTTTATATTTCAAGGGCGGTATATTTCTCTCTTTGCTTTTTACAATTTTCCCTTTTTCTTGCTCGTTTTGTGTAATTTCTTATTCTCATTTTTTTTTCCTGGCCCATTTTCCATCGTCTTTTACCTGGTTTTTCTTCAAATAGGAATGATTTCATCCTCATTGCCATCTTTTCCTTCTTTCTAATCACGCATTCTTGTAATCATTTACCATTTTATTGTGTATGTTTGTTGCATTTTCATGTATTACCTTCATAGATGGTCGTTTTTTTTTAATCTCAGTTTTGATTTCTTTTCTCCCCTTCCCTTCCCTACCTATCCTTCGCTCGTATTTTTGCTTTGCTACCTTCTCTTGTCTTCTACAGCTTTTAGAATTATCTTATCTTCATCTCGTTTTTAGCTTTGTTGGGATCCCAGCCTCGTGGGTTTTTGCTACCACTGCTCCTTTTCCTGTTGTTCTATTTTCAATGCTATATATATATGTCTTCCTCTGTTTTATATTCTTTGCAGTAGGCCAGAGCTAGGTCAACCGATTCATTTCTAGCCGGTGTCATTTGACTAGCCGTAACAAAACAGTTAAGTGGTTGTTATGTATATATATCTCTATACGTATGTATAATTTATCCGCGTCAACTGTGAAATAAACGTGTTCCGTGTCTGATACTTAATGTTTACTTTAAAAGAAGAATAGAGATTTTCAATTATGTTCTGATTTCATTCTGCGGATTTGATATAAAACCCAATTGGTGGCCATTGTGCTTCAATTGAGTGCTGAAGGCTCCTTTTTGGGGGTGGGCAAGTGTTCCCTGACAACGGGACCTCACAGAAGGAAAGGAATTGGCAACCTTAGCAACGACATTTAAGAGGTGCCAGGATCACAACAAAAAGCAACATGGGAATCCATTCCTTTAGGCAGTTAAATGACCTTGGCCAGGGAAGTCCCATATATATATATATATATATAAATTGACTTCGTTACATCTTTCTTGGTTGCTCTGGATGCGGATGGGAATTGTCAGGGTGAACTAATAAGGCGTTGCGGCGTGGGGCGCAAAAATAAATAAATAAAATAGGCAGTATTAGACTCAATTCCGGGGGAAGGAAAAACAAAACAAATCCGAACAACGAACAAACCAACGATCGAACAAACGTATGAACGGTTTTTCGTCTTCACCAGCTTGTTCTGCAGTAAATGCTGCGTACTTCTCTCTGTTTTCTGCTCCCTCCTCCCCTCTCATTGCCCCACTCCCTCTCAAGTCCTCTTGTCTCGACCCTCCACGCCTGAATATCATCTCCCAACCGGCATCTGTGCGTTCTCCCCTCTCCTCTCGCCTGCTCCTCTCGCCTCCTCCGGCATCAACACGTACAATACTTCTTTACCTATCCATCACACCTACATATCTCTCCCTCCTTTGTTCTCGTTCTAACCATCCTCGGTATCCCGCGCACAGGGGTCATACAGGTACAGCCTCGCGAAGAAAAAACCAACGTGCGAGAAAGTTTACAACGGGCCAGTCATCCGTTTGAGGGAGGGATACGCAGACCCCTGATATCATTTTGATCTTTGTTTGCCATGGGTGAATCCAGGTACGTTCGTTCGAATGACTTTTGTGTCGTCTTCATCTTTTTATCCATTGTTACTTTCCGGGAAAAAGCAAACTATGCAGGTTTGATTGATGGAATGGTGGGATGGTCGAGCCCGTTATGATTTATTTTTTTTTTTATCTTTATTTCCTCTCTTCAAAACGGTACTATTAAATAACAGTTTTCCCCGCCAACCAACCTTTTATCTTCTTTTACATTCCTTTGCCCAAATATTGAATGCCATCTTCTGGCTTCTTTCCGAAACACACATACAAGTGATCTCAAGCTGACGATTCTCCTCCTGTTCCTTTTCGGGATTGGGATCAAATATGCAGGCAAGAGCTGTTGGCATGGCTGAACAACCTGCTGCAGCTGAACGTTACCAAGGTCGAGCAATGCGGTACCGGGTATGCACTATAAGTTTTTTCATGCAGTTTCCTTTGTGTCGAGTTTCGTTCGGCTCCCTTCCTCCCGATATAATTTGTCCTCCCCCTCCATCTCCCCCCTCCCCCCCATCCTGCCTTCGCGCTCTATGGGGCTTTAACCAGTTTGGAAGCGTTCCGGATGGCTTTTACGGGAGCAGTTTGTATGGGATTTTTGTTGGATTGCGGGAAGAAGAGGGTTGTCTGGACATGAATGTCTCGTTACCAAAGGGATGCCATGCGAAAAGACGACACTGAGGTTCTGGAATATATCGGAATTTTATGGGACTGGAAAATTAATTACCATGGGAAATTGACTGACGAGATACTGCTTTGCGCATGTGATCGATATAGGGCTGCCCTATGCCAGGTTTTTGATTCTATATACAGTTAGTGCTCTTCATGTGGATTCCTTCCAGAGAAAACAATTGGCATATCACTAACCAACTTGGACTCGATCGTGACATAGTGGATGTGCCCATGTCAAGGGTCAAGTTCAATGTCAATACTGAATACGCCTACCTCCAGAACTTCAAGATCCTGCAAAGTACGAGCCCCTCGAGATCTCTCTCCCAAATTGAACCCCCAGCATGCAACCGACTTTCAATAGCGGATATCTCTTTGTCAGATACCGTTGGGATGCCTTTCAAATATTACATGTATCCCCAATTTCTGACAATTTAACCTATTAGACGTCTTCACACGGCACCAAATAGACCGCCCCGTCCCTGTTGAAAACCTCATCAAATGCCGAATGCAAGATAACCTTGAATTCCTCCAATGGACCAAGAAACACTGGGACCAATACTACCCGGGTGGTGATTATGACGCCCTAGCCAGACGAAAGGCTGCAGGGGCTCCTGCCTCCAATTCCACCCGTGGACCAGGCACTACATCCGCCACAGGCGCACGTCGAGGTGGCACGACCCCTGTGAACTCGGCAGGCGGCCGTCCACGCCTCGCCGGCGGCGCTGGTAGCGCCAACTCAGCCGCGCTAATGTCGGAGATAAATGCGCAAAAGGAAGCCATTGCGGGTCTGGAGAAAGAGCGCGATTTCTACTTTGCGAAATTGCGGGATATCGAACTGTTGCTGCAGCAGGCTGTCGAGGCGGACCCTGAATTGGATAAAGATGATGATTCACTCGTGAAACATATTCAAGCTATCCTCTATTCGACTGAGGTATGTCGTGTTTGGCTCCCCGTTCTCTTTCCCTTTCTTTCTTTTCCCTTGTCATCACAGTCCTATTTTCCACTCTTAGGTTTCTTAATATGCTTTGTTGGATTTCGGGTTTGTCTTGTTTTCCACATTCTGTTCCATCGGTCTTTCTTCGCTATTTAGAGTTTATGGTTGCTAACTAAGAACCGTTAATGTAGGAGGGTTTCGAAATTCCTCCCGAAGCTGAAGGGGCTGCGGCAAGCGAAGAATTAGAGACGTTTTAAACAACGATAGAGAGAAACAACTGCTTGCTAGAATTCTTTCCCTTGCCTCTTTTTTGAGATGTGATTTTTTTTTTTTCCTTGTTCAACCAGCCTGCCAAGGCAGTCTTCGAGGCAGTCTCCTTTCTCCTGCTTGGGTGACACGCTATCATTTTCTAACCCTCCTTCTAATTAATCGAGGTTTTTGCCCCTGTGTGTGTCATTTTTCAATAATTCTCCATAATTTTTTTTTGCATCAACCAACTAGCCCTTTGCCTTATGTAATACACATGACTTCGTTTTCTAAAGTTTGACGAAAATAGTCTCTCATTTTCATTCAAATCTGATTTTTCCACTTGTACTGCTTGCCGTCATCATTTCTCTCTACCCCCAAAATCTCATAACAAACAAATATACAAAACCAATGAAAGGAGAGAGAAAGGCGAAGAGAGAGAGAGAGAGTGTGTGTGTGTTTGTGCTGAGGAAAATTTTGTTACGCCCTTTACAAATTTTCTTTTCAATATACTGAATCCCAACCTTTACTACTGTAAGATGGACTCATACAAAGTACTTGAACTTTATCAAGAGGTTCTTTTTGACCTTTTTAACCTTTCTACTTTACACGCCCATCTCAACTTCTTCGTTGCATTCATTTCTTATTCAGATCTTTAATTCTCCCTGTGAAGTTCACGATCTTCTCTACATACATCGGTTCAAATTAAAAGATTCTTTACATTGACTTGTTACAAACTTATTATTAAGTTCCAGGATAAATTTTATAGAATCAAAACTAGTTCTTTTATCACATACTATTAAATTCGATTTTCAACCATACTTTTTAAGTTCCACGTGTATATCTGCAAAAGAACAAGATGTTAGGCCACTGGGGCAAAAGAGCTCTCTCACATCAGCGCCATTCTGGTAGTAGAGGGGACGAACCAATCCAAACCCCCAACACAAGATATGAATGAAAATAATTTGAAGTAATGTAATCTATCATCCGTCAGATACGATCATGTATGGATAGATTTTTACAATGCAAAATATATTTTATAATCAAAACTATCATCAACTAGAAAAGACTTCCTTTAGTTTTTAAAGTATTTAAAAGATCAATAGCTAATGCGTATTTTTGACTTCTATTTAGAAAGGAATTAAACTGGTTTTGATCATTCTACTGGATCGGTGGCCCCCCTTCCCCCCCAAATAGCTGATTTATAGAAGTGAGTTTCAATTATATTCGTTCATACGTAGAGAGGATATGATCATCTTTGACCATTCCATACACACATTTGACTAATTTTAGCGGCTATATAGAGAGGAAATGAACCATTTCTAGTCGTTCTACGGGATAATTTGACCTCTACAGAGTACTTCATAAGTTGAGTGCTGGTAACACGGCCCCTGAATGACTTGAGTTGGGGTTGACCTTGGTGGCGAACAGAGGCCGTTCGAGACGGCTTTTACGCAACCCATGGATATCTTTGCCCGGCCCATGCTTGGTAGTTATTATCATTAGATTTATAAGAAACAGCTGCCATTAGTGGGGCTTAATTGCTTAATTTCTGATACTGTCAAACCTTGGTGTAATGAAATATTTCCCCTGATCAAGTTGCGGCGCCCTGGTGGTCCTTATCATTGAACACTGAGTGTGAGCCAAGCCTCTCAGAGAGTGGCTGTAAGGCAGCTTGATACTTTAAATACGCTCAAATGCTGTTTGAATATTATAAAAATCATCGGGTTAATTTTATTGACAGAAACTTTCACGGATAACTAGTTAGCTAGTTGTTTTTAATGACAGTTGAAACTTGTTCATACTGTTAGAGCTGGCAGGCTTAGGAATCCCCCGTGAGCAGTGCTCATCAGCGGTGGTCTACTGTTACACCTGAAAGCAAATATGAAATGTTTAATTTTATTCATCAGTTAAGTGAAAGAGCTGTAGTATATTCAGCAGCTCATCAGATGGTGAAATTTCTTGGAATATCACCAACAAAGAAAATACAAACAATTGCAGAGGATTAAGCATGAATCGTGATGATAAATTATTTATAGTAGTAAGAGATCATTTGAGATTGAAAGGAGAGATACATTATTAATCTATAATAGCTTGAAGAAGTTGAAAGTATAATTAAATTACAAAATTTTAATATAAAGTTTATATCAAGATCTAAATCTTAATTTTATAGCAAAAAAATAAGAGATTGAAAAAAGTTAGTTAACTTAAACGCAAGACCTTAAAGAAGACAGAAAAGAAGCTAAACTCTATCTTGTCAGGTCTTTGACCGTTTTGATACATGAACACTCAGCATTTGCTATGGTGAGAAATTGATTTTCCATTTCTACTTACATTCAATCTTTAATCTTTTTTTAGCTAGGGCTGGAAACTTGTTAACTGGTTTATACGATGCTTATCATTGAAGTTTCTACTATAGCGTGTGTAGGGATCTAAGTCCTTATCTTGAGCAGGTTTAAGAATGAATTTCAATGTAAGGAAAAAGAAGCATTGAGAAGTTCAAATAATTTAAATATACGTACAACATTTTGAATATTAACGAAGAAATTTTTAAAACTTTCAACTACTAACTAATGATAAAAACAAGCTGTATGTACTCTGTAAAATTATTAGTGTAGTTCCAAATAATGAAACATGATCTTTCTCGAAAGTTGATGAGATAGTCATTTACATTTTAATCTGCAAGATTTCGAATGCACGTTTTCTCTCTGTAGTCTGTACAAACGTACTAGTACTCGCACAATTGAACCCCAGAACGGCGCTATATCTATTCAAACTTCGTGTTAACTTACATACTACATTCTCTCTCGTCGGTGGCGATGATTCTTAGATCCTGTGTTCTCCTTTTCTGATGTATTTGCATTCGATCATTCTACAAAGGAGGCGCATATTCCTATATACGTTGGCAATCTCCACAATCTGATAATGTCAAATTGCCATCGTGGCAAAGTAATTCGACTTCCTATTGCGGACTAGTGTACCGCACATCTACCTGAGTTTACCAACTTAGACGCCTGAACACTTTGGTTAAGTGGATATGAACCCCTTTTTTCTAACCTTAATGAGATGGAGTCAATGGCTGTGGGCCTTGTCACTTGTGACTAGATCGCTTCACAAGATCTACTAGAGAGAATCATCAAAAAATAAAATTACAAAAAAGCTCGAGGGAGGTGCTCAACAGCTAGCCACAGCTGTAGGCATTTTTTTTTTTTTTTTTTTTTTTTGAATGATTTAAAATCAATCTGGTAAAACCCATTCATGCATATACATTTGAAAATGTTGAGTGCCATATCCCCGAAGTCTTCTTCAAGGTAAACTTTGGATCAATTCAAACATTGCCACATTCAAAACGTCTCTAGATCTATGCTGCGTACACCATCATCAAACCGCTACCTCGGGCAATGAACGGTTCCCAAGGGTCGCTAGACTGTAGAAAGATCAGTTTCCTAAAACTATGCTTTGAACTTAAACATTCATTGCTATATATATTATCCTCATATATATATATATATATAGCTGTTACTGTCTGATTTCTCTTCCTTGCTTCCTTTCTTTTCATACTAGTACTTTTCTCACATCAATATTAATTTATCTATTTTATATTCTATTTTTTTATATTGATACCGAAATTAGAATTCACACAGCATAACAGAAGATCTCAGAAACAGACGAAAATGAAAACTGTTTGCTTGCCTACTTACTTCAAGCTTCTCTCTTTTCTGTCTGCCATAGCTGTGACATCTGGAGCAGCTGTTGACTCAATCAATGGCTGTCTCTTAGGATCAAACTGCCCACCACCACCACCAACAACAACAACAACAACAACACCAACACCAACACCAACACCAACAACACCAATAACACCAATAACACCGGCAAATAAGACAATTGTGCTTTCAACCATTATCGAGCCTGGGCCAGGCATGGTTTGGGCGCAAGTAGATGAGCTTGATCCTGAACCATATTATGTGAAATGGGTCCCTGATCCAACGTTTGCCTCGCCTGTTGTACTGCAAAATAACACAGAGCTTGTCTTCAAGGATGGAAGCAAATCTTTTTATCTCAACTTCGATAACAGCACTTCTGACACAGGTATGCATTTTCTTTGGATTTTCTTTGAAGCAGAACAACATTTCTCTTTGTTGAAATGTATATTTATGGAACTATCTAGAAATGCTAACCACTCTTCAATACATTAGGTATTTATTTTGCGAACCTTAACTCCTCGGCTGGTATTAGTCAACTCTACACGGATAGTGACAACAAGTTGCTCTGGGGTGGAGCTCAACAAGAGCGGGATGGCTGGATGTGTAAGTGAAAGAGTTATATCTTGTTATACCCACACCTGACTATGGCCCTCTTTGCTGACGTAAATTCTTGATATTTTGAAGGGTGCTTCATGGTCGATCTACAATACCGCATGTTCTACTCTGACAGCAAATTCCTTGGTCCTCCAAGGGATTGTGGCTTCTCTTCTGTCTTTTTGACAGAGCGCCCGAGTTGAAACAACTGTTGTGAGGAGGGGAGCAGTTCTGGACCGGCCGTGCGAAATGAGTAATGAGTATCAAAGTGCTTCTGTGATCTATGAAATTTAGAGGGCCAGGATACAATTATTGATCAACTCCCACAAATATCATAGCGCTTGTTGTGAGAAAAGTAATTCTATCTTATTACAATATATGCATTCAAGTTAAAATATGTTTTCTTAGGTGTTCAGTTATAATTAAGTGAGAGGCTGGTCAAGATCTCATTATAAACGCGAGCATATTAATAGAAGAGCTATAGCTACAGTATTTTGTTAAATTTGTATATTCATCATCGATTGTCAGTTCAAGTTATTATATAATATACTAATCAATCGATCGCCTTTGACGCTCCGACCTGAACCTTGGAACGTTGGAACTTGGAAGGTTAATGTTCCCCTGATCTCGTTTAGCCGTGCCCTGCGATGCATCCACCAATCAGTGGCGCCTAATCCAGATGTGGGTCTTGGCGTACCGTCACGGGATGTTTACCCCGGCAGCTTTCCCCTTTCTGACAGCAGAGGCTCAATCCAATGTTCCCCCATCCCCAAGTCCGGCTGCAGTTGAACAACACTTGCACTGTCTGCACACGGCTACCAACAACGCGGTGCAACGATGACAGGGGCCGAACGACGACGACGACTACGACTACGACAACGACAACGACAGCAGCACGCTTCCTCCTGTATATCTCTAGCATAGAGCTAGCTATCTTCTTTCATTTCTTGCGTGCTCTCTGCCGTGCTCTCTGGACAACTCACCCGTCCGCTGTCGCTGGGGTGATCGTTCTCCTGCTGCCCCTGTTGGATACGGCTGCATAACGGAATAAGAAAAGACGTGTCCTGCTTGGTGTATAGCCTCATCAAGACATTAAACCTTGAATACGAGCCCGTTATTTGCGCACAGACGCTCACAGGACTTTTCTTTCACCCCTTATATTTCGTACTGACAACACCTGTGAGGCGAGGATTGACGGAGTTCGTTCTGTCAGCGACATCAACCACCCATTTTTTATCTTCGTCGAGTTCCCATCGAGTCTACCCCATCTACGTATTGGGTAGATGTAACAATCACCGGTACTACTTTCCTGAAGTCGCGTTTTTGTCGTACTATTCTTTATTGTGGGGTTTGTTTCATATTTATTATATACTGACCACAGTGCCATCGGCCTTGAAAATTTAGACATTCGTTTCTCAAGGAGCCTTGCGCTCTTCTCCCCGTCCAACTTCGTCAGCCGGATGACTGACGTCCGTTCGTTTATTCAATGAAATTAACGATATTAATATATCGCGATCCTCTGGCTTCATTCCTCCAGGTGACCGACACCCGCTCGTTTCTTTTTCGACCAAACACTCGTTCCAACACAAAATCGTGAATACTCGGGGATTCAATCTACTTGAAGTAAATTATTCACATTCGTTTCTTTGACTTTATCCTCCGGCCAGACCGACCGTTTACGCGCCGGTTCAATCGGGCATATCGTCCCGTCTCACGTTCTCTTGTCGCGTATTCAATCAATCGTATGGCCAGGAGGGCTGACCTAACTTCCAATCGCTCAATTTACAACGACTTAACCAGCTCGTCACAAGGGGCCAACAACACCTAGATCCAGTCTCCCTTTTTTTTTTTTTTTTTTTTTTTTTTCCCATTCATTGCCCACCTGTGGAGCTTGTTGCTTTGCCCGTTACAGTTAGTGCGCATGTCTCATAGGGCATTTTGTCACTCGTCGATTTTTCCCATTAACCGAAATAACCGAAAAAAAAGCCGGAAACAAATAGGAAAAGGATAAAGGGGAGCAAAGGGAACCTTTCTCTTCGGCAGTTTAGCACAGGAGAGAGTATCGGAGCTTCAAGCTCGCAGATATGGGCCACCATGGCAAGAGGCATTGGAGGCACAATGGTGCGCATCTGAAAGTTCGGTCTGCCCTAGGTGCAGGAAATGCACTCGTTGGAGCAGCCATTGGGCATGAAGACAAACGAGGGGGTGATACGAAACCTAACTTGAATCCTTTGGAGAACATTGATGAAAACACTGCCGCAATGGTGACAGTTGACGAACAAGGACGCTTTCGTGAGGGCTCAAATTTAAAATATTTACTTGCACGTCAAGCACAAGAAAGCCCTAGAGATCCAAATATGGTGGTTTCAACTACAGTTTCTACGTTGCCCGCCACTGTATCAAACTCAGTCACCAGTCTTGCAGAGACTGATTCACAAAGTGTTGTCCCGTCAGCTCCGCCAAATAACTCCTCGGTACTGAGTCCTGTATCAGGTCCTGTGACTGCGCCGGCACCTTCAAGCACTAATATCACTGCCCCTGAAAACGGACCTGGAACTCCCTCACAGCCCCCAGAAGGCGATCCTACCTCGCCGATGTCTGATTCTAGTGTCACCTCTTCTAACTTACCTACATCGACCATTGATATGACGTCTTCAAGCTCCGCTTCTGCATCTAGCCCTGCGGCGTCTTCCCCCTCGTCAACATCATCCACATCCGCAGCTGAGCATGTCACGCGACCTCCTTTTATCCTGTTGCCTATATCGACTCACTCTGCTTCCTCGGTTTCCACGCCACCCGTCATACCTGTTGAGCGTTTGCCAGCAGAAACAACGCCACACCTATTGCCAATCACCACCTCTAGCCCCTTTTCAACACCTTTATCATCTTTGCCCTTGTCGTCTATATTCTTGGCTTCGACGTCGTCTACATCATTGTCACCCTCATCGTCATCAATTCCTAGCAGCACAACAATTACATCATCGAGTGCTATGATCAGTTCAAAGTCGGCTCTAATGCCTACTTTTGCTAGTGACTTTGGTGGCAGAGGCGGAGGCGGAGGAGGTGGTGGTGGTGGAAACGGGGACTCGACTGCAACTGGCCGAAGTGGTACGCACACATTTGTAGGCGACAGTCCTGCTGATACCTCCGGATCTCCCCCTGATTCGACAAGAAGGGTTGTAGGTGGCGTGGTTGGTGGTGTTGCCAGTATCGCTCTTCTCATAACAGTAGTGCTCCTCCTTCTAAGAAACCGGAAACGAAAAACCGATTTTTCCCACGATCTCGCATCAGGGGACAGGGGAATAGCAGCAATATTACATTCAGGATTACCAGGTGTGATGTCTGAACGTTCTGCTAGCACAGCTACTGGAGGAAGCGCCTTGGGCGCCACAACTCTCTTCAGCAAATGGAGAAACTCCCATCAATCCACTAGGACTCTCGAACCACCACCTAGCAGCGAAAGAGGGTTTCACAAAGTGTCGGGGAGAAAAATCACATCAGTTCTAGAATCTGGTGGTGATGGATATGATGACCCATTCGGCGCAACCGGAGAGAGACTGTACTCCGAAACGGCCTCTGCCGATGCCGGTGCTGCAAATAAAAAGACTGGTTCACTCACAACGATTGCCCCTATTCTCCCCCAATCCTCTCCGACCTTTCAATCCCGGCCAGCCATCTCTCACAACAAGATGTCACGAAGGGCGGGGCCAATTGCACAGCCTCTCACCTCCCCACCGTTCGGCCGCCCACCCTCACAAGAGGGTGATTCCTCCCCACGTGTCGTCCTCCGCGCTTCACCGGCACGAACCCCACTAACCAGTTCAGCCGATATCGCTACATCGACAACAATGGCCTCAGCTGGCTCAATTGCTCTGCACCCCCCGCCACACGAATCGCTACCACGATTACCCGTCCATCAACGGGTTTCTGGCCAAGATGCGATAGGGAGGAGTATGGCTAGTTCAGACGGCAGTCGTGCTAGTCGATTTACAGAGGGGATTTAATCAACAGCAAATGCTTTTTTTGTATAGGGATATATTTATGGTGTTTTCCCAATTTATTATATACCTTATTTGTTTTATCTGAAATGGCTATAAATGTTATTTTGATTTGGCGATATGATATTACTTATATATACCAAACCAGCCGGAGTTATTTTTTTTACAAAGGGTGAATCGATGTTTTTAGCGCTATCTCCTCCTTCATGTACTTAAAATCTTTGGATTATTTCGCAGACTGTCAAACAAACTGCTCGAGATACTTGATGTCTGATATATTAATTATGAATTCTTGGCTATATCTAATAGCTGATGCTTCTTTTCTTTTCTCCTTCTTTCCATTTACTGTTGGCATCCCTATCGCTCACTAGAAGGTATATAAGCAGTGCTACGCCCGCTAGAGAGTTACAATGAACCAACCTTCCACCTCCATCATTTACATATATCCTTCTCCCCCCCCGCCCTTCCACTCCTAGTTGGCCGCTTTTCCTTCCTTCTCTACATATTGTTTTTCTCTTACATATTCGGAGATTTCCGCTTTACAATACGCTACCTATCCTATCGAACCTACGTTGTCTCAATCTATATAAATACTATTTCATTTTTCCCCCACATCCATTTCGACCTGTATATATATCATCACACTTGTGCTCCTTTTCACCATCTTTGCGATTTCGATATCTATATATATTTGTATATAGGTATCCAATTGGCCAACCTTCTAACTTCTATCGTTAATACCATTTTTTTTTTAAAAAAATCCTCTATCTGAGGCTGCAAGTCATCGAGACGTATCTTTGGCGTAGTTTGGTATGTTGGAACAGGGTAGCTTTTGATTTATAAGGTGGCGCGGTATGGATGAGGGTATTTATATTATTTCCGATGCCATACAGAGGGACCATTGATCCCAGACACATATACAAACATATATATAGCGATATATCGTTTTACCCTTCGCAGATGGGTGATGATGGAATGTCATACGTTCATTTGCCAGCAACACAGTGCACAAGATATCAGAATACCTATGTATATACGTATATATAGATATTTCAATTATATAAACGCACAAAATGCCACCCAATCAACATCGTTGCACATTCATCACGCAAATTCCCCATGCTTGCTACAGCGATAGACACGTGTGCGTCATTCCAGAAACCTCTTTCCCCCCTGGCTACCTTTTAGTCGTTATATTGTGCGCGAAATTGCCGAGTTTAATTACTGCTGTTTCCCCTTCTATAACCCGAACATTTAGTTAGCAGTTGTCCTTCCTCCCTTGTCAATAATCCCTTGGGGAAATTCTCATAAGAAAAACCAAAATTAAAAAGAAAGGATGGTTGACAGGTGAGCTCGGGACATACATTTGCATGTTGTGCAACCGCAGCTACTACCGCCGCCAGATGAACAAGTACACGACTGTGGACCGTCACAGGGGCAGGAGTTATTTCCGCATCCGCAGGCCATGTTGTTGGATGTTTTGTGGTATTTTTTGGTTGTATTTGCGTGTGTTTGTTACTCTTCGTTTGGGGTATGCAATTAGCGTTTCTCGCTTATAGTTGCCTGGAAGAAGTGGAGGAAGATGAAGTAAAGGGAGTGTGGGCAAAGGGGCGGGGGGGGAGAAAGGGGGATGTGTGTACATACATTTGTTCCGCTTTTTGAATTTGGGTATAGAAGAGTATGAGTATGCTGATGAAGATAAAGGGAGGAGAAAAGGGGGAAAAAACAAAAAAGAAATAAGAACTTTTCGTAAGGGGTTTGTGTTATTTATGTAGAGCTTGGGGAAGGTCGAGATATACTTCTGTTAAGTCAATGTAGTCATTCTTACGTCACAAGTTTTGTCGACGCTGGGGGTTGTGGCGTTATCGGGCACAAGGGAGGATTGAATCCAACCATGGATACAAAGTTCCATATCGGTGCTTGAGGATCGAGTGTCAGAATGTCAAAGCTGGTAAGGGAAACCATTGTGTCTCCAATGGCTGTTTGAGGAAGAAAATCAGTAAATTTAGGTAATAATGATATAATCTTCGAGCGGAAGTAACTAGAAGGCAAGGAAAGTTGGAAAGAAAAGAGAAGGAAGATGAGGCAAACGAAAAAGCTAAAAACGCTAGAGGGGCTCTAGACTAAACGAATCCATCAATATAAACTAAACTAACCCATGTTATCACAAAACGCAAAAATTGGTACAGAGATTCTTCATCCTGACGCCGTGAATGAAAACTAAAAGTAGCCCCTGGATTGCCTCCCTTCCATTTGTTTCAATTCCATTCCCTATCATTACTCATTAGTATACATGTAACCGTTGTTTGAGTGTATTAGCATGGTTAACACGTCATGATGCTCTATCAACGCCGCCCGCCGCCAATTCGTACTATGCCGTCCGTCGCCGCTCGCCCAAGTTTTTTCCGACATTCTGGGCAATACCATTTCGCCGTCCGACTTGGGACTTCTGTGAGGCCGACGCAATCGAGATGGAACCATTCCTTGTCACACTAAGGAAAATAAAGTAAAGCAGGTTAGTTGTATGTGTTCGGGTTGCAGACTATATGATGGGAGGATTGAAGCGATATTGGAAGAATACATAACAACGAAGGGGGAAGAAAGCAGAAAATGCTTCAAAAAGTGTAAAATGGATAGAAAATTTAAAGAACGTAAAGAGCAGAAACAGTACACTTTTAAAGAGGAGAGTCGCGACAGCCACTCACATCATTATCCTCGCAGCAGATCATGGTCCCGAAACTCACGTCTCCGCACAGACAATATCTTGGCTCGTTCGGATCGATCTCTTCCAGTACTCCGTCTTCGTCGACCCGTAGATCCTCGGTCCTGGGAGGCTGGGAACCCACCCTTTGGCCCTGATCCCGCTTTTTCTTGACTGCTGGTTTGGCTTTGCGGCGGCCCACACTTACGGCGGCGCCGCCATCCTGGCCAGACGTTACGGGTCCTGGCGCCGGGCGTTTGCTACGGCGACCAGCCGCAGTCGTGCCGGTAGGTTGATCTGCTCCAGGTGTGGTCTTAGCCACTGCCGGGGTAGCACTCTTCCTTCGAAGTCGATCACGACCGGTCGCTTCCACAGGAGCTCCAGTGGCGGAACGCGGTCGGGACGTTGCTCGTGTGGTAGGTGGCGTTGTAGTAGGGAGGGGCTTGGATGTCGCAGGCCCTGTTGCTCGACGTAGATCAGTTGGAGACGGAGCACGTGGTGATACTTTTGAGGCTGCCGATGGGCCAGCAACAGCGGAAATTCGACGGCCTTTAGCTGTAGCTACACTTTCCATTAAAGGTTCGTCTCCAGATGGGTGAATGGTACTTGTAGAAGCAGACTTGCTCAGCTTGCGTTTTTTACTTGACGGTTTGGCTGTGACTAAGGAGACAGCGGCTGGAGATTCAACATCTTGCGATGATTCTAAAGCCGCTGCCTCCTCAAATTTTCTCTTCCTAGTGGCTTGCTTTGGCGCCTTTGGCCTATCCTTTACTATAGGACCGTTAGCTTTGAAAGATGTACCTAAAAGTCCAGATTGAACGTTGTGAAGATTCTGTTCTGCAGGGCTGGAAAACAGGCTTTTAAATGTAGACCCGATGTCCCCGAGTCGTCTCGCCGCCATCTCCGCTTCGACCGCAGCGAGAGCCGCCTGTTCCCGTGCAAGGTTTTCGCGTTTCAGCTTCTTCGCCTCGTTCAGTTTCATACCTCGGTTACTCAGTTTAGTCTCTTCCACCCCTGATACATCCGCGCTTACTTCACTTTTTAGGACGAGCTTTCCTGGAATATAATTGTTCGCTATGTCGTCGCAGTCTACAAACTCCGCACCAGTTGTTTCAGCATTCAGCTTTGCCAGTCTGTAGCCTTCCCATCCTCGACCACGGAGCGCAAGCTCTCGGTGGATCATAATTTCGCTAGGTTGCCAAACATTATTCTTCTTCATCTTCTTTCGAAGCTTGGTCATTTCCCATTCGGTTAACCGGAGCCACGGGAAATATTCGCTTCCGATTTTCGCATCTTCCGGCGGAGGTTTTAGCAATGCCAATGCGTTACTTGTAGAAGTATCGATTCGATTCATCTGCACATTTCCACTGGAATGTCGCGGCTGAGAGATACGACGACTCATCCCACGCTTCTGCTTTTTGGACTCCCGCTTGTTCTTTAAGGGAACGAGCTGCTTCGCTGCTTCAGCAGCACGCGATGAACCGAGTTCAACTCCTTCCTCGGATTGCTCGGTGCTGGCTATAGGTGAGTCTGGATCTCGCACGGCAAGATTGCCACCACGGGTCGCCGCGCCCTGTGACTTCCCTTTTTGTCCTCGTTTCCCAGCAACGGTTGAGGATGCCGCAGGTTGCCGGCTTCCATCGATGCGCAAAGTTATCCTTGGTACAGAGGGTGTCTTGCCAGCTTTACGGCCGTTTCTTGGTCGTTGCGTTGTTTCTGGTAATGTTTCAGCGCCGGGAGAGGCAGAGACGTCACGGGAAATCGCAGTACAGGTACTCGTTAGCGCATTCAACTTGGATTTGATGCTCCCAAGGCGATCAAAATACCGATCAACTACATCGTAAAGGCGGCATGCTTCTGCATACGCGGATTCTCGGGCATTCATCGCGCGCCCTAATTGTTCTGATATCTGCTTTCGTAGAACGACTGGCTTAGGACGCGAATCCGCTGGTAGGTTGGGTAATTGTCCATAAATCTTCGTAAGCTCATGTACTGCGTCTGCAGCATCCAGGTAGGTCTCGTCCAGGCCGCGTATCAGGGTTAAGGAACGGACAAGGTCCGACGGGAGGTATTCGGTATAGTCAATAAAATCGCTCACAGTGGCCTGCGCGTCCGGATCGGAGGGGCCCTCCATGATGATACCGCGTTCATCTGAATCGTCAGACATCATAGAACCCATGAGGCGCTCGAGGGAGAAGGTGAAGGGTTTCAATTCAGTCAAAACTCCGTTGGAGACAAAGCGATAGGAGAGTGGAGTGTCACCATCAGTGCGACAGGGGAGATCATAGAGTCACAGATGACGCATTGGGAAGATGGCCTCTGTTGACAATAGGTGCTCATATGAAGCGCCTATCGCGTCGGGAAAGTATTGGAAAGTTTCGAAAGTTGTGAGGGGGGATTATTCAGCGCTGGAGGATTGGAGAGAGCTTCAACGATCAGTCGCGAGGTCGTCGTGATTGGGCTGGGGATCGTTCAAGGAGGCAAAAACGGATAAAATATTCTGCCATAGTCATGTGATTTGGCTGTCCATCACTGCCAGCGTGGACCAATCGACGGGCGTGTAAGAGCCACAAGAGAAAGCACACTAAGATACGTAACTAAACGAGGGGGATTAGGAAGTTTAAATCAACGACTCCACAAGGCTCTCCTTGACAGACGTAGGGTCATAGCTAGCTTGTGTCTTCTGATACTTTAGACGCATTTTTACGTTGTAAGACTGCATTTCTGCTGATACGTTAATAATGTCTCAGTGTTCTGCTGTTGCTTTGTCAACAGGCCCAAGTAGTGAAATGAAGTGACTCCTGCTTTGATGTCATGTAAATTGATATAATTTACAATTTGCAACACAGTGCAGTCCACTGACCGTCCTTTTCTAGATGTTTATATATCATTTTAACTGATCTTCTCTTTATTGTCATTTTCTTCTTTATTCCCTCTTATCAACTGCTTCCCAGGCGGTTTTGCCTGGAGCCACTGTTCACTACCCGTCCAGCTTGATGATGCCAATGATGGATATGCAAGCCCGCCTCAAAATACTCTTCGATGGAGAAGACGAAGAGCTTCTCAAGACCAATACAGATCTTCAATCTGTACTTGAAATAGGCACTCTTTCTATGAAGGAACAGAATAACTTCAATACCCCAGACGCCCATCCCCCAGAAACCAGTCAAGAAAGTGCTTCCAAGAAAGTGGTGGCAGTGGAGCTCAGCAGCTCAGAGGATGGGTTCGATGAGTATCTCTCTGCATTTTCCGAAGTTGCACGGAAAAACAAAAGAAAGAAGAAGATTTGCAGCAAGAACGATGACAATAAGAGTCAGGGGAGAGCGAGTCTGGATTTGTCGACGTCAATGGCTTCCCACGATGCGTTTGGGGCAACACTCTGTGGCAATGGCGGAAGATTATTCTGCCCGATATCCGCCGTCAGTCGCTTTCCATACAAATATATTCGAGGTAATGCTGGGGAGCAAATTGCACAACGCTTTTTCAACGAAGGAAAGTTCTGGAATAGGTCTTGGGATATGTACGCATTCCACGAAAGAACCCACACTTCTAGTCCGGGTGTCAGACCACGGTGAAAATGCACATGTGAAGACAGGATGATTATAGTTATATGCCATCTGCCGCGCAATCACTTTTTTTTTTTTGCTGTCACTGTGACGGTCGACCTTTCCCTATCTTGTATTATTCATTTTCACTAACTCAAACATTCCATTAGATATTATATTCATCCGCCGCCCTCTATCTCAACTAAACCGCTTATTCTCGTTCCGGGACACCAAGTACAGGGCCTTATCGATGATATTAATAGTGCATTTAACATCCTGGTTGCCATTCCTTCAGATCAGGAACTGGGATTCTTAATCCCTTTCGAGAACGACGGTACCCCTCAACCACAGTATCTTGGAATATCGTCCTCTCAGGAGCAAAAAGAAGAGATGGAATCAAGTATACCAGATGCACCAACAGGCTATCATGAACCTCCCGAAGGTTGCTCCGCTGAAGTTGACCGTTCATTTGCCGCCTTCAAGGCAAAGATTGCGGCCGCCGTTGACGCTACTCGGAGAAAAAACAAGGCAACGAGAAAGAAAAGGGAGGTTGACCGCATCCAGAAATTACAGGGCTGGTGCCGTGCGATGAAGAGGACCCAGTGCTACCTTGGAATGCGTCCTCGACGCCCGCGCAATCTGTCACCCCCTACTACTGATGGTTTAGCATGGGAGGAACAGAAGCGCGTTGAACGGGAGTATGCATTGGCATGCGGTATTATCCTTTTACCGCTGGATGTAAGCAAACCAGCTCCATTCCGTTTTGCGAGTGAGCCAATCTTTGTTTGCGTCGATGTCGAAGCGAACGAGAAGATTCACCACCAAATCACAGAAATCGGGATATCAACTCTTGATACTCTTGATCTCGTTGGCATTCCCCCTGGGGAATGTGGGAGAAATTGGACCACCAAGATACGCTCTCGCCATTTCCGAATTTCGGAATACGCAAATGTTGTCAACAAGGAGTATGTTAGTGGGTGTCCTGACAATTTTGAATTCGGGGAAAGTGAATGGATTTCAATCTCAGAAGCTGCGGACGTTGTCGATGGGTGCTTTCAGGCTCCCTACTCTGCCAATACACCCCGACCCCCCAAAGATATAACTGACGCGGAAGGTAGCGATACCGATGGAAATGGGGAAGGTATCCCTGGAAGTGTTCTTCAGCCACCATTTTTGGAGACTGAACCCTGCGGCGATTCCGAACCCATCCCAGAACATAAAACCCGTCCACGCAACCTGATATTCGTAGGTCATAACACTGATACGGATCTAGGATACCTCGGGAAACTAGGATGTAAAGCCTTCACCAAGCCCCCTACCATCACCTCACCTACCTCATCTTCAAGTAACAATAAGAAAGAAGCCAGCGAGCCAGCTGAAGCTCCCAACTTCATTGATACCCTCGACACCTCTGTCCTCTTCCGTGTCCTAAAACGCGAAACGGAAGCAACCTCCCTAGGCAAAATCCTAGTCGATCTCGGAATTACAGGCTGGAATCTACATAACGGTGGCAACGACGCGCGCTACACAATGGAAGCGATGATTGGCATCACTTTTAGGTCTCGTCTGCTGCTCGATAACCCTGTTGAGTATAAGGACCATAGCAAAATGCCTACAACGAACGATTGGCCGCTTGTGTCTGGGCTCAGGCCACGAGTGGGGCCGGGTGTGGATGCAGAAGTTGACGGAGTATCACGCCAGAGGATGTTTGACTATGATGAAGAGATGAGGAGGGCAGTGAATGCGTATGATCGGAAGTGGAAGGCGGAGATCGAAACAAGGGTTAAGGCGAGCGTGAAGGATTTGGAGGCTAGAGTGCGGGACGAGTGTGCGAGTTGGGATGATGCGGTGGGGGCGAACGGCGCGGACGGCTTGGACGTGGATGGAGGAGAAGGGAGAGGGTTGAATTATTGAAGAAAGTTTGGAGAATGGTTTCGAGGGGGGGTTGAAAGGGGGGTTTCTGGGAGGTGTCTCTGTGGATTGGATGATAAGAATGCTTCGAAAGGGGAACCCCAGGTAGACTGGTGGAGGTATCCGGAGCCGTGATATAATGGCCGTATAGATTGGGAAGGGAAGAATTTGTCTTGTTAATTCCTTGATTGACGAAAAATTAGCTGATTCTCAGTTGATTTGAAAATTTCGTATCCTCGATACTCACCTCAAGAAATGAACTGCCTTAGACAACAGCCTCTCTCGTTTCCTCTGTTGTGTTTGGCCCAGTTTACCTGGAGCCCCAGGCACCTAACAAGCTGTTATCATCATATTCACCACCGAATATCAACATCCAAATGTTTGCCGGTCCCATTAAACAATTTCAATCATTCCGTCGCATCTCTTCACTCTCCTGTTTCCCCTCTTCGCTACAGCCTTGGGCCCATTGTAGTCTGCCAGCAAAACTCACCCATCTCCCATTTAACCTCCTTTCCATGAGAACAAATCAATAGAAAGAGCGAACTCACAATACGTTTCCCACCAGTATTCATAAATTCTTTCATCGCATACAAAGCTTCTGGCAACTCGACACCCCGTGGGGCCATGATGATGCCAAATTCGAAAATCGCATCGCACATGCGACCCCACCAGCTGCTTCCGTAGAAGCCAACAATTCGTTGGCCGTGTGGTGGCTCTGTGTTTAAATTTTGCAAGAGAAACGAGGGCGAATATTAGCACAACCAGCGGGAGAAAAGAAATTTTATAAACCCTGCGTAAATCTTTTTTTCTCCTCCAAAAGAAGAAAAGACAGGGAAAAAAAAGGAAGGCGTAACAAAACCCACCAAGCACACAGGTCTCTTTCACATAACCGTATCCGCTCAGCTCACCTCCCTGTGTCCCATCCTTCAAATAAATCCGCATGCCTGTAATGACATTATCTGCCCTGGCCACTTCAATCCTCACAATTTCGCGATCTCCATAGTTACCCACACCCTGGGTAAAGTCAACCTTCTTTGCAGCATGTCCGCCAAAGGTGTGCTTATCTCCATTCCGTCTTAATCGCGGTCCACAGTTGACACGCTCCCCATCATCGAAATCGATATACAAGCCATCCAAATAAGCACCTGTACGGACATCAATAGATTTGACGTGTTTCATAGATCTAGGTCCGTAGCCTAAGCCATCTCTAGGTTTAGCTAGTAAGGTCGCCCAGGACCAAACAGTCGAGGCATCGGGCTCCTTATATTCATCGGCTTCCATCTGAGCACATAAAATAGATTGCTTCGTTAACACCACCTTGGAGCCCGGGATTCTAATAATATCTTCAAGCCCAAACAGGCGCCAGACGTCGTGAACGGTGCGGGTCTTGCCATTCATGCCGAGCACAGTAAGTTTGAGGGGCCTGTTGTCCCTGCGGGGGAAGCGGGATTTGAGGTCTTTCATTAGGTAAATGGTGTTATTGCACGGGGAGACGACTGTGGGATACGACTCTAGATTATCGTTGAAGGAAACCTGCACGACCTTGGCTCGACATGATAGTTGGATGCCCAGCTTCGCTGGATCTCCCTGTCCTATTACGACAACACTGGGCGTTTCAGCTCGGACACCCGGTTCAAGAAGCTCATCGCCCGGAATCCAAAAGTGCGGGAATAATCTGAACGAGAGCGCATCGCGTAGATCCCATCTTGCATTATTCGCCGTCTGCCCCTCTATGACGACAACACCTTCCCGCTTGTGAGCCACGCTGTATGCCGTTCTAGAGAGAAAGTTCCTGGGCCAGTGCTCAGCGTAGCCACGTACCATGATGCCGGTGCTATGTGGTGCACCAAAGGCATGGCCGACTTCGTGGAGGAAAGCACCTTGGCCGATCGAGCAAGCCTCCCACATGGTGGCACATTCGCCATTGTCATTGCCAAGAGTTGGTCCAGGGGCTCTGGTATCGAGCAGACATTCATGAACTTCCTCAATAAACCGTGGCCAGGAGTAGGTAAGATGACTGCCAAACATCCCTAGCGAGATGCCATGGCCGTTATGGGCTCCTAGTGCCGCGTGTGCGAGGATAAGATTCTGGTCGACGGAGTAATGGGAGTCGAGAATCAGGCCTGCAACGATTGGGTGACTGGACGGGTCGAAGGGATGGCCATAGTTTTTCAGCGCAGCCAGGAAGATGTTAAAAAGCTGATTCTTATCAGAGGCCTGTTTATTCTGCTGAGCAATATTCGGGTCTCTCAATTCCATAACCGTCTTATCCGTCCCGACCAGATGGATCTTCGCCGTAGGGCCTATGTTGTTATTAGCATGTAGCGTCTCTTGGGCCTCAGTATATAAAAACGCCTGACTGGTGGTATTGGCTGTCCGCTCCTCCTCAAGCCGGAACGAACGACGACCTAGGCCCTTAATTCGCATATCTTCAGCAGTGAGGGCTTGCCACATGTAGGCCGCGATGCGGAACTTGGCAATCACGGCGTCCAGGGTCGAATGCCCATTTGGAAGGCCGCCACTTCTACCAGGCGGACAATCGATAATCAGTGGGGAGTCCTTGGCAATCATGATGGCAAGATGAAGCGGTGGAGTGTTTAATAATGGGTAATAGTTGAGGGAAACAACAATTGTTTCAGTAGAAGGCAATGATGTCGTCCTATTGTAATGGCTGCCAAGTCGAATAATGAGGTTATTAGGTCCCTCAGAGAGCATGGTAAGGAAGGCAAAGCGGCCTTGGACAACCGGATAGCTTTGCGCTGGGAAGTCCTGAAATCCCGATACATTCTGGTTCTCAGTAGTAATGAAGGCCGCTCTACAGGAGCCCTTGACGATGAGACATCGCTAGATGGTCAGTTCAGTCAGCTGCATGTTTCATATCGAATCGCAATTGGCCCCTTAGAGTAAAGAAGAGCGGATATCTACCTGATGAACAGTCTCGCCTTGCGAGAGGTTATCGATATTAAAGAACCCACTGCTAATAGGCATTTTGGGCGGCGGCTAGTCAAGCGCTTGGGCTTTGAGGAGATAGTCACAAACCATATAGAATGGTTATATGTCGCAGCAAGCTATCACATAAAGCTGCTTTGCCTTTTGAGGGTATTACAATTGCCTTGATCCCTCCTGGAAACGAGAAGACTCTTTTGAACTCTCCTTAGAAACATATCACTCCATGGGCCATCAACTGTGCACTGCACCTTCTGAGAGGCTAACTGGTGGAGAGAAGGTTGTTAGAGCACTTCAGGACACAACCGGGAGCCCGTATATATACCATTTCCTACCATGCATCCACAGATGAAATTAATGACAGAAAGCAGCATGCTGGAAATAGCTGCTAGACATCAACCAGTTCTGATACTCATGAACGCCCAAAACATGAACCGAACTAGTCCACTATTTTGACTCGGGAAGTCTGCCAAGCCAAGCCCGAGTCAGCCACTCGGCATTTCGCCAAAAGATAGATATCAGGACGCTTTTATTCGAATTGATCAAGTCTGGCTATGTATTTAAAGTGCTCCCATATCCTTGCCCTGCCAAACTCAGACCTGTCACACACCGGATTACTTACTATGCAACGCGCAATAACAATGTATTCATTATATGTAAGTATCGCTAGTAATAGTGGTTAGCAAGGAAAGATTAAGTTAACTACTACTCATCCGACGACACTTCAAAGCAATAATCGTCGGATAATAAGAATGAAAGTCAACAACCCTGTGAGAGAGGCAAACGAGGTAGGTAATAAGAATAAACCTTTCCTTGTCCTTCATCACCTCACCAAGCAGGCCGTAGTACATCACCGAACAAAACTAAACAGATTCAATAATAGAGACATATACCCCCCTCCTTTCAGCAAAAGCAAATAAACACATTTTCCGCTTCAAATCCCACCAAGAGAGAAACGAGAAAAGAAAAGCCTGGAAGCAAATTAGGAGACGAACCAGGGAACCGGGGTGGTTGTGGGGTTGGGGGGGATGGACGAAACTTCAACCACATCCCAGACAAGAAAATAAATATCTTCGTCGTTGAAAATCAAATGGAAAAGAACTAATGAGTATTACAACCCATACCCACACCACACCTGCCTAGAAACCCCAGTCTGGCAAAGATACGAACAACGAAAAAAAAAAAACATATCAAACAGAATGAGAAAAACACCAAATGGAACAAAAATGACTGGATAAATGAGGGGGGAAACATCATCATACCAGCAACAATTATAGCGGAACAATCAAAAATAAAAATAAAACAACATAGAATATCTCAGCCCACTGTGCGTGCGATTCGATCGCAGTCCGAAGTCAAGAGCAAGAAGTTAAAAGGAAAAAAAAATCTTGATCCTTCCATTCAAGCTCTCTAAAAGCGACAAGCAAACTATCAAAGCCCGGTTTTTGAAATTATTTGGAGAAGGGAAAGTGTAAAAAGAAGAAAAAAAACTAATAATTGTAATAATAATAATAATCAAAGAAGAGAAACTTGAGTGGAAACACCAAAAAAATAAAAACCACATCATTGATCGAATCATTTCGTTATCGCGTTGTTCAACATATTAATTTTTGTATCAAGGGATACGGAAGGGATGGGAAATGAACGAAAAAAAGAAGAAGAAAAAATAGTATGGAGAAGAGAAAGGGTGAAAAATAGATAGAGGTAGGTAGATATAAAAATAAATAGTTGCTAGCGCAGACGTTCCATCGATACTGATACAAGGGATAGGCTTCAACAGATATAATAATAATGGTAATGATGATGATGATGGTGGTGGTGGTGGCAGTGGTGATGGATCCGAATGGCATGCAGCGATAAGAGTGGCGTGTGGAAGGCGGCGCAGATGTGTTTGTATGAGAGGGTTGGTTGTGGTATTTGGGGGGCTTGGAAACACAACAGCGGAGATTAGATTTCCTATGAAGGGAAAAATAAAACCTGCTACTTCTTTTGTGATTTGTTTCCCTTTCTTTCTTTTCAGCTTCTTGTTCTTGCAACCACTGTGATCCCCATCTCAGTCTCACCTCTCATGGCTCGATGTCATGTATATAATAACAATAATTATTTTTGCTACCAAACGTTCTAATAGCAGGTCGGGAATTCTCTAAGAAGTCGATGCGCTTGCGCTGGCTTTTGTTGCATTTATTTGCCGATGGTAGCTGCCAATCGGTTGGAAACCCCTAGTCGCAAGAAAAGGGAAAAAGAAGAAAACCTGTTAGTCCTTGAGACGTTTGCTAAGGAAGGGAGAAGACTCCAGTCAAAAGGAAGTGAAGAGAGAGGAAAATGAAGGAATACAAGGGGGGGAGGGAGGGGAAGAAAAAGAACCTACCGAGCAAGGTCAAACTCCCCAATTTCATCCTCATCGTCGTCATCATCCTCATCACGGTTATCACCGCTAGAATGACGGTGACTATTAGCCGCTCGAGGCAGCCGCCCATCGACACCATTCGACTTACTATCCGCAAGTCTCGAACCAAGTGGCCGACCCCCTAACCCGGGCCCACTACCCGGTTTACTCGGGCTGCCCAGATTCGGCGGCGGCGGGCTACTGCTAGGGATAGCATTCAGTCCATCGGCTGATCCCCTGCCTGATCTCCCCCCTCCAGCCCCTCCCCCCATGCCACCGCCAGCTCGACCATGGCCGTAGCCACCACCATGCAACGGGCTCATATCCGACACGCGGCCGGGGGTATTGCCGAGCTCCGCGAACTTCCAGAACTGTGCAGGTGAGCTCATTGGCATGAATTTCGACGGGATTTGCGCCGTGCTGGGCGGGGCGAGGAGGGGCTGGTGGCGGCGCGGAGCAGGCGTGATCATCGACGTTGCATCGTCGAAGAAGGATGATGATAATACGGGCGGCGAGCCGCTGATGTGATCTGAGAGGCCGTATGCGCGATTGGGATTGTTGCTGCGTGGACGGCTGGGTAAGGGGGACTGTTGGTCGCCGTAGTCTGCGTTGCTACGGCCGTTGGCGCGAGTCTTGCGCTCCGGGGTATAAGCTTCCGCGGGGCCAACGGAGAACGAGTTAAATCCGGGAGATGTCATCTGTGGCGATGGGTTACTTGTGGGGAACGAGCTTTCGAAACTTTTATCGTAGCCTGTTTGGCCATTCGTAGAACGGGAGCCGCCTTTGTTTTCCTTGCCGACAGGTGAGGAGGGGGCTGATGACTGTTGGTTATTACTCCTCCGGGTTTGTTTGTTCCAGTATTCTTGTCGGAATTCGGGGGCAATTTGCCATTTCATGCCCTTGCCAGGCTCGTCAGTGCGGCGGGGGACTTTTTGAAATGCCTTATTCAAAGAAAGGTTATGGCGGATAGAGTTCTGCAAATTGCTGTTAGCAACAGATGTCAAAAATGACATAAAAACTTCTTTATTATTGACTATGAAAATTAGGGGCTGACGAACCTGCCATCCCGAGTTTGTATGCCGATAAAATGCATATTTTTCAGTAATATATGCGTAAATTTTGCTTAGCGTTAGCTTTTCCTCTTCTGTCGAGAAAATGGCTTGTGCGATCATCGTAGCATAGCTGTACGGCGGCTTTAGATCCTTTGCCGAATCGTTGCTATAATCAATATCTTCTGTGCTCTCCATCATCATGCCGCGATTGTAGAGCGGGGATGGTTTGGGAGGGGGGGCATCAGCTGTGTTTGGCGATCGGGGACGGGGTGGTGGTGTAATTTGCCGATCCTTGTGGTAAGATGAAGCCGCCTTCGTTGCTGGAGTGGGCTCTGTGCCATTTCCAGTGCCTGGATTGTGGCGATGATCTTGGTCGAAATGGGCGGCCGTCCGGCTGGCCTTGCTGCGGACCTGGTCTGGGTGCGCATGTTGAGACTCATCCCAGCTGGCAGCATCATCCCCCGCAGCCAAGCGCTGGCATTTATCCACGAAGAAAGGATGGATAACGGCACGTACGTCCGGGGTTACGAACATCATCTGTGTGCCTGCGATCTCGATGACATCACCGCACGTAATCCGTGAGATGGTTCCTCGCTTTACTATTTGGGTGTTCAATCGAATCCCATTGCGTCCATTGACGCGAATATGCCAGCCAATAGGCTCCTGGCTGTTGAACAGAATCTCTGCATGTAACCTTGAGACAAATTTGTTCGGACCCAAATCGATATGCACCTCCGGCATCGCCTGGGCGGCAGCGACGAGGGGACTCGACTGGGCATATATCCTCTGATCCCGGTCCGGAGGACGCCCGATGTTGATATGTAGACCTTTCATGTAGTACGTCCAGTCACGGCCTGCGATCTTAGCGTAGGCCTTCACACTTTCTGGGTTCTCGCGTTCATTCTTGATATTCGAGTACTCGTCCATGACAGCCACCGGGTCATCCGAGACATCAAGACAAGCTATCACGGAATCCACCAGGTCCTTGTTGGTTGCAATATCATTTTCGGTGCTGGAGTCGTCCGATTCATCGGCAGAAACGGGTTCTGGAGTCTTCTCTAGCGGCAGCGACAGCGAGCGGGGATGGTCAATCTAAAACGTAGGCAAGAAAAGGACCCAAAATTAGCGAACGTTGCTCCGTGAATAAATAAACTACCAGCGGCAGAGAATGGTGCAACCAAACCGAATGGCACTGATAATAAGGAAGCAAATACCTTGCGTTTCTTTGCAGTTCGACAAGTGGGCGAGGAATCCAACAGATCTGTTTCTGGAGTTTCCTGCAATCCAACGTCTTTGCGCCGGGTACGACGCTTCGTTGACGGCGCCATATTTTGTTTTCTAGCGGCCGGATATCAAGGAATTGTTTTCCGCAGTCAAAACCCACAGTATCGCGAACCCAGGGGGTACACACTGTGCTGTCAGGCAAGTGCGCGCCACGTTATCGGCGACCCGGGGAGGGGGTGGTTTGTCGATCAGAATAGCGTGAGAAAACGGTTGGGAAAAACGGGCAAAATTCGAGAGTGGGTGTTCGAGATCTAGGTACGTTTTTGCGCGATAAGGCCGAAAAAGCGATTTGTGGATGGTTCTGTTTCTTGTTGGCGATAGTGAGGAGAGGCCCTTTCTTTTCGCGTTGGGTTGCTCGCAGCTTATACGGGAGCGTAGATAGATTGAATGGGAAGAGCAAGGGAAAATGACGAGGAGATAAGATACATGAATGGAAAATGTTTGATGCGCTGCTTGAAATCCGGGAAGTTTGTTTGTTGCCACCACTTGGTGCGCAAAGGTCAGGCGAAAACCCAAAAAGATAAAAAATAAAAAAATAAAAAAAATGGAGTCTTGGAATTTCTCGGGTGACCCGAATTATAACCGCCAGGCGAAACCTTGGTTCCAGGAGAGCGAAGTCGTAAATAAAACGTTCGCAAACAGGAATCTGCACGAGTGCCCTTTGAAGCTGGTTGGTGGGTGGTGTCAATTGGCGTCCCTTTGCGATGCGATAGAGGTGACGTGAAGGCGGGATGATGTTTGGGAGTCGACGGTGGTGGAGGAGGCTCTGCGGCGGAGGTTGGAAGGCTGTTTGCCGCGAGAATGACGCGCCAGTAAATAAATGATCTCCGTGAGACAAACACCCGCGGTTGTTGCTTCTGGGTGGCTACAGGCTCGTTTCCATCGATTGACCTACTACCTTCGCACAGTGATGATATAATGATAAGTACAGAATACAGTTTTTCCAATTCTCCTTGGAGCCTCTCTCTCTTCCTTTCTCTTTCCCCCCTCTTTTCTTCGCTTCCTTTCTCGCTCATTTCTTCTCCAGTTCTTTGAAGGGAAAAAAATGTAAAACCCTATTTCAAACTCCCCCCTTTCGCGAAATATCCCCAAAGTTTGAATAAACAACATTACCCGAAAATGGTCTTGGTGATCTATATACTTTGTTTGGCTTGCCTATTTAGACTTGGCCAATATTTTTTTTCTTTTACTCTGTGGGGATTAAACGGTGGCCCATGGGCAAGCTACGAAGCTATGTAATGTATATAAGTCGAACGACAGCCTGGTCCAGGGCAAATGCAATAAGATCCCTAGTTAAGGGACCGATAAAAGCAAAAGAATAATGGGAACGTTTTGCATTGAATGAAAAGGGTCATTGAAGCTACACCACACTGGTCTATTACCCTCTCCATCTTTCGCAATGTATCTAAATTGAAGCAATCAAAAGTAACAAATTGTGACGCCTACATTCCACAACAGGCATGACTCCCCACCCTCTTACAAATCCTCCGCTCGATTCTTTTCTATTGTCTCAGGCTCTCCTTTGTACAGTAGATATCCAAGTGCCTGGGTAATCCGCGGGGAGCCCGCTAGCCAAACTCGGCATGGGTGAATTTCCCAGGTGCACATCTACTCTGTATTCGCGGTGGCTTCTTAAGATGGGCTAACTGCAGGCCCCTCCCCGGACAGGCTTATTACTTCCTCCCAGCTTGCGCTGAACAGGAAGGGAGGGAAGGGCTCTCTTTCTTCCTGCCCACTGCTCGGGTGGACACGGCGCTTTGCGGGGTTCCATACAGAGAGGAACAAAATAACCAATTCTCCCCTGCCGAAAGTATGATGATTTTGAGTTGCGGCTTGCCAACAAACCGACTGTGTCCCCCACCTCTGGAAAGGCAAGAACAAAAGAACGAAAAAAGCTTGTCCAAATAAGCTCATGCCCGGCATGCTTTGTGTGAGCTTGGGCAGCTTCATTGGTTTGATCTTGGCGTCATCACATCATCATCATCGCCATCATCACCATCATCGACAATTCCCATAGAGCTCTTTTCATTGCTTTTTTTCTTTTTGTTAGAAACAAAAGGTCGGGTTTAGCTATACGTATATAGTATATATATATAAAAGAACGATAAAATTGAAGAGCCTAAAAAGTACAGAATAAATTGAGACCAAAGAAACCAAAGAAAGCATAAACACTCGTCAGAATAATAGTGATAATATAAATCAATCATCCTGAACTGAGACGAAAGAAAAGAAAAGGACTACACCCATGGTTCCTCACTGGAAGATAAATAAGGAAAAGTGACACTGACAAAGGTTAAAAAAAAAAAAAAGGAGTAGAAACTAAGAGTGGTGAGTTAGATTTGGTTAGGTTAGGTTAGTAATACTAGAGCAACTCAGTGAGATATACATTTCGAAGATGAGAGAGATAGAATGAAAATGAAATAACATACGAGGGAACAAATATCATCGTGGCACAAGACTCAAGTTTCAAATTCGACCCGCAGACTAGCCTGCTCGTAAAGAATCACGTAATATTGGAATAATAGAAAAATGCGACATAAAGGAGTAATAAGAGAAAAAGGAAAAAAAAAAAGAAAAAGAGAAAAAAGAGAAAGAGAAAAGGAGACACAATAGGAATCGGTGTATAATATCAAGTATCAAGCGAGAAGACCGTAAAAATAATTTAAATTTTTGTAAAAAAAAAAGAAAAGAAAGAAACGCAACGCAACGAAACGGGGAAGGTGAGATCACAAAAGTTAATTTCAATGAGAAAATCAAGTCTCCTCAAAATCCATCTTTAGAACTGGATACAGACTTGCCCCATCCCGTGCCTCCCGCGGATCTGACTTTATATTATCATGCGGGGAGTTACCTCCCTGTTGCTGCTTTTGTCGCTCCTCAGATCCTTGCCTATCGACATTCATATCCGAGCCAGAAGCTGCGCCCGACGATGACGCTCGGTCTCCAAGTTCAATACCTTCCATCCTCTCACTAACGTCAGGGCTATCCTTGTTGTGGTTGTCGATCTCACTCGAGGGAACATCAGTAGAATCAGTATAATTCTCCTCCTCATAATCACCACGGCTGAGTCGTTCATAAATATACAAACGTAGTTTCTCCAGGAGGCGCACATTGGCAACCCACTGTTCAACCGAGTCGCCATGGGTTTCATTGCTGCCCGTTGCATTTGCAGCCGTAATGGCCGCGGCTACAGCGCGGGATGCTTCCTCAGCGTCTGGGGTTGCACTAGACGAGCGTTTTTCGCTATCACGCTCAGTGTCTACCGATATTCCTGTTCTTGTTGTTGGTCGGAGGGCTGGGTCGATGACATTGGTAGATAATTTAGTGGTCTCGGCATTAGATGATGGGAGGGGGTACATTTGTGATGATTCGGGTGCGCTGTGTGGTTGCGATCGTTGGAGCATGCCGCCTGTATATCTGCGGCGGTCATCGTTTTCAAATACGCTGCTGAGAGTCGACGGCGGCGCTGCACTTGAAATACTTGGATAGGGGGTGGTGGGATTTTCCTGGGCTGTTGTCGCAGGAAGCGTTGGATACATGGCGGCGCTTGATTGAGGATGGTGCGAAGGCGGAACAGAATGGTGCGTCGAAGAGACTGAAATGGGGGATCGGCCAGACGTGTAAGACTGGGCACTGGAAGGAGGGGTGAGTGCAGGCGTGGTATGAGGAGAACGGGCGGTAGTTGAAGAGACCATCATGGGAGCAGTGGTGGTCGCTGATGCGTGGCTAGACGGGATATGAGTCGCAGATGGGGACGAGCCAGTATTGCGATAACTCATCCCGCCGTGGATGTAATGGGCGCCTGGCTGGGCGACTCCCGCAGCGGCAACGTGGTCATCATTCTCGTAAACGGTCGACTGCATCTGTTCCAGGAACTGGTCAATGTTCATCAAGTCAGCCTTGGTGCGAAGGTTGCCCATTGGAGGGAGGTGGTAGGATTGTGCGGGCATTGGGCCAGGCTGGTAACCGCCGCCATGGCCGCCGACATTAACGATGGCTGGCATTGGTTGGTACTCGGGAACAGCACCGCCGTTAACCAGGGGAAGGGGCAGGCCATGCAAATTTAGTAGTCGCTGCCCAACCGCTGCGTAGGAGCTGGGGTCGAACTGACGGCGTTTCAAGTCACCGAAAAACTCATTTAAAGCATCGTATCCGCGTTTCTTCGACTCATAAGAGGCCTGATGCGACGTATCGCTGCCAACAGCGTAGTACACGTTTCCATAGGATTGATTGGAAGGGTGCTGTGGGTGGGGATTTTGATAATATTGTGGAGCTCCATGCGGATACCCTTGTCCGGGGACAGGTCCTAATGCACCTTCGAAATAATGGGCTGGCATCAAAGGGTTCACATTAGCACCGTAAAGAACAATAAATGGCCACAAAGATAGAATGAAGGCGTGATAAAATGAAAGCAGTAGACTTACATTTTCCGTCGGCACCAACGCCAACACCAAACATCCCATTTGGGGGCCTGGATCCAGGGCCAGGTTCTGGGGATCTTACGAGGACCGAATCGTCCGCGTGGGTCTTTACATGTTTCTTCAAATCCTGTGGACGCTTGAACGCCTTGCCGCAGAAATCGCACTTGTGAGGCTTCAGGGGAACATGTACTCGAATGTGCGAAGTAATATGGTCTCGCTTGACAGTAGTTGTCCGGCAATTCGCCCATCCACAAGTTAGATTTAAGTTGTTGGTGCTCTTACGGCCAACATGGCGTTCACAGACGTGCTCCTAAATGACATGATACATTAGCGATAGACAGGAGATAATTTTCACCACCATGGCACAACTTAAAAAACAAGCAAAGATAGTCACACAGATAAGAGCATCCAAGAGAATGTATATATCACGTGGATCATAGCGCCGTGGCAACAGGAGACTACACTCACATAGAGGGCTTCAGCAGTGGGAAGCCGGTCTTGGCAACCCTGCCATTGGCACACTAAGTTCTCAGCAGTGCTTTGACTTGGCCCACTGCTCAGGTTTTGTGGAAGGGGTACTGGATTAACAACCGAGGCCGCAGCAGCAGCCGCAACAGCCTGCTGAACCGCTGAGGGCGAGTTAAGTGGCGGAGGATGAGAAGGCTGGGCAGGCGAGAGCTGAACCTGCTGTGATGGAGGCGGCTGTTGTTGTTGAGGTGAGCCTTGCTGTGGAGCCTGCTGAGGTTGTTGCTGTTGCTGTTGCTGCGGTAGGTGTTGAGATTGTTCGTGTGGAGATTGCTGGGACTGCTGTGGTTGCTGATGCTGCTGCTGCTGTTGGGCCATCGGGGCGGAAGAGTCTTGGTTTTCGCGGGAGGACATGGCTGCCAAGAAATAATTCTTGTCACAAGCAAGTCTTGGGAGCGGAAAGCGGGAACAAATAAAACGCGCGAGGACTGCAAGTATATCAAAACGCAAAGGGCGTTGAGAGCAGATTGTCAAAATCAATGTGGATGGAAAAAGGCAGAGTTACAAAAGTGGCGGGATCCAAATTTGTTGCGCAGGAGCGCCGGAGAAATAATCACAAAAAAAAGGTATACAACAAGAATAGAGTCAAGGTGGGGGACAACGAAACTAAACGGGTTCAACAAAAGCTGAAAATATGGAAGAGCAGAGTAACCTACACGTTCTGGGATGATATTGGGGACAAGATGTTCTGTTCGAGATAGTTTGCTGCGTTTTTCCTCTTCGTGCCACTCAAAATGGAATACCGCCGTCACCCAGTACGACGAAAGAAAGAAAACGCGAGTGAAATTGGGTTGGTTGGTGTATGGGTGCGGGAGGGAATGATATCGTAAACCCGGTCACGACATTGAATTTCAGTGATAATAGTTCGGGAGTCGCAAGAGGTAGACCGATCACGAAGCTTAGGTAGCAGTTGTGTTTGAGTTGTGCAGCAAAGAGGAGGAGGAGGACAAAGAGTGTGAGAAGATCAGAAAAATGGAGAGGAGGCAAAGAAGGCTTTGGAATTGGGATTGGGGATTTGGACAGGGCGGTAAAAGGGAAAGGAGGAGGAGAAAAAGCAAATGGAACGAGCCGGAGGCAGAGAGGGGAGAGGGGGTGCTGGCCAGAAAGGAAGCAGACCAGGCTGAGACAGCGCGAAGGCCAAAAGCAGTGGGCGGACAAGGGACCTCGGGCGGCCAAGAAATCAGCCTGCAATAAGACCAGAGGAAACGAGGGAGGGGGAAAATGACCTTGGGCGTCTGGGCATCCTTGGCGTTGCGTAACGCCGTATTACTCCTGTAATACGGGTGTGTTGCCGCCCAAAATACAGGTGGCACACAGCCACGAACCTTGTTTCCTCGCCCTTTGTAATACCCCTTGTGACGGTTTGCTCGGATCCTGGGGCCTTTGGGAGCATTCTCGGAATTGCTTGGCCCTCATCTTGAGAAGTTCGGGCTGTAAATTGTCCCGCCATAATAAATATGAGTGCTAAGATGTTTCCCGCCGCCACTGTGCCAACTGTTAAGAGATTAACCACGGGTTATTGACTGACCAGTCAATTTTGATATTGCCAGAGAAGGTGGGGAAGGAAAAAAGCAAAAAAAAAAAAAAAAAAAAAAAAAAAGGTGACAGAGAGTGCTTTTCACTAATACGACGCATAACAGAAAAGAGAGCACAGGACTATAGGATGCCAAGCACGCCAAGACAGCCAAGCGAGCCAAGTATTTCCGACGGCCAAGTCTAGCCAAGCCATTCCCCCAGCAGCCTCCTCGCCCTCGTACCCCTGTTCTGACGGTGGCATTTGACATCCCTCCCCCAGTTGACCCCTTATGAAGGTGCGACTCTCCTCGAACCGATTACGACCATATATCATGGTATGATATATCAGTTGTAGTATTGATTGTCCAGTCACATCGTGTCAAACGCCCCAAATCATATCAATATAGTACTATTTTATTACGTCGAACGACGCTGTAAGGACGCATGTATCCATCATTGCAGGAACCATTCACGGCCTCCATGTTGATCCCATCACTCCGACAATCAATTGATATAGCCTCCACACCACGATATTTTAACAGAGTGGGGGATGCGCCTCCATGTGCATGGGCATGTGCATGCACATGCCTCAACATGACCGGGGTGTGCTAACCCTTTTTTTCCTGTAAGGCCATGAGGTCGTCTCTTCTGGCTTCTGTGAGCCAGCCAGCAAGAGCTTAGCAGTGTGGCGCAGCGCAGCGTTTGCATGAAGTTATCAATCACAGTGATGCTGCTTCTTCTCATGGAAGAATGACAATAGATTTTTGTCGCCCCTGAAATATATATATATACATATATATTCGGGCTGAGGATCTTTGTGTTTTTCTTCTTTATTTTTCTACTTATTCTTTGTTGTTGTTATGCTGAGATTATAGGTGCTCGACTTTACCCTCGTGACCCTCCCTCCTTGCTTCCTTCGCGCTGGAAGACGGGGAAGATGAGCAGAGTGTGTGATCCAACTGGTTGGGGGCGATAAGTGTTCCTAGCGTGAACCTTAGGCGTGTTGCTCATGCATTCCCTTCCTCGGGTCGAGATAAACAATGACCTCGCCGACATCGGGTTAATGCAAAAATATTCCTCGGGATTAGAATCTAAGGCTTATTTATGCGCACTCGTAACCACAGGGTTTCTCTGTTTACCACGCTGGGAAAATTAAAACAGTACACTCTAACCGATGGTGAGTTACCGATTCCTGCTTTGATAAACCATAACCAGAAGATCTGGACCATATGAGAAGAATAAATCATAAAATGGCCGACGCAATAAGCCCAGAGTCTTGGCAAACTATCCAAGAACCCCCGCACATTCCGCTGGCCTTGGCAAGAGGAAGAATGGAGCGGAGACACCCTCTACGGAGGGCATATTCATTGAATGAATCGACCAAAATCTTCCCGACCAAATCTTTTGGTAGAATAAGACTGGGGATTTTTTTTTCTTTGCTTTATTTTTCATGAGTCACTCCTGCTCAGGTTTGGGGTACGGGCACATAGGCACCATACATACATTCAGATAGGAATTATGTAAATGCATCCCATCGAGTATCAGTTGCCATCAGCATACAGGTGATAGCAAGAGTGGTTTTCCCTTCCCCACCTGTTTTTGTTGTCCCTTTTCTTCCAGTTCACTTAAAATCGTTAAAATCGTTAGTGCAGGAAACCTTTCGTTAAAGTAACTATTATTTGGTTTTCATCAGGGTCCAACAAAAATAGCCTGAAGTAGATAGAAATGATGACCCTGGGTCAGAAACCTACCAAAATAATATTCATGGATGACAGGAAATCAAGTACGTAAGTAACACTTTTTTGATAATTAATTTTTAAAGCTCAAAACTGGAGGAAATAAGTGGTTTGGGGTATTTCTTCCCCTCACCAGCCCCACTACAGATCGCTAACTAGTTATATCATCTTTGAAGATCAATGAATAATCAACATTAAATACGATTGAGCGCTCATCGACTGAGGCGTTTATTGATAGAACCAGAGTCGGCAAATGCTTCTACTGTAAGTAAATCAGCTTCTAAATTTTTTTTTAAAAAAAAAAAGGTTAATATAGACGCAGGCCGAAATGAAAAAATATAAAATAAATATTCAAGTCTCCTGCAAATATCTTTCCAGGGACTCGGGCCTGATATACATCATGACAACGGGAAAATTTGCCTCTACCATCTCCACCCTCTCTCCCTATCACCGTCTGAGTTAATGTGCTGAATAATCTAACCGATTGAAACCTGGTTATTCATCAAATTTCTAAAAATGTTGAAAGAGCCTGGATGCTGGCTACCCACAGGGCTTTATATAACATTGAGACCTTGTTCCAGTTCTCCCATTCTTTTGTCGAGCGATTACCCCAGCCTGGGCGATCTTGGGGATTATCGTATAGAAACCAGGTTTCCCACTGATAGAAGCCAGTTGGAAACGCATCAAAGAACACTTTGCTCAAATCGTAGTTGTAGCATTGCTGAACCCCAGGTATAAGAAGATGGCCGAGTGTTTTTTTTTTTTTTTTGTTTTTTTGTTTTGTTTTGTTTTGGTTTGGTTCAACATCTGTCCCCATAAAGGCAGATGCTAGAATGGCAGATGCTGGTATTTGGATATGTGAGCCATTTTTAGCGGATCTTGGATAGCCAATGAAATAGACCGAACGGATTCACAATATCATGGTGAAGCTCTCACGGAGGTGTGTTATGTTTGTGCCGCATTTTGGATAGGGGGACCAACAGTTGAACTCTAATTTTGCCTTGTCCGAACGGTTGAAAGTTACATGACGCAATAATCAATTGTGTGCAGGTCAGGAGGGGAGCAAGCCCATGGGTAGAGAGGACTCGACCTGTAGGGCGCACAATTTATTTTGCCAAATCAGGCCAGCTCCTCGAAGTTCCCAAGCAAGGCATCCTATGTAATCATAGCACGGAGTCCAGAGATTCTGGCGAGGCAGTCCGCGCAGTCAGCAACGGGAGATCATCGTTTTTGGGCCAGGGCCAAGAGGAGCGTTAAGCGGGTTTCGATCACTGTGTTTGCCAGTGTTTGGTGCCTGGGCTGGCGCTAGGGAATCAAGGCGACTCGACAAGTCAACTCCCAGCCGCCACACGCAGTGGAAGACCCAGGGTTGCTGGGCGTCACGTGGGCTGGCAACAACGCTTGGGGCGGCTGGGCAGTTAGAGCAACGCCTGAGATACTGGCAACTGAGACAACCACCTTGAGATGCCCACCATCATCGCACGGAGTTGGCTGCAGAAGTAACTCCTTGGGCAGTGCGTTACTCTGGTCTTGTTTTGGCTTTTGGATACCCTTTACTGCAGCCGTCGACACTGTAACTCCTCCTCCTAGCGATTCCTCCCCGCTTATTGCTTTGTCCACCGACACATCCCCCGCTTGTTTCAGTTCTGGGATCTTCTTTCCAAGGGTGTGCACTTTGAGCTTCTCCTGTTCGTTTCTCTGCTGCTCACACGCCGTTACAAGAGTTTATAATATTTTGCTGACATATATGCTTTCACGTTTCGCCCTTCTAGGTTGAACCTCCACCAACACTTTCTCCTAGCCATTTTGATACCGTTTTGCGTCGAGAGAAATTGCACTGGTCTGGACCGGTGTCGGCGACATTACGTATATTAGGGGCTTGAGGTCTGGAAGAAATCGCTCGTCAAATAATTTCAACACCCCGCAACTTACATCTGGGCCCATGCACATCGCTTTCAACGAACCATTTACCATTACCCTCGGAGAAAATATTTAACCTATTGGTTACGCCTCGCCTCATATAATGCGCCGGGATCGTCGAATCAATGTGTGAATCTGCCAAGCATATTCTGTGCTGTTGTTGCCAATCATGACCACTTCTTGATAGCTTTTCTTTGACGTATTTTATTCAGTCAGAGAAGACATCGGGGTGACGTTATGGATGGTCAACGGCAACAGTATATACCGGCGCCGCCTCACATCGGACAGCCTGGCGGACCAACGCATATGATGCCATTCCCCCCACCACCCCCTCGGATGCACCATACATGTCACGCCCATGTCCCTCCACCACCTCCCGGCCCTCCTCCAGGTTCAGCTTATGGAGTGCAGTCGGCATGGCAACAAGGATGGGGAAGGCATCAAGCAATGGCACAACCGTTTCCACCACCACCGCCACCTCTTCTTTCTTCCAACCAAGCTCAAAACCCACATTTAGCGTACAGTGCTACTTGTTCTCGGCATCAGCCCGCCCCTTTAGCCATCCCTTCTCGATCGATAAACAATGAGACACACCCCCTTACATCGGCAACCTATATTCCAGGGGGTGAATCGTTCGGCCCCGGAGTTGGAATTCCTCCCCTCTTCACCCACGACCCTCAGGAGGCTTATGTACGCGCTGAGCGCTACGGATATGCCGCTGAATCGGAAAGCGTAAGGCACGTTTCTAACTCAACATATAATGATGGGACTCTACGTAGTAATTCGGGGAACAGGTCACATCAGTTAAACGTTCCGTCGCGTGACCGCCAGGATGCTCTTTCTTCCGGGCCACCAACTGCCACTTTACACAACCCGCAACCCCGCGATTCTGGCCAGGCAAACGAATACCTGGTCGGCGGCATGACGGTTCAGGAAGCCGATGAAAGGTGGCCTCTTGATCGTGTACTACAGTGGCTTGCTCAAAATGGATTTTCCAGTCATTGGCAGGAGACTTTTCGGGTTTTAAACCTGTACGGTGCTAGTTTCGTGGAGTTAGGCAGTCGTGCAAATGGCAGAAAAGACCTAGGTAAAATGCACAACGTGGTATATCCTCAGCTTGCCAATGAATGCGCAAAGAGCGGCACTGGGTGGGATAGGGCAAAAGAGCGAGAGGAGGGGAAACGGATGCGAAAGCTAATCAGGAGAATTGCTGATCAAGCAAGTTCGGAAACTGCAAATCTGGGCGCCAGATACTACGAGGGTCATATGCTGCCTAGCGCATCTACGGAGGATGGATTAGAAAATTCGCCTAATATACGGCGGGATTCGTTCACAAACTTCAGTTCTGGAACCGCTGAAAGCAGCCCTGGTCAGCAGTATGCCAGAACAACACCCAATTCGGCTCAGAAGCAGCACTCCGGCCAGCGTTCTGAATTTCCGACCCAGGATTCCCGCTCAGACTTTTCCCGTAATGTTTTCGGAATGCTGGATGGCCGACGGGGACATAGCCCGTCGGCATCAAGCGACAATGGAATTCCACTGCCTTCTGAAGATAATCCTCAAAGCAGCAGTCCTGGACGGCATATGGTCACGATGGCACACCAAGAATATGTCCCCTACTCCGCAGAAAATACCGGGAGACCTGAGAAGCGCCACAGCTCTGACTCCCTGCTAAGCCGAGGGTTCGCATCTCAATCCCTCTTTGGGGCCCATGGAGCTAGTAGACAAAACGATTCCAAGAAAAACGGATCAGGGCCATCGCCACAAGACCAATGCACGCGCCAAGTACTAGGTGAATCATTACCGAAGGAACACGGTAAAGGGTTCTTTCATAAATTGAAATGGAAGAAGGGCCCTGATTCAATACATGCTGGCTCAGATGAGATAAATGCCGACTCGCCTACAAGTCCAGCAGGTGCACGCCATCTCCCTCCAACCTCGGCTTTTATGAGACAAGGTTACGACGGCAGCGATATGTCCCTAAATGAGAGACCTCCTTCTTCCGTTTCTGATTATGATTGGCTCCAATCACGGTCTCGAAAGGTCACAACTAACGTGCCTCAAAGGCGATTCGCTCTGGCTACCCCTGATGGATGGAATTACCGATTAATAGATCTCACAGACGTGGATGCTGCAGACACACTACGAGCTACTATATGCCATAGCTTAGGTATCGAGGACCCGGGAAGTGCTTTGATATATCTTACGGAACTTGGTCAAATTACCCACGAGGAGCCGCTTAGTGATACAATGTTGGTTGTGAATCGCAGGACAAAATCAGACGCCCAGGCCACTTTGAAACTTTTCGTTCACCTCACCACTCCATCTGCGACTGTACCGTTGACCCAGCCAACTGGCTTGGGCCTCTCATCGGCAGAACGCGCTCGACTAGGTAGAAATATGGTGAATGATGAAGCTAGGAACTATGTGGGAACAGTATCGCCCTCCCATAGATCTCAGCCAGGGCTGAAGCCTAATACTAACAAATTCTCCCCTTATGACCCTCGGAGCTCTGGCGAAAATGGCAATGATATCGATCTAGATTTGGAAAGTAGAGAGGCATCAATATTAGCAGCTCATGAAGAATATCGGCGAGAAGCTGAACGAAAACAGAAGGCTTATTTACAATCAAAACAAGAACATCAGCAACAGAAAGAGTCACCGCAGGTGTCTATAAGGCGGGATGGTGTAATAGATTTTGATTCACCTCGACTTTCTCCCTACGAAGATAAGAAACCGGATAACCTAGTTCCACTACGCAAACCGCCATCGGCACCGTCAGAGTCGAGCACGCTCTCTAAAGTGAATTCTTTGAGCAGAAAGCCAGGTGATCGTCCGCCCAGAGGCTATGACACTGATCGTTCTAAGCGTAGTTCTGCTGAACAGATATCTGAAGAACGTAGAGAGAAACCATGGACCCCAACTCCAAATACCCCCGCGTCTGGGGTGGGTGATGGATTTGTTGGAGCAGCGTTGGCTAGCATTGGGAAAGTTTCTAGTGCTATTGGGAAACCATTCCCCAGTCCAATTACTGTCTCTAGCCGTTCTCCACGCTCTGAATCTGAGCCTGTTTCCGGAAAGGGCCGTTCATTGCAATCCGCCGACCTCAACGATCGTGATGGACGACGAAACAGTCCATCTTCGCCGAAATTGCCCTTTTTCTCCCGTGGGAAGGGTACTTCCAATTTTAAAGCACCTCACGAAGGCGATGGGCGTGGGAAGACTCTTGTTCTCCCTGACAACATGAATTTACTTCGCACAGATCTTGATAGCTCTGCTTCCGCTAGTCCATCATCTGCTAAAATCAGCTCTACTTTGGCAGAAAATCGAAAGTCAATTGGTCCTGACTTCGACTTCCAGGAGACCGAAGTGTCTTTCGCGGAAGCGCCAGCTGCTGAAGATGATTCAGATGAAGATTCAGATGAAGGTCTATTTGCTATACCGCTGGCTAGCGCGAAGAGTGTGACGCTAACAAAGATGAATAAAACATCGACAAACAACGGAAGTGCTATCCAAGGTCGGTCTGCAAAACCTGCCCTCACTGTCAATACCGGTCGACGAGGAGCCAAGGGGATGTCTGTAAGCTTCAAATCCCCTATTATAAGAGAAACATCCAATACGCCACCGACGCGAAGCACAGACAAAGAAATAGGTGGAGAGAATGAACATCTCAGCAATGAAAATGACTCGTTAGATTCGCAAGAGGCCTCTGAGTTCAATCGTCCCGAATCAATCGTCCGGGACGACATTTGGGCATCCAGGCCTCCGGTAGAGGGTATGATTGAACGTCTAGACGATTACTTCCCAGACGTCGATCTGGATGAGCCGTACGTGGAAGGAAGCATGATGTCTCCCCCTTTATCTCCGACCAGCCCCGGGCCTACCATTGGCTCAGAGACTGATAGCCAGGCATTGCGAAGCAGAGCTGCTCACAGTAACCTTGATTCTATAATGTCTCAAGACAACACGGACTCTTTTGGTTCAGCTGAGTCCACTCTGAAGGCAAAAGGCACAGCTAATACCATTGCACAACGGAATGTCACTCGATCCCAAGGTGGTGGACTAAACCGCATGAAATCAATCCGTGAGGTTGCAAAGGGCGCTCACCAGGTTCACAGAAACCAAAGCATAATAGCCTCCAACGCTAGATCGGGTGCTCTTCTGCGACGCAAGAGTACCAAGATGTTCGGTGCGAAGATTATGCAGGTTAAACCTGGAAGTCGGCTGAGTGAGCATCCAGTTCCACTGCCGCAGAACCCTGGGTCCCAGAATAAGCTACCTCAGAGACAAGCTACTTTCCGTATCATTCGAGGTCAACTTATCGGCAAAGGAACGTATGGTAGGGTGTATCTCGGCATCAATGCAGATAACGGAGAAATTCTGGCAGTAAAACAAGTTGAAGTCAACCAAAAGGCTGCAGGCCATGACAAGGACAAAATGAAAGAGATGGTTTCTGCTCTCGATCAAGAAATAGATACCATGCAACATCTCGAACATCCCAATATTGTACAGTATCTCGGGTGCGAGCGCGGGGAACTGTCCATTTCCATCTATCTCGAGTATATCCCCGGTGGATCAATCGGGAGCTGCCTTCGCAAACACGGCAAGTTCGAAGAAGGCATCGTCAAGTCTCTTACACACCAGGTCTTGAGCGGGCTGGCATACCTTCATGACCAAGGCATTCTTCACCGTGACCTCAAAGCCGACAACATCCTTCTCGACCTTGACGGTACCTGCAAGATTTCTGATTTCGGCATCTCAAAGAAGACAGACAATATATATGGAAATGACGTTACGAACTCAATGCAGGGCTCGGTATTCTGGATGGCACCAGAGGTTGTACAGTCACAGGGTCAAGGTTATAGTGCGAAAGTCGACATTTGGTCCCTTGGTTGCGTCGTGCTAGAGATGTTCGCTGGCCGGCGACCATGGAGTAAGGAGGAGGCGATTGGAGCTATTTTCAAGCTGGGAAGTCTGAACCAGGCGCCGCCAATTCCTGACGATGTATCTGTAGCAATCACGCCGGAAGCCCTTGCTTTCATGTATGATTGCTTTACAATGTGGGTTTCCTTTCCACCTTTTTTTTCTTCTTTACTTTCTCTCCTTTTTAAAATCCACCGTTCCCTCAGATCAACCCGATTATTGAAACCGATAAATGTCGCTTCATTTACTAAAATTTGTTTGCTCTTTCTTTTTAGTGATACTTTCGAACGCCCGACTGCGGAAACCCTGCTCTCCCAGCACCCTTTTTGCAAACCTGACCCGCACTACAACTTCCTGGATACTGAGCTGCATGCGAAGATTCGACATGTTCTCTAAACAGCTAGGTAATAACCACAACATATATATTTTCGGCAAGCCTTTGTTATTTTATTTTATTTTTTTATTTGGTTAGTCTTGTGATTATATCAGATTCTTCAAGCAACTGCGTTCTGCGTTGACATCTACCCCCCAATCAATTTCGGGTATCATTCATCCACCATCTATTAACTCTAGTCATCGTCATCTATTTACTTCATCGTTTTGTCAATTACTTTTTTGCTTCTTATGCCATTGGTGGATGGATGATGGCGGGGTGTTGTTAGTTTACTGCCTGGAAAGATTCTGTGGCTGGAGGTCTGGGATATTGGTGTTATATTCTATTTATTTATTGTTTTTGGTTGAAGACAAGGGAACCGCATTGTAATGTGCATGACTCATTGATAAATAGTATATTGTGGCTATACATTTCTTTTATACTCAATAAAAAGATCGCTCTCTCTTTTAGAATTTTATTTCGTCTTCCACCTTATTCTTAATTTAACCATTTTATAATCGTGATTTGAATTTTTTCTATTCTCGAAATATGGGATTATTCCGAAAATTCTCTGAAGGACTCTCTATAATATTACAGGTGGTGAGTGTAGATGACAAGTGTCTTTGGGTGCCTAAAGGATTTAACAATACGTATACGGTAGAGGACTCTATAGCCTCTATCAGCTGATACATATATAGCAAGTGACCTGTGACGAACGGTCGAGGTTTGAGCCTCGTGTCTGGCTTGTTGCTACTAGGTCATACTTTAAAATATAATATCATGTGTTGAAGCTTTACAAAAACGAGAGGTTGAGATGGCACTGGTAGCGAGCACGGCAGCTGTTGCCCCAACATCACTTGTTGTCCCAAACTGTCCGATGCAGCGTAGGCGCAGCAGTAGTAGCGGCAGACATGAATCAGCGGGCTTCTTGCTAAAAATAAACCTATATTTGATTTCTGAAGGGGCTTTGGTGGCCTTCATTCTGCCACCTATGTGTAACTCCATCCAAGTTAAGGAGAAGTAATGGAATGAGACGTTGAGCGATCAAAGCATGGAGGTATAGTATATTACAAACCATTTTCTGTATTCTATGCGTGAAAGTGGACATTGTATTTTCCACCAAGAAATCGCCGAAGTGTGTATGTACTGTTCAAATTTGAACGGATTTTCGTTTATCACATACTCCCATTCCTGCTTGGCCTTTGACGTTCTCCAGACGACGATATATCATCACTGCCACGCCTCACATCCCCATCCTCTTCACTCAGATCAGAAACCCGACCTTCTGAAGACGCCAGGCCAGCAGCCCCAACGTGGAAAACGGTCTCGCTCCATCCCGTAAATGTGTCAACATCCCACACGCCATCTTCCTGAGCCTTTCGGCTTTTTTCCATGGTCGAAAGTTTGTTACTTGTTACTCCATCCTTCCCCCCTTCTAGTGTCGATGTATAGCTATTGTAGAAATCCTCGTAGGCCTGAATCACAGAATCTTGCACTGCTCCAACAAGCGTTTCTTTCGTCCTCACGTCATCAAGGTATTGATCGAGAATTCGTCGCAGATGGGGAACTTCCTTCTCGATCGCTTTGCAGGTAAGTCGTAAGACGTTACTGTATGACTCGCTTCGGTTTGTAGATCTGGCCGGGGAGGCGAGGGGGGTAGTCATTTTCGACGAGAAGGAGTTGGTGAAGTCGTTGATTACTGTGCGTAATCTGCCGTCGAGCTCCGCTTTTGCATCGAGCATATTTTCTACAACGCGGGGAAGTAGACCGCCGCCAACTAGTCGCATAAGGTTTCGTGGGTTGAAGAGTCCGCCTCGTTGTCGGAGTTCCCAGAACGTGTTTGTTACGCCAGAGAAGTCGAAGTAGATGTCGGGACTGACGAATTCGATGTCAAAGGCGACGATTTGCTGTTTGAGGAGGAGGAGGTGTTTTATAAGGAATAGCTGGGCATCTGCGGGAGAAGCTTTTGTAGAAATTTGAGAGCTTGCGGCGTGGAGGGAGATGGTTGTTTGGTGGACAACTTGGTGTGCTAGGTCGTCGAAAACGGTGGACTAGGATGGTTTGTCAGCATGGTGAAGTATAGGGTACGGGTTAACAAGTTATTTAAATAGCTCAACATACGTTCACTAGTCGATAGATGCGACTGAGCAGCCAGACTGCTTTCCTCAAAGTTGGATACCATCCTTCAAACGCGGCTCTTGAATCAAAATCCCATCGCACATCTTTTTCTTGAGGCGAATCGATGTCCTCGTCGACAACCATTGGCATCTTCGGGAGTGGAGTGGTCGGTTCAGCAATCGATGCCTTTCTGTGTGATAATGTGCGGGATTCGTTATTCTCGGGCCCTTGCAATAACACGCTTCGATTGCGAGCAGGGTAATCAAGATCCTCGGGGCGCGGTTTATATTTCTCAATTTCATCTCGCAGTATTGCCTGCGTACGAAAGACAAGACGGGTTTGCGCGTCCTCCAATGCAGGTTGTATTAAGATAGAGAAGTCAAGCTGTGTCGGGTCAGCGCACTCCCCCTCATCCTCGGGATCGGATAAGTAACGAGTTTGTAGGAGTGAGCAAAGCTGACACAATTTGATAAGTTTAGTTTCACGAATAATCCTTGGTCTCAAATGGTCGTAGAGTGGTTCGCAGACGGACTCTAGAAAATCGTAAAGGCCTTGCTGACCATGAAACCATTGTCCCCAGAGTTCAAACTCGTCGAGACATATGCCACGAATATAGCTGATGCTGGCCCGAGCGAATACCACAAGGTCTTTTGAGGTGCTTGGGGCTTGGGCGATATCGTTCAGTCTCTTCCGCAACACAGGTATGACCAATTTGCCTCTCGTAGCCGAAAAGCTAGTATGAAGCTCATTAAGTAAACTTTGATACTCAGCTTCAGTTCCTTGTTCAGAGTCAACAGGGGGGACGGCTCGTTTTTGTATTTCCAATCCGATTGCTTTCAAATCTGCCGCACCCACACGAAATTTAGCATAGAGTAGAGCGGACATAGTTGTGTCGTTGAGTTGTCGATCCGCGATTCGTTTTGCAACACCAGAAGATATCTCTCTCAGGGTGGACACGAAATGGCCACGAATCAACGTGAGGGCGCGAGTCAAAAGAAGACGATAGCGAGACCTGTAAGTCTCCGATTCTTTTTGTTCGGGCTTCTGAGATGAGTACCATCGTTAAAAGTAGAAAGGGGGAAGTGGGTATACACGTACATGAGTCTGCATATAATCTAAGGATTCGTCTAGCCGCTTCAACATGTCAGAGAAGTCTTTTGTCCGCACAGAGTTTCCTGCGCCGGGCGCATTGAGTCTCCGTGAAACCGGGTCCAAAAAGTCATAGTACTGCAAATTCTCATGAATCTCATCCGCCAGTTTCGAGCTGCGCAACTGTGCTGATAATAGCCCCTCACATTGTTGCCGAAAGGCAGATGTTTGCGTCTCCACGGACTTAAAGGATTCAGAGAGAGTGGACAAGAGATCCAGCGTAGATGTAGTGTCGGTCAAAAGAGAATCGAGGTGCAGTTTTGATGTTTCCAATTCATCGAGACATGATCTGTCCATGATGATTAACTCTTGTCAGAAAATAATAGGAATTAGGGAGCCGGGTGATAGATACTGGTATTCTTCATAGCTAGCCTCAAGAAGGTCATTTTCAATGGAGCCGTACCAATGAGCAAAGTCAACATCATTGTCAATCTCCTTAACCGTGGTCCTTAGCTCATTGCGAGCTTTTAAGACAGGCGAAGCTGGTGTACTGGGAGGGTGGCATTGATTCTCCGGTTGAGACGCCATAGTGAATCATAATTATTTGGTAATTGGTCAGCTATCATATCGCTGTTTCCTTACCGTGCATTAGATAGCCTCTACGAAATCAAGAAGCTATGATGATTGTGTTTGGTATCGGAGGCGCTTTTTGCCGCGCCCCCGTCATGATTCTGCCGGCCATGCCCGCCAACCCTGAACCTAAAAGTTAGGTAACTAACGTCCAATCAAGTCCAAAAGCAAAAGTCGAAAGACTCAGAAGCATTCATCTGGGCTTTGCTAAGCCAAGCAAACCTAAGTCGTTGCTCGATGGACGGGGAAGAATCAATAAAACACGCATAATGATGTTTGCTAGAGGGAGCAAGCGGCTTGCTTCACAACGCTTCTTGCCGTCCAAAATCCCGCGATGCCCTGCCCCACGATTATGTCCCTACTCTACTGCCCGACCTCAGGAACCATCGAAGGAATCTGTGGTGGCACGACGATATAGTCCTTACATTGTCGTTGCAGGAGTGACTACAGCTATATCCTTAGGATATTACTACACTAGGGATAGACCGGAAAGTGTTGGAGAAACCTCGGAGTATCAACACCCAGAGCTCATTGTTCAGGAGGCCAAAACCCGCAAGAATTTATCAACAGAAGAAAACCGGGAATCACTAAGTCCGCAGCATGTCCAGGTGAAGAGAAGTTGGGAGCGGCCGGGACTGTATGCATGGGGGTCTAATACGGGGTTGGTTACAAACCCGGACTCGAATGAATTCGTTGTCAAGACTCCAAGGAGAATATCATACTTCGATGGCATGGTTCTTCGCGATGTCAAACTTGACCAGAATTTTGGTGCCGCTATTACAGAAAACGGGGATTTGATTCAATGGGGAAAAGGCTATTCGAAAACAGATTACAAACCAACGAAGACGCTCAAGGGGAAAAACCTAGTATCACTTTGTATTTCGGCGGACAGGATCATTGCGCTATCCTCTGGAGGGAATGTTTATTCCCTCCCTGTATCAAAATCAGATCAAGAGAATGGGTGGAAACCTTTCGAAAGCTCCTGGATTCCATTCTGGCGAAACCGAGCTCAATTGAGTTACCGCCCTCTGCATCCACAGCTTGGGTTGGGTGAAAAGGTTACAGCGATCAGTAGCGGCCTTGAACATTTGCTTTTATTAACAACTTCTGGCCGTGTATTTTCTGCTGCTGTTAGCTCGGAACATTTTCCTTCCCGTGGTCAACTGGGTGTTCCGGGCCTGACGTGGAGCAGTCGGCCAAAAGAACCATATGACTCGTGTCATGAAGTTAGAGAGCTGCGCGGGATCCATATCACAAATATCGCGGCTGGAGATTATCATTCCCTTGCTCTTGATAAAACTGGACGGGTATTCGTATTCGGCGACAATAGTTCGGGCCAGCTCGGACTAGACACCAATGTCAATATTCCATTCATTGATACGCCACATATTCTTCCGCTCGCCAGTCTTTATCCTGCTGATGGCTGTGAGGTAAATACATCAAGTATTGCCGCTGGAGGCGCAAATAGTTTTTTTACCGTCAATGCAAAAAGGGTACTTGGCCCAATGGAGATTCCGGCCACGGTAAGGGACCTAGGCCGACTCACTACAGATGTTTGGAGCTGCGGAAAAGGGTTGTTCGGTGTCCTTGGGACCGGGAAGTGGACTCATGTCCAAAGCACGCCGACAAAAATCAAGGCTCTTAGTGGTTTATTTGAATATAGTGACGCTGCAAAGAAAGTTGTTCCCATTGGTATAAGCCATATTTCGGTAGGCGCAACCCATGCTGCGGCTGTTTTGAGCAACTTTACCAATGTTTCAGCATCGAATGGCGGCTCCCAGACAGATACGAATTGGGGTGCAGACGTTTTCTGGTGGGGAGGAAATGAATTCTACCAATTAGGCACCGGGAAAAGAAACAATATTGCCTCCCCAACGCACATCCACCCTCCTGCTGACGTTATATCCCGCGAACGTCAGGGTGAGGACAGTCGATTTCAAATTACCCCTCGCCGAACTGTTAAATTGGACGGGAGAAAAGTGAGCCTGGAGCAGCGGGTTGAGTGTGGGCGCAATGTCACTGCTGTGTACTCTGCGGTTTAATACAGCTTTGCTATCTGTCGTTCTATGAATCTAAATTTATCCTGTAATATTTTGTCTGAGCCGAAACTGATATAAGAGGTAAGTTAGCTGGTTTAACTCCAATCAATCCTTGTAATTGAGGTATCATTTACCAAGTTTATATTTGAACTTGGGTTTATCAAGACTTAACTGCAACTAAAGGAGAATATGATGGTAGTAAGTTAGCTTGAATGTTTGTTTTGTTTGCTTCCATTTTATGATCACGTAAGCTATTACATGCAACCGCATAATTAGTTGACTAGCCGAAAAAAAAGAAAATGGAGGGCTACTTTTTCTCGATTTATGCGCTGAGTTGTTCCGTTCTTTTATCTGCGTATTCCATAGATCCGAATCATACATAAATTTTACAATGCCGCGGGAGAGGCAAAAACGAGGCCGGAGGGCGGAGGCCAAACGAAAGCGTGGCGATGAAGCTGGAGATCACAAGTCGCCGAAACGACAGAAAGCCTCGGACGGTTACAACGACTCCAATCCTCCATATAACCAAGCAAAAATTGGAGATGACTATATCCCACTCGAGGAGGGGCCAGCGAGCTCCATGGATGCGCCCTTCTACGGCCTACTCGACGCAGAAGAACAGGAATATTTCTCTCGCGTAGGTGGGCTCCTTGAACTTAACCAGTTCGAGACAGAGGAAGAGAAAGATATCTTCATAGAACGAGTTTATGAAGAAGCCGACGGGAAGGAGTTGAAAATCGCCTGCAGCCAGTCATGTTCGAGGTTAATGGAAAGATTAATTTCAGCCTCTACTGTTAGTCAGATTAAACGGCTCTTTAGCAAATTCGTCGGCCACTTCCTCAACCTCGCCCAACATCGATTCGCAAGCCATTGTTGCGAATGCTTGTTCCTTCGCGCCGCACCGCATGTGGCAGTGGAAACGAGGAGAAAATCCACAGAGAATGATGACAATGATGATGAGAATTCAAACGCGAACGTACGACTGGAGGATCTGTTCTTGACAGCAATTTCTGAGCTAGAAGGAAACTGGGGCTATTTGCTGACAGATAGGTTCGCATCGCATACGATAAGAGTGCTTCTGTTGATACTAGCCGGCGAGCAACTGGACAGCCCGTCTAAATCAAACGTCATCGCGAGTCGCAAAAAGGAGAAATTAGATAAAGCGAAAGTGGTCGCTCAACCAGATAGATCAGGGCGAGAAAGGCGAGCTGTTCCACCCTCATTCAATGCTGCCTTGGAGAAAATGGTGAAGGATTTGATTGCTGGCCTCGATAATACATATCTACGGGCACTGGCGACGCACCCTGTTGGAAATCCTGTGCTGCAAGTGTTGCTCTCAATCGAGCTAACTCATCTTGGAAAGTCAAAAGCAAAGGATCCCGACTCGATTTTTCGGAGGCTTGTGCCGGATGAGAATCTGGAGGAAGGTAGTGAGAGTGCAGGGTTCATAAAGGGCCTCTTTTATGACCCCGTTGGTTCGCGGTTATTGGAAACAATCGTGCGATACGCTCCAGGAAAATTTTTCAAGACTTTCTACAAAGCCATTGTGCTGGAACGCATTGGATCGCTATCTAGGAACGAAATTGCAGGACATGTAGTAGCTCGGATTTTGGAAAGATTGAGTAAAGAAGATCTGAAGAGCGCCATGGACTTGATTTTGCTAGAAGTTCCATCTTTAGTGGAACGTTCAAGGCTTACTGTCATTAAAGCCCTGATTGAACGAAGTGTTGTCCGTGGTGTAGATCTAGCTCCACTCGCGGACACACTTTCGTCATCCTATGGCGCAGATCCTGCTTCAAGGATCAACAACATTCTGAAATTGCAGTACCCTAAGGAAGAAAATGATAGCGCTAATCGACCTTCCAAAGGTTCTTCTCTAGAGCAATTACATGGCTCTCTTCTTGCCCAAGCTATGCTTAAGTCTCCCGGCCCTCTGAGCGAACTGATACAGGCGAGTCTTATTGCAATTACGCCAGAGACCTTAATGGCAATTGCTAAGGACCCGATTGCTTCCCATGTCCTCCAAGACGCATTGGCTCTTCCAACCTCTACTGCTCGGTTTCGCCGTCAAATAACCTCAAGATTTTCAGGGAAGATGGTTGAACTCGCGTTGGATTCGAGCGGATCGCATGTTGCTGATGCGCTGTGGTCGGCCACGGAGGATTTAATTTTTGTTAAGCAGCGGTTCGCTGAGGAACTGTTGGCAAATGAACGAGCTCTTCGAGACTCATTTGTCGGACGAGCTGTGTGGAGGAATTGGTCAATGGATTTGTATAAGCGGAGAAGAGGCAATTGGATTTCAATGGCTAAAGGGCGGGAACACAACGCTAAGGTGGAACTGAGTAAATCCGATCATCGACAATGCCTGAAATCAAATATCGATCAGGCGAGAGCTCGATTTGCTGCAAAGGCAGATGGACCAGAAGCATCAGCAAACAGCAGCATGCCGAGAAAGGCGTCTGCTTCCACAGCCTGAAAATTGGTCTTGGCGATAGGGCTAAACATGACGTCATTTTTAACCAATCGGCTTCGTTGCGAAAACTTCGGAAGTCCATCATACTCGAAATTTTTAAATGGAAATCTCAATACCGGAGCGCAAAAATGTCAGTCATATCAGAAATTATGGGGCCTTGTTGCCAAACAAGGCTTAGGCATCAAGCCCCTGATCTCCCCGCGACTCTTTGGGGGCCTGTCATGTAACATGTTTACCATTTAATTTTCTAGCTTGTGTAGGATTTTCACCTCCCGAGGTCCGTATTGGTGGAGCAAATTTGCAAGTCCGATCTCGGATCCATAACAGACATACATCGTTCGCGTCTTCTATAGATACATAGTAGAACAACACCATCCATGAGATATGGCTCCACATTCGGGATTGATCCTTAGGTGCGGCAGCCCTGTATTATAATATTATTAAAAAGTTCCCAAGTTCTCTGCAGTATCCCTGCTCTTCTCGCCGGCTATTTATTGTCCCGTTGACCCCACAATAAGTAGAATTGATAGATGCGTCATGAATACAAAATCCTCCATTAACTATAACGATGTCTTCGAATGACCCTACGGCCGCCACAGGGAATCAATGCCTGGAGAGGAGTGAGGAAGTACGAAATGTGAGTGAAGCAGCTTCATAGGAGTATGACAAACCCGATTCTGCTCTCTGAGCCGAAGTATTTTCGGCTCGAATTCGCAGAAGAGAAGAGAACAGTTAGCTGATCGCTAGGTATTTTCACTGTAGTTATTAAGTGCTGTCCAAGAACGCATTGTAGCCTTTATCCAGTCTGCAGACCAATATGATTTCAGCTCCGCAAAAGTTGAGGATGCCTCAGCCCGCAGTTCGGCACTGGTACAGAGCATGAGACCGGAGGAATTACAAGCCGCTTTGAATCTCGAGATCCCTTCATCAGGTCAGGGACAAAATGGCTTCCTTCGAATTCTAGACCAGGTGTTAGAGTACTCGGTCAACACATGGCACCAGGGATTTCTGGACAAACTGTATTCATCCACAAATGCGCCGGGTGTCGCAGCGGAGTTGATTATCGCCTCATTGAATACAAATGTTCATGTGTATCCAGTGTCGCCTGCACTCACTGTTATTGAAAAATATACTTCAAAACAGGTAGCATCGCTTTTTGGCTTGGATGGGCCTAAAGCAGGAGGGATATCGGTTCAAGGAGGTTCGGCTTCTAACGCTACCTCTATAGTCGTCGCTCGAAATACTCTATTCCCCAAAACTAAGAAGGACGGCTGTGATGGATACAAGTTTGTTCTCTTCACTAGTGCACATGGCCATTATTCTATAGAAAAGGCAGCACAGTCGCTTGGGTTCGGAAGCAGTGCTATTTGGGCTGTGCCAGTCGACCAAAAAGGACGAATGATCCCTCAATCCCTGGAAAGACTTATTGTCAAAGCTAAGAGTGAGGGAAGGACACCGTTTTACGTAAATGCGACCGCCGGGACAACTGTTCTCGGGTCATTTGACCCTTTGGAACAAATTGCTTTCATTTGCCGGAAACATAATCTTTGGTTTCATGTTGATGCTTCTTGGGGAGGTTCATATGCGTTTTCGAGAAGGCAAAGAGCAAAAATTGCTGGTTCCCACTTGGCGGATAGCATCACCGTTAACCCGCACAAAATGCTAGGCGTTCCGGTGACCTGCTCATTCCTTCTGGGTGCAGATATGAACAAATTCCACCGGGCAAATACGCTACCTGCGGCATATCTGTTCCATAACGATTATTTAGCTGCTGACCTGAATGGCAACGCAGATGTGTCTGTACCCGACGTTTGGGATCTTGCTGATATGACGTTGCAGTGCGGCCGTCGAGCCGATTCCCTCAAGCTCTTTTTGAGTTGGACTTACTACGGCACAGAGGGGTATGAGCGTCAAATCGATGCCGCTTCTGACATGGCCGCTTACTTTGCTGCGGCTGTTTCTGATTGCCCAAATCTGCTCCTCATCAGCGAGAACCCACCCCCTTGCCTCCAGGTTTGTTTTTGCTATGCTCCTAACAAACAACTCGTCTTCCGCCGCGATCAGGAAATCGAGGGTAATCGAATTGACGAGGAAGAACGAGGCAAGCGAAATAGCAAGATAACTGAAGAGGTAGTCCAAAAGCTAGTCCATTGTGGGTTCATGGTGGACTTCGCGCCACCAGTTGAGGACGATCCATCCGCTGGAGATGGGAAGTTTCTCAGGTGTGTGGTGAATTTGCAGACAAAGAAAGAGACTATCCATGCCTTGATAGATGCTGTTTTGGCTGTTGGGTTGCAGGTTGTTGGGCCATGTGGGCGTTTTGTAGGAGCAAAACCATTCCGCATGGGAAATCCTGGAGAGCGTGGACATGGGCCAGTTGTTCGTCATTGAGCTTGAAATCCATGGGTATCTTCCTCACTTTTACGCAAGGAAGAATGTTCATGTGCAGTCCATTTGTATATATCGCTGGACTATGGATATAGAACAGGCATTTGCTAATTGGCTGAAATTGTGTAATTACGCCACCATATTCTTCTTGTGATGAGGAGCCGAGCTTTTGATGGCCAAGTCCTCAACCGCTTGCATGTTGCTACGATGGAGGGAAAAATAGATATGCAGCTTATTTCTTTGATATGTTCTTTGCCTTTTGCTTAAATATGGATCCAGGCTGGAATACTAGTCTATTGAAATGTACTTGTATCAACACTCTACGGAACCCCGTGCTAGGATCTTGCTATCAAACAGAATTCAGGGTATCTTGTATGGAAGTGTGAACCAAGAAGGATGGATAGGAAGTAGGGTTCATATCTGAAGGAACAGCATGTCAAATTTGTAGATGCATGGAGGCACCCACGAGATAGAATGATGTATGGGGCCATCATATGCAAGAAATAATTTTCAGCGTCGTAATTCCACCCTTCGCTCCAATACTGCCCTCGCCTCCGACTCCGTCAAAGATTCAAAGTTCAATTCAGCCAACAATGACCTCGCACTTTCATTATTTGCAAACAGCCTCTTTTCTGCTTCCCACAGTGACAAATCCGGTGTCTCATCCCCACCACCAGGAGAAGAGTTGTTATCTTCCTGTGTAGGTATGATTTTTAAATTGAGTAGGAACAATCCGTCGACAAGTTTCTGCATTACATTTCTGGACTCCATTCCGTTTCCTGTTGCCACATCGACGACCTCGCAGATGTTATCGACGTCGCAACAAAGTTGGGATGCGCCACTTGCCGAAAACGTATTCCGCATCAACACATTATCCCATATGTATGTTTGTATGGAAAGCAGCACTTGGCGAGTGATTCGCCGCAGTGGAGCCATGGCTAGGAGTCGATGGAGGAACGAGATCTCGGCAGGGAGCTCTCTGAGAATTATGGCCAATTCGATAGATGAATGTGATAGTTGACCGCTGGTATTTGCCGGAGGTGAAAGCGAAGACCATGTCGATATCAGAGTGTAAGCGCGAAGCGCTGACTGTGCACTTGAGACCATAGTTGATGCTATGATTGACTCTGTCCTCATTTTTAACCTGCGATAAGCGGACGCCGTTTCGTCAAAAAGAGCCCCTTCGGCTGGGTTCTCTCCGTCTTCATTGTTGGCCACTACCGATGAAGTACGGGCTGCAACATCAGAGACACTCATACACCCTGCCACAGGTCTCCCTGTGTGGCTATTTTGCTTGACACGCTCTTGGAGTTCTGACCAGAGCTCCAAGAAAAAAACATCGTTGCTCCAATCCTGCATTTTCCGTTCTAAATATTCTGCGCTGCCGTATACCCTACAAAGCCGCTCTAGACCGGACACACCTTCTAGGCTAGCATCCGCACCCGCAGGGCCTTGGACAGTGCGGCCAATTGTAGAGGTCATCGCAAGGTAAGCTTCTAGTCCCGATCGTAGCCTTTCATGAAATTGATCAAAAATAGTAATTTGAATGTCGATAAGAAACCGCAACTTCTGACTAAAGGATGACAAAGGACGGTACCGCTCAGTGATTGTTTCGAGAAGATCATTGACCCTAATTGCAGCCTTAGTCGGCTTTGTGGCAGATGGCTCCACGCCATAATAATCTATTTCCCCACTGTCTGCACCTTCGATGATATCCTGATAACGTGACAATGCAAAATCTTTCTCCGCCTTCAGCCAGTGGTTGAACCAGCCTTGTTTAACGAGAGCCTCCCAAGTTAATCCTTTCCAGCTATCTGAAGAATATCTGTTCTGGGAGTAATCCCACACATCTCGAATTTCGGTATCAAAACTCATTAACTCATGGATAAAGTGGCTTAACAGCTGAGGATGATCGGAAATTCTGGGAAGAACAGAGCTCATTTTTTGGCGCAGGATAGGAAAAAGAGAGTTAATGAAGGATGACACCGCATCAGCATATGCCCAACGGAGATTTTGGTCGACAAATTCAGCTCGTTTGTCGAGTATCGGCTGAAGATGTACGGCAAAAAACTCGCTATGTGTGCCGATGAGGTCGATAACGTGGGACAAAAAGTATTCAGGCTGCTAGAGTTAGAGCATTCGACACATAAGATAAATATTGCGTAAGATGCAAGCACGCTTACTTTGTCTAACCTATTTGTCGACCTATCCCCGCTGAAGTGGTATTTAAATCGAAGCTCAAGCGGACGAGACATAACTTCGAGGGGGAGAAGTACAGGAGGTTCCCAACCTGGAGCAGACTCCGAGCTAGAAAAACATGCGCTATTCTCCAGCTCACTAAAACAGAAGTTAGAATAAATAGCTTCCATAACACAACACTATGGAATTCCTCACGGTTCTTGCAGCTCCAGCAATAACTCGACCGCATCCGTCCACTCATTGATTAGGTCATCTGAAACATTGAATTCGTTCCCTGGCCATTTCATCTTCGCGAGGACTTTTTCTAAGTTGTCTTCAAATACTTTGGCCATTTGGTCTCGTAGGATATTCGCTATTTGCGAAGCATAAGCGACCAGATGAGATGCCGCCCCTTCCGCTGCCGGTTGGGCTAATTTCAGGCCAGATGAGAGGGTTCGTAGTCGCGTATAAGGAGGAACTGCCAAACGAGGAGATGTCGCAAGTAATTTAACAGTTTCCTTACTGAACCATCTAAGTCAAGTTGTCCAATTTAGATCACGGAGGTACTATCAACAAACCTGAGATAGTCCACTTCACATAGAGTCCCCATGTAGCCCTTTGCAATTTCCAATCTGTGAAGACGCTCCATGCTGGTTTCGAAATCCTTAACCGCCTGCTCACTGGTGTCTGACTGGGTCACTATCATAAGTCGATTATCTAAATCTTGCTGCTGCTGCTTGAAGGCCTCCACTTGTTTGCGAACGCTTTCGCTATGCTCCTTTGACGCCTTGGTGGCATCGGCAAGAATGTTTTTCGCTTCGTGAAGCTGCTGAGTGTTAATGTGGATTGAAAATAACCACCATAAGGTTAAGACCTCTATACCTGTTTTTTTTGAAGTTCCTGTTGGCGTTGTAAATTCTGGAGAATGGCATCCAAATTGCGCAAATCTTGCCCGGTCTGAATCATATCATTTAAATAATCCTCAACTCGGGCTTTCCCTTGAGAATCATATAATTTCTGTTCTTTGGTCATGGTTGCAATCTGAATGGATAACGAGAGGTTAGGAAAATCGAAGATGAATGATGTTGAAGTTCAACGTGGATAATAGAAAATGACAAAGCTCCAGATGACCCAAGGTAGCTAGCCTAACGCTCGGGCCAACCATAGAACCTCCGCTTTGCATTCATTCAAAATAACATCTTATACATCTCATCCACACCCAATTTTCTCCATGGAGGCCAGACATGCCTAGCCCTGCTAAGAAGCGCAAGACAAATGATGTTAAACCTGTGCCTCAGCGAATTCGTGGGATCAGATCCTTCTTTGAACCCCAAAATGCTACTCGAACACCGGCCACCTCTGCCTTGTTGACCGATGAAGAGCTTGCACGCAAATTACAGGCGGAATGGAATGAAGAAGTGAGAGCAGACCACCAGAGTCCTAGCCCACCTAAAGACTCTCTGGGTTTACTTTCGCGAGAGGCCAACGCTGAAGATCGAGATGAGGGATTTGGGATTGAACCACAACCGCCCGCGCTGTCCTTCACTGACGTTCCTAGAGACACTACCAAAACCGTGTTATCATTACAAACCTCGTCGTTAAATGAGGATACCATCTCCCAGTCGATACCATTTGATCAAAGTCCACTTACCTTTGACCCATCGGGCTATATTGAGCAATTACGGACTCACTGGGCTTTTGGCGGGGGTCACGCATCGTATGCCATTCTGACTAGAGCATTCGTCCTTGTCAACAACACCCAAAGCCGAATTAAGATCGTTGACACCTTGGCAAACTTCCTGAGAGTGGTAACAGAAGCTGATCCGGACAGCCTTGTCCCTGCCGTATGGCTTACAACAAATGCGATTGCACCTCCCTATGTTCCTTTGGAGTTGGGATTGGGCGGGTCTATTATATCCAAGGCTTTGAAAACTGCATATGGATTAAACAATCAAGGATTGAAAATTCTATATGACAAACATGGTGATGCTGGGGATGTCGCTTTCGAAGCTAAGAAAAGGCAAACCTTTACATTACGGAGACCAAGGCCGTTATCGATAAGAGGGGTCTATGAATCGCTCTTGAAAATCTCCCAAAGCAAGGGCCCAGGAAGCCAAGAAGCCAAGCAGCGAATAGTTGAGAAACTTCTCCAGGATACAAGAGGCGCAGAGGAAAGCAGGTACCTCGTGCGAACGCTTGTGCAACATCTTCGCATTGGAGCAGTCAAGACGACAATGCTTATTGCTTTAGCTAGGGCATTCTTACTCTCGGGACCTGCCGCGAGCAGTTTCTCTGTTTATTCGAGAACGGATCTCTCAAAACTCAAAAAGGAGGAAATCGCAAGTATCTACAATAGGGCGGAGGAAATTGTGAGAGCTTGCTATGCTCGACACCCTAACTATAACGATTTAATACCATGCCTTCTAGAGGTCGGAATATCAGATGAGCTCCTCGTGAGATGTGGACTCACTCTCCATATTCCATTACGCCCAATGCTGGGAAGCATAACGAGAGATCTAACCCAAATGCTTACTAAACTCCAAGGGAGAAAATTTACTTGTGAGTATAAGTACGATGGCCAACGGGCGCAGGTTCATTGCGATTCTTCAGGTACGGTGTCTATCTTTTCCCGTCATCTCGAGCGTATGACGGACAAATACCCTGATTTGGTAGCCCTCATTCCCAGAATTCGGGGTGAAGGAGTATCGAGTTTCATTTTAGAAGGAGAAATTGTCGCGGTAAACCAGGGAACTGGGGAGTTATTGGCGTTCCAGACCCTTACCAACCGTGCGAAAAAAAATGTGGGCATCGATAGTATTAAAATTAGCGTATGTTTGTTCGCCTTTGACCTCATGTTTTTGAATGGTGAACCGTTACTGGAGAGACCACTCCGGGAAAGGCGAGAACTTCTGCGAGGTCTGTTCATTGATATTCCACATCATTTCACATTTGTAAAAAGTATTGACGCGACTTCGTTTGATTCGGAAGCCGTGTTGGCCTTTTACAAAGATGCCCTTGATGCCAAATGTGAAGGACTCATGGTTAAGCTGCTAGATGACAGTGTTACGCCAGATATGCCCGAAGAAGAGTCAGCTACGAAACCGATTTCGACTAGCGAGCTACCATCAGCGCCTGCCTCCATGGAATTGAATGTTAACGCCAAACACAAAGGTCGGCGTTCTCTACTATCTACTTATGAGCCTGACAAGCGACTCGAATCGTGGCTCAAAGTGAAAAAAGACTACAGTGCTGCATCTGATACTTTGGACTTGATCCCCATTGCTGCTTGGCATGGGCAAGGCCGGAAAGCTAAATGGTGGTCTCCTATCCTTCTTGCCGCTCGCAACCCCGAAACTGGCTTGCTTGAGGCTGTTACGAAGTGCATATCTGGTTTCACAGACAAGTTCTATCAAGCTAACAAAGAAAAATATGCGGAGGGAAGCGAGAATATAATCTCGAGGCCGAACTACGTGGAATATAGAAACGAGCCAGAAGTATGGTTTGAACCACAGGAAGTCTGGGAGGTGGCATTCGCTGATATTACGCTCAGCCCTACTTATACAGCTGCGATTGGTTTGGTCAGTGAAGACCGCGGACTGAGCCTTCGATTTCCGAGATTCATTAAAGTCCGCGAGGATAAGGGAATCGATGAAGCAAGTAGTTCGGAGTATCTTGCAAGTTTATGGAGGAAACAAACGAAACGACTGCAGGAGGAAGGATCACTGACAAAACTAGAAGCGGAACATGACAACTTCGGCTTGGAGGATGAAAGGAGATGACATTCTTCAGCTAAAGTGAATTTAGAATGACAGTAAGCTTCAACTTGACTCTTTCAATTTGCACCACTGCACAAAGTATTATGGGAAGATTCAATGCATACCTTGATATGTTTGCCCTTTTCCAGAGCTATGTGTAGTGGTTCATTTTGGATAACTAGCTCTCTCTGCAGTGACAGCGGATTTGCGCGGCTTGAACATATATGCTTTTCCTTATGTTCGAGTTGTCCGTCATGGGATCGAACGGCATCCCTGTACTTCCTGCTGTGGCCCAAAACGCGGACGTCATACAAAATGAAATGCACCAATATAATTAGCGTCAGCATGGTCTATTGGGCAGCGGAAAATTGAGTTCGATCCCATGTATACTTTGTTAACTCTCAGTTTGGCCACAAGCTTTCCGGTGACATCACACCGGGCTTCTATTTGCCTCCTTTCCCGAACACTCCTCAATAAGAAGGATGGGCTTCGCTGTGTTCTCTTTACCTAGCTTCTGCCAATTGACGCTCTCCACTTTGATCGATACAGCGGTATTGACAAATTCCTAAGCAAGATGCATGACCTTCCCCGAAAAGCTTTGATTGCTGTAAGCAGTGCCCATCCTCCATTCTACCTGGATGGGAAGAAAACGGGACTTTCCTTCCCTGAGGCCCTACACCCGTTCAACGAGCTAGTGGAAGCCGGCTTCGATATCGATATCGCCTCAGAGACTGGCACGTTCGCCTATGATGATCACTCCCTAGATTCGCACAACCTATCCCACGAAGATCAGCGGATTCTCCAGAGTTTTGATTATCCCTTCCACCACAAGATGAAAAACCAGATATTCAAAGCCGGTGATTTGTCCGCACACGAATATGGGCTTTTCTTCGCAGCTGGGGGTCACGGCGCTATGTATGACTTCCCGAACGCTCGCCATTTACAGGCCATTGCGGAAGATATTTACGATCGTGGCGGTGTCATTGGTGCCGTGGATCAAGCTCCTGTTATTCTCGCAGGGATACGCTCTCCTGATGGCGAACCCCTCCTTAAGGGGAAGGAAATTACGGGCTTTCCGACGAAGGGTGAGGTTGAGCTGAAGGTCATAGACAAGATCAGAGAAGACAATCTCAAAACCGTAGAGGAGATAGCTCAAGACCTCGACGCTCATTACCTGCCGCCGGCACATAACTTCGATGACTTCAGCCATATCGATTCAAGGATTGTTACTGGGGCGAATGCCACGAGTGCTACAAGTACTGTGAGGAATGCGATCAAGCTGTTCGAAGGGGCAGTTGCCGATTTTTAATTTTTGGTGGAATTTATACCCGAAAAAAAAAAAAAACCGAAAAAAGGGTGGATTGTTGCATCGACTAATGGTATGGCCTGACTGCATCTGATTTTGCACTGTACGTAAATCCATTGGGAGCTATTCTCGTTTGGCTCAAAAAGTAGCTCCGCCTATTTGCGGCAATGAACTTTTCTGCTTTGTCAACCTCCAGGCAAATCCGGTGTCAAAGTTCGGTTTGTCACACCGTTTTACAGATATGGGAGGATGGTCACTTTCATTATGCTAGTGCACTGCTCCAATCGTTTCGGAAAATGTTCACGCAATATTGAATGAACCCTCTACTTCGTGCTCTCCTGAATATTCATAGTCGAACCCTTACCGGATTCCAAGTCAGCTACGGCTATAACCCCACTGCATTCTTTGTTGCCCTGATAGTCTTTTTCTCCGGCTACTATACTAGGCTTTGAAGTGGCAAGGCCACTGGGACAGGTACCTCCAAAGCTACTACTGCTTCCATTTCCCATCCGTTTTGCCCAAATCTCCAACTTCTCCACCATTAGCTCCCATCTGTTAAATATGGGCATGCTAAGGCTGTACAAAGGTTCTTTTATTACCGGAACCTGACGATGTATAACTCCGTCAATCATTGAATGGCTTCCCTGCTCCTGACCGCTTCCCCAGCTGCAGAAGGAGTCGAATGCGTGGGGGAAGATTTTGGAAAGCGGTGCTTTATATGTCGGCCATGTTTATATCTAGATTATTTGTTGCAACGTATAATGTCATGGATCCAAGCACGCTCGTGATGCAGACACTAACGGATCAAAGAGAAAAAAAAGCTAGCCATTGCATACATATCCTAATCAACATGCACCAAGTCTACGAGTTCGGTACCATACAAAATACCAACTGCGAATATTGACATTAACCCGATCTTAGCCCTCTTGGGCATTGGTAGAGATTTTATAACCGGCATAGGCAATAATCAAGATAGCTAGATCACTTAATATGCTGAAGGCCGCGTTTGCATACCAGCTGACGGTGAGGAGGTTGATGCATGTTCCAGCTACATTTCTATCCCACGCACGATGAGTCGGTGTACATTGGAACACGGTAGCTGTGGACGAACCGATCGTGTAGCAGACAACGATCAAGATAAAGAGCCAACATGTCCGTCGAAAGATATTGCCAACGAATATACGTAAATAGAGAAAAACGATCGATATTTTGGACAGTGCAATTGTCGTTTTATATATCACTTGAGCCCCTACAAAAAGCTAGGTCTATATCAATACCGTTTCAGCTTTATGTAGAATTTGCACTTTGTTAAAAAGTCGCTCTGTCGTAGAAAAAGATACGAGCCATAGGCAATCTAGAAATTCAAGAAGTGGGTCTCGCTGTCTCTCATGTTTTCCAAATGCCCATTTGCAAGCTAAGGTTGAATTAACACAGGTAGATAGCTGGAAAAGAGGATGAAGCTTCAAGGGCCCATACCAACGATCATGGTTATAGAGAGTATGACCGAAAACACCTGTATGCGTTACATCCCAGCTTCCGGCGTTAGGTCGAACTCTGAACCTGCAAAAACGGATGCTAGCCACATCTTGCATTCCTCAGTTAACCCTTTCACATTGGAGTAACTTACGCAGGATATGACGATGGTCCAGTCATCCCTTCCCAGTCTCTTTGTAAAACGCACTCTGCTGGCAACTCTCAATGCAACAAATAAGGGGGTTACAAAGGAGAACACAATCGAAGGGGTCATCAATCGAGAAGATATGTCAGGTATCGGCGGTACCCCTGAAGGCGAAGCCATATTGAGGTACCTGCCACTTGCATGCAAATGCAAACCTTTTGCAAAAACAGGTCGAAGTAGTGTCTGCGCGCAGGAAACGCAGCAAATATGGAGGCAAAAAGCATCCCTGGTGGAGTGAGAGAATCTGATATGTATATCCTAAAAATAAGGCTTTCTGGTTCAAGCTGAACATATATTTGCATCATGAACCAGGTCAGAGCGCACTTGAAAATGTGTTAGTGTCCCAAGGGTCGAGCTGTCAGAAATGAATACGGCAATCTTGCCAAAGTCTCAACACATGTGAGTGCACGAAGAAGACATTGGATTTGTGATAGACGTGATCTGAGAATACGGGCTTTCCTTTCATCTGCGTCGGGAAGCATGATCCTGTGGTTCCAGGTGACAAATTACCGTGCACGTTGCTGGGAATGGCTATGCCTTCAGTGGAACAACAAGGAGGTCGTTTGTGGAGAGAAAAGGAAACCCATAATGAAATAATGATAAACGACGGTAGGAATACAAGCAAGGCAGAGAGCAGAGGCAGAGAGCAGAGGCAGAATGGGGATCTAGATTTGTTCCATCATCTCACCCCTTACAGAAAGCAAGCCTCCAAACAAAGGATTTGGAAAAAAGTGGGCTAAGTCCGCGAAACAGATGATCCCCAAGGATCTGAATGACTAGAAAATGAGGCTAGCGACTCTTTAAGAACAGCAGCTCAATGCATTGCTGGCTGGACAAGCACACGATGGAGAAAGTCTCTTTTTTGGGGGAGTCCTGTACAGTAGTCCAACGACTGAGGCATACGGAATAAAGTATCACCTCGTAGAGTCAGAGGCGGACATGGCGAAAGATCGACTGGTACGACTTAGGAATCTTGCAGTTGGTGGCTTGGGGTTGCATATCTGTCAAATGGTTCTTCCATAATTGAGAACCTTGCGTCAAGAGACACCGTGAGCTGAAGCGCAGCGGTGACCGCTGTAACACTGGAGTTAGGTATTTCGTTACTTGAGGTTTATATATGAACTATGAAGGGGAACTCTAAATAATTCCTCTTTGATCAATCTTGTTGAATCAATCGATGTGGCCGTTGATGGTGCGAAGTTGCTGGATACAAAATGGATTTTCTAACAATGGGTGAAAATTGGGAGATACTGAGAAAAGATTATCGGGGAGATGGTCGACAAATCGACAACAAAGAATCATCAAGGCAAGTCATGCATGCGAAGGTAATCAATTATTACGAACCACTAATCAATTCATTTTGTGAATCGGAAATCTGGGTGATCATCCCCAAGGTTTTCCAACTCGGCTTGACATAAATTGAACCGATAATCGCGGCGTCCAGCATCCCGCATCTTATTTTCTCTATCCAGTGCAAGCATAAATACCGTAGATAAGAGGGCACATACAACTGTTAAAGCCAGAGCACTCCCATAGCCTGCTTTGAAGAGCGGAGCACCATTCGGGAGGAATAGATTACTGGCCACGATGCCGCCGATGTTACCAAAAGAAATCTGGAAAGCGCTTCCGAATGCCCGTTTGTAGTGCCCGGCTAAGTTGTTAGAGAGCCATACGATGGTGACGGGGTGTGCGATGTATACGCCGATATTGACTATGAAGAGTGCCATGTATTTGACTCTTAAAGATGAGTGGTTTTGGTTGAGTAGTAGAATATATCCAATGCTAGAGAAGAAACACCCAAAAATAACGAAGCCCCAGCGATGGCGGATTCTGTCGCTGAGGTAGCCTACAAGAATGATAACTGCTGCGGATGTCCCCCAAATCGGGATGCTATGGACTTGCGATTGAGATGCGTTATACCCAAATTGTTTCAAAATAGTAGGGTTGAAGAGAGCGGTGGAATATCCACAGGTATTGATGGTGAGGTATATTAAGGCACTAACCAGAGCCGAAAGATTAGCATACGGACTATTTGCGCTGAAAAGGAAACACCCATACCCTGTATATATTTTCCAGTCCTTTATGATGATCTGCAATGATTGTCGATCAAGCCTGTCCATTTTTGCAGAGCCTACATCCTCCTTTAAGCGTACTGCAACTGTGAGTCGCTCCTCTTCCGTGAGAAATGTTGCTTCAGAAGGCCAGTCCACGATAAGGAATTTCGTGACAAGGCTAAGTGAGATTGACATAAGGCCTTCAACGATGAATATCCTACCAGGGTATCAGCATTTTTCACTTCGTCATTTTTGGACTGCTGGGTGAGTGATTCTTACCATCGCCATCCAGAGTAACCTCCAACACCGTCAAGTTTGGCCAATTCAAATGCCAGGAGCTTAGGATGAAGCAATGTCAGGTTTTGACAAAAAGAAATACGTTTCCGGACAAAAGAAATCAAGATCATACTCCTCCGACGGCACCTGCAACCATGCCGGACGTAAAAAGAACAGCGAATCGCTTTTGGAATTCGTGTCTCTTGTAGTACATGCTCATGAGATAGATGAATCCTAAAATACCATGATGTGAGGCGGAGCCGAATTCATTCCTTTCGATGATGTTTAGTTACCTGGAAGAAGGCCGGCTTCGAAAACACCCAAGAAAAACCGGCAAACGATCAAACCCTTGGGCCCCTTCACGAATCCCTGACATACTGTGACAAGACCTTCAAACGACATTAACATGACAAATACAGGAATTTTAAAATGTTGGAACTGGCCTACCAAAGAAGAAAGTGAGGATGGTAATCCACGTGGAGGGCGCAACTCGTTTAAGAAGAACATTGCTCGGAACTTCCAAAAGGATATATGGAACGAAGAAAATAAGCAGCGCGATGCGGGGATCATTGGTGTTATTCATGTTCAATTCCTCCAGCATGCCTTCGATCAAGGCATTGCCGACATTGATCCTGTCCAAGAAGGCGCAAAAATATACAAGAAATAGGATAGGGATTATATGAATGTCAAATTTCCAGAGTAGTCGCCGCTCAACTTTCGGATCCGGCTGTTCACCAGCATTCTTAAGTTCTGCCGCAGATTTCGGAGAACTACCCGCTGAATTTGGCTCCTTCTCCTCTTCCATAATTTTGGAACCGGATCGCAAACCTGAAGAAGTGAACTTTCACCGGATAGACATAGTAAACGTAAGAAAAGCTGGAGGTGTGGGGTGGAGGGTATTATATATGATTTCAGGGTTTTCATATGCCGCAGAACGGAAAAGATCAAATAGAACAGACCGCAGCTGGCATGCAATACATGAGCCGTGATAAGGGGAGCAGCCATGCGTTTGCAAGGGCGAGATCAACATTGCATTAGTAGAGTTGATAGGGATAGCGGTCTCAACGAGGAGCACAAAGAGCACCTTCCCCCGTCCTGGATAATTAGTTTCGTTCGCTCTCGAGGCCCTGATCTGCAAATTGGGGACGTTAAGAATCCTCAGGGGCCAAATGGCGCAAATTGTTTGGCTTGATTATCACTCACATTGGAGAGGGGACTGCAGCTCAGTCAGCCGCACTGCTCCAGAAAGTGGGAAGTTATCCGGGTACAACATTTGCCTGATTAGCAGAGGAGAAAACGTCTGATACTGAAAGGCCATGTTGCATGACAGTATGACGGCAAAGGTTTCGGAACATTGAAATGTCTGGTTTTTCTTGTATTGAGAAGCTGCTTATGCATTACATCGCTGAACAAACAAAAGTATGCAACCCGTACGGCTGATATGTTGTATAACTGAGAATCGGTGAGTTTAACCTTTTTGAGTTTGGCTTCTTTATTTGGGCTCCACAAATTCCCAATCTTCTGTAAAAACCCCATACTTAACATATGCAAGCCCTTTGAATATGTCTTCATACTTAGGCATGGACGTTTCGGGATCTTCAGCCTGCCGAAAGTAGTCTGAAATCACAAGCTTGATAGCAGGATCATTCCACATTGTCTTCATCCAGTCCACGGCTTCAGGGGCTGCAGTTGTGAGAGGAAAGTTGTAAGTACGGAATCGCTAAAAGGACCGGTTATCGATAAAAACAAATTATAATCAGTAAATCCCGATCAAATGACTCCGCGCGTCTGCTGAGGATTCAAGAATAATGACCTGCAATGCCGCAAGTTCACACGGCATCTTGCTTGTACACATTCGTTGGATTATTGGATTCCCCCTCCAACGAAGATTCTAGAAAATCGAGAAGAGAGCACCACCAAAAAAAAAAAAAAAAAAAAAAAAAGAGTGGGGGAGGGATAAGCATACCCATAAAACAGGCCAGTAAAACGAATCCACGATCCCGAATTTGCCAAATAAAAACCCATCATCCGCCTCTCCCAAGGCCTTCAAGCGTGCTGTGGTCTTCCGCCTTGCATCGGCCCATATCGCCAGGATTCGCTCTATCTCCTTCCTCACCTCATCAGACACCGGAATATTCCCCGTATATCTTCCTATGAAGTTGGAGTGGTAGGTGGCTCGAAGTGCGGTGAAGCCGGAATGCATTTGTGCAACCGCGCTTCGTGCCAGCGCACGGAGGTAGCGATCCTTAGGCCATAGCGGTAGTTCCGGGTGAGACTCAGCTAGGTATTCGCAGATGGAGAGGCTATCGGTGATCTGTGTGTCCACGGACAAGGAACGGGCGGTGAGGGCAGGCACAAAGCCAGACTGAGAATGCTCCTTGACCTTCGTTGTTTGATTTATTTGTTAGGAGAGACATAGGAACGAGTGATAAAAAGGTTTTCTCACTTCGGACAGCTTAACAAAGGTTTTCTTGTATGGGATCTGGTAATATTCCAAAAGAGTTTCCACACGTGCTGTCCAGCCTGTAGGTATGAGTCGGTTGTTCAAATTAGTGGTTAACCCAGACAGTTTTCTGAGTGCATCAGAATGAGAAGATGGAAAAATGTCATACTGGAAAACCGTGTGAAGGTTCCAAGGAGATGATATTCAGGCGCTTCCTCCTGCGAAACCATGTTCAACAATATTTGAGCTTGGTATCAATTTTCGAGTTTCGTCCAGCTTTGTAGTGCTCACGCAGATGGCCCTTCGGAATCATCATCACGATCGTTACAAACATTGGAATATATTTTTATTTCCCCCCCCCCTTCGTGTGATTCACACCATTTTGAATCATGAAGCTACCGACGCCCTGCGATGACTTGACATTGACCCCGTTTCTACCCATACCCCTGCTAATGGCACAAGCTATCAATTACGAAGGCAGATGCGACTCCGCGGGTGCCCAGATGCCACGAAACCCCTCTCGACCCCGCTGTTCGTATATCTTGCGGTGAGCTCGAGACCAGCAGCCGAACAATTGCTTTTGAGAAAGTGGGGTATCAACCGCCCATCTTGGCCGAGAGGCCGGGGCTGACAACCGATACTGGTGATGAGCCGCGGAAGAAAATCAAATCACCATTCACCTCGTCCTAGAATTAACTCCAGCGATACAAGATGAAAAGCTCCCAAAAAGTGTGTAAAAAATTAACTTCAATCTACCAGCGACTCCCATTTTTCATATTTTCTTTTTCTTTTTCTTTTTCTTTTTCTTCTTCGTTTTTGTTGATCTTGATGTTGAGAAACATGAGGTCAACAAACAACTTTAAATCCCAAAATAGCCCCCAAAACGCGAGCCAAAAAATCTCCCCCCCCGCGCCACAACAACCCTGCAGCCAATCACCATGCCAAGAATTACTAATTAATTTAGTTAGTGTGCTGATTGGACCAGAAAGCTGTCGCGAAATAGTCACCAAATACCCTCTGACGCGCCTCACGCGTCGCGCTTTGGATGAGACCAACAACAACAAACAACAAAGAACACGAAAATTTCACAACACTTGATCGAACAATCTTGTGGGAGAATTCTGATTGATGACTGTATTTTATTATCTACCAACCATTTGAGCTCGTTTGTGATTTTTCTTTTTCTTTTCTTTTTCTTTAATTTGACCCAAGAATAACATAGCAAGTCGAGTGGGACTGGGTTGCATGAGATATGGAAGCTGTGACGCGGGGATTGGAGGAGAAAGCTCAATAAACATGTCAACAAGTAGGAAATCGCTTGCGGGCATACACATATATTAATCTAACAGAGCAAGGAACATCCTTTTTGAGCGTAAGGAACATGGAGAAAAAAAGAGAAATAGGAAAGTTGGATAAGGGCCCATGATACTATCTCGTAATCGTACATATCTTCTAGCGACCAATAGGGAAAGAGGGAAATGGGCACAGAAAAGCCGGATTGGTTGTCGCTATCCATAATTTGTTGGAAAGGGGAAGTTATTAGAAGGAGGTCGAGGAATGACATATGAGAGTAGATGTGGGGTGTTGGTGTACAAACTATCGGTGAGAATATGTGGGACGCAATGTCAAATGAGGGAACATAACATAGGAAAAATGTATTTCGTGTACACTCGAGAGACAAAAAAAAGGTAGATTGGGAGAGAAATTATTTCAACTGAAGGGTCATGACTGGTCTGGCGATTGCTGTTAGGGAATCGATGGCCAACGATGGTTAGATGGAAGAGTAGATCGATGCGTCGTCGTATCGTTGAACATACGAAAGTTCAATATCCTTTCGCGGAATCAGATGTGATGGTTTATACATGTCCTTGCAACAGCAATTCTCTTAAGAGATGCATAGTACAATCAAGGCCGAAGCTCTTCTCCTAACTGTAAATGCAATGCTCCCCTTTTCTCACGCACTGTCGAGGGACTTCCAGCCAAGGGAGGAGCGAGTGAATCGAAATTAAGTCTCTTTTTCAATTCCTTTGGAGGCCGTGGGGTTCTCGGCATAGTGCCCGGCGTTCGTCCTCCCCATGGCAACTGTGCTGGACTTGGGGTAACATTTACAAAGTCGGCGAAATTGAACTGCTGGGTTGGGGTTCCAAAATTGGTGGTAACGCCTCTGCCAGGTGTCGCGGTCAACGAAGGGAGGACGGCACGTTGGCTAGGAGGGGTTGAAGGGGGGAAATCCCGTGGGCTGCCTTTGTCCCGGAAAATAGCTGGCGTAGGAGAATTAGCAAGAAATAGCAAGAGATCTGCACCGTCTTCACCGTCCCCAGCCTCTTCGTTACGCCGGGAAGCACGATTTCGGTTCGGAGGTGGAGTGCGAGGTGGTGAGGAGCTGATCCCCGACGAGCCGATATTTTGTACCTTGACTATTGGAAGTTCAGGTTCCTTGATTTCGTCAACATGGCGTTGATACGCAGGCGAGTGTTCCTCGTCAGGGATCGTGTCCGACTCCGAAATAAACGAGCAGCTATTGCCGTGATATGTATGATGAGGGCGACTGAAGACAGGTGACGATTGTGGGAGCCCATTCTCGGCTTTCCATGAGATTCTGGAGAGTCGTGGGGCCTTCGAAGGTTGCTCAGTGGTAGGGCTGGAAAGGCCACGCTTACGTGACCCATCGATATTGTCAATGAAGCTGGGAAAGAACGTTGCAGCGTGCTTGCTTCGTGATGACCTAGGGAGCTCTCTTGAAAACATTGGCGTGGGAAGAGGAGACGAGGTAAACGGGGTTTCGTAGCGGCTGTCACATATTTCAGAAGAGGTATCTGATACAACATTGCCTTCATCGGAACCTCTCCTCCCGTTCTGCTCGATTGGGTGCAGCGGCTCAACGCGATGACGATGCGTTCGTTCGTAGCGGACCTTTGCTAGGCCTAGACGATCCTGGAGATTGAGACATATCTGCCCGGCAACTTCTGTTAAAACATACACACCTGAAGATGATATCTGAAACAGACGTACCTGGGCGACATCCAGCTTAGGAATTTTCCGCTTTGCAGAGCCAGAAGGCTGCATGGCGGACATTTATGTTAATAGCTATTTATTTCCGCCAGTCATTTGTCAGATTTCGTGATAGGTCGGTTGAAGTGAAGTGGGAGAGTTGTTTGGCTTGTAGTGAAAATTTTGGTTTTGTGGAGGTGGAAGGCGTTTTTGGATTGCGGAGTCTTCACCAAGTTCAATTGAGAGAAAGGATGACGAAAAGGAGAATGGGTATGCAAGGACAAAGGGATAAAGGGATAAACTATGACAGGAGCTGGAGTTTGTATGCTGCCTGCACCCGTAGACCTGTTCGTGGGGGGTGGGACGCAGAAGTGGGCAGTTGTGTGCTGTACGATGCTGAATCTTGGTCTGTGGCAGGTTTCGTTGTTTGTCTGGCTGGCTGAGGAGGGCCTTAACAAAAAACAGCACCAGTCAACCCGGTTTGGCGGCCACGCGAAACCCAACCTTGGAACCTCGCAATCCTGGATTTGTGTTCATTTCCACACTTTCCCCCCCGCCCCGCCGCAGGGGTCGATTGAGCCAGGCGAGCTAGTTAATTTGTTTTATTTACTTTATCCTCAGCTTCGGGTCGATCGCTTGATTTCTCAAACCGAACCCCTGTGAGAGCGCCTTTTACAACTTTTACAATTTGAACCCCCCTACTCGAGTTGTTAACCTCCATCCCATTCTAAATATAACCTTATAACTGTCGTAGATGATGTCCTAGTATTTCATTATGTTATTTACGTTCATCGGAGCCAGCCAGACAATGTCAAATGTAAAGAATTTGAGTATCCACAATAAGCAGAAAACTCAGTTCACAGAACGTTATTTTCATAGTTAGTGATGCGGGCGTACTACAACTCATTACATATAGTTCATTCATAATATATATATTTAAATTATAAATTACTCGATATTCATACAGCTGAGCTGCTCATGAGCAGCTGTAGTACTTCATATTCCTTCATCATCTTTCATCCTCACCACTGTTTATGATTGAATAACACTATTCAATTGTTTTGTATTCCTCTTTACTGATGTTATTCTATGGTGTTGCATCTGCTTGTGGGCTGCACACAGATTGATTAGTGAGTAAATAAATTATAGTTCACTATTATAATAAAATGGAAGAAGCCAATCAAAGTAAGGTTAACAGAACCTCACTTTTAAGGCCTGGCTAACCTTGGTACCGATCAAGGTGTGAATTACTTTGGCGTTTGATATTTCAGTTTGAAAGCTTTCCCCTCCTTTCTTCATGGAGCTTCAAAAAGGGCTATTTTCGATTCATAGCCTATGCTGCTGCCAATAAAAAACAGCTCTTTAGGTAGATTGAACTTTGGCAGTCGCTCAGAAAGTTATCTTCATCTGGCGATCAATCTCCTCAAAGGATCTCATATCATCCCCGTCTTACGGTAGTGGGGGAAAAAAATAGCACCCCGCGTTGTCGATTAGCAATTTCCCGATCCAACCAGAGATGTTGCATCATCATATGCCTTGATGATAAGATCGTATAGCTTTTCCCGGGCCTAGCAGCGTACCCACGATAAGTTCTTCCTCCCCATACGGAAATAGTATGCGTCGTGTGATTTTGCAGGATGATTTTACACATTCAAAGCCAGGTGGGAACTCTTTCATCACAATACGTTCAAACCCGCCAGTCTCCATGTTGCCTCGTTTGCTGTTTGCGATTTTTTTTCATAATTTCCAGTGTACCACTCCTTTAGCATAGTGTCTTTGGGCCGGTCGAATCCTGATTTTCCCCACCCATGATGGGCGCACTGCCAGATCAACACGTAGAAGAAGGATTCAAGGTCGTGTCGATAAGTATGATCAATGGTAAGCAGCACATCGATGGCCATGAACTCCCTCGTGCCGGTCTGGTGCCGTGCGCTGCTTCGCCCGCTGCCGACCTCCTTGGCAAGGTCCAGGTCAATGAGTATTCCGGTACTGCCATCCGCCTTTGCTGGGTCCGTGGTGACGATGTCGTTCTCCGAGCTATCCCGGTATAGAATTTTCCCATCCAGGTAGAGCCATTGGTATGCCTTGATCGCGTCGCGGAGCGCCTTGAGCAGCTCCAAGGGTGATTTGTACCTGTAGATCTGCCGCACAGCGGGCGAGACCACCACGCAGCGAAGGATCCGGCTGTCGTAGGGCTCGTCTCCGCGTCTTTCATGGCGGCTCGGCCTTTGCATCGACTGGACCGAGAAGGTGAGCTCGTCCCCCTGCTCCCTCCCGGACGGCTGCGTCGCTTTGTCAGGGGACCGGCGCTTCCTACCCATCTGCCTGTTGCTGATGCTCAGCCCACGGAGCCGAGAGAACGACCGCGACCGGGGGGCGCCGGACTGGGCCAGGAGGCTGAAGAAGGACGCGGCGAAGGAGGGCGCGGTCCGCGGGAAGTGGTGAGTTGGTCAAAGTTATCGAGGACGCCATCATAGGAAATAAATTAGGCGCGACTCATAGATTTTTTCAGCCTCCTGAAGCAAGCCACATAAACCATCAAGTGACCTGGATAGAGGGTGCTTTCCAATGATGGCATTTTCATCTGGTGATAGTTTGGCCATATCTACGGTATGGAAAAAGTCAGATAATTCCGGCGGGGGAAAACAAGAGCGGGTGAAATTGGGAGAGAGCTACTTTCCGAGGTTGGGTTGGTTGACCCCACGTGACAAACCGTGGTGTTTTTTTTCATCATCGTAGAGAATATCAGACATATCAGAGTAATTTAATATATTCCAAAAACTTTTTAAACCATACATTGCCTGAATACTAAGCGGTGGATTTGACGGATTTGACACAAAAGATTAACTAGAAAATTACATTCCTGAAAATTCCTCAATTACTCTTTTCCTTCTTCATCTTCAGAGCTGACATGTTAGCCTAGTCTGCGCATTCAGCGTGCAGCCTCGAGGCCTGCGCCGCTTCCGTCGTATTTTGAAGTGGATGGTTTATTTGCCTCCAAGACATGCTTGACCCTGTCGTCATCGGAGACAATCGCTGAATAAATGCCAGACCAGCTTTCTCCCTCTCGGGCCATCCCGTCCATCAAATTCATCAACTTCGTTTTGGGGTTGTTTTGCTCCTCCCGAGCTGCGCTGCACTGTCCCTTGCTTTACGGGTAATTCCATCTGCAAGCCGTTCCTTTTCATAACGCATACTGCCCAGTCGGTACTCCAAGTTTTAGAGGTATTGTTGCATGTCGCCAATGGTCTTCTCCGTGGCAGCGTTCCGCTGTTTCCAATATTCAAGCTCTTCTGTCAGTGAACGAATCTTAGCATCACGTAACCGGAGCTCTGCTCTGCACGTCCTTTTCCCTTGACTTCCCCTCGTTCTCTTCTTTCGTCAATTCCACATGTCGTACAGCAACGTTCCTTTTCATATCTGAATCGGTTACCGGAAAGCTCCTCGAGGTGTTTCCTCAGGTTTTCCTGCAGCTCTGCTACCTCACTACAATGCAATTGTTCTAGACGCTCAATCGTTGCGGTGAGTTCCACGGTGGCATCATCGTCGGTCGCTAAGCGGTCGATGCAAGAGTGGATCAAGGGCGCTGATGCTGAATGTATAGGCATGACCCTCCATTCAATGGATAGTACAGGTGAGGTGGGCTCATGGCAGGTGCGGGATTAGACAATCTGTAGGAAGCACAATGCGCGGGTAGGCCTTTAATGGCAATGGCAGATAGTCAAACAAACACATTTACCAAAAATTCGACGTGGTCCATCAATAGTTACGAGGGTCATACATTAATAGAGCACAGGATCACCCGTAGATTTTTTTCCAGCCAAACATTTTTGTCATTCTTTGAACCAGTTAGAATATGCTATTTCGTATGGGTAAGTTTGGGTTCTATTGAGCAACAAGTATAGTTTAGAAGTTCTATCAGTTCTCCTTACTCAATGCAAATTCTGGGGTTTTCCTGCAGTTTCTACATGGCTTGCCCATAAAGCTTCCTATCAAAAGCTCCATTCTGGTAACTTTCATAATTGGAAGTGTTGCGCCACAGGAGTGCAAATCCGAAATATCGACCTGGGTCAAGTTATTTTTGTTTCAATTTAGATGATCTGATAAAGGCTCAAATCGGCGCAAGGTTTGCCTGATGAACTGTGTCGCGACCAACTCGAATCTTGGCGTACGTTATGGGCGATCTTTTGCAACACCCTGTGGATTGAAAAGTTCTGTTTTTTCATCTAGTTGTCAAGTACCAATTGGATTTTAATAACAGCCATGTAATCATCAAATTGCACTATTCAAAATGCCTTGTAAGAGTGAGATTTGGTGTATTTAACAAGTCACTGAAGTATATAACTATTAAAAGTTTGATTTGATGGTGTGACAAGTAGCAATGTTTCCCAATTTTTATCTTCACTAAGGTTAAAGCTTTTAAGACAGATAATTTAGTGTAACGATCAACCAGGCACGGGCAGGCAAGGTTAACCAATGGATTATATTGAGATATTTGAGTAATTCATATTCTTACTGCGGGATTCTTCTTGACTTCAATGACTATGTTTGAACACTAGTTATTTTATATGTAAGGCTGTGTACACATTAAATTTATAAAGAAATAGTAGCCCTTAGCTGGGTGTAATTATCCTGTATAGTTTTTGATGGACTAAATTGCTCAAAACTACAATCTACAAGTTTGTTTAGGGCTTGACACGAGGAGATAAATTCTCGGGTTGACTCTGGGCGACATCGTCCCATTTCCTTGAGCCTACGGACCCTGGATGATGGGGCTAGTTATCTATATAAACCACACTAAATCCCCACTGCTATCGTTATTTCTAATTTTCTTGCCGTTTTCTTTTCTTTTTGGCCTTTGTTGGATACTCTGTTAACTAGCCTTTTCTCGAGGGTGAATAACTGCACATATTTTTTTCCCATCTACAAGCCAGTAGCCAGCGCTCTCCGCAGTTCTAGAAGAAGCAGCGGGTGTCTTGTGGCGATGACAGCATTGAATGGAAAACCAATAAATAGGGCAATCGAGACCCCCACCGACATTGCCTGGCCATCTTCAAGATGGGGCTTGTCTGATGCCAACATGTCCCACTGGCGGTGGGCAAAACTTGACAGCGAGGGACGTCATCGAGCATCAGTGACAGCCAGGATGACAACTGCAACAATTGCAGTCTGGGCAGTTGGCAAATTAACATCTCATCAGTGTCTATAATTGCATGTTGTCTGTCTGCATGATGGCTCTTTGCATGCAGCGAGCGCACCGACAAACTCCGTTGGACCGCTCATCCGTGGTTACGTCGTTGGTTGAAACCATTGTCGACCACCTCGACTGGCTACGCAATCTCCCGTCAATTTTTTTTCTCTTTCTCGTGCAGTGCATCACCATCCACACGCTGTCCACAACACAGCTATTGACCACACACGGCTTAACCAGCTAGACCTGGGGCTGGTGGCCAAAACAAAAGGACTGGCTTGATTGCCTCTCTTTTCTTCGCTCCTTACCGACTCTACCAGTTTTCCATTTCGCTCTCTCGGCCACTGACTCGCGTTCGTGTCAATCTCTTTACCTTCTTATGGTAGTGGCATCCATTCGCATCTGAACATATCGACATTCGTTTGATTCCCTCCTGGAGTCTTCCGGCCTCTGGAACTCTCTGGTTGCTTACGCTGTATGCGTGATTTGCAATCCTCCGCTCTTTCTTTTCTATGTCCCGTGGGCCCTCCTGCCATTTCGTGCTCGCGTGCGCGTTCTCTCTTCCTCGTCTTTATTTTTGCTGCACTGCATTTCCCTCTTCGTTTTCATTCATCTGCTTTCTCTATTTCTTCATATCAATCTCTATCTCAACCGGGTCCAGATGCAATGAGACAGGACAGCTTAGCAATCCGCTAGTATTTCATTCCATTGAATGAAATAATGCCGTTTTTCAAGGACCTCCGTCGCCGTTCAAAGGCAACTTTCACCTTGACCCCATCTGCCGCCTCACTCAATCCCAATGACGATGTGTTCCCTGACAAATTGTCCTCTAATCTCGATTCCCCGACCGCCAGTTTGCATAGCTCCCCTATTTCTTTTCTCAAAAGCAACAGTATCGATCTACCTTCCCCACATCTACCCATCCTCACCAAGTTGAACACGAACGGATACGCGACGCAAGTGGCACCTCCTCAGAGACCTGTTCCAATTGGATCCCCCTCAACCCCCCGGGGCAGTACTACAGTGAGTTTTGCCTTCCGGGACCCCATTCCTTCATACAGGTGCCCTTGCTGCAAGCCATCCCAATGTTTGGATTTTGTTGCTCATGTTTTATAATTTTCCTAGAACGGTAGCCTTCTTTCTCCAACCAATTCCGGAAGAGGGCCGGCGCCCGCGCCTCTATATGCTCCGAGGGTTTTTTCTATTTCCGATAACTCCTGGGTATGTGCTGAAGCTTTTAGTTGGCTTTTGCTGAAATGGATAGTGTTCAATTGCTAAGGGTAGCCTTTTTGATTAGGTCCACCAAAAAATCCTTTTGATTTATGGTCAGATTGGAGACGCGCGACAACACTCCATGGATGGAAACTTAACCGTTTATCATCCCCAAGATTCGTTCCCTCCCACCACCTGGCCTGTCTATGAATCGCACTTCAAGGCTTTGATTCATCTTGTCCCGGGCCCGAATAAACTACGGCTTGAATTCACACCCTCGAGAATTCAGAATCCAATGTCCCACTCATCATGGGTGAATATAAACTATTTACCATTGATAAACTCTCCTCCCCTCCAGCTAGCAATTGTACTGGGGAGCGATTCTGATGGTCATTTTGATGCTGCCCCAGAAAGGGTAGCTCGGGAGGGAAACAGTTTGGATACTGCCATACGGAAATTCCGAATGGCTGCGTATCTGTGGCAATCGTTTACTGGGGAACAGATGTATCGTAACAAGTTCGGAAGGCGCTGTTTCCGATTTGAAGAGGAGTGGCAGGCTGGAACAATAAGCTTACGTGACGCCAAATCGGATCAGATGAGAAACGAGGCTAGAATACATATTATCCGCTGTGACAGAACCGTTGACGAGCTTAGAAAGCTTGGCGTTGTGCAACAGGATGGCACTACATCGGACAGGGGCGAGCTCTTTAACGTTGTACTCGAAGCAGTCAAACGTTATTTTGGTCCCCAAGAGGGCCAAACGCAATATGTCTCGGCACTGCTACTTGATACCCACTGGGACAAGGGAACCCAGACAATCACAGGCCATGTTGCAGCGGGCTCTGTTGAAGATCATATCAAGCTGGCGCTTTTTGGATCTTATGCACTGCAAAGCTACCCAGCTGCCATGGAAGAAGTGGTTGCGGCTTTCACCGACTGCACCCGTACAGATATTAATTTTGTTGCCAATTATGGAAATAAATGTGGGAGCAATTGGGAAGCTGCTAACTCTGGAATCGGTGGTCATCTCCGTGAAATCGGCCGTTTATTTGGCTGTCATGATCAGGATAGCGGCATCATGTGTGACGACTCCGTCCCGTTGAATCGAAGTTTCACCATTCGAGAACCATATTCCACTCGAACAAAGGCACAGGGACTACGACTTTGCCTTGAAGAAGACGAATGTACCTGGCACAGACTTGATACCCTTCGATTTAGATTTCACCCATGTTTTCGGTTGCCAAGAGATTCACCTCTTTGCTCTGATGACTCCATCCAAGTATGGTCTGTCGACAATGGCAAGGTATTAGTCACTTCGGCAGCTGGCATTGCTTTCATCGAAATATACGTCGACGATGATGATCTCTGCAGGTCCTATATCGAATATGTCGATGGAGATTCCGGCAATAATGGCATACCGAAGCAGATCGATTTTACCGAAGGCGAAATTCGCCAGCATATTACTGAAAGCATTAAGAAAATTAGGAAGATCAAGCTTGTGATATATTCTGGCGGCCTTAGCACTCATACGGTTGACGACGTTAGCAAATTGAACTCCAAATATTCGACCGCTAAACTACCTAATGGACAAGTTGGATATAGGGGGAACAAATTGGGACAATCTCAATCCCCCAATGGCCTTCCAGAACAACTGTTTCTAGAATGTGCCTTCATCCAGTCGAAGCTTCTACTTTCCGTGAAAGTTTATCACAATGGCTTGATATATGGACTGGAGTTTTGCTACGAAGATTCAACGAGCCAGGTCTTTGGGAACAGGGACCCTCAGGCTACGTGCAGCGAATTTGTGTTTGGTAGATCCACCATCTCTAATCCTGGTTTTTTTTCTTGCTTTTTCTGCAATGCTAACTTGTATCTCATTTGCGAACTAGACACTCGCCGAGGTGAAATTCTAATGGGATTTTACGTGAAGACAAGTCAGGAAATCGATGGAATTGGAATTATCACGAATCTTAGCAGGAGATCTGCAGTATTCGGTAATAGCAATGCTAGAGCTGGGTAAGTGAATACTTGACGTTATTGCTTTTTTTTGAAATGTTTGCTTTCCCCTATATTCACTGCCTCGTCCCATGAGATTTTACTAGCAAAGCGTTTGTTCTGCATGTAACGACGAATTGTTCGTTGTCGCTAACTTATCATCCTACTAGCCATACATTAATACCCCCGAGGGGTTACAGTATTGCCGGCATATCCGGATCCGTGGCATCTTGCATTGAAGAAATTTCACTGATCATAACTCGATGATCAGTTCTCCTTTCCTCTATGCAGCTTTCACTAGCCTTCCATATTCTATCATTTGGTCATACCAACTACGCCCCCTCCTGTGGGAAAACGTGGTTCGATATTTCAAGGACTTCCATCAGGCAATTCACACATTGTCCGAGGATGCCCATTCGACCTTGCAAAAATCGCAATCGACATTTGGAGTTCTGTATCCCCGAAATAGGCACGAGTATCGTTCAGACCAGCGGCCGCGTACGGTGACAGGCAACCTAATAGTGATCTGTTATATACGACTTGTACCTTTGTTATGAATTTTCGGCTTGACTCTGACATTTAAAAACGATTTGCATGGCAGCTGGACTGGCGTGTGCTGTATTACAAACCCCCTAACTGAACATAGCGACGCAAATCACATTCCACAACAATGTGTTTCACAGAGCATTTGTGATATTTTAAGTCGCTTTTGCTTTCTACTTGCCTACTTATACCGGGCTTGAAGTTTTCTTATTCTAGATGCTCATAAAGAGAAAAATTACATTTTCAGATAAGGTTTTTTCTTCTCGTTTCATTCTGTTTTATAATGCAATTATATTTCTTTTATTATTCCTTCCTTCTTTTCTTTTTCCAACTAATTTCATATGTTTGTTATACTTCAAAAAGAGTTATATTACCCCGATGTTATTGTTGTTTTATTGCCAAGGTTGTGTTTTAAAGTTATTGATGGCGATTCTTTAAACTTGACGGTCCCGGTTTTGAGTTCGCCGTTTTTATAATCTTGTTTTATCTTCATTTCAAACTCCCTTGATTCTGTTTTATATGATGTTGACAAGATGTTGCTTATGCATATAAGGGGAGCGGGCGATAGATGGGCTACTTACTACATATTTCCTAGAATCTGGAGTTCCCCCCTTTCTTTTCCCTGTTTTTCGTCGTTCCTGCATCTTGCTTTTCTAGTTCCGCCTATTTCAGCCTTCCCTCTGGGCGTACTTTTACTCCATTTTCAAAAAATAGGAGAATTAATGAGGACACTGTTACTTGTTTTCCATTTCCTATCCCTCGGAGGGTCGAAGGACCCCGTCAACCCCTTGGCCTTCCCCCTTTCTTTCTTCCCTTTCCTCTCGTTTTCGCGGGTATACGAAATGTGTTTTATGTGGCATGCCATGTGTATCATATACGAATTTTCCTTTTTTACCAGGGGTTTAGAACAATAAAATGGTCCGCCAGTCCGCCAGTCCGCCATTCACACACATATATGTATGCATACGTATTACTGTCGTCTTTTCCTCGATTTCTACGGGGTTTCCCCATTTTGCCTGCAGGATTTGCTCCCCTTTTTGACCAGAGTTTATACAGCTACATCGCTTCTTGCAGGAAACAAGTCGATGAGTAACAGCTCCCATGCGATGTTTTTATTTTATTTATTTATTGAACGACGATCTACCCACCTTGGCCAGCTGCGCCAAATGTGGTATGGTAGCACACATGTTATCCACTTTTGGAAATATCTATCGAAGGAAAAAAAAAAAAAAACCCAACGACACCCCAACAACAAACCGCCCATCACAATTCTTTGGTCTCGCCCCACCACTGGGAAAAAGAAATGGGTTAACTAGAAAGTGAGCGTGAATGCGACCGCAGGCGCAAGTTCGCGCTAGAGGGGGAGGAGGGGGAGGGAGGGAAGGAGGGGGAAAGGTTGGGCGGGGGGGCTATGGCATGGAGCTTTGTCCTCTCATAGTTTTTTTTTACTTTGCGTAGGTTGGCTTTTAAAAAGCATGTTGGGTAGTTAGTTACGTAGTTAACTATGTAGGCTCGCTCAGGGGAAAAAAAAAATTGTTTGCTCTTACCTGTAAAACTTAGATTGAGCCCTATACTAACTAACTACACTACAACTAAAACTACCCGTTTTGACGAATTTGTGGAGAAGTTGGAAGAGGAAGGGTTTTGGTTCCGTGCTGGGGTATTCAATGTAATATCTCTTTTCTATATATCTATCTATCTAACTATTTGTATATATATATATATATATATATTTATATTTAAGGGGAAAGAGGGAATATGTGTGATATTTTTGGCTTAAAAGATGGGAGTAAATAAATTAAATAGCTAAGTAAAATACAAGGTATGGAAACTGTTAACATACGCAGCGGCAGCCACTTTTGGCCGGTGAGATTTTTCTTTTATACTTTCTTTACTGTAGTTATAAACAACAGTGGACTCCGTGCTCCGTACGGTACATAGAAGCTTCAACAAAAACGATCGGAGGGAATTCCCGTGCCAATGATATAAAGTCCTAGACGGGATGAGAGCAAAGTCAAAGAGACAGTCTTCCAGGCACCCCCCTTCCCACAAAAACAAAACCAAAAAAAGACATACAGTCTCTATCTGCACGTATCTACAGTAGGATGTAGAATGGGAGATATGAAAGGGGCGAGGGGGAGAGATTTGATTATTTGGTAAATGTTAATGCAGCTGATAATAAATAAATGGATAAATGGATAAATTAAAATAAAACAAAACAAAATGATCACAAAGGAAATGATCTGCCATTGATCTGCTATTGATCGTAGATCTCCTCCATGTTTTGTCTCACATAATGCAATTACCTCATAGACGGGGTGGTTTAAGCTTTTCTCTTCTCCCTTCTTCTCCCTTTTCTTTTACGCCTTTTCGCAGCAGGGCCGTCTGCGCGCCTTACTTCAACTGCTCGAGGGAGTGAAGCGAGAAGGGAGGGGTGGGAGGGATGAAAGGGGGGGGGAACGATGGTGTTGTGGTAATTCCAAATCGGGCGCCGAGATACGGGTCACATTTCGCCGTATCCCTTTTCCAGCAACATAAGGAAAGGGAGGGTAATTGGTATAGAGACAAACTTATCGAAAAAGTCCCAACACAAACTTAGATATATGCACGATGACCTCATCAACAGGTGCTTGGTGCTTGTGTGGATGGGTTTGATTTTCAATTCCCAGGGAAAGGTGCCTCAATATTCTAGGACAGACTGGTATCCGCTCCGAACCCAAGGGGGGATCTTGTACCACGGAAAGGCGATAGAATAGCTGCAGCACATGGTCCCTGCTTCTGTCCAGGCGCGCCTTAACCTGTTTAACTTCTGGAGGTGGGAGGCCCGCGCGCCCATCCGGGGTTGAGGCGCGAACGCAAAGTGTTTCTTTCGTTTTTGATGGTAAGTGGAGAGACAGGTCGAGGCCAGGAAATAAAATAAAATAAAATAAATAAACAAAAATCCAGATTTGATGAAGAACCTTGACAGCCCTATTGTATGGTCAAATTTCCTTTAGGTGGAAGGTGACTGACTGGTGGCTATCATTCGCACATGCTATTCCCGCTCTGGGTTCGAAGTATTGTACTGTACATTCATTGCCCCTCCGTGCGGAATATGAAGGAGTGAGATACATGGCAGGTAAGGGTCGATATGTTCGAGTAGGCCATGCCTTGGGATTAATGAATGAATGAATGAATGTTCCCGTTAGCCATATATGTATTCATATAGTACTCTATACACAACGGTTCCTTCCCCTCTACCAGCTGCGCAGTCCTCGAGAAAAGGGAGACCAACAAGAAGCAGACCAGAAGGACAGGTAAATCGCAACTCCTGGCCGCTGATCAGGAGCATGATTTCGCACCCAGCAACATCTCATCTTGTTGCGATTGAACCCCTATCTTTTCGCCACTTCGACCGAGAGCGAGACATTCCGCGACGCTTCCTCGTCTCCCCATGCTCGCCCTGGTTTTATAATGAAGAAATGCGATGAAGAGATGATAATAATCAGAACAGAGACGGAGGAAAAGATTCATGGTTCATGATTCATAACCAAGTCCGAGGGCAAACACAAAACAGTGTGTGGCACAACTTCTTCTTCTCTCTCCTTTTCTTCTGCTGCTTCTTCTACTTCATCATGTCCTCCTCTCTGCATGTGGCTGGGTCTAGATTTGTTGATGTTTCTGATTTATTTCATCGATCGTCTTTTTGTCCCTTGGGGTCTCCCCTGGTTCCATTGCGGGGTTGAATGAGAAGGACAGACAGAAGGGAGGGGGAAAAGTGAAGCCCGCAGCCCGGAGCCTGGAGCCTAGGGAGGTGGTGGCGGGCCCAGCCAGGCTGGATGGGTGGTGGTGGTGGTGGCCTTTGAGGACTTGCTTGAGGCCTCGAGCTGGTCGGATCGCCCTTGTCAGTCCAGAAGTGATCGGCACGCTGGGCCGAGAGGGCGAAGACATTCCAGCTGAAGACACCACCCGTATCCGAAACGCCTGTCGGCTGTGGACTCGGCAGAGGGGAAACCCCAGTGTGAGTGAGGAGAATGGGCAGTGCGGGCAATGCGGACAGTGTGGGTGAGTGTGAGCGATCGCAAAGGGGCTTCCATCAAGCTACGCCCTGGTTTTATGATGCTGCATAAAGTACTGTAAAAGGTTAGCTTTGCTAGCTTTGTCTCTTTTTTTTTCCGAGTATGGGTTCTGCGATGCATTTGGGAAATGAGGAGGTGGCGACTTGGGATGCAGAATAATGCATTGTCGTTATTGTCGTCGTTATTTTTGCGGGCAGCGTCCTCTTTGGCGAGAATGCTCGTTTCTCGGATTGGAGGACGAATGATAAGGGCATTTTCTTTGTCCTTTATTACTATATTATATTCAGTAGCTTCTAATATTTTAGTCTTCTGGCATAGTTTGCAGGGGCTGGCCTGCTGAGCGCCAAAATTTGCGATCGCTAGCCAGCTCGTCAGCTATCCCTCTCCCTCATTCTGCTCGAACGACAACCAGGAGCGAGCAGACGATGAAGCTTGGGCGCAACACATCCAAGAAATGGACAGAACGAGATGCAGCACAGAGTACATGCCAGGTACTTCCGCCCGGCCCCATGCAAAGCCCAGATGTACTCCCAAAGTAGCTGCACGCTGCTCCTTTACTTCTTAGCGTTGGTCAATCACTCATTCCTCAGCCACTGGTCCGATCAGATCATCCTCTGGGTTTCTGCAGAGAATGCTTTACTATATATACAGAAAAAGAAAAACGCGAAATGCGAACGACGAACTGGGCGTCGCACATTATTCTTGACTCGAGAGCGAAATCAGAGCAACCACGAACCCTCAGATTAACATGATCACCTCCTAGCCAAACACGTTCCTCGGAATGCAGGTCTTGGCTGTCCTTTGCAGAGTTTAAGTTGACGGCGCTGTGCACTAAGTACCTAAGGCAGCCTCTATCGTCGGCCTTGGTCAATCAGAGCATCGAACACCGACGAAAGACGAAGCCGAGTGAGGGGCGGCCACGCCACAGCTTCCCCGCTCTCCCAGCCCTGAAGCGGCGAGGCCTTCCACTCCTGATCATCGATCGATATTGATCAATGAGCTGCGAGATAATTATTATTCAGGCCTTCTTTATGTGGTATCCTCGCTATCCGCTTTTTTCGTTTTGGGCCTTCTGATCGGCGTTTGCTGGGTGGCCGTTGAGGAAGAGGCGAAGGACCCTTGTTCGCCCACGCGCCTGCTTCCTGTCCTTGGTTTTGCCATGGCGATTGGTTTCCGATATGATGGAAGACTTCCAACATTCATTGCCTGTCAATGGCCTCCCTCTTCGACAAATTGTCATTTGCGTATACGAAGTAGCTAGCTGTCCTGCGGAAGGGAACCGCGATGTACCAATACATCTCCCATCTCATGGGTTCACGGGCAAAAAAAAAAAGGAGGCAGGACGGTAACCTGACTTCTAAAAGGGAGTATATCATATATTGATTTCGGAAAGGCATTCAACCAGGAGCTAGCTGGCCTTGGCTTTGGGTTGCCCCTGGTCGGGGGCAATAAAGCAATAACATAACGTATAGAAAAAGAAACTCCATCGTCTTTGACAATGATTTCTTTTTACGCTGTTCTTCATCGCTGAGAAGTTAGGCCACAGAGGTAGTTTGGCCATAACTTTTTATTTTTATTTTTATTTTTATTTTTTCTTCCACAGCTCCCCGTTGGGTACGATGGTCAAACCATGTTTTCGCAGCGAAATTCAGACGCAGGGTCATCTTGATCAGTTGAGCATCGCGGACTTAGATGTCCGTATGTTCCATTATATCAACTTTTGCGCAAAGAAAGCGAAGCTGTCTTTGGGTTGCTCATCCATTCTGGCTTCCGACTGATCCGGCCGGTTTTTTGGTAATAATTGATCAGTCACCCCCCAGATGATGGACAAGGAAGGCATGAAAAAAAAGCAAATATGAGCAAAAAGCAAACATCGCGGGTATGCAAGATCCGCATCGCGATCAGCTTCAAAACTCAGTCTGATAGAATCGCAAAGCTCCGTGCATCTTCGGTCGATGGGCCAAAAAACTTCCCAATTAGGGATTACCTGCTACCCCCTTTTTAAGATGCACTTGGGCATCGTATCTCTGAAAAATCTCGACATCTCTGCTACGCCCTTGCATCGTCCTTGCCCTTCAATTTTGCTACAACATGCGCATCCCTCGTCGTGCATGAACGCCCCGGGCTATCCAGTCTATCCAGTCTGCAGCGTACCGGGTTTCAGGGTTTGTCGCTGTCGATCGGCGGCAATGATTGCTGGAATTGGAAACACAGAGCCGGACTAAGCCATGGGGAACAACGGGTAGGGCCAGAGCGAGCGTCTTGCTTTTTGGTCGTCTTCGGAATTTTTTGGGAATATCCCGAGATGTCTCTATCGAGTTCTCCGCCGATTCCGCATGACAGTTTTCCACTTCGAAGTATGCTCGGAAACCCCAGGAGGCAATTGCGAGATTCAGCTTCACTCTTAGTGTTAGGGAGGAAAGTACAGTACAATACCATCTAGTTATCTCGAAGCACTTGTGGACCCTGAACGCTCTAGGTTGTCAACTTTATTGAGCTACTCTGTGCTGATTAAAAGTAATAAGTTCGGGAGCAACCTTATTATTCAAGGATAGTATGGTGCTGTGCTGATTGGCTGTGATACCAAAGAATACAACCAACACCATTGGTAATCAATCTGTTAATCAATAATCACTTAAACAGAATATGAACCACCAACAAAGCCCAAAAGAGCAATTCGGTATTGCCAAAAGGGGTCTGAGTTCTGTAAGAAGGATCCTTGCCGCTATCCGGCTTTTCCTGTTGCGCACATACTATTCCGTACATACTAGTAGGATGGGGCTATCGGGACTTCCATCCGCCCTCGATATTCTCCCGTACGAGAAGAAACATCATCTGCGTGCGCTGCGGAAATGGCTGGCAGTTTTGCAGAGCGGACCTGGCAGGCGCAGTGGTGGGACACCCAGCCTCCGCATTAGTTGGTGGAGAACGCTGCGCAAGAGCGTTTAGGTAATGGTTTTTGATCCTTATTTGCTTTGTTTTCTGCTTGGCTGGTGGAGGAGTGTTTGAAGTCCTAGAGCGAGCCAACAGGGTTCGCCTTCCTGATAGTGGACCCCTGCTGCTCCATATTTGCTTTTTTATATATTTATTTTATTGCCTGCGAACATAGTATGATATTACCCTTTTTGTGTGTGCGTGTGTGTGTTTGTTTTCAGTGCTGTCTTTTGCGCCAACTTTGACTCGACGAACTAATGAGTTATTGCTCACAGATTGCCCCACAAAGGGGGCGCCAGGCCTACTGTCATGCAGAAACATCTATGATTTGTTTTCTTTCCTTCTAGGCGTGTTGCTCGATATATGTATGTATATGTATGAGCAGCCCAGCGGGTGGAATATCGCAATCTGATCTGCCAATGTGATGCTATGTCAGGTCTCGGCCAAGAAAAGCCTCCATTGATGACGAAATGCCGCCCCTCAATTTGAAATCCAACACGGGGGTGCGGGGGGGAAATGGGAGGAGAGAGGGGGAAGCGATTCGCAAACAGCTACCCATGATGCCGCCTCAGAAAGACTCGAGGTAAGGCGACGACTTGGAATGAAGGTTTGGAGGTCGCCAAAATAATGGGCGCCGCGCCAGAGCCTCACCCACCCCGCCTTTTTCCCCCAAGATGGCCAGCTCCTCCCAGGATAAGCGGATGGTTGATGTCATAGGCTCTGAGGAGCCCGGCGTGTGGACTCAAGATAGCCCTGGTAGATTTAGTTTCTGTGGACTCAGGACTTAGGAGGAGGAGGAGAGGCGTGCCCCCCGAAACGACGCACTAATTGCCCAGGCCCTCCCCGAGAAGCCGAGAGCTGACTGCCAGAGGGTGCGACAATTGACGGACTCAGCACTTCTGTTCGCTGTGATTGGATTTTTATATTCCGCTGGCTGGCTGCGATGTGGGTCGCATCCATTATTACTATTACTATTACTATTATTATTATGATTATTATTATGATTATTATCACTATTATTATTTTGTGATATTTTTTTTTTTTTGTCTTTTGCTGCAAGTGATATATGGGGTGGGGAACTCAATATTGTCGGCTGGCCAGGGAGGAACGGCAGCGCAGGCATGTGAATAACACACGCGGCAACTTGCAGTGGAAACTTTTCTGTCAGTTGTTGATTAATGACACACAAGAAAGGGCGACGCAATGGTGATTATTATATTGGGACAGCATTGAACCATTGGGCTAATATACCCGCAGATTCCTTCCATATCATCCTTGCAATGACCTGTGGCGGCCCACCTACATGTGATTTCGTTTGAGCTGTTGGACCAGGCCCCGCAGGCTTGCAATTGAACGGCAGGCAGTGTTTACTTTTGGCCCGGTGGATGCAGATGTGATGAGCTACTTGATCGCGCATCTTAGCACCCCTTCCTTGACTTGCCTCGTTAAGCATCTATGTTGGCAGTGTAGGCAGTCAATGCTACGTTTCAGAAGATTCCTTCTTCCCTCGCTCGGTGGACGGGCTACCCTGGTCACAAAGTCTTAACTATGAGGTTCAATATGCATGCTCACAACCAACATCGACACATATCATAGAGGAGATGTAAGGGCGGGTACTCTGTACTTGCGCTGCTGTTGTATGCCCCGGAAATTATTCCGCTATTTCGCCTAGAAAATTGTTATTGGTCGAAAGGTGGGCATGCTTCTCCTGCTCCCATTTCAAGCAGTATCACCGAAACAGCGGCTGAAGTGGGTGTCTTGAGCTTAATTGATATTGGATACTTCAGGCCTTGCGGTTCGCGCTGCACACCTGGGTAACGTCGCACATTTTTTCCATGAAGATGAAAGCACTGTATTTATTTGTTTTTCCTTTGCAGCAGCATTTTTTCTTTTCTTTTTTTTGTTGTGATGATCTAGGCAGAGTTGGCAATGCCCAGTGCCCGGTGCCCAGGGACCAGCCCCCTGCCTTGCCCTGGACTCCCTGGTGCTGGTTCTTCTTCCTACCGATCTAGAATCTACATTAGAGAGACACCGGGAGATGGGCCAGCGATCCAGAAGTCGCAGATCCTGCGGAGAATACCGCAGGTATTGTACGGTACACACTGTAGAGTCAGTGTAAACTGGCATGGAGATCAAAAAGGGTGGCAGGAGAAGGCCCGTGTACTCAACCCTCCTTTTGATTTCCTCCCCCTCCCCCAGCCTTCCCTGTTATCCCATCTATGTTCGTTACCGTACGGAGTACATAGAGTAATACAGTTGTTATATGCCAGAGAATCTGCGAAAATATCGCATACATGTACTGTACATGCACATGGTCATGTACAGAGAGTACTTTACGGTACTTTGCGTTTTGTGTATGGGTTGAGCATTGGCCGCCTTGCGCACTCTGGGGCCAGAACCGCTGGGATGAACGGGGGAAAAAAGAGGAAGGTCGAGTCGCGCTATTCGATACTAGCGCCGCTCAAGACGCTCATGGACCTGCTCTGCACACATCATGCCTTCTCTTGCTTGTGCCTGTGCCTGTGCCTCAAGCCTCAATTCATTGTTTAGAAGGGTCAGTTAACCAGCCTATCATAGTAGGTACTGGTTATCAGTGTGAAGGAGGAGGAAAAAGTGGACAGCCACATACCTCGCGCTAATAGGGCGATTTCACTTTGAATTCTGATTGATCTCTTTTTTGTTTTTCATTCATTCATATTTTTATTTATTTTTTTTGGTTGACGAGAAAAACATCGCGAGTGGAGTAGATTTCTTGGTTATTTTGTTTTTCCCCCTCCTCTTGTTCCAGAGCAAGCCTAGATGTTCTCGATGTGTTGTTCTGCCATCTGGATCTTTATATTTATTTTGATGTAGACATATATTCAGGGGGCCGAAGAGGCGAAATGGAGCTGGACTCGAGCGGGAAAATACCGTCAGAATCTGTGCAGATCTGTAAAGCTATATCTGATCCGTTTGACTATTTTTATTCAGAGTAGAAACCTACTTAGTAAGCAGTTATATGAGTCAAACGAGCGCTCCATCCACGGGAACTCGAAACATGGGCTTGAAGAATTACTCACTCTCCAACTGTTTTTATTTTATATATATATTTTTCTGAAATGTGGACATTTCGAGTCAAAAAAAAAAAATATACTCGGTGACCCACAGCGACTTGCCGTATCTCTAATAATCTGCCGTCTGCGGTTGATGGCGCGGCTCCGCCTGCAGAGGTGGGGAAGGTATGACTAGTAGCCAATAACCGAGCGTGAAACAGTGGTGACATGACATCATATCTGTGGCGGGGGGGACTGTGGTATCAATGTGGCGCAGGCCAACGTGTGGCGCTCCCCGCACGACCTCGGAAATTGCTTGATGGCGAAAGACGGAGAGAGAACCTCAACCCGTCCCAACTCCACTGGAACGAAGATTAGATCGATAACTGTGGATCGGAACGCTCTAAGCCTCTCATGGCCAACAGCCTGGGGGAAAAAAAGGAGGCGACGGGTTACCTGCGGAAAGGATGAGTGGATTGGACAGCGCAACGTTTGCCAGAGTAGGGAAGGAAACGAAGCTCCCAAGGAGAGAGGAGGGCCCTAATCGCCGAAGTCGCTGGGGCCGCGTTAACAATCCGCGACAATACGTTGTTATGATGGCCCTCTGGCAAGTACAAGGGGACGATAATATGGGGACAGTGCTGGGGGCAGTGTGTGTGGAGGAGAGCATTCTAAGAAGTTGTTGTGGTGAGTTCCGAGGCCAATGAAGAAATCATCGGGGTATCGGTTTCAATGTTTTCGTCATTGTTATCGCCCGGTATTGTCCCTTTCAGCGCTCCGTCCGTCATAACCCAAAAGTCCATGATCTCTATGACCTAACGAGTGCGCTCAGCCAGGGGCCAGGTTGGAGACATCGACCCTTACTAGCTGCGACTTGAGGCTTGCGCCAAGCCCTCCTGCGACGGCCTGGCTTGTTTTACACCCCACCATCTGACGGCGTCTACATCGGCCTGGCGTGGAACCTGGCCCTGCTCCATCCCTAACCCACTTCTATGATGATGATACATGGGATACCTCGACATCGACTGCATGGGCTGGGTCCGAAGTATTCATCATGTACCTCTCTGCGAACAGCTCCAAAGCGATCCTCCCACATCACACCACCCCTGATCCTGTACCGTGGAGAACTGCAAGACTCCCGCAAATTCAAAATGCCCGCCCAATCAGAATCTTCTCACGGTTCCAGAGGATGCTTGACTCGGAGTGTCCCATCTCAACTCTCGCCGGTCTGTGTCTGAGCTAGTGCGCGATACCAGAGGCTATTATTCAGATAGTCGTCACCACTTTGCCCACTAGCAAAAACTAATTTTAGATTGCAGCCCTAGTTAACCTTTCTGGTATCACCCAGCTCCCGGCGTCTGACGACATCGCCCCCTCTGATCCCCATGCCATATATTTGCATCTCCTCGCTGCTGGAACTCAGATTTAAGAAAAGTTTGGAACTCCTTTCCCTTGCCCCCATTGTCGTCCTCCTTCTTCCTCTTCCCTTCTAAACGGGCCTCCTGATAAGCTGCGTCCTGGCTCTGTGTACGCTCTTTCCCTTCATCTCCCTTCTATAGTATAGCTTTCACTATCTCGTCGACACATTGCAATCCGAGTTGCACAGCTTTCACCTTACCAGAACGGAGTCTTTGGAGCTACAATAAACTTTCCCCCACATGTGCTGGATTTTTTCCTGGATACCCGTGCGCAGCAATTGATTACCGGCGTTGCCGTTGCGCCCGTCGCCTTTCTTCCTTTCTCTTCTTTTCACTTCCCTTTTTTTTTTTTTTCTCTCTTTCACTACCAGGGTCGTTCGCTTCTATCGGTCTCTCCTAATGTTTCGCAACCGGTACGTGGAATAGAATACTGCCAGTCGATTACAGCACGGTTTTATACTCCAGGCGCAATTGAATGGTCCTCTTAGCTTAAGCTCTTCTGCGGTATACAGGAAAAGTTCACAGAAACCGGGGGAGGAGCTCTATTCTAATTTTAAACAAAAATTTCCCGAGATTTGCCCCGGAGTTGGCTCGACAACAGCCCAAAACATTCTGGGCAAGATTTTAGCTGATGCGCCCATGAAACAGGCTACCCCACAAAGGTGAGTTCTACTTCTTGTTTGTCTACCAGTGAAAGGAGAAGAAAAAAAATTATCATAATCGTACTTTCCCTAGATGGTAACGTTCAGGAGTTGCTTACATGTATTATTGAGAACGAAATGTAATAGACCAACGATGGACTCTGAAGAAAACAAAGCCACAGAACAAACACCAAAAGGCCTGCCGGATCATTGGAGATTTACCCCTTCCATAATGGACCCCAACTCTTACGCGTTCACGTCGCTTGCAAACCAGCCCTCCACCTACTATACCGCAACACCGACCGGCATGGGCATTTCCTGCCATTCCCAAGTACCTGACCTATCTACTCCCGGGATGACACTGAATTTACTTAGTCCTCTTTCAATCCCTCCCGCAACTTCAGCTACCGATGCCGCTGCGATGCAGTCTGCAATCGACATGAATTCATTTCATTCATTTCCTCCCCACCCAGCAAATGGCGTCGACTCTTTCCATCATCCGCCCCCCTATACTCCGAGCGGTTTCGTAAATCGAGATGCAAGATACGACCCGCTGCATGTTGAGAATTCGCCTATTAATGGGGTGAATACTACTAACCACATTGGATTGATCCCTCACGGTATCGGTTTGTCAACGCCTGTTGACAATCATCCGACTCCCGGGGGTGAGAAGTGAGTTCCTCCTTATTCATAGGTTCCCATTTGAGGATTATACTTTAGAAAGACTCGAACTGACATTTCTGCTTTCAGCTTCCGATTCAATGTAACGCTCAAGGCAGCAACAGCGATGGTCAAAGACCCCGATGAGATCCCCATTACGTATCTCAACAAAGGCCAAGCATACACAATGTCTGTTCTGGATACTGCGCCAATGACGTCAGGCACGCAACCTTTAAAATATCGCACTTATATTCGCATTTCTTTTGAGGATGATGAACAACGCTCAAAGCCAGCCAGTTGCTGGCAGCTCTGGAAGGAAGGCCGTGGGTCCAACGAAGCTCATCACCGTGACGGAAAGTTATTGGCTGTTGAACACGTTGACCCTAACCAAGGCGGAGATGGAGACATCAGGCCTTCCCAGGTTCATCTGGAAACATCTAATTTTGATGGTTTCTCTGTTATTTGGTCCCCGAACCCTGCAACCGGGAACCCATGCTGCTCGATATCAGTTCGTTTCAATTTCCTGTCCACTGATTTCAGCCATTCCAAGGGTGTCAAGGGAATTCCAGTCCGTCTATGCGCCAAAACAGAGGTTATATCTATGGGTCATGGCGATCCACCTCTTGAAGACCGGCCCGAGGTGTGCTACTGCAAAGTTAAGCTGTTTCGAGACCATGGTGCGGAGCGAAAGCTCTCAAATGATGTCGCGCATGTGAAAAAACTTATCGATAAGTTGAAACAACAGATCAGCCAGGCTGAACTTGGGTCTGGCTACGATAGGAGAAAAAGAAGCGGCTCTTTCGTCAAAGGAAAGCTTGCGAGGCATAAGAGAGGGTGGTCGGGTGATTCAAACAATGAGTCAGGGAAATCAAGCCTGGAAGACGACCTCCAGATCAAGCTCTGTACTTTAAAGGACATGTTTTCATCCACTCGCCCCTTCAGCGCTCTCAACTTGAAGGGAGACCCCAATGATGATCCAGACCTATTCCCAGTCCACCTCGGAATTAGCGACGAAACGTTCCCGCCCGCGATAGGCTGGGAGTCCCGAAATAACGCGGACGCATCCTCAATAGCATCCCAGCATGTCTTGTCTCCCGCAACTAGCAACCATTCGCTCAGCTCTTCTCATAACTCTTTTGACCCCAAGACAGGATTTCCTCATCAGCAACAGGTCTATGACGGCTCCCGCCACGACTCGATGGATTGGTCTAGCGTTTCACAACAGGATTCCGATAGCCAGCAGCATATTAGTAACAATGGTCGGTACTTGAGCCACCCTGTGAAGGTCCAAAAGGTTTCGGCTGACGGTCGCTCTGGTAATGATGGCTGGATCGAAGCGATGGATGTCGATGCCACCTACCAGCCGCCGTTAGTCGTCCCAAAGAAGCCCAGTACGTATCCTCCCATCTTTCCTCCCAGCTGAGCTACCCTGTCGTCCACGCCCATGACTGGTCTAACATTTTTACTGGCAGCTTCCTGCTTTTACGTACAAATACGACAACCTTGTGGCAACCAAGTCCCGGATGGTTACTATCATGCCGTGTATCTCTCACAACGCACAGCCAAGGACCTTGTTCATGTCATCTCCAAAAAATGCAAGATCGATGCATCGCGTGTTGTTCGGGCGCTCTGCCTTCGTGGAAATGGGCTCCATGTCATTCTAGATGATGATATCGTCAATGAGCTCCCCGAAGGACAAGACATGGCCGCTGAGATCTCTGAGGTCCGCGATTGCTCATTGGATGCTAGCACGGATGGTGACTCGTCCACAACTTCGACGTCCTCTGGAATCGAAGTCAAGTTAATCTTTTAAGGAAGCTCTCAATCCACCTGTTCCCTAACGTCTGCTGTGGCGTTTCTTCTCTTTTCTCCTTTTTTTTTTTTTTTTTTTTTTTTTTTTTTTTTTTGGTTCATTTCCATATTTTGTTTTCGCTTTTTATTTCCTGGTTGATTTCGGGACCTTCTTCTCTTTCGCCCTTTCGAGGTGCAAATGGCTTTGGTTGTGCTTTTCCAAGTACCTCGGTTGTTTTTCGTGAGATATCTTCTGGCGTTCACGGGCGTGCTTGTTTCTTATCTGTTTTGCCTTTGTTTATTTTTTTTTTTTATATCGCTCTGCTCCTGAGTTTGAGTTGGAACTCCTCAGGGAGGCAATTTGCTATTGAGCCTGGACGCTTACTTGCGTTGGCCACCCCCGATAGGCCCAGAGGCCAGGGACGCACATAACGTGAATCACGATACAAAAGGGAAAAAGGAGTTTTTGAAAAACCAAAATAAAAACCACGAATTGAAGATTGGTAAAATGAAAACGGACGAATATTCGTTTTTCCTGGGTGGCTGGTTTGCTCGGTTGTTTATGCCTCTCTTCCTTTTCAAATATTTTCCTTTCTTTCTCCTTTCCCTTCTTATTTCCAATTTTTAAAAGTCGGATATTTGATTCTCTTGTCATACACGCTTTTCTTTGCTTTTCTCGGCCGGTTTTGTTATGCTTTTTTATGGTTTCCTTTTCTTATTTTTCTATTTCATATATATATTATCATTATTCTTCTTACTGTCACTACGGAGCACATACCCTATACACCAGGGCGTCGGCCTTTTTGCTGTTTTGAAGAAGGAACGCGTTTGGTCGAGTTTTATTAATTCTGTTCACTTTTTGATCGAATGGTGCTTGCGCTCTTCTTTTCTTCTTCTACTACTACTGCTACTCCGTTATTATAATGTATCACCTTTTAATGTTTCGTATTGTTTCCTATTATGAAGCAATGGATCTATTTGTCGAGATATGACACGCCGCCTCCTTTTTTTTCTTTTAAGGTTCAAAGTAATGATATTTAGTGCCTTGACACCCTTAGCTTTCTTTCTTTTTTCTCCCTTTTGGGTTTTTTTCTTTTTTTGTTCCTGCTCGTGGGAGTATCTTCGCTACCTTTTTTTTTGGTTTCCCCTCTCCCTTTTACTTTTGCCTCAAGGATGGCGAATGAAGCCACAGGAAGTTAATTGACGAAGGGCGGATGACGTTTTTTTTCTACTTCTCTTCTTGTTTCTTCCCTTTCTTGAAATTGGCGGTTAACTCTGAGTTGATTATACCTGTTCTGTACCTGTACCTGTACCTGTACAACAGTGTCTTGTTTACGTTGATTAGCCTGCAATTAATATACGTCTCTAATCACCCACGAGATTCATATTTCTTTACCGGAGCAAGCTAAATTTTACAACGCATCTAACGGCAGCTCAATCAATACCCGTAGCTATACTTTACGGTTAAACGCGCCCGTATCATCCATATCTCTCATCGATGAAGTAACAACGCCTTTCCCATCCCACGAACACACAGTTACAGCAACTACGGCAATTACGCGGAATTATAAAAACGAATCCCTTCTTCTTAACACCGCTGCAATATAACCACCCCCCCTTCCTCACCCCATCATCGCCCCCGTCGATCTGAACACCTGGAGCAAAAGGTCGGCTCTTCCCCCCTGGCATCCTTTGTGCAGATTGTCCACGCTAATATAGTAATATGTAGCTAGGAAGTAATACGATGTGAGTGTCCCTTGCTCTACTCCCTGCCTTTCTTTTCCGTCATGGATACATGGATTGGTTAGTTAGCTGTGTATAATTATATAGTTATTACTATGGTTAACATCCATGCAAGAGTGCATGACGTAATGTGTGGAGTGCTTGAACCGCCTTGCCAAGTACAGCCAAGACTCCAACCTAGTTCTGCCAACGCGTGTCGCTGAACAACAAAGCTGAAAACATCCATTAAGTATGTTTGTATGATGTTGTATGGAGAAGGTTATCGGGGACCCGACTTTGGCCATCAGCACCCGTTTCCTTTGCTGTTGGTTTTTTTTTTTTTTTTTTTTTTTTTTTTTTTTAAGGGGAAAGCAATCACAGTCTTAAAAGGATGCTCTCTCTCTCTCTCTGTGAAGTCCCGCTTCTTCAATGGAGCGAGAGAAGGGCTTCTCTGGCCAAACTTTGAACCAACAGATCTTATTTTTTCGCCCCCAGCTTCGAACCCAGGAATTGCGAAACGTGGGGAAAAACGTGCGGCGAATTCTTTCCGTGATGAATTATGACGGAATGGTTCCAGAAACTCCATTTTTATCAATCAAATTGTTAGAACGCCGCGCATCTGATAATGATATCTAGTGATGATATATCTAGCAATTATATTCATTGATGATATAGATAATACCTAAGCGCAAGGCTTTTCTGAGCTTATTGCTTCCATCTGGCACTCAGCTATATGTTTCATGGAGCTCCTCCAATATACATATCTCTAATGACTATTTAACGGCGCGTTTGCCCCTAGCATTTGAAATTACTTGTCTTTTCATCCCCGGATTCATGTGCGAGTGTTAGTATGAAGTTCGCCCTTTGGAGAAGAAGTTTATGCCGAAGGCGAACAGATGAGCGGATTATCGGCCGGCAAAACTCTCGAGGCTAGTCCAAACGCTCTCCTTCAACTAGTTAACAATCTACTGGGTCGGATTGTGTGGGATCGATGGTTGATCTTGTTATTTGGAGCTAGCTTGCTTATTGTCAGGCCACTGGGGCGAAAGAGCTCGATCACCAGCGCCATGATGGTAGTAGAGGGGAACGAACCAATCTAAACCGCCAACACTACCGAGGTAACTATATAGAGTTCATCGCGTGCGGTGGGACTGGCCGCCTGGGCAACCAGTGGTTCAACAAATTGTGCCACTCATCCTCTATCTATGTCTGTCTATACAGGGTATTTTGATTTTTAATTCAAAAATGTTTCCGTTCCTCTCTCCATCCTTTCGTACAAGTTCTCTTTGCCATTTTGCCATTGAGGCGATTCTAATCCTAATTCTTAACTCATGCCTCATGGTCTGGGTTTGCTTGGGATGATGTGATTTCAGACTTTCTTGGCAAAAATTCGGTCCCCGAACGTCCACCTTGGAGGGGGCGAATTTTCATTCATAGCTCCTCAGGCCCGTTTAAAGGTGCCTTTAGATGTTTTTTAAAGTTATGTGCACTTGGAGGGGAGAGAGGGGGGAAGCTCCCATCTGGATGAAGCGGCGTTCACTCATTACAACAGCTTCAAGCTCTAGCCAGCAAGGTAGCTAGCTGTCTGTTTGTCAGAATTGCCATAAAAAAAACATGTCATCTTAAAAAATTAGCCTGGTCAGCTTTCTGAGCACTTTACCCAATGGCCTGAAGCCTGAAAGAGCCAAGTCGATGGGTACTAGTCAGCTAGAGCTGCTATGCTCATTCACTATTATGCTGTTGTGCTAATGAGGGCGAGAGTGGGTTGCACCACGAAACTAACATACTATTGTATCAAACTGAATGAGAATGAACAGGGTCCAGGAACCGGGGATGGGATGTGGGCTTTCGGCGACAACCACAGCCCCACAACCGGCCCGTCTCTTGGCTCAAGTTCAAATTTTGCTATATCTGCGCGTGCAGAGAGGGAAGGGTTATTATAGTTTTGGATATGGATTGGTGGGATGTTTCGGTCTTGTTTTTCTTTCCGCTATGTCTGCCTGTTTCCCTTTGATATTATTTTTCCATCAAGTTGCCAGCCGAGATACCCTGCCTCATGCTTCCCGTGAGACAGAATGGATTGAATGTCTGTCCCCAAGTCGTGGTTGGTGCAGAGGGATGAAATGTCTTACATCCGAGCAAGCTATATCCACGTTCTCTGCTGCATATCCCCCCCTGCAAAACACAAAACTTAATAAAGCCAGTCCCACCAAAATCGGAAAAGGGGAGGGAAATGGAAGGAGAAAAGAAAACCAACATTCGTAACCAAGCTTCACCACACCCGCTCCAAAAGTCAAACTCAACAGCGAAGCTTTTGTGTTGCGGAACCCAAATTTTTTTAACCTCGGGCCAGGTCCATCAGAGGCATGACGCCGCATGGAGCCTGTTGAGTTTCCCCCTCTTGCCAACTGCGGAAAGAGAGGAATGTGGGGTGGTCCCCCCCCTTTTTTTGGCTCCTTGGCCGTTATTGGAGCATGGGTTGATATCATGATGACGTTGGTGGCTGAGGGTGAGAATTGGCTTATGTGAGGTTTGGCATGTGAATTTGGTGACGGTGATGATGGTAATGATGATGACGGTGGTGATGATGATGATGTTTGGAGACGGGATGATGTTTTACTTCTTCGGGCAACGGAGCAATTGAGGGAAGGTTTGGCTATCTGATAGGCTAGGTGTTTGCATAAAATGGCTCATTGGAAGGCAAGGTTGTATATTCTGTACAATGGACGAGGACGTCCATGCTGTAGGTACTGTCCATGGTTAGACTTGGCAGATGCTGTTTGGCGACCATCCGTCCAAGTTTGGAGAAAAGCTGGAAGAAATAGGCCGGGAAATTCTGGCACTTTACAACGGATGTCATGCAGAGCGTTTGCCAAAGTGGACTGGGAGATAGTAGGCCGAGCCAATTTGTCGAGAGTGTGCATCGGAGATGGGCTCCTAATTTGTGGTGTTGATACCTCTATTATAGGGGATGGCTGTGGTGAAGCAATTAGATATAGAGATTCTTATTTCGATCAATGTACTGTGTGCAACTATCCCCTATTCCAGTCTAATGATGGTACCATGGCCCCCTATTATACTTTCTGTAGAACGACGTACAGTACATGTACATTTACTTGGAAACATGTTGTCATAGTTGATGTCGCCTTTCTTCACAACGCTTCCCTGCAGCCTCCTCACTTCACCTTCGACGATCCCCAACACATGGAGATGAAACATTCGCATTAAGAAATTTCTGGTCATGGAGTTTGATTCTATATAAATAACTAAATACACATAGGAGCTAACAAGAATCCTATCTATCTACTTGTGCTAGCCCCCGTTTGAAGACCGGGCTAGGAAATGATTTGTTGTGCCAAAAGCCACTGATTCCCGACACCTGTTTAGAGGGTATAATATTGAAGCCATAGCAACTACCACTCATACAGGTACTGTACCCATTGCAAGTGGATGGAGCCTGGTTGTAATGCCAGTCTTGAGGGGAGTAGACATGATTATAATCGTGCATTTCACGGCATGAGGTCCGCAAGCCCAGGCAAGAGCCGGTTCGCTGATGCCACTTCTGGCCCTGAGCGATGGTCACCTGCAACAGGAGGGTTTTGCTGTTCAGAAGGAAGGCCCGATGTGATGGAGTGCATGCTGCAGTCGAAAGTGGTGAAACTACATAGGCAGGAACAAGCTTCCTCCTAGATAGGGAAAGGAAACTGCCGTCTCTTAGCACTGAACCGTATCTATCAGCCAGTCCTTTTTGGGTTCCGCCGTCGCCAAGAAAGGGCTGCAAGATGGTTCCGCTGGCGTGGCTCCGCGGCGGAGGGGAGGAGAATATAGCCAGTGACCCTGCTCCTGCTGCATTGATGGCAACAGTCGTGATCAATCCTGTGCGTGGATGGGATAATGTCGTCTGGGTTGCTGGGCAGCGTGTGTCGTTGCCTGGCGTGGTTTCCGCGGAAGCTGACGACGGCATCGCATTCACCAGGAGGTGTCTTCCTCTTTGGGAAGCAGCCTCACAACACACCATGCCCGGCTCCTTCCTATAAGGGACGCGGTTGCCCAGCGCCTGCCCGTCTAATTTCCTGCGCTCGCTTCTCGCTTGTCCCACGCCGTCCTTTAAATTCTCCCACTTCCCCCGTCTCCCTCTTCTCCTCTCCTCCTTTCCTTTTTTTCCCTCTCCCCATCCCACGGCACCCACGGCACCCACTTCATCCAACATCTTCATCAAACCCAGCCCCTTTCCATCAACTTCCAGCTCCAATTTCATCACGGTCGTTCTAGTCACACTATCCAAAATCCCCCTATTCTATTTCTGTGCCCATCTCCCATCTCAACATCCTCATTTCCAGCCTTTCTGCCCAGGAAATTGGATCGAAGCTAAGTTCCATCACAATGTCTGTCAAAACCATGGTGTTTCTGGCCACTATGGTCTTTGCCATCATGGCAGCTGCTGCAAGTAAGTGTTTGTAAAGCTCTGTTTTCTTCATCTCTGGCACTTTATATGTGTTACTCTCATCCCCCCTAGTACCACCACCACATCGTGGTTAAAGGACCACTATGTAAATCAATGAATTGCTGACATTTGGAGTGGTCGTAGACCTCCCTCGTGAGGCTGCTGAGAAAGCTGGTGAGTTGCACATAAAAGAAGCCCATGCCTGGGCACATGTTGGAATCTTACTAACACCACCTGTCAGTCGTTGACGTCGCTCGTGGGTTGGGCAACCAGGGTTTCCTTGGCAAGATTGTTGCCCGTCAGAGTAAGTTTAGCCCCCTTTCCCTTCCCCCTGGTGGTAGATATGTCATCCAACCTCCTTCTCTTTCCTCCATCATCCTACCTCCGAGTTGATGGAAGCCTCCGAAGTACAAACACTCACACCTTATAGACATTGTCACCGTGACTGCTACTGCTGACAGCTGCGCACCGGTTGACCCGGCGACTTCGTCATCTGAGGTTCCTGAAATCCAGTCCACAACAACTCCACTCCCTCTTCCTTCTTCCAGCAGTATGGCAGTTTCTTCTGCTGTAGTGTCTTCTGTTGATCCAATTGCGACGTCCTCTGTGGCTGCGAGCAGCACCTTCTCTGCTTCCAGAGTTACCCCTTCCGCGTCGACCCCCGTCAGCTCTGAGACACCTTCTCCACCCGCCGAAACCAACTTTGCAACTCGCAATGGTGGTCTTGACGAGGCAATCATCGTTGGCGTTGCTGCATTTGCTGCTCTTGCGGCATTGTGAACCCCTAACGAAGTGACAGTGAATCCGTATGGATTCATTGTCAATTTGAAGAATCGCAAGTTGCCTGTTTGCATGGTTAGCCAAATAGCCATCATCGTATGTATGAAATATGACTTGAAATGATTTTCCTTGATTTCTGTTTGTGGCAATGTTTTGAACGCTGTGGGGGGGCAATTGGAATGCATGTTACTTTTGCAGATGTATTGCGCAGCTAGGGGGCTTTAATGGGGTCATACTGGGAATAGATTCAGCGAAAATAAGACACAGCATTCTTCGTTTAAACACAATATGCTTTAGTCCTAAACTTTCTGTTTAAAAAAATAAAAAATACCCACGTGCATTATTCTCAAGTATTCTCACATCTTAAGAAACTCTCGAGCCTTTCCCTTCTTCAAAATTTCCTCGACCAGCCCCCGCATGAACAATATGTAACTATTTAAAGCAGACTGGTAGCCTAAAGGGTGGTCGGTGATCGCCTCAGCAATGCTCAGTTGAGGATGGCACTGCAGGTCCCGGCGTGGTTTCCTGGAGATATCGCAAGGGATTTGCACTTCGCCAGTAGTCTGACTGATGGGGAGGGTACATGGTACGATCCGCGTACCTTTCTGGAATCTGCTGCGGAGAAAACCGAACCATTCGCCCGTCCCTGTACCAAATCCCATTAATTCATACGACCCTTGACACCGTCGCATGGCAAAAGAACATGTGTAGGTAGAAACCGCTTATGTCCTTCGTTAAGAAGCCCCAGGCCTTCTCCTTGGAAATAGAAAATAGAAATGGGTATAGAGGAGGGAGGGGTAAGGGAAGGGAAATAAATAGAAGAAACCCATCCAACCCTCCAGAGCATTGCCCTCCCCGTTAAAAAAAAAAAAAAAAAAAGGAAGACTAAGGAGACAATCCCCGGAGAGCCCCCTTAGCTCGACTAAGCAATGTTATTACTTTATGGTCTAGTAAAATGTCCGAGAAGTGGTATTATTAAATATCATCTTCACCTTCCCCTTCACTTCCTCCGTCTCCCCCCCCTCCCACACCATCCCTTTCTTTTTCCTCATATTAGCTAGCACATATCAAAAGTCCCCGGAGAGAAAAGAGAAATAAAACAAAACCCCTCTTAAGGGAAAAAACAATACCGGGGTTTTTTTTTTAATTTTCACATTTGTTCTCTTACAGCACCATAATGCCCGCCTGCGCCGCTTGCTCGATATTCCTCCTCGATGAGCAAATGTCACATCCGTCGCCGATTTTGTCGCGTAGGAGGAGTGCATTGGTCACTTTGGGGCCGACGGTGCGGGAAAAGAAGGATGGTGATTGGGTTGTTGTGTAGTCTTGGTAGGACAGGGAGGTTGAGGCCGTTTGTGGTCGTGAAGGGGTTTGTGGGGGCGGGCGGATGGTTGGGGTTGGGGAGGCTGAGCGTGGTTCATGTTCTGTGGCGGTGGGTGGTTGGTCTTGATGGCGGAGGTGGGAGGCGTGGAAGATGTGGCCGCAGGCGAAGCCGATGAGGGGTTCGGTTTCTGGGGGGTGGGGTAGAAAATCGTTGGGGTTAGTTATGCTGCTCAATATATGTGGAAAAGCCGTTTGCTGTTGTTGCCTTAACGGGAGGAAACGCAAGGGTGGGGAAGGGAGAAGGCTGGGGGAGGTGATTCTTATACAGGTGAACAGGGGACTACACTGAGAAAAAGGAAAGGTTGACTACATACCTTGCTCACTAAACAGCTTACGGCATCCAGCACAACGACCTTTTTTCAAATCTTCGGTTTCCTGGGCAGCCTGCCGTTTCTCATCTGGTTCAGAAGGGGAACGGACGATATCGAATTTGATTCCTCGCCGCTGCCCCTGTCTTAAGATGTCCATTTGCGTCGCGACTTCTCCTTCCAAAACCTTTGCCACGCCTTGGCTGATGGATGCTTGGATGTCATGCTCGCGAATCATCCTGGTAAGGCCTTCTCTGAGCCCTTCGATTTCTAAGCCGCTTGGTATACGGCGGACGAGGTTTATAGGGTCAATTGAAGTTCCAGCTTCGGCAAGCAGGCCGCGAATATATTCGGGTTTGTCCATTGAGAAGGACAAGAGGTCCTCCCAAAGATCTGGGTCATCTTGTGTCTTGGCGAATGAGATCGCATATGAGACATCGTGGAGGTCTGACAGGATGAGGTTGAGTGCTCGTTTGGTTTGGCCAGTTTTGGATAAGAGATAAATGAGTTCAGGGGTATAATGGCGAGATTCACATATCGAGCTGGCAGCACTATACGAGTAGGATGTGCTCGATTGGAGAAACTCCAATAATAATTGGCGATCGTGCTCTGCAAACAATTCGACGGCAGTATCTGCAATGCCATCAATTAGAGCTCGTCTTTCGTCAGTCGCAAGCTTAGCAGCATCCCTTTTCTGGTGCCGGAATCTGGAATGGTTTTCTGGGGTGGTTGATGTGGGATCGCCTCGCCAGAGCGCCCTTAAATAGAAGAAAAGAAAGAGTCGCCGGTCTGCGAGCTGTAACTGCGAAACAACAGCTTCGGGGCCAACGACACCGTTGGTAGCTTCCCTTACTAAAATTTTGATTGGTTCTGCTGTGGCGGCATCCAACTCGGGTATAGAAGCTGTTTTCAATTGTTCTTTCGAGACTCGAATGAGAATGAAGCCGGGTATATCGTCAGCTATAGCATCTAACAAATGATATTCGCGAATCAATCGCATTGCCGCCTCATCATCCTGCAGACGGATGTAGCAATGGAGAGCCTCTCTGTAGTGCCTTTCTGAAAGGAACAGTTTGGCTAGAACATCCATCAAAATTGTCCAGTCATCCGAGTCGGGCTCAACAGCTGTAGATTGGAGTTGCTCTTCTATGGCAGCGGTTACACTTGTAACATCAAAGAGATCGGTAGGCCATAGTTCAAGTAGTTCCTTGAATCTGATTCGATCTCGGGAAACATAATGCCCAAGAATAACTTCGTAGATCAGAGAGGGTATCGGAGGGCTGATCTCAATTGGGATGTGAGGCGTTATTTCATCAAATTTATTGTTGCGTGCAAAAACCCATATCCAGTGTTCCCACCTAGATGTTGTTCTCAGGACTTTCCCACACACTTGTCCAGCTCTCTCCCAATTTTGCTGGCTAATAAGCTGCTCTAGCCAACGCTCTCCAATACGACGCTTCTCCATCTCTGCAGCAGAGTTTGCTCCCTGACTAGCAGTCTTGACGGACGCATTATCATCAGCAAAAAAATCTGCAAGAGTGCTTTGCAGCTTAGTCGGGGTGGAAGGCAGGCTCTCCGCCCTCTCTAAGGTTGCGGCCGCAGCTTCTGGGTGCTGGACAATGAGCTCCCATGCTTCCTCATATTTTTCATGACGATCCAACCAAGATAAGCGATCTGCAATGCCTCGTTTTACTGCGATTACACAGTCGTAAGGGCTGTGGACGAATATCTTGATCCCTCCGGTAGCCTTAACGGCTAGCTCCTTCGCCTGTATATCGCTGGCAGATAAACCCATCGATTTTATTGAACTTGCTCCACGGATGCTCGAGCTTTTGCCTACACTGCTGCCGTTGCTCCGAACACTAGCAGCGGAGTTAAAAAGGCGCGTAGGATATAGAGTTGCGTCCCAGAGTCCAGCACTTAATGCCTCGAGCGCGCCTCGCTGTACTGTTGCTGCGGGTACTCGATTTGGAGGTAGTACACCTAGATGGTAATCCGAAGCGGAAAAAGTTTGATACTTTTTAATAGTCAGAGTATCGGCCCCAAGCTCCTCTTTAGTTTCAATGTCAATTAGTCTAAGTTCAGGCTCAAGGCCATTTTGTCGATGACGAATTCCGCGTCGAGGACCTGCCTGCTTCGCGTTGGATTCGTCGTTGTCGTCTTCAGGTATCAGGTATGAAAGCACAAGAAGCAAATTTGGGGTATATAGCGAAACTCCGGAAATAATACAATCAGTGCGTAATCTGCGAGTTGATTAGTACGTCCCATAAGCTTACATTAGGTATTTACTGTTACTCACATAGTTGCAACTTCAACAGATCCAATTTTCCGTTCTCCAACATCCTTCCCCGTACTCGACCCACCTGGGAAGACATCGATGATCCAAACAGTGCCACCCCAACCTACAACAAGCTTTTCGACTACGCTTTGATTACGGCCGTTATTCATGTTCGTATTTAAAGAATGTGTTTGCGACTGCAGACCCTCAGAATTGTCGTCAACGTCCATGGAATTTTCGTCCACCCACTCGGCTCGGGGTTTCCATACACTCGCCATTTCCTCCCATCCAGGACGGTTTGGTCGATCGATGTGGCTCATTCGTTTCCAAGCGAAGTCAGAGTCCGCGCTTTCGAGATGCAAATTTGACCGCATTATTTTAATTCCTTCTTCGTTGACCCACATAACATATTTCCCTGAAATCGACCATTTTATGGTGCTAATAGTGCCCTCTCCGCTATGTAGAACAACGTCTTTCCCACTATTTCCGCCCAGGCCGAGAGAGCCTAACCAGCCCGAAGTGTTGGGAGTAGAGCCTCCCATAACGGTAGAGTTTGATTTCGCCCCAACCTTACCCCCTACTGTGAGGACCAATGTTCCAGCAAGTCCTCCAGAAATGTATGATTTGTCATTTTTGTATGCAGGGGAGAGAGCTACAGCTTGAATTGGCCGTCCGAAGTTGCGCAGGAGGACATCTTTTGGATCAACTAGCGATGACACACAAACATTTCCGTCTATCGAAGAAGAGGCAATATAGATAGAGTTCGAGGGGGTCGCCGGGATCGTAGGTGGCTGTTGAGTGTTCGAAGTTCCTTTATTTTTTTGCGGAGAATAGTGCGGGTTGACGCTATTGCTATCGCTGGAGTGGCTTCGAAACGTATCCTGCTGGGAAGTGGGAAGCGGAGGTGGAAAAGGCGATACTGAGATGGAGGAAATAGTAGCGGAGTGCGCATGATAAACACGAAGAATTTGGAAAGAAGGTACGGATAAAACATGCTATGCAAAATCAGCAAGAATTCGAGAAAGCTATTGACCTCAAAATGTCCCATACAATGTTTCCATTATGTGTCCCAATGATCTAAAAAGAAGTCAGCTGAATCCCGTTGTGAAGGGTTGCAGTTCGGATAGATGACAGACCATTTTGTCCCCCGCAGCAAGGAAAGAGCTTGTCGCATCCCCATTTCGATATACGGAGCCGATACTTTTGGTCAATGAGGCATACTTGAGTCGGGGTTCCTCCTCCGCATCGTCCTCATCTTCTCCGTCTGATTCCTCACTATGGTCGTCGTCCTTGGCCGATGGTTCCCGGGGCGGAGTGGAAAGCAGAGTAGGGTCCGCTTCCCGCGCTGTCAGTTTCGACCCTACATCATCACTTTCAGAATCCTTTGTGTCGTCCACCTCCATGCCGGCAGCTTTCATCGATCCCAACAAAATAACACAAAGCGGTGCTAACGGCCTAGCTACTGACTGATGCTCCAGCTTGCCTGGATGGATGATTAAGCAAGCGCGTCAGCACGGAATATTGAATTTCCATGCCAAATTAGGATATCTGCTTGGTTCCAAGGTTCATAGATTCCGCCGCAGATGTAATGTTTTCAGCCGTTGCAATGCCCGCCTAGATTAATATAGTCTGGTTCTATTTACCCTGTCGCCATGTTTGCACGGCGCCTTTTAAGCTCCGGCTGCAGAGCTCGTCAAATAACACCTACTCTCTCACGATTTGACCATACTCTATCACCATCTTCTCGTCCTACCAATTTCCCTCAGTGGAGGAAAGAGTTCTTCTCATCTAAAATTAACCACCAGCATGCGAAGCCAGAGACACCATCCGACGCTGAAGCCGCCTCCACTGTGACACAAAAACAAAAACGGAAACTATCCAGGTCCCCCGCTGCCAAGATATCTCTGCGGCGGGTAGCTGTAGAAGCGCAGCGGTCTAAAGATGGGATGCGCCAGAAAGCCCAGGCGGCTGATGAAGACCTAGCAAGATCCAAGGTGTTTACTTCTACCTTTTCTTTTTCTTTTCTGGGAGGTATTGACTTTAGATGCAGACTGTGACCGCCTACGCTGTAGCAGAGACATTTGACTTAGCGAAAGTAGTCCAAATCCTCCTATCTAAAGGATATGAGCCAGACCCATTCAAGACAGATTTGTATCCTCAAGTTGTCCATGTGCAAGTACCACTAGACTCACTCCGCAGGACTGCGAGCCCTTCTGCTTCCGATCTCTCGCCTGAGGAAGCTGGTGATATTTTCATATTTCCGTCCGGTACTGTTGTGGCTTGGGCACTCCCTGATAACTTTGTTTCTTATCTGGCTACATCTGTGCTTTTCCCGGCTGCAGAAAATCCACACGTTGATTCGATGGAGACTGAAGATCTCGACTATATCGAAGACCCCAACAGAGAGAACAGCAGCATTAAGGGAGACACTATAACTCTCGGCACAAAGATTAGCCCAGATAGCCGTGATTTGCGGGTTGACGGCAAGGAAGGTGTAGATAATATTTTAACTAAGATTGCCTTTTCATCTGGGCTTGCACGGAGTACCAAATTGGCTGTTCTAGAAACTCTCCTTTCGAATTATTTTGAATCAACCCGCAACATCCCGACCCTTCTTTCTAAAGGCACTCACCTGCCATTTACGCGACGCTTCGTGCTGCAAAAAACTGGGCAGCTCCTTAGCGTCAGGGCTCAATTGAACCTATACTCTGAGTTGACAGACTCGCTGCCCGACCTTTTCTGGGATAGCCGCCACGAACTTGGCCTGGAGGGATACTATGATCAGGTTGGCAGAGCGTTGGACGTAGGGATCCGAATTAAAGTGCTTAATGAGAAGATGGATTACGCGCAAGAGATAGCCAGTGTCCTCCGCGAACGGTTAAGTGAAACCCACGGTCTAAGACTTGAGTGGATTATCATTGCACTTATTGCTGTCGAAGTGGGATTTGAAGTTCTGAGACTATGGAAAGAGAAAAAGCAGCATGTGGTAGAAGTTGTGGAGTCGACGGAACGGACGGGGCGATGAATTGTGAGGGAAAAGCTAAATTTAAGACAATGAGGATTGCATGCATGGTAGGAGTTTTTATGGTTGGATGTCTTCTTTGTTTAAATGATACCACTCAACACATTTACATCTCGTTCAATTTTCTTTGGATAAAATGGGTCGGAAGACGCAATGTTAGAGATTCGATGAGTGGTGGAAGATCATGGCTGTGGATTGAACACGTTATTTTATATTTGCTATCTATATGCGAAATCCCAATCTAAGCCGGGTGCTCGCGATAAATCAAAGACGTGCATTCTTTCGCTGGCCGTTTTCTTCTCGTTTCTCACCAGTGTTACGATTTGATCCCAACACCAGCCCTACCTGTGTCGCAAGAGCCACTATATCTCCAGCCTCATCCATCACTATCACCTCAATGTCGATCCTCCCATTACGAACGGATTTTGTGATAATTCGGCTATAGAGCCATTCTACTCCATCCTTGGGCAGAAATTTCTTGAAATCAACGTTCAACGCAATGGTGGGAAACCAGAACGGTGGTGGGCTTCCCATTTCGTCGACAGTAGCACTTTCTATCCTTTCCAATGCCACAGGGAAAATATCAACCAAGTATGCAAGGGCTTCGTTGGTCCATCTCCCCAATCCTCCCTTCGGTCCCTGAGGCCGCAGCCTGCCCCATTGATCAGAAATCCCTCGTCGTTCATTCAGGCATGGATCCACCGGTTCCCAGAACTCCGAGTTGTTTGATGCGCGTCGAAAAGCTGGCTCTTTCATGATCGTTTTCTTCCAGGGACTGTTTTGGACTGGCCGCCCATTAGAAAGTTGCGGCGGCTTGGAGTCTGGGGGCGGGGGATAAAGTTTCCAGCTGCAAGGTGTGGATACCCCAACTTCTGATATTGGATCCGAGATCGTGATGTATCCGGTAACCCTGTCAATCTGTTTTACCGGCAAGGTTGACGAGTCTAGCTGACTCAATGTAACTTGAATCGTCGACGTCCTTAACCCCAATTTCACATCGCGGACCGTCAACAAAGCAGACCCTATCGATGAGCGCCGGATGAAAGTCAATTGCATACTGATTGGCATTGGTTGGGAGGAGTGTTGGGTTGGGTGTGTGTTTTGGAAATGGGTTGTTGCAAGCCGGTAGAAGATTGCAGTTATATACCCTCCATTAGGAGCTGCCAAAAATTTCTGTTTAGCCGCAGACTAATAATTTTGTCTTTTTATCTCTCTCCTTTTTTAATGGTATATAATCTACAGCACCACGAACTTCGAGTCCACGGTGTCACCACGTTTATGACTGAGCCTCAAAACATTTTGAAAATATATTGGGGAAAACATACCGCTCCCAACGGACCACTGCGATGCCAAATCCGCAGAGTAGGTATGCGAGGACAGGGATGTAATCTTGATGGCATCCTCGAACTCTCGTGTGTGGACGGGGGCCGTCATCTTGAATCGTAAATTTCCTCGTCAAGGAACTGCGGGCTCTTGCGGGTTGCTCAAGAAGCATACCCCGGGGAGGTATTTGCTTGATATATCTGAGTCGATGTACGTGATCTGAGATCCAGTCAGGATGCGAGATTTAAATCATTCGGAACCGCACGATCCAAGCAATTATCCCGCGGTAATAAGCGGATGAGGCATTTACTCAGACTCTGAAAAAGTCCGCCATCGCGGTCAGTATCGTCGGTCTAGTCGAGTTTGTTGTAAAACGCTTTGTGGCCTATCCTCCGATATACCTGGCAGTTCGGCATCGACGTTGCCTCGGTTATCGCCAATTAGAGAGCGCTAACTAACTTAATCTTACGCGGCAATTTGACCAATAAGCTGGCAATCTTCGGTAAACGGTTCAGGGGGAAATGATATCATGATCAGAGATTGACAATCACACCACACCGCTGCCAAAATGACTACTTGTACACAGTATTTTAAAAGGAATAGTGTATACACAGCTTTGCAGACATAATAACTAGCATTTCAAAGTAGTTTGAATGAATAGCAGGAAGCCCCGCATTGCTGTTCAATCTCACAATTTAGGGCCAAATAAATAGTATATATGTATCATTATAAAAAACAAATATCACTATAGAAATCTCTGTATACCATGGAAATTTCTATATAATATTAATATTTCTGGGCTTCTGGGCCAGAGGAAGTCGCGCACTGCCATCACCCCATCCAGAACACGCACACACCACTCGTCGCACTGACATCAAGTTGAATTGCTAATATATGCTCACCACCCTCCACGCTAAGTTAGAGGTTGGTGAGGAGTTAGGGATTAGGGTTAGCCAGGTGGTTAGGACCTGAACTGTGAGGTATACTAGTAGGGAGCGATCCCCTGCATTTTGGAGGTTGTGTCATAGCTGGGTTAGCTAAGCGGTGTCATGTTACCAAAGACGGGAGATTCTTCCAAGGTTCACATCCACATATAAAGGAGCTACATCCTGTCGCGGAGACTTCTTATTTATTGGCGTTTCAAAACCGTCCCTTTCTACCTCGATTGCTACTGCATACAGTTATAGAATCTTAGGCATGTGGTTAATTGCTGATTGGCTGTTGAACTGGCGCCAATGGCCTTGCCTGTAGTCGGTCATGCGGCTGCATGTGTCCCTGAGCAACTTGGAGAATCTCACCGTCGGCCAGGCACAGAGCCAGCTCATCATATCTTCCAACGACCCAAGGATAGCGCCCATAATCGTTGCGTACATCTAGCGTGTAAGAGGCACATCCAACCTTATGATGGCGAAAGACGAACTCTGGAAAGCATTTGACGCAGTCGTCGGATGGCTGAAGCCCAACTTTCCCTCTCCAAAAACAGTCCTGCGTTTGACATCACTAGGAGCCTCCCAAATCCCGTTCTGGAATAACCAGCCCATTGGGCATACGCCAGAAGTGGCAGAATTCCATTCTTGTCCGAATCCGCAGCTGAGTTGCAAAGTTGAGTTCAATTCACAGGATACATGTTGCTTCAATTATCCTGGTGGACAGCTTCTACAGGTGCAACTCTGGGACGTTGATCCACCCAGAGGACCTGAGGATGGATGGACAATCCATGGGCTATGGTGAGCATCCCATCTCTACCCCATCTGCATGAGGAGATGTCATGTCGGTTCTAAGATTTTGCAATCCTCTCCCAGGCCTGATCATTGCGATGGGAGCTTCGACCAATTCTGCGATGACAGTCGTCGCCACCAGAATATATCCGCTATCATTGAGCAAAGTGGCAAGATGGAGCTATTGGATTTGATGAGAGCTCGCTGGAAAAATATTCGTGGCGATGACGAGCACCTATGGATACATGAATGGAATAAACATGGGACATGCATCAGCACTCTGGAGCCTCGTTGCTACCCGGATTACGTTCCCCAGCAGGAAGTTGTGACGTATTTTCAGAAGGCAGTTGATTTATTCCTCAAGTTGCCGTCTTATGAGGTACGTGGCCTAGGGGAAAGAAAGGCTTTTAATTTCTTGGGTGCAAGATGAGTTCAAAGGCACTCATACCAACTATCGTAGATTCTTTCCGCCGCTGGGATTGTCCCATCAGAAACGGAAACTTACCATCGTGATGCGATAGAATCTGCCTTGAAAAAAGCCCATGGTCAGGACGTTAGGATTAAATGTCAACATGGCATGCTCAGTGAGATATCTTACAACTTCAACGTTGCAGGGCCATTAGAGTTGGGAATATTCATTCCAGCAAGTCCAGGTTTGTCTATCTAGCGGCACACAAAAGCTCACAAAATTAATGCCTCCAGCTAACATGGGATGCAGTTGGTGCCGCATCCAATTGCCCTCTGAATGGAATCCGTTACAGGCCCAAGAAAACGCCGCGTCAAGAGCCATCTCCTACAAGGAAATTTCCGGAGCCAACTGGAGCGCCTCCAACAGGAACCCCGTTTGTCGGTAAAGGGAAGCTAATGATACAGTACTCGGGAAGACAGCACGGTTGTATCATCAGTCGTGGAGGCTGGTTTGTCTCCGGGACATGTGCGACGTTCCACGCCGTACCAGGCCCTAATAGTTTGTGCACTCATTTCGAATTTTTTTGCTGCGGTTCTAAAATGCCTAACCCCATGATCCCCATAGATGACTTTTTCCTCAAATCAAGCAGAGGACTCTGCGCCTTCGATGATGACGATGGCTTCATTTGCAGCGAAGACGTAGACAACCCAACTGCATTTACAGTGAGCAATTTCTTTATACCTTCCCTTTTTTCCACCACAGATACCTCGGACAATCAAATCCCAATACTCATTTGTTAACTTGAAACTGTCCCAGGCGATGGACGAATTGCTATCCCTCGGCGAACAAACTGTATTTTACTCGGACGTCGTCCCGCGACGCCGAGGCCAAAGCCCTATCTACGAATCGTCAGAACAGCATCCACTATCGTTGGAAATTCACTGGCGTGAGGCTTAGGTTGTCTCTCGCTTCGTCCACCTCTTTCGCTTTCGTTTTTAATGTTGCTGATTTCTGTCGGTATTTATAAATATATATATATACTATCTCTTACTGATGAACTCAGTTCGTTTCTATGGCATTTCCTTATACACATATTTTAGATATAATTAATTATCTTCTACGATGAAGGGGGTTTCGGGGTGGGTCCGGACAGATATTTATTGTATTCTAGAGCTAGAGAATATAATCAATATGGATTTAGATTTACTAGTAACTATTCCATTATGAGCGAGAGTTTTGTTTTTACCTCCATACGGTAGATATCACGTCGTTTTCGCTTCTTCTCAAGATACTCTCGCATCCACGTCGTCAGGAGCTGCTCGTTCCAATAAATACTAGTATTATTAAAATACCGAATAACAATGCTAATCGATCACGTACTAGTAAAGCCGACAAGAACTTTCGCCAGATTCGCCAGAAAGATTGATTAATTCCATTCCTGTCCAAAATCACATGAATTCTCAAAAGTCAAAACAAGAATGAACCAGTCAACCAAGCGTCACCTGTTCCAAATTCATTGTTGCATCTGCAGAGCTCGCGCACCCCCATTTTCTGTGTTGTTACAAGAATTATAATAACTGAAAGATATCAAGGCAAAGCAAAGCAAAAATACATTTGCCCCATGACAGGAAAGATATGAGGGAATACATAAGAAATACTAGGAAAAAGAAATATCCGGGAAAAAGGAAAAGAGAGCAAGGCTCCAAAAAAGCCAAAAAAAATATGGAGTGCAGATAAGGAAACTAGGTATAAAATGAAACAAACATACAAAATATGGAATAAAACCAAGCTTGCATATTCCAACGTCCAGAAACGTGGAAAGGGAGGGGATTAATCAGTCATTATCTATCATAATATGCATTCCCGCCGAACAGAAAAAAATATCACAAGTTTGTGCACAGTTGCGCGCTAATTCATCTGAAAACCTAAAAGTTGCGTGTTAGTATTCCGAATATGACATGGGTTGGGCGGCCTGATACAACACTTTTTGCTTACCATATCGTAAAACATATCACACGTCATTACCAACTTCCGAAGAAAAACTGCTAAAGAAATCGTCCGAGTACTGCGAGAACGACCCTGAGAAAAATTGAGAGCTGAGGCCAAGATCGGCGACGTTATCGCGTTGGGCAGGCGTAGCAGCGAGGAAAAGTTCTGATCCATATCCGGACTGAATAGGGTCACCCGGCTCGGCCGGAAGACACCCGACCGCGGATGGAATTTCGAGTGAAACAAGTTCGCTCTCATCCAATATTGTGGATAGAGAAGCAGGGGCTGTATGTTGGCTGCCAGTGAAGACGTCAAAATCCGAGCCGTGCGCAGCCGCGAAAGTGGGCTCTGCGGGTGACGGAAGCAAAAATTGAGAGGAAGAGATTTGAGATTCCTTTTTGACTGGGGTTGGGGAACCCAGAAGAAGAGGAATATCTGGGATTTCTTCAGGAATATCGTCAAGAGGTCTTTTTGTCGGTGAGAGGGAGAGGAAATTTCGGTCCATTGTAGGTGTCATTGAGCGCAAGCTTCTGGTAGGAGATGCGACATTTCCAGTACTGAATCCTGGAGAGGCAGGGGGTGTGAAAGAGAAGACACCGGGAGGCAAGCCGAACCCGTCACTGTGTAGGTATTGCATGTCATCACCAACGCTTGATTCACGTACGCTGCCGGAATCGTTGCTTTCGCTCGGAGGAGAAGCTAGCGAAAGGCAGGATGATTCCGAAACCGAGCTCGCATAGGACTTTATATTTGCTCCAATGCGCGACTTGATAGCTTTCTCTTGCCGTTCTTCTTGCTCTGGCCTGTGCTTTCGTGGCCTTCCGCGTTTTACTACTTTCCGTACAGCTCCTTTAAATGCACCACTACACATTCCTCGTTGTTTATGCCTTGTCAGGGCATCTTGACGGGCAAAGCTATTACCGCATTCGCATGGGTAGGGCTTAATTCCCGTATGGATTTTAGCGTGTCGTTTTAGGTCGTGGCCGCGGACGAAGCATTTGTTGCAGTGATTGCATTTGAACTGCCTATCTCCAAGATGGGTCTGAACGTGCGACTTGATGTTCTCTTTCCTTCCAAATCTTTTGTTGCACCCTCCATAGGTACACACCCACTTTTTGTCGACAGGATCTGGACCTTCAATGAATGCGGCAATGTCGTCAAGTGTGATGCCAGTCTCCTCAATTGAAGCATTGATGTTGTCGTCCAAATTCAGACCAGCAATTGAAATGTTCCGTGGTGATAAAGGTGCCTTCTGTGGCGATGAATATGGACTTGGGTCAGCGGTTTGATGATATGCGGGAATGAGAGGAATGGCTGGGGTAATCGGAATGCTTGGCTGAGCGAGGCTGTTGCCAGCTTCTGCACATTGCGTCTCATCCGTGGGCTCGGGCTGCGAGTTTATGGGTGATTGGGCAGGGAAAGAAGATAGGTCAAAGGACACTGCGGAACTTTTTGGATCATCATAGTGATGGAAAGTGAAATCGGAGAACACGTCATCTCCAATATCAGGCAACGGGGTGAAGCTATCGAAGGCATTGAAGGATGCAGAATTTGTCTGAGAGGGGTCATATGCTTTCGGTAGGGTGAAATTGCTTCCAACGACACCTTGCAGTGACCTTGTTCGTTGCATGGACGAGGATCCATCTTTATTCACAATTCTCCTCGCTCGTCTCCTTATTGGTGACAATTGTGCGCTTTTGGAATTCAGGAAAAAATCTTTCGATCTCCGGAACGGTGTTGTTGCCGGCGTTAATGGAAGTGATTCTTGTTGCTGTTAGCCTGCCGTGCTTATGTTACAGTACTCCAGAGGGGGCTCACCTGATCCCGTCTGCTCCTTTGGAGTGCTTGGTCTTTGGGCTGCCGGGACCCCGTTATGCGGATGGGCGATATCTAAAAACTGTGGCAAGCTAGAACTCATTACCAGCCGTGGTGGTATAGATGCAAAATGACACTGTCCCAACACACCGGTGTCGAGACTTGTGCCTCTGCGATGCGACTGATATCCATGCATATCTGGGCCTGCGACAGGAAAAGTAGAAAAGTTCGAAATCCCGATTTCCATGCGAAAATATCAAGTACCTTGAATACGGCTTTTTTTTCGTCCCGCTCAAGTTATACTTACTATTTCCGGCTTGCAATTTCGGAAATATATCTGCGCCGCCTGATAAATTTGGAGTGATCAGTGGGCCCACAAGCTTTGGGATTCAATCTCTCAACACAACAGCATACAGACAGAGCGGAGGGGGAAAGGGTTTTGAAGAACCATGACCTGTGACAATTCAAGACATTTAAGCTGTGGCAGTCGACAATGCTAGGGTGTAATTATCAATAACAATAAAATATATCGAGTTTCCTCACCGGCCAGCTCTAGATCAGGATGGGATCAAAAATTGATCAATGAGATGGGCTGCAACGAGTATGCGCAAATGAAGCACAATGAAAAATGGGAGTGAGAGGTACAAAGTGAGAGGTACCAGGTTAAGATAGAGAGCAGACTTAGGGAGTTCTGGGGAGTAGCATAGAGAGTAGTAGTATAGGCAATGATATCATGTAAGGATAGGAAATAGCGGATTGAAACGTGGGAGACTGACAATGGGAATTGAAATGCTCCGTCGGCGTTGGGCAACATCGGGGAGCATTGCGGCTCCAAAACAAAAGACCGTTGGCCCGGCAACATCGCATCGGGTTTAGTGCATCTCAGCCCTGTGGCAATTAATCACGTGAACAATTAGTCAGTCAACACAATATTCACGTGATCCACAGAGCCCTCGCTTCGACAATTTCCTTGAACAATTCTATCTGGAACCATCATCACCATTCAGCAGCGATTTGCACACGAAGGTTGAGGAAGACAATTTGTCGAGGTATGTGGAAACGAACCTTTCTCACTACCCTCTTTATTGCTGGTTTCTAAACCCACACATAACCCTCCCCAAATGAACGTATAAAATATCGTAAAATACCAGTGCTCACAATTAACCACCTCTCCCACCACAGGCCTCCGTTAAAAATGCAGATCTTCGTAAAGACCCTTACGGGCAAGACCATCACCCTCGAGGTGGAGTCTTCCGACACCATCGACAATGTCAAGAGCAAAATTCAGGGTAAAGTCAAAACCGCAACAGCTCCCCTTTATCACCTACTTTCTTTTTCTTCGACTTCTTCTAACACTTCCCCCCTTCAGACAAAGAAGGCATCCCCCCAGACCAGCAACGCCTAATCTTCGCCGGCAAACAGCTCGAGGACGGCCGCACCCTCTCCGACTACAACATCCAGAAGGAGTCGACCCTGCACCTCGTCCTACGCCTCCGCGGCGGCGCCAAGAAGCGCAAGAAGAAGGTCTACACGACCCCGAAGAAGATCAAGCACAAGCGCAAGAAGACCAAACTCGCCGTCCTCAAGTACTACAAGGTCGATGGCGATGGGAAGATCGAGCGCCTGCGCCGCGAGTGCCCTACTCCTGAGGTATGTTCTATGTTTGATGTTTTGTGTATCAGAATATACATATATGTATATATATATGTGTATATGCCCATCCTGCGTGGGCACTACTCTCGCCGTCACTCCCCGGTCCAGTTTCACGGAGTAATCATAAACTAATATTCGATGAATGTAGTGCGGCGCCGGTGTTTTCATGGCCGCCATGCATAACCGCCAGTACTGTGGGAAATGCCATCTCACCTACGTCTTTGACGAATCCAAATAAAAAAGTCGATAGGCGGAGCGGGGTGGAGGTTGGTTGGTTGGTTGGTTTGTCGGTTTGATTTTTGGTTCATCTGCTTCGGTACGAGACAAAAGGGGCAAAATAAATATATATTTTACTACCCGGGCCTGTACTTTAGAGTGTGAAATGAAATCAGACGACCTCCATATTTTAGTTCACTTTTTTTTTTTTTTCCTCCGTTGGGTGGGGATTTTTTCCGGATTCCGGATTGGTTCTTGCTTCGTCCGCCTCTTATACCAGCATCAAGCTGGTGTAAATCGAGCTCGATTGCCCCAGTGGCCTAGCCGGTTACGAGGCCCCGTGACAGTTGCAAATTTTGCGCTGCAGGGTGTGAGCATGCCACAGGTTCGAATCGCCGAAGGTCCAAAAAAGATCCTTACAACATAGGCACAGTCTCTTGACAGATGGGGGACATCTAAGTGCTTAAGTCACCCTCAGCATGTCGGATCACCATTAATTATACCCGATCAATGGCAGGTCTGTGGGGGTGGGGGTTTGTTGGAGGGTTAGCTTGGATTGAATTCGTCGCCCTTATACTAGCTAGCATGGTGCTGGTGTAATCGAGCTCACCTTTTTTTTTTTTTTGCCTCAGTGTATAAAATTTTTTTTAACTTTGTCACTTGGGCCCAAAAGATACGTAGTGCGAAGTGCAGATCGATAAACGTGAAGCATGTTGATGATTGATGAACGTTTGTTTCATTGTCTAATATATGTGTATGCTGCGGGTATTGTCTTCTCCCTAACTTATCATTATGGACAAAGCAAAGTGGGTAACGAACGCGGCATCATGACATTTCGTAAAATCGTGGTGAAAATATAGGAAGTAGAGGCAGAAAAGAAAGCTATACATACACCTGCGAAACATAGGGACGTGCCGTGGGAAATACAAAACAAGTTCGTGGCATATTCCTCCAGATATGCACTATAAACAGATAGATACCGCAATGGGGCCATCCATATAAGTTTCCTAGTGTTGTGTCGTACCATTTGGAAACCCGGCCTTCAGGTTGTCATACTTACTCTCTGGATAGCTCAGCGCATTCTCCGACGTCTCCAACTTTCCCCCAACTCCTTCAACAAAGGTGCCGATAAGACTGCCATTGGCTTTGTCTCCATTGCGGGGGTCTCTATCACCACTCGACTCCCACCACATACCACCACCAAGGCCCTTTTGAATAATATATTTTGTCTTCTCCTCCACCATCGCCACATTGTCATATGAAATCATAGTGCGAGAGGATGCATCATAGCTCCATGATGCACCGCAACCGCCCTTTTCAAGGCTATCTATGTGCTCCACGGCTCCCGCCTTGGGCAGAGATTTGTAATCCCAAATCCCTTTCTCAAAGCTGCCCTGGCCACCATCTCCATGGAAGGGAGTTCCAGGGCCGTCAGTGTCGGCGAACGTGCGCCCATATAATGGCATGCCCAAAATAAGTTTGGAGGGTGGCACTTTGCCGACGCCAAGGTAATAATCCACAGCTTCCTTGGTGGAGAAAGGAGTTGACTTTGGATTGGATTTTGAGGGCTCAATATTTGATTGATGGCCTGCTATCGTATCCCAGCTTCCGGAGTAGTCGTATGCCATTAAATTATAGAAGTCTAGATAGGGGGTCATTTCCGTGAGGCGGAGCTTCTCGAAATTTTGGCGACCTGGACCATATACATCAGTACCTTGAAGTGAGCAATACGCAACAGTGGGGCAATCTATGCATACCTGCCGGGCAAGCCACAGTTAGAAGGAATCTGCGATCTTTGCCGCCTGCACGATCGAGCACCTGGAAAGGAGATCAGCTTGGCAAATTGAAGATCTGGGTTCATTGAGACGTAAAAAATGTATCATACCTCTCTGGTTGTTTTAAGAAGCTCGACAAGGTTTTTTGCTTCCTCATCATCTGGTGATAATAGTATTAGCGAATGCAGCCCAATTTGCACAAAACATGGAAACGTAATTACATACCTTTGGGATATTCCCAGTCAACGTCAAGTCCTGTCGGTCACAAGAAGTCAGATAATTTAGTCACCACACACCCGAGATCCATATGGACTTTCCTTCGCGGTCTTCTACAGGCAGCGATATCACATACCATCAAATCCCAGGTTAAGCAGCAACTGCGTGGCAGATTCAGCAAATTTGGTTCTGGCGGCTGGTGTGCTCACGGCAGCGCCAAAATGGGGAGAATATGTCCATCCACCAATGGAAAGCAGGACCTTCAGGTGTCTATTCTGCTTTTTGAGCAGGAAAAGCTGCTTAACACAACCGTAGACATTGTTTCCAGTCTCACTCCATGAATCAGTTGGAAAATGCTTGTCGGTATCCGCCCAGGTATCGGTCAGAAAACTAAAATGGAACAAAGAGAGAAGCGGGATCGAATGTTAGGTAAAATGTAGCTTTTCAAGGAAACAATATGGGAAGGAAAACGGGCAACCATGGTGAAGACAACGTACACTTCTCCGCTTTCGGCGCGAACATTCGCGAACGCATACAGAACATGGGTCAGCTTTTTCACTGGTAGATCCTGTGGGTTGTAATTACGGGCGTAGATGGCCTGTACCATGAAATTAGCTAACAGCCAATAAGTCAAGGAAATGGAAATAAATATAACGCAGAACAAAACGGCCAGTCAACAAAGCGATAGCAAAAGACAGCAAAGTGGGTGCTGTTGTTTTGAGGGTATAATTCTTGACATATAGCCTGTTAAAAACAAAACATGCTTTGAAGTTTAAGATCCCTGTCCTAAACGGTTACAGGGATTCCGCAACACAAAACCGACGTCATCTTTAAAAACTTATAATTTAAGAGCAACTAATCAACAGTTTCAAAACAATGACTCTCAATCAACATACCCAATTGACGTAGTACACAATAGACTTATAGCCGTCAGGACTCGACATGTTATGTGATGGGCTGGGACTGGGGGGACTCGGCCTGGTTGGATATATGCTGGGCGGACTGGGAATTGGCGAACTAGGGCTAGGAGGTTTGGGAGTGGGTCGAGTGGGACGAACCCGACACGAGCCTTCGTAGGGGGACGGGGGTGTACTTTCAGATGTCCGCGAAATGACAGGATAATCTGCGGCGGGAGTAGAAATAGCGGCAGGAAAAGAAGAAGCAGAAGCAGAAGAAGAAGCAGAAGGAAAAGGAAGAGTAATAGTTGTTGTGCTGGTTACCCAAACCGTACTTCTCCAAACAGAAACGCAGTCGATTTTGTTATAGTCGTCAACGTCGTCCTTGGAGGGCAGCAGATTTACTGATGGACGACATCCAGGGGCGGCAGATACAGAGCTTAAAGCAGTGAACAACAGCAGTGCTACAAAGCACCAGGCTAGCGAACGGCAGCAGGGGAGCTGGTTTATAAATAAACCCTGACGGTGGCTGGCGGCAGGATGGTCATGGACATGGTCCTGTTTCCCTGCGCATGGCAGCTGGCGCTGCATGGGTGGATGTGTCATTTTGCCATGCTCCCTGCATGCAGATTCCTGTTTTTCGCCCTGCTTGTCGGATCGGTAGGCCTCATGATGCTGCCCCATGATTGTACAAATGCTGCAGATGGCTCCTACGGCAGACGCACGAAGTGAAAAGGGGTAGTATCCAGTGCCCAACAGTAAGCGTTGGGTGGGGCCCGGTTTTGATGCAATGAGCGAATGTCTGGATAGTTCAATTGCCCGAGGAGCAAAGAAGATGATGAACAATCCGGATGGCAATGATTAAAGGAGCGACACAGCAAGATATGAAGATGAAGATGAGGACGAGGACGAGGACGAGGATGGAGAGGGACTACATGGACACACAGCTCATACACAGTACATCCACCCTCTGCCATTCACCGGGTCTGAAACCCACTCCTTCTTTGTATCGCGGACATGGTGTGGTCGTGAAGGGCAACAGCAACACATCCCCACCCGCACCCACTGGGGACGCAGTAGGTTTCCCCCTTTCCTTCTGTCCATGGCTGCTAGCTACAGGGCAAATGCTGCGAAGAGACAGCGGGAAAGGGATGGATGGAGCCATCCTCGCCACTCCAGATCGAGCGGATCCAAGATAGACTTCAGGACCACCGATTTCCCGCCAGTTCGAGCCCACGAAACACGGGGGGGATAACGTTCAATCACAAAACTCGATTGAAACAGCTAGAAAACAGGCAGAGCGTTGAACTTCAACTCCTTCGTATCACAGTGCTGCTGGGCCCAGGGACAAACTGAGGTGTTTTTCCTGTAGATCGTTGTTTCATGTCGTCGTCACATCCAAGATCCAGCAAACTGTCCCAAGCCATGGCGAAGGTGGCTGCGGCTAGACGCCGCCCCAGCCGTGCCACCAACCTTATGTTATCTAGTTGAAAAAAAAAAAAGAAAGAAAGAAAAGCAAGAAAAGAAAAAGCAAAAAGGAAAAGAAAAGAAAAAAAGCACGTCCTCTAATGATCCTCTCCTCGCCCGCTGCCAGCTGACCATTTACTATCAACACAAGCAGTCATTCCGTTCCGCATTGCTGGAGCTGCTGCCATGTTGGGGCACTGGGCCGTTGTCCAGCATTTGTTTATCCATGCGCTTCCCATCTCCATCCAGCTCCAGGTTAAATAAACAAGCGGGTGATCGATGGTGATCAGTCTTCCGCCGCTGTGGGGCTGCGGGGGCTGACGGGGACATCCCGGATCACGATCCACGAGCGTGCATTTTTAACCTGCAACAGGAAAAGCGGTAAAGGGGGTGATGTATGGGGTGGTTCGAGGATCCCTTCGACCCTGGGAGAGGGGTTTGATACAAACCCCTTATTCATAGAATTCCTGTTCTCCCGAGGTTCCAAAACACACTACAGATGCGAAAAGTGAGTTAAAAAAAAACCAAAATAAAATAAAAATTGCGAGCAGTAAATTACTAACAACAATACATAATATAAAAACAATAAGAGTGGTAATATAGCAATAACGTAATAAAACAACGGTCGTGACGACAAAATAATAATGATGATGATGCGATGATGAGAATTAATCCTCCTCCCGAGGGGACACGCGAACCACGGATCGCTGGCTCCAGACCCAACGCCCAAAACAACAACAACAACAACAACAACAACAACAACTCAGAAGAATGCAACACCCCCTTAGACCACCTAGACCCTCTAGGGCACCACCAGCAACAACAAACCAAGCAACAACAACCAACAATAATAAACAATAGTAGCAAGCAACCAGGCAACCAACCAACCAGGTGACCAACCAACCAACCAACCACTTCCGAGGGCTGGAAAAGGCCAAGTATGGTACCTTAGCGGATTAGCTTCGGCCAAGATGAAGCAGGAGGGGTTGTGAGGTCATCCATCCAATCCATCCACCTATCCACAGATACCAATGGTGTCTAAGAAATATGTAAATGAAATCCCGCATCATCGCATCCCCGCATCTCCAAAATCCTTGGGATAATTGATACAAACTCAGAGGAGGAGGTTTGGTCCCTGCATGTGCATATATTTTATGTATATACTATTGTGCGATAAACACTGCGTGGTAAGCTAGGCGTAAATATATACATACACGAAAAGCTCAAAAGAGGTACCTTCCAGGGCTTCAAGAGAAAAATAAATAAATATATATATATAAAATATATATACCTTAAAGAGAAAAAAAGAAGAAGAAGAAGAAAAAAAACAAATCATGCGTGCTCGTTTTCCCTGACAGCCACAGCCGCTCCGGCCTTCTCACCCGTCTCTGCCTCCAAGCCCACCAGGTCCAGCGCATTCATCGCGTCCTCGCGGTCATTCAGCTTGTGGAACGTGAGCCAGAAAATGATGCCGGCACTGAACGACGCGACGCACAGGCCCACAAACATCCACAAGATGGCGGGGTCGTACACGGCCGGGAGCAGGGCCTCGCCGAGCGCGGAGCCAAACGCGTTGGTCAGCAGGTACATCGACTGCACGAAGCTCTTCATGGAGGGCGGCGCCTTGGTGTACGCGTACTCGAGGCCGGAGACGCTGGCGAAGATCTCGGAGATGCCGATGAAGACGTATGCTGGCGTCTGGATGCCGATGTGCACGCGGTTGCCGCGCGCGACGCCGTCGACGATCGACAGATCGCAGTGCGGGTGCTCGTAGCATGGACCTGCGGAGTAGATGAGGTGCTGGACGATGGCGGCGTACATCATTGCCAATGAGCCGACGATGAAGCCGAGGGTGATGCGGCTGATGGGGCGGAATGGGATATGCAGCCGCTGCAGAATGGGGTATACGAGGCGGTCAAGGACGGGGATGAAGACGATGATGGAGATCGCGTCGAAGTTCTGCATGAGATCATTCGGAATGCCATGTCCTTCCATTTGGCCAGCTGCACAAGGTGATCGTTAGCTTTTTCTTCTTCTTCTTCTTCTTCTTCTTCTTCTTCTTCTTCTTCTTCTTCTTCTTTCTCCTCTCTATCCCGTCCGTTCTGAGTATCGTTACGTACCTTGTGTAACAAAGTTGCCAGAGAATTGACCATACACAACCCAGTAGATGGGATAGAATGTGAACACCCGGCAAGCAACGAGGGCGCGCTTGAGTTCGTCGATAAAGTGGTCGTTCCAAGGGAACGTCTGGCCGCCACCATGCTCCAACTGGAAGGAGTTTTTGGGCGCGTCCATGTTCCGGTTCTTAACCATGACCCAGATAGCCCTGAACGCATCGGTGATGACCGATCCAGTTGGCGGGCGGACGATGTAGTATTTACGCCCGAGGATCAGGACAGAGGTTCCAACAAGGAAGACACAGAGCGTGAGAAGAAATGCGGACCAGAAGCCAACATCTCTTTCCATGTACGGAGTGGCCAGAAGGGAGAGCGAGCCGATGTTGATGCAAGCGTAGAAAATCATGTAGATCCGTTGGATGGTCAGGGCGGGATCAATGATGACACGCTGACCCTTCTTGGTGGTCTTGATGGCCATCTTCTTGCGCTTGTATTGGTCCGCGATTAGGGGGGCCACGTTCGATTTGATGCCACCAGTGCCGATGCCGATGATGATGATCGCAGTGACACAGCCGCCCAGGCCAGCACCATGTGCAAGTGAAGGCGGGAGCGATGTCAGAAGCAGGATGACGAGACCGACGATATATACTATGCAGAACCAGAAGATGGCCATATATTTCCCCAGGTATTGATCCGCAACGATAGCACCAAAGATAGGGGTTACTAAACACACAACACACGGATCCCCTCAGCATACAATGATCACCATCACCTAATAAGCAGATCGTAGGGTCACTTACCGTAGCACCAGAATTGGAAAAAGGTGGTTAGACCAGTTGCACCCTGGTGACCCAGGCCTAGAGGTAAAATAAAAACGTCAATGACAACTCTTCATCGCGATTTTTTTTTTTTTTTTCAGACAAGACATATATGGAGGAGAAACAAAGTTTGTCAATCAATCATACCAAGAGCTCCTCGACCCAGACTGCCATCAAGAGGCCGCTGTATGTAATTCTGGAACAGGCCGTTCATTCCATAGTACGTGAAGCGCTCTGAGAGCTCAACCATGGCAACCAACCATGCCGACAAGGGAAGATTCTCAGCGACATGCTGCAGGGTAGCTTTCTCAAGATCGGTCGGCTCCTCTCCATCTGGGGTCAAGATGTTCTCCGGATCAGAAGCGGAGTCATGGACAGCCAACTTGTTATTATCCTCAACACCAAAGCCCTTCTTTTCATCGAGGGTATTGGCAATGGGTTCTTGGGGAAGCCTTTATATCCAGATCTAATTAGTCCACCGGTCTGTCCACTCGTCCACTCACTCGTCCACTGCAAGCGCCATCCAAAACAGGAACAAACGCAGAGGGAACTCACACAACTGCGTCAATCTTTTGTTCAGCCATGATGCTTATGCCCCCTTTATTTGCAGGCAGTATCACAGTATCACGGTATCACAGTATGACAAGAAAGTTAAAATGACTGTGGGGGCAGCGCACCTCTTAAAGGAGACAAGACGCGAAGGGAAAGAATTTTCTCCGCAGCGCGCAGGAGGAGGGTTATGTAAGGAGCCCTCATCGTCAGGGTCATGCTCATGACAACTTACTCGCAGTCGCAGCGCTGCTTAGCTCAAACCTTCGGCTGGGGGGGATTCCCCACAAACGGCAGCCCGAGAAACGTTCTGCGCGAGAGGGTAGCATGGTGCGCATCCCTACCTAGGTACTACTACATGCTTACCATCATCATGTAACAATATGCACACACACACAAACACACACACACTCACACAAGGTGGGCCGTAGTTAGCCGAAACCATTGGTTGAAAACTCCCAGCTTGAAGTGGGATTGGGAGAAAAAAGCATAAAATATCTATCGTGGCCGGCCCGAGTACGCCCGTTCCATGGGTGTGACCAGCGGATATGGCTAGATGCTCGAGTCCCAGATCTGGTAGGAATGCAAAACGAAGAAGCGAAGAAGAAATAAAAGGAAAAAGTTAAAAAGTGAAAAGCAAAAAGGAAAAAGGACAGAAAAAAGAACTTAATTTTGAGGGTCTCTCGCGGGGCTACTTTCGGCTCCGCTGGATGCTCTCCTTCGGCACCAATGGTATCCGTTGGAATTTTGCCTTCCCAAGAGTGAAAATATCATCACGGCACCAGCACGAGTCTGCTGCTGTCCCTCCATCGACCTTTGCAAAAACCCGGCTGATGGGTCCCCATCTCCCGATGCACGCACATCTCCGCTCCAACTACTGCACAGTAGGATGTACAGTACGGACGTACAGACTTATCAAGCACAATGGTCGATCAGAACAAGCAATTTTAGTGGCTTGGGCCCGATGCTTGTGTGCCTGCTTGCCCGACGCCACCAGCCGTGGCGGGCTCCGGCGGCTTGGCACCGCTAGCATCGAGCGGGCAGCGAAGAATTTTTTTGCCTTCAGCTGGCAGCAGGTTTTTCCAGCCGATGATCTCTCACCTGAAGTTGGCGCGGTGCGCTGGTGCTTACCAAGCGCTGAGGAGAGAGAAAGAGAAAAGGAAGGCCTGCTAATCCCACCTAGCGAGGTGACATTCGATCCACAGTAAGTTGCAGGGATGCTAGTTACTCCAACATTCGCCTTGGAAGTTGGTGAACCCACGTCCGGCCTGCGGGAGCTCGGTATCAGAAGCCAGGATTCCAGCATTGCATTCCCATTATCTGCCACAGGTCTGCCGACTCCGGCACGACGGGAGAGACACAGAAGTTGCAGCAGTGCTCACTGCTCGCTGCTCAGTACGGAGTACCGTCGACCACGGTCTCCAAAAAGGAAGGAAAAGGAACAAAAAGAAAAGGAAAAGGAAAAGGTTCAAAAACAAATTTGCTCCGTGGTGGCCACCCGTGTGTGCAATGTGCGTGCTGTGGAATATTCGGTGAAGCTTCTACGCAGCACGCTAATCCCTTCGATGTCACCTTGCGGATCGTCGGGCGCCAGGTGATGGTTCAGCTCGTTGAAATCTGGGTCTCACGCCTGTCCATGAAAAGAATTGCCCAGCAGCATCATGATACCGGGTAGATCGGGGATCACAGAACTCTCCGAACTTTGGGATGGAGCTTTGAATGGAGCTTTGAATGGAGCCTTTTTCTCCTTTTTTCCCCAGTCGTCGCCAGAGACAATTAGTAGCCAGACAATTCACGCCCACGCAGCAAACCTGCTGGAAACAACAACTTGATGCGGGTATCCCTGTAAACCCCCTCTTGATTTCGCCCGCTCCGCTCCATCATCGCAGTGGATGCCTTGACTCATCGTTTGTCTCACGGTACGGACTAGCTTATCCAGGACTCTGACGCTCAAAATCCGTTTTCTCCTTCCTTTGGTTGAGGTGGGGAGCAAGTAGACTCAAATTCTTCCCTCCTTTCTTCCCCTCAAAATTATACAGGAAGTATCCCTTGTGTTTCCAATGGTCCGTACAGAGAGCGAACGACTCTATCATTCCCTCTGGACCAGAGGAAGAGACGGGAATCCTTCCCTGATCGCAGGGAATGCATGTAAGCCAGCTAAACCGATGTGTGCCAATTGATTTGCCTAGGGATTCGGGATGCATCAGAGCTAACAGGGGCGGGGGAGGGGTGAAATTTTTCAGAGGATTATTATGCCTGACATGGAAAAAGGTCGTACGCAGTATAGCTTGAAACGAAACCCCTGGGTTTCTCAAAAATCTCCACTGTTTGGAAACTTGACTCGAATAGCTCTTATTCAGCTATTCTCTCCGAGTTGAATCAGGCTCTGAGGACATGCGGAAATCCATGATAGTGCTATGTACTCCGCACACGGCAGCTTGTTCACTCCGCAGAAATGCCAGCGTCATATTGTGGGTTACCTCGAAGCCCTACCTGCTGGAATGTCATCATATCCCCACACCAAGCACTGTCGGCGTCCTTTCATGGGTAGGTGTGGAGTGCCAGGTCTCATACATATATACGGAGTACGTACTCTGTACATAACCCGCAGTTGAACCGTGGAATCATTGGAAGTCACTGAAAAAGTCGGTTGAACGGAGAGAATCTTTTTTTTTTGTTTTAAATACAATGCAAAGCAGCAAGTTGCCGGGAATTCATGCGACAAACCTGGGCTCCCTAACCCGACAAGTTACATATGCGGGTATACCGGCCAACTTCCCCGGTCCCTCGTGACTGTGGAATGAATATCACAAGTGCCCAGCACAACCCCGGAGACATCCCTGGGTTTCTGCCGTATGTCATCCTTTGGAAACTCAGTTTGAGGGAGAAGGAACAGACAAACCCCCACCATATCCCCACCCCCTCCCCTGATGATAATGAGCTTAACTCAGCCATATCATGCCGCGATATGTGCCGACCCAAATGGCGAGGCCGAGGGCGTTTGCAGAGGTGGTTGTTTTTTTTTTTTTTTTTTTGAAACTGCCAACAATGTCTATCATGATGATTTTCATCATCGTTACTCAGCGTTTAAGGGACTGCTGGGCCCTCATCCGAAACTGCTCGTTGAGTAACCTGTTGAGCAAACATGGGGTTCCTCGTTGAGCCCAGCTCGTGCTCGGCCAATGAGTGGATAATCGCCGACTCCTGATCGGAAAGGAGGGAACAGGGGCTGCTCGTATTTATAAGCAACCAGGGGGATTGGCCTTTTCTTTTTCGTTCCCCAAGCCAACCCGCGATTCCCTACGGGTGGGGGATTCGCTTGCCAACTGCTCTCCGCACGAGGCAGAAATGTGGAGTCATGGAAAGCAGGTGACAAACAAGGCTCCAGTCAACCCATTGCCTCCAAACACATTTTGATTTGGAATCGATTCTCTTCAAGTTCATCCGGGTCCCTGCGGAGTAGTTGTCTGTCGAGCTGGATCTCGCGGCGGCAGCCAGCATCCCGAGAGTGTGCTAGACGGCTGGAGAGCGAGGGAGTGCCGACCCAGTGAGTTTCCGGCCTCTCCATCGCCTTCTTCAACAGCGGCAGCAACATTCACAAGCTATTTGTTTATTTATTTTTTCCCCTTCGTGTTCATTATCCCCAGCAGGGGAGATATATAAACATTGATATAACCCTAACCAGTGCATTGCCATTTCCATTCATCATTCTCCGGGGGGAAACAAACAGGAAAAAAGGATCAACCCCATGAAAAAAACTATCAAGTTTTTTTTTTCTCTTATCCATTCCCTTTTACACGCTCCGAATCTCGTCCATCACTACCTTAGATGGCTCATGGCGCGTACAGATTTTGTCAAATAGCATCCTTCCCATCCTCCTCTTTATCCCGTTCGTCAATCGTCTGATTCTACAGCCGCAGCATCGGGGTATTTGCTCAGAAACACATAGACGAGAGCTCTGAATATGCCTCAGGGGCCGCTTAGCATTGAACATTCGGGCGAGAAGGATGGACATAGCCCACGAATGCTAGCGAGCGTCATTTAAGTCAGCGAGAGGGGCCGGTGGTGATTGCAGGAGTGACATTGAGAGACACAGACGTGGTCGGGATGCTGATCGAGAAGAGAAGACGGGGCTCTCCGCCAGGGAGGAACATACAGAGTGTCGGGGTCGAAGTGGGCCGAGCTTTGAAGACAGACAGACATATTTAACGGGAAGAATGGCACGCTGTTGTCGTTTCCCCTTCTTCGAGTTTCGGTCCAGCATCGGTTTTCTGCGCGCAGGGTCTTCATAAACATACGCTGCTGCGCCACGAAAGGGGTTGTTTTGCGTTTGTTGGTGTTGATCAGTGAGTGTGAGCCGTTCGTCCTCATCAACCAGCACCTGATGGCTAGCTTGTGCTAACGGCAGCAGCAGAGCAGGTCGGCACTGACATATCGAACAAACGTTCTTACCAAATGTCGGATATACTTATCTGCCATGATATATAACAGCATCTATCGATCGATTTTTCATCGATAGATAGATGTAGATGCAGCAGCATGCATAACTGTGTACGCGAATTTGTTTCTTATACCATGCGCGCTCGTTTATGGACTCTTTTTTCCTCCATTTCTATCCTCCCTATCGCTCCAGGCATGATTTCTCTTCATGCTTTTTCTCAGAATCCAGACCAGATGCTCGCGATCACGATTCGATCTAAGAAAAGGGATAGCAGTAAGAGTCCAACTAGCACACCTAGTTGATGGAAAGTAAAAAAAATAGATAAATAAATTGGTGGGTACCTGCATGCCATGTCACGCTTCCATTCCATCCAGCCAGCAATGGAATCAAAAGAACAATATCCGTCCCTTTCGGTGGTGCGAATATTATTTTGTTTGGGGCTGGGAGATTTTGATACTTAGGTAAGTATAGCTAGCTATGTTAGCAGGCCCTCCGACGTCATCAGCCATATTTACATCTCAGTGTGAAAATGAGACACCAACCATGCAGTCGACTAAGAGGGAAAATGGAGGAAGCTTTTTCACCAAATTGATGAATTGATTTTGGCAGATCAACCACCCGCCAAGTTGAGCCAGTGATCAGATGAGGTAAGGTGTCTGTCGTTATAGCGAAGCACAAGGGGAGGGGGGGGGAGGAATATCTCAAAGGAAAAACAAGAGGAGGTGAAGGGGGCAGGTCAAAAGTAGCGAGGGAGGAGCGCAAGGTTTCACATACATATAACCTTACAACGGCAGGACGATAGGTAGATGGGTGTGGGGTCTGTCGCTAACAATTTTTTATCTAGTTGATGGGACAGCTTAACGAGTGACCACAACAATTAATGTTTTGGGCTGCCGCCCCAATGCCAACGGGGAAGTTTGCAGCCCGGAAATGCAACATCGCGGGCCGGAAAAATCCTCCTCGACATGTGGCGCGGAGGTGCAAGTGGTGAAAGAAAAAGAAAAGGGAAAAGTGGGGAGGAGGGGTGCTCAATCTCTCAATAGCTGCGCAGGATGAATCGCTGCCTACGCCGTGGAATGAACAACTTATGCAAGGAAAGGAGAGGGAAAGAAGGGCAGGTTGGACAGAAAAGCACCCAGGGTGTTGGTATGTTTCAAGAACACAGGGCCTTCGTTCACTTGACCCTCTATACGGATCGAGCTGTCATCGACACTAGATCAGGAACTAAATTGCCCTCAGTTAGCCCTCAGAACTACAGCCGCTGAGCCAGCTACAGCACGCCCACCCTCCCCCGGGCACTGAATTGGCAGGACGAGATGGATATTTGCGCTCTTATGCTATTGCTTCTGGATCAATATCGAAGCTCGTGACACCTGCAATGAATCAGTGTGGAATTAGCTTCACAGATCCGACTTCTTCATCTTCTTATTACAAGAAATAACCCGCATGAGAATAACATGTTCATCCGAGCCCTATCTCGAATGTGGATATGAATTGAATCCGGACCGATATGTCACCAATTGAACGAAGATTGATTAAATCGTCTTATGCTTTGAGCTAGCTATGAAGAACAATTGAAACAAACCTGGGCCCATCAAGGAAAAAAAAAGAGCTCAAAGGATTGAATCAATCCTTTTCATGGAGAGTTTTTGGAAAGAATTCCTGCACAATTTACTCTGTAATGACCTTTTAAGGATGTCTGGAATTGAGGCTTTGTAGCTGTCATTCGGTTTTGAAACCTTGAAAGCGACAGCCAGGCCAGGCCAATCAATCAGTGAGAAAGTTAGTTTGCATCCGAATTTGGTAAGATCTATTGATGATCTAGCAATAGATAGTTAAAAAGAGCAGCTTTTGAATGCAGTAACTAGTTCTTTATCAAGCTGCCTTCATCAGTAATCCTATCAACGAACTGAAACAAATTGTCTGTGCTAGTGGGGAAGGGATAATGGTAAGCAAGGAAACCTCTCGAAGACTCATTACTGTAGAACGGCGAAGCCGGTTGACCACTTGGTCAGATGTTGTGGATAATTTATGCCGGATAAAACCACGACGATTTGCCAGGCCAGACCTATTTCTGATGGGGCTCTATCTAAAGGCCATTTTTTTTAAAAAAAATATATAAGATAATGCATCCGAGGATGGATGTCCGTTTATTGGGAATAAAAACATGACATATTATATTGATTGACTCTTCCACACAAAAGTGAAAACAGAAACGCTTTTTGCTTGCGAACAAGTTCTCCGCCTGGTGCCTATCTTCCACAGATTTATTTCAGGCGGATGTTTGTCAAAAAGGGGACGGAAAGCAAGCTCTAGGCGTAAGCAAACTGGCCCCCAGCCCAGCCGCAAGCGGGCCGCATCGTGACGTCCAATTTTTTTTAAAAAATGCGCTGATTGATAAGGAAAACGGCCCAGCGCCGTGGCCCGATATTGTAATTCTCACCCCATTGGCCGGCGATTGAGTCATCATTCGAATCGCTGGCGATATCAAAACCAAAAACCGAAGTCAAATTTGAAGACCGGGAGCTTGTCATGATAAGGACGGACAGACCGATGAATCGCGGACCCTGAGGCATAAAATCAATGAGGTAGATATGCAGCTTAGCGTTTGAAAATGAAACGCCGAAGGGGCGAAAGGCAGGAAAGGGAGAAGAGGGAAAAAGCCGTTACTCCATGCCGCGGCTCATCAAAAAAAAAAAAAAAAAAAGGAAGAAGAGAGAGAGGCTAACAGTGTGAGCTACCAGCACTTGTGAAGGTGGAAAAAAAAAAGTCCATGCACACGCTAGAAATATAAATGGAAATCTCAATACCAGAGTTCAAATACACCCAGGCCACTCCCAGCAAAAGTTATGGAGCCATGATGCCTAACTTGACAACCAAGCTTTAGGGCATCCAGCCTCTAAACCCACACCAACTGGTCAGGGGGCCTGTCAACCGGGCGTGTGTAACATGCTTTACCATATAAATTTCTAGCCTGTGCAAGGATTTGTTTTTCCACGCGGCTCCGTATAGCTAACTACGCTGTACGGAATATGTCTGAGATATTTCGTTAATCGACAAGCAATCGGGTTCTGTTTTCGTCCAATTATTTTCACGATCCACGCCACCCTTTTCTTTGCCACGACTGTCTTGCGGACAGTCTGCGCAGTGCTGAGCCAACGGGACAAGGCGCTAGAGTGTTAGACGGTCAATTTTCGCTCTTCGGATAGCTAGTTAGCTAACAATAGCACAGAAGCCCCGCTATCACATGTCAAATTGTGTCGGGGAGACAAGGGGCAAGCTGTCAGATCCTTGAGAGGGCCCGCGACATCGAAGACAAGAAGCGCAAAGCACGGGTGTCGCATCTATGATTATTGATGACATTATTTCAGCTGCACAAGTCGCAATAGCCCCAAACAAGCTCGGGGGGAAGATAATGAACGGAATGCCACATCTGGCCCAGGGTGACGTTTATCTGTTGAACTTTACGAGGATTTGTGGATGGTGTGATCCGTGCTGAGTTAGATTAGTTATTGATCCGAAGCCAATGAGCCAGCGATTGTGCTTATCGTCGAAAAAGTAGCAGCAAAGGGAAAAGAGCCCTGCTAACACGCAATGCAAGATGTATCTGACAACTACGTTTGGTCCGATGCACTATTATTCCTGGGGACGGCACCGAACAATGAACATGGATTCAAACAGGAATTCGAGCTTCACCAGGGCGAGCATCCTGTTTGAGCCAGGAGGGTCTAGAATGAATTGGCGCTGGGCAAATCTGAGTCTCTTAGCGTTGGATAGGCCAAAACTGATCCATTGGAGTGGGGATCCGCCACTATACATGCAATGCATGTCCATGTACTCCGTAGTTGCATCTCGAACGAGCTGGGCTCATTAGATGATATCACGTCTTGCCTCTTCTGTTTGCGAGAATTCGTTATGAGGGAGAAACAGATATCGATGTTCATCAATGGTGCTGGATGGGAGCTAGTGGGGAGACGCAACTCTGGAGGGAAGCTGGGAATAACAGTAATTAAAAACACAAGCAACAAAGAACCACGGCGCATCAACAATCGTAATTTATTCGAACATCACCGGTGATAATGAAGCAGCAGACATGCGCCGTACCGCCTGCACAGGCACTACTGGCACAGGAGAATGCGCTCTTGACGGCGACGCAGCGGAATATTACTGCATCAAAGCTGCGGCCTGGCCACTTTCACATGCCTGCGATCCGGGCGATCAGTGGCTGGCAGCTCCGAACTCACGGACACGAGCCAGCTGGGCCCTGAGGTGGAGAGCCCAGCAGAGTTTGAGAAACGACAAGGAAGATACAGATGAAGTCAACGGTGCGCGCAATCCTTGGTTCGGGAGAGTTAGTGCTGCTTCGGAAAGCTGGGAACGCAAGAGGGTTGGTTGTCCTGGGCACGTTTCCTTCTGCCTCTGTCTGGGCCTCGATTAGCTTCAAGCCGACAACGCACTACGAGAGCCTTGATCTTGCCGGATCGCTTTCCTTGTTCTCCTGTCGATATAATAATAACAGCCAGTTTCCCGCTTCCTGCCGCCTCTGTTGTTGTTTTCTTCTTCTTCCCGTCTACAGCTTACCTAGGAACCGCCCTCGTATCAAATAGTGTCCGATATAATACCCTATAACATACATACTCCTTCATCGCCCTGACGTATTTCATCACTATCAACAGAGTCGGTATCTCTCTTTACATGTATTGCTTCATATGCCGTTGTGTAATTCTAACTGATTTCAGCAGGCGCCATCCCTCAACATGGGTGAACCCATCGTTAATGGCGAGAAGCCATCCTCCCAATTCCTTCATGTATGTCCCCTCTCTTTCCAAGATGGCCCCCCTTCAACCTCTCCCCTCTCCAACCTAAACCTAACTTTTTTCCGCCCGCAGCACCTTTCTACCTTGCCTGTAGTTTCCGCCTCCCTCACCTACATCAAGAACCACCCCTACGGCCAAAAATCCCTTCAGCTCGCCGATCAAGGGTACGCCAACTATGCAAAGCCTGTCCTCCCTTTCTTCTCCAAGCCTTACAACTATGTCGCCCCTTACGTCGCCAAAGCCGACTCCCTAAGCAATGAGGGCCTCAAGCGAGTCGAAGACCGATTCCCCATCGTGAAGAAGGACACGGAGACGATCAAGGGTGCTCTCAAGGGCTACATCCATATGCCATTCCGTGTGGTCGAAGAGGGCAAGAAACATGTCCTTCAGGTTTATTCGGCGGAGTACAAGAATTGCGGCGGCGGCGAGGGCTACGTAGCTGCCGGCAAGGCAGTTATCACCACCGGCCTGACTATCACGTCTGAATCGCTGGAGTGGCTGCGAGCGTGCATCACGCGCGCTGAGCAGAAGGGGAGGGAAGGTGTCGAGGCTGTTTCGGAGAAGAAAGTCTCGAAGAAGTGACTGAGGAGAATGGAACCCATCAAGGACTTGTCCCTTTCCGCCTGCCGCCTGCCGCCAGCTGTCACATCTTAATGAACCTGGATGGCGAGGCGGGGGAAGCGGGGGGGTTGACTAACGAAAGAGGAAAAGAAAAAAGAAAAAGAAAAGAAATTTCTGCTTCCTTCTAGATTGAGAAAAAAAAATGTCTGTGTTACTGCTCGTGCTACTTGCTACTTGCCGTATTGGATAGGTCAGTTTCTTTCTGTCATATGCAGGGTTTCTGGGACGTTTTTATTTCTGTTTAGGGTGACTTCTATATATATTTTATATGCCCTCGACTCTATTCTTTCACTCATGCTGATGTTCCCAATTTTGGTCAGTTTAAGGCGCACTACTGTTGATTGTCAATTTGTCGATCTGTTTGAAAATTTCTCCCTTCTCATACATTGTTCACGTCTGCTTGCTTCTTTCCTAGTTGTACCATAAAAAATGTGTCCTTGTTTGGAGAATGCCGTCGCATTTATCTCGGCTTAATATATTGTTGACATACTCTCTTAGTTTATTTCATGTTATCAAATCTAACTTTCTGGGTATCGAATGGTATTTTTTTTGTCTCTTTCATGTTGAGCCTGTTTGCTTGTAAATTCTTTACTTCTTGAGACAATGTTCAAAATCGATGATATCATCGATACATAAGGGATTGGGTTTTGTTTCATATTTGCATGTGAAATCTAAATATACATGTGAAAAAGGGGACAGATTTTAGACCTTAGACCTGGGAAGGAAAACAAAAAATTTGCCACTCATCGGAAAATGAAAAAAAAAGCAGATCTGGAAAAAATTTAGAAGGAAAAAGGAAAAAGGGAAAAATGGGTTTATTTACCTAGGTAGGAAGTTTTACCCTACTGTCAACAGAAGTTTATCTTAAAACTTTTTTTGCCCCCCTCTTCCCCCACCTCCCTCCTAGAAGAGAGGTAATGATACTAATTATAATTACCCAGTCCAACCTCCGCTTCCCATATGTAGTTTCCCGCCCCGCCCTTTTAATTAATCAAGCATTCCGGCGGTCCCGAGCGCTAACTTTGTTAAGCGAGCGGTTAAAAGAAGTAGTCCAAGCTGGCGCGTCTAGTGATTGATTGTTCTTGGGGGAGAGCTCCCTCACGCCCAACCTTCTAAAAGGGGGGTTTCTACGCTGTGGTTTTTCTTCCTTAACGCTTTCGTTCTCACTTTGCTTTAAGTTTAGGCTGTAGAGTACATGTACTACTGTACATGTTACCGTGCAAGCTTCTTTTTTTTTAATCAGTTTCATTGGTGTGAATGGCATATGCTATTTTTTGCTTGACACATCCTAGTGTAGCAGCAGGCATGCTATCTTTACTCGCTCGGTCGATATTTTGTGTTGAAGATCGCGCTGTAGCGAGAGGCCAAAAAAGGGGGAACAGGGAAAACGGGGAAATAGAAAAACAAAGAATATACCACGCGAAATCTGCTACACATTTTCGGCATTCCACAGTCGTGGAATGGGAGAAAAATTATCGCCGGCGAAGGCTCAGTGAAACCAGAAACCAGAGCAGGGTTGAAGTAGCAAGATGTAACGCCTACGGTCTGCCTTGCCATCCTCAATCGGATGGCATGGATGTTGGTGTCAGCGAGAGGAAATATAGATATCCAGCGGGGTAAGTCTGCTCCTCCGCGGACCATCTGCCACAACGGAGACTGGCTGTCTGGCGGGTGAAATGCGGTGAATGGGACTCAGGGGAAAGCAGATTCGCTATCTATCCATATTCATGTCTGGAGATGATGATTCAATTTCATCATTCTGAAGAGGAGAGATATTGGCACTGATAAAATAAAAGTATATTTCTCGTGGTTCGATGCTTGGGAGATGGCTCATTGGGAACTGGCCGGCGAGATAATAATATCACACCGTTTGTTAAGCAAGGCATGAAGTTATGGGAATCAACTTGTTCCAGAACATCCCCCCGCCCGCTAACTGACTTCAGAGCACAACTCATCATTGCCAGGCCCATCTCTTATTAATTTATTGGCCCTGGACAGGCCGCGCGAAAATGGCCCGAAGGCTAGGCTAGTCGTGAACAAACCACCTTGCGAGAGTGGAGTATCAAAGGAGAGAAATTGCAACTTATGGCTTTTGATGGTGATAGGCGGCGTCCAAGTAGTGTACAACCATGTCACGGGTACTGTTCAGCATAGAAAAGGCGTAGACGATCATACCGGTGACGTGGAGGACAGGACCCTTACCTGCTCTGGAATTCCGCTAGGAGGGATTGCGGGGAGAGGTGATGTTGCGTCTGGAATAGGGTCATGTAATATTTTGTCAATGACATAACATCCGGGCACTGAACCGCCAGAAGATTACTGGCTTGCTCCGCCTTCTAGAACATCCTCCGAAAATTCCAGAACGATGCATGTCTGATGGCAAACAGAGCCGGTCGTATGTGGACCTCAGGATGCACATGAGGCTACCGACTATGTATGAACAAAAGGCCAATTTCAGCGCAAGGCGCAACGGTTTCCGCATTAACAAGACTGCTGGGCTGTTCGAACCGTTGGAAGATAGGCAATGCTTGTTTAATTAGCAATAGTTCGACAACACACACTGCAAAGATTCGCTTTGAATCTCTCCGTGCTTGGCCCATGTTGATATGTAAATTATGAGGAGGGCTATGTATGGCTTAGCCTGACCTTAGCTCCGGCTTATCCTATCCTGGGACAAGAACCTGTTGGGGGTCAGTCAGGGATTCAATTCTATCTTTCCTTGAACTGATGTGGCTTAGACTTTTAGGAGATCAATTGAAGTCTGGTGTCATTGAAAAAGGAAGCAAGTCTTTAGGTCAAGATATCGAATCGGCACGACACAATGAACACCGTAGGGAGACAAGCCACCCCCAGTAGTTAGTTAAGTTGAATAAGTTAGTCTTCTAGGTGCTCCAAGGACAAGGATAGCCATAAAACCTGTAGCAACAAAATCAACCTAACCCCTTTGGCTTGCGTCTCCTCAATTGGACCCTTCACATCAAGCTAATCTCCAGAGTAAGCGGAGCTACTGCATCACAATCATTTCTGGAAGAAGAGAGTTTGCTTGGGGTTTTGCTTGGAGTTCGGCTCCCTGACCTTCTATTCTTCACTGACCAAGGGCCGCTGAGACACGAAGTGTTTATTGGCCATCTCGATTTACCACGCGCCTTGAAGTCAGCCCGGTAAACGAGGAATCTCCAGAATCGGCCTTTGCTGTGAGGGATGATTGCATGAGGCTATGGCAGGAAAAGCTGCTCTCGTATTGCCTCAGGCTGGGGGCTTGAACGGTGCTGCTGTGCAGTACATACATACAGAGTAGGCAAAAGCTACCAGAGAAACCTTTCCAACGGCTCCTGCAGCATGTGACGACTTTCCAGATTAAATATAGAGCATTCATTGTTGTTATTTGACAAGATCCTCCAATTTTGTCCGGGAACTCTTTGATCGAATTTCTCTGCTCGCTGGATGCGCATCCCTGACTTGGGGCGGTTTTCGTAGTGTGCCTAAGGGGACCCCTAACGTCACAAGCTATAAAAAGCTGCCGCTGTCCCTCCAGGGCTCCGCATCAACGTTTGGCCCATCATCCACATCACTGCCAACGCTAGAACCCGGTGTGCCATCAACAAGAACAATTTACATCGATATAATTGTTATTCGAATCAATACGCCCCCACAACGATCACAATGTCCTCGCAAAACTGGGATGAATCCGTCCCACTGGCGTCAAACCACAAAGCTCCATCAACAGGCCCACTTCCCAGCGACGTCGGCTTTCGACCTTCAAACAATGGGCTTGTGACTGTGCAGCCAGCCCGCCTCGAGGACCTGCAGCCAAGTTATGCTCAGGTCCTCAAGCATCCCGATGGCGACGCTAATGTCCACGGCTGGTATGCATCCATGAGTAAGTCCATATTACCACTTAACCGTCAGGCCGCCCTGCCCTCTTGAAAACATCAAGGTTGACGCCCAACCTTTCTTTTATCTAGTTCACACCTTGGGCGAAACCATTGGATTCATAGGCGCCATCCCTTGCTGCTTATGCTGCCCCAACCCCTTCAAGCCTATTGATCAGGGTGAAGTCGGCTTGGTGACGCGGTTCGGTCGCTTCGAACGTGCTGTTGACCCGGGTCTCGTGAAAGTCAATCCTCTCAGCGAGCATTTGACTACAGTCGACGTGAAGATCCAAATCGTTGAGGTTCCCCGCCAAGTTTGCATGACGAAGGATAACGTCACCTTGAATCTGACCTCCGTTATCTACTACCACATTACCTCTCCCCACAAAGCAGCCTTTGGCATCACAAATATTCGCCAGGCGCTTGTTGAGCGGACACAAACCACCCTCCGCCACGTTGTCGGCGCACGTGTGTTGCAGGACGTCATCGAACGCCGGGAGGAAGTCGCCCAATCGATCGGAGAGATCATCGAGGAAGTTGCTTCGGGCTGGGGTGTCCGAGTCGAGTCGATGTTGATTAAGGATATCATTTTCAGCAATGAGCTCCAAGAATCTTTGTCAATGGCTGCGCAATCCAAGCGTATTGGAGAGAGTAAAGTTATCGCTGCTCGCGCAGAGGTGGAATCAGCCAAGGTTCGTAAAACCCATTCTGCTCGTACCTTTGCGTTTTTCTTTGATAGTTTGTTTTATTCAACTAACGCCGTTACACCCTATAGCTCATGAGGACCGCCGCCAACATCCTCTCTTCCGCTCCCGCCATGCAAATCCGATATCTCGAAACTATGCAGGCAATGGCTAAGACCGCCAACAGTAAAGTCATCTTCCTGCCGGCTATCAACCAGACCGTCCAGGAACAACTCCGAACCGCTGAAGCCGCTGGAGAAGGCCCAAGTCAGTACGGTCAGAATTACGAAGGGGACGCTGACGGCTTTCAGCAGGCAATGAAAGCCCGCGTGGTCGAGGATATCTAGAGGTTTGCACGATAATTATTGTCAATATCGTGATCACTTCGTGCCGATGTTGGCGGATGGAATGGAACGTTCTAAGGCTTAGCTTCATCCCTCTCCACCGCCCTCCCCCTTCCCCCCCGTGCTCCCTCTCCGCCCCTATTCTTCCTCCTTAAACAGCTTCATTGACTTTATGCATTCTTAATTCTCAGCAACCCCCTTCTATTTTTCTTTTTCCTCTGGAACGGTCTATTCTTCAGCTCTTTTCATATTGCAGCGATACCCTTTCATGATCTGAGTCCTTTACTGTCTACGCTCTTTTTTCCCTACCTCCCTCTCTTCTGCTTTTTGTTTTGATATGTGCATATGTATGACTTTTCTCCGCCCAGTGTACGCTTTGTATTTAGCTGCTCAATTTGGATTTTTTTATTTTTATTTTATTTCATTTTTTGAAACTTCACTCCTAATTTGGATTATCCTCCTCTCCGCTCACAAGATTGGAAAAATTGCGGGGTAGGCTGCATTAAACGCGAAGTTAATATATAAAAATATAGGCAAAATTCCTGAGAGAAAAAAGAAAAAAAGAAAAAAAGAAAAAAGGAAAATCGGTCCGTCCAGCAAATTGATGTCTCAACATTTCTCCGGATTCTCCTTAACCCCCGCAAATCGTACTTAGTATTCATTGCACTGTCCATGTTTCTGCGACAATATATCTAATCTATAATCGTCATAACTTAAATCCGTTCAGTCATTCTCAGCCCAATTGCCGCTGTTGTTGTTGATGTTGATTTAATTCGATTAGTTATTCTTTGATTGTTGCTTGCGTCGCTGAGGCCTCCCTCTAGGTATATACATACCTAAGTAAGTACATACATTACGGTACCTAATATCTATGTTTTTGAGGGGTGCAATTTGTAGTAGTTCTTTGCTTTTGGGCTTGATTTTTCGCCTTTGATGTAGGGCTGTTAAGATGGAGAGAGAGAGAGAGAGAGAGAGAGAGAGGCGGGAATGACACAGACATTTTTTGATCGAGATGTCCAGACATCGCAGTTGACGACGTCGTGATATAGAATCAATCAATCGAGAATTTAAAGACGTTTTTTAACGGGAGACTTGTACCAACCGGTGCAGATAGGGATGCGCGATGCGACGACCTACCTAGCCCTGTGTTCCCAGTTCAGAGACAAGGGGCAAAGAAAGGATGACGATGACAACCTCCATTTAGATTGAGAGAGAACACTTTTGCTTTTGGGGGAAGAGGAGAGACCAGGCGCGCCAGTGACTGCACTGGAGGGTTGCGGGTTGGGTGAGCGGTTGCTAAAAACTTCTTTTGCTGCAGTATGATGTCAAAGCAGGGCTTCCCATTCGTCAACTCCACTTGGTCAAACTTTTTTTTTAATCGTACTCATACAATATTGAGGAAAAAGGAATAACTAAATAATGTATCTTTATCAGGAAAAAACACCCTTCTACCCCGTCCAAGATGGAATTTCGCCTAGCCAAAAAATCAAATACTCAGATGTGATACAGGAATGAAAAAGAGTAAGAATAAGGGAATCAATCAATAGCTGGTGGGAGAAAAAAAAAAGAACGAAAAAACAAGTTGATCATAAAAGAAATCAATACAGACTCCATATATGAACTCTCCCTCTAAACCTCGACCTTATTTGTTTCTAGAGCCGTGGCTGTCTCGCCGCAGTGTATTTTGTTCCAGGTACTTGAACTGAGGACATGCCTGGCCCAACACAATAAAAGGTCGTCCGTCTGTGGCAGAGAATTCCGTTTTGTCACTTTTTCTATAAAACCCTCCTTCCTTCCGTGTCCCTCCCTGGTCCTACCGCCCGGGTTTCGCAAGCATATACCTCACCGCTTCCGCAGCAACAGGCGTATCCCAAGCACTATTCGCTCCACCCCGTCTAAACTCCGGTCCACTCCCATCTTCCCCCCCGCCGCGTGTCGCTTCACCCATGATAACTTCCAAATCGCGCTTCTGACTACTCGTCCAGCGCCTGATGAAGTTGGCCGGATCCTGACTCAGCGATTGGAAGAACGCATGTCTAGCCTTGGAATGGGTGAGTGCCTGGACAACGACGGCGAGTTGGTCATCGAGCGCGGAGACTTGACGGAGCATGTTGGGATAATCCGTGGCTGTTGTGATTGAGAGCATTTTGGCGCGCAGCGGATCGTCCACAGCCACTCGGATATCGTAGACTGTGGGCGTTGGGTTTTGGTGGAATTCCGGATCGACGCGAATTGTGTAGGGAAGTTTGATGGGGTCTAATGGGGAGGTGTGTGCGCTGGCACTGTCGGGGATGGCGGGGAAGAACATTTTGTCTCGGTTGAAGAGCTGTAGATGTCTTAGTTAGTCGGTTGATTTTAAGGGGGAATGGAAGGTCCACGGAACCTGGAGTTATGTGGAAAATAGTATAGATGTTTTTGACGTACAGCCTTCAAACGGTCATCGCATCGCACTGCCCTTTTATCTTCATTTTCTTGAAGATCCATTGCTTTTATATACTCCCATATGCCCACGACAATGCCGCCGCGTGCTTCCTCGTCCGTATCCAGGATGGATGCTAGCTGCTTGCTCAGCCTGAAGCGCTCTGGGTTTTCGTCTCTTACGAGGCTGATTGTGGCATTGAGGTTGACTTCCGCAGCACGGGAAAACTCAAGAGAGTCAAAGTCGGCGCTGGGTGGTAATGACACAGCACCGGCAGGTATGAGAGGTTTGGTCCAATTGATAGTCGCTAGATCTGCGACGCCAGAGGACACGTTTGTATCAAGTTCAACCGTGATTGACTTGAAAAAATGGGAGAGGCGCTTTCGTTGGGGTAGGGTGTGTTTTTTGGTCTGGTTTTTCTGTTTTTGCGCTGAGTCCTCCTCCATCGCATCCGGATCATTCTGGCCATTCGTCTTGGTTTGTTCGTCGTCGCTATCACTTTCTGAATCAAAGGTATCGGATTGGTCATCAAGCAACTTCCCTTCGATCTTCACCTTGTAACGCCCGCTCCCAGATCCACAATTGCCATTCTGGCCCAATTCTCTCTGCCATGGCTGGTTTTCCACGGTATTCGAGATCCATATACGCAACGTTCGGAATCTTTTCACAGATCTATTGACGGAATCTTGAATATCCAATCTTTTCCTCACCATAGCTGCATCTAGGCGTTTTTCGACCTCCCGCAAACTTTTATATTGCGCGACACCATCACCTATGATTGACTCCTCCACGCCATCCGGAAGATTCTTGTCTGTTGGTTTCCGACTCCGTCGCAATGCAGCATCAATAGGATTGGGGACATTGCGCTGGGTGAGTTGAGGGTTTGGAACTGGAGCTGCGTGTTGTTGGATGGGGACCGGCATCATGGCGCCTAGGATTGGGAGGCAAATTAATATATAGGTTACAGGCTTGCCAGAAAAATAAAAAAATAAAAAATAAACGCAAGTGTCGCGTGTAAAATGGGAAATTAGATTGAAATAAGCAGGAAACAACGCATCAAACGGATCAAGAAGCGAAACTCACCAGGGATGGGAACAGCTCTACGCGGAGTGGCAGGTGGACGATGCTGGGTGGCCTGGGGATAGCCACGGTAGTTGGGCTGCATCGCAGCGTTCATGACTCTTGGTCTAGTCGGTTGCTTGGGTTGAACTAAAGGCACCGAAAGAAGCGAGCGGACCAGCAAATAGGAGGGGCTAATTAAACGGAAATGTGGATGTTTTGCTTATCGACTATTATCCTTCAGGCGAGCCTTGACTTTGAGCTTGTTCAGGAGGAAAAAAGTGTTTGCTGTGTTTGACAGCACCAGCACGTGAATGGCTTATTCATCAACAGGCGCCCGCTAAAAGCACAGCCACCTGCCAGCAGTAGAGAATATGAGGAGATATCAGGTCACATTCATTCTTGCTGTTATGTGCTTGCTCTCTTCAAAGTAGAATAAAATACTCTGGGCCATGTACTAGTAGTTATCGCCTACCAACATACTCTTGGAGAGGTTAGCTAGCTAATTGCTTGGTCTTGCGCTGTTATCCACTGCTTGGGAAAGATGTTGAGCAGGCTAGTTACATCGCATCGCTGCCTCCACTGATCGATGCACTGCCTCATTCTTGTCTTTCGACATAAATGTCCTGTTTGTATGATGGCTGGCAAACCCTTCAGCATCTTTCGACATACAAAAGCACTGCAATATAACCTTTTTGGCCCTAGTATTCATGTTAAAGAAGGAATGCAATACCCAACCATAAGTCAACTCAAGGCTCTAATATTCTTACCGATGCACCACGATGGACCTAGATCATACAGGGCCGCCACCTGCCTACTATGACAGCAGCTCACCACGGCTGGCGGAGGCGTCTCCTCCAGATTATGAAACTCTTGTTTCCCGTACTCCTTTTCCCCTGAGCCAAACACCCAGCACCCTTGATCCGGCAGAACCCACAATCCTCACCATCGATGGCAAGTACATTTTCTCGTCCAAGTGTCCTGACCGCCCACTCTATAGTCTCTCTCATGAGCTGGACGGTCATGAACTAGGGGCTGGCATACTGGTAACGCGACTTGGAAAGAAGAAGCGGGACCTTGATAGTATATCTCAGAGATATCAAATCCCTGGGAGTGATATCTCCAGGCAGGATGTATTTGCTCTCCTGAAAACAGCACAAATTTTTTCCTCCACTGGGGGGTTGCTCATAGATGGACGGAAATGCCCTTCCGACAAACTTGGAAAAATGAGCAAGTGCATGACAAGATACGGTTTCGGATGGACAGCTGGTGGAGACGGCTTGCCTTTCTTGGAAGCTCGGCCAACTCTCTTTGTGGAGAGAAAGCAACAAAGTGACCCGGATGCTAGTGGAGAGGCCAATGGGCGATATTATGAATGGAGACTAAAAGACAAGGTAATAAGGCCGAAAGACAAAGCAGAGGACAGAGAGGGGACGCTCCTTGCGATCGAGACCAGAAGACGCTGGGACACTGAGAATAAAGTGGAAATTACTAAACCAACACTGGAGCTAAAAACAGATGTTGATGCTCTGGAGTTGAAGGTCTTCGATTTTTTCGTTGCTGCGTGGTGCATGCACAATTGGCGGGAAGCAAGGGACATCACAAAGGAGTCTTTGACATGGAACGAGTGTAAGTATCGCGTTGGATTACCCATGCATCCAGTTTCTATTATCCATTCCGTTTGTCCCATACAGTTTGAACTGACCTATCTGTCGTGGACCAGTTAAGGAGCAGGCTAAAGTGACGAGGAGAAAAAATGCTGAACGACGGAAAAGGAATATCAACGGCTTCGGTGTAATTGCAGCAGGGTCAATATTTTAAACAATGCGCGAATAAAAAGCACTGAGGAAGCAACTGTGATTCGGCCCGTTTCGACAAGGGGGATTTATAACTCCAAGGGCCTTCGCCTTCAACTCATGGCACTCGCCATAACCACCTGCAATGGACCGTCGGGTATCGTTACATGACATGGTTATTGTATCTACCAAGAAAGTCGATTTTACGTTGAACTCTGTTAACCCAAGGTTTTTCATGTTAGCATCCGTTTCTCACTGTCGTGTGTCTTTAAATAGGCCATATTGATCTTCCTAGTGTTCTACTTTTTCCACTTTCATTTTTAAACGCCCCCACCTCTGTATGCACATTTCGCAAATAATTGGCTGCACATCTTTATAGGTCTTGACAGTGCACTTGTGTCTTGCTTTTATTTCTTTCTGGTCTTCCATTCCATGTGCTGCTTGATATAATGTCTGGGCCATGCAATTCCTGATAGTGCAGTGAAACAGACATCTCCGATCGATGACGTTCAGGATAGTCAAATCCTACCACCCAGTGGAGCCTGCTAAAGGTTCCCCTAACATCTACCTATACCCACCAATTTGTCCTGGGCCATGTGATGATGACCCCTACTGGCCTTATGTTAAGATGGCTGTGTTTGGTACTTTGCGTTATTATTTAATACGGGATATGAACAAGCGCCTTTGCGATATAAAATACTGAATATATATACTAGTATCCTGTATATATATCCAGATGCTAAGCGGTTTTACACCCACCAGCTTGTCATTTCGATATCACCGGCTTCATAATAGCTACTTCTTCTCTTCTCTTCTCTTTCCTCTTCCGGTGTCACGGTTGTTTGAAGCGGACGGCTCTTGAATAATGGCTTATCTCTCTTGGTATAGTATATACCTCCTAAGATTGTTTCGAAACATTGGAGGTCCTTAACAATTTTTGTCCGTTGTTTTTGGTTTCAGAATATTTTCTCATCCTTCCCTCCTCGGAATTTTTCATCAAGGAAGATTATATGATCGTTTATTTAATTATCAACCATATTAAGCTTGTAGCTATCTAGGAGGGGTATACCGCGGGATGGAAAAAAAAAAAAAAAAAAAAAAAAAAAAAAAAATCTCTGGGGGATTTTCCACCTCCCTTTCATACACAAGGTAGCATGCAATGAGCAAAAACAATCTAAGTCAAAATTTAATTCACCTCCTTTTCCGTTCACTCAACCTCCATCGCTTCCACCGCGACCCCTTTACCACCTCTTTTTGCCCGTACATACCCAACAAACTCATCAATAGCACCCGGCCACGCGCCATCCTCGCTCCACCAGTCGAACGTTTCATCCTCCTTTGTCTTCCTCATAAACACCTCGACCTGTTCCCATAAGTCTTTATTGACAGGTCTCTTCCAGCTTTCCTCAACGAACTCAATCCACCAGTCGAGCCAGGGCGTGCTGCGCGTGTTCCAGTTGATACCACCATTGATAGTTGTAAAAAAGAGTCGCCACTGCTCCGTGGCTATATCGAGAGTGAGGTTGCGCTGACCCGCTAGACGGCAGATGATGAAGGTGTAGCGATATACGCGGCGGAAAAGGTCGGGTTCGTTTGGGATACGGGCGCGAAGCATGGCTGCGTAGGAGGTTTGTTTCGAAATCGTGTCGCAGCTTTGTTTGGGTTAATAGCTAGATACATGGAATGGGGGATTTGAAAGAAAGCGCACAATGGACGAGCGAAACGAAGGAGACGATGATAACGAACAAAAACAGGAAAGGCGGAATGGGAAGAGATATGACGCATTTTAGAGGACTAGGGCAACACACTTAATGTTTTTCCAACCGTCAACAAAATGTTCTCGTGTGAATTCGCCCATGGATGGAGACCGTAGGTGTTCTGCGATGGCGAGACAAACAACCTCGTCTAATTGTACTTGAATGTCCCCCAAGTACTTAACAGCACCTTCAATCCCAATGACATCTGGATTTCCTACAGGATCATCTATATAAAATTCTCAGAAGGCCATCGTTTTGTTGTATGTGGGGACATCGGTTAAAGGAACAGACATACCGCGATAGCTATCAAATAGCTTGTTGAGTTCCGCAACCGCATTATTAGAACCGCTGTCTACTGATTTCTGATAATACCTGTGGAAGGAAATTTCAGTAAGCAGTGGCAACGTGATTTCAGGTCAAGGAACAAGAAACAATAAACGGAAGAACGAATAATTGACAAATAAGCAAAATATTGGAGTAAATGGAAATGAACGAGATTCCGGATATCGACCAAACAGGAACAAAAATGGAAATGGGCATACACCGAACGAGGCCAATGTCCCATCCCAAGTCACCCAGGCGTGTAAATGATGTATGTAGATAGCGGGTAATGCCTAGAAGCCAGCGAAGTGAAGAATTACACTGTCGGCTCCATTCCCGCATCTTGCCTGGGGAATAAATAGGGATTCAATAGGACTAAGAAATGGTGAAGGTGAAGATTCGTATAGCACGAACGGATTGCGGTTGTTCATTTTCTCTCTGCTGCGTACTCTTAGGGTTATGGTAAAATGATTGGGAAGAACGTGTCGTAGCCAGGCGCGGTTCTTATAAGGCAACGCCCCAATCCATCGGCTCTGGTGGATGTACAATCCAACATCAAATATGGCTCAATGAAACGAAGAATCCCAGATGGTACGAGAGGAAGAAAGGGAACTGGCTGCTGACGAGGAGCTGATATAACAGGGGGGTGAGACAATTTGTATGCAAGCGCATAAAGTAATGATAAATGGTTGCAAAAGCGGCGAAAGGACATGTACGGGAAGTGCCATCTGTGATAAGAATTGAAGTAGCGATTTGCCGTGAAGCAGGAGGTACATTCACTTGAACCAAGTTGGTGATGGAAGCCTAAAGCCTAGCACCAATATCTCCAAGAAATAACTTGAAGAACGACTTAGTAGAAGGATAATGCAACGCCTTCCAGCAGCTGACTCGCTAATCGCGCTTTCCTTTTCCATTTGCCCCTACAAAGGGCTTTTGAGTGTTTTGTATTTTAGAGAAACTTGGCTGCAGGAGGAACGCTTTATTCTATGGCATGCAACAGGATTGTTCTGACGAAAATGGAAAGGAGGAAAGGAAACCCAGAAAATGTCCGTCCAAAACAAACGAGAATATGGAGTAAGAGAAAAACCGCGGATATCACCTACGCGTCTACAGCACGTTCAACATTCCATCCGTTTGATTTCAGAAACTGGAAACGAGAGTTAGTATGCCGACAAGGGAGCAATAATAAAACATAATACATATTGACTGATAAATAACTAGGCTCATTATCGACACATAAAGGAGAAAAGTCAAAGATCCAAAAAGGAAATAAAAGAAAAGAAAAGAAAATGAAAAAAGGCAAGCCATATGACGTACCTTGCTAGCAACATCTCGGGCGCCAGTGATACCAATAAACTGTGATATCATTTGTTTCTGGCTTGGTGAATATAGCGATGGCATCTTGGGAGACTTCAAACCCGTATCTTCTTTAATCGATGTTAATCAACTAAGGGCAATCTCTGTCTGACCCAAAGAATCTCGAAAGGCGGGGGTGGGGTTGGGGTTGTAGGAACGCTCTAGATGTGTGAGGGAAATGGATGTTTACGAGGTGTCCGATATAAAAGCCGTCAAGCAATACGCAAGAATGGTGGCCAGTATATAAATAGTTCGAGTTGTTGACCAGCGGTTTCAGCCTTGTAGGTCGCCTCTGTTGTTGTCTTTCCATTTCCTGCGCCGCATCTCCGCGACATTTGGACGGGATTACCCGAACGAAGCGCGCGGCTAATTCCCAGCTTAATTCAACCTCACGTGGACATGAGCCCTGAACAGGCAGAATGAAACCAAATATTCCGAATATATTTATTAGGCCCAATGCATCTAGAATATTTTCAATATCGATGATTACTCTAAGCTACCGGTGGTAGGCGCCAGAAACCAAGGCTTCTCTAGCAGTGAATCTGGGAGCTTTCCGATTCCACGCACGACATGAGCGTAGTGCGTTAGGTAGGTCAATCAATACACATACGTAACTAAATGAACTCGAAGCTATAGATTGAGTAAAAGTGGACACAGAACAAAGACGGAAGCCTGGAAAGCAACAAATGCGAAAATCAGAAGTAGACACAAGTAAACGCCAGAATTTTCCACCGGACCAGGAAACGAATAAAAATAGGAAATAAATCTAAGAATTATTACGTGGTAAATAGTGTATCCTCCTGTTTATGATGTTAGAAAATTTCTCCCGCACAATATATTTGGCCAGGTGACCATAGATACGCCCTGAAATGTATATATGCTTCTTACCTCTCTGAGATACTCTCCTATGTCTGCCTGCCGAAATGCTGCAATGCCTGTGGGATCAAGCCTTCGTGCTTCCGCTGTTGATCGAGCGGTGACTCCGAATCCCTATTGTACACGAAATCGTAATGAGCAATCACCCAGCCAATAAACAAAAAACATAGTATATGTCCAAGACTATCATGGTTATAACGTACTAAAGGCGTGTCATCCATCGAATACACTACCACACCGGAGTGTTCCGGACAGTCTTCACTCCACCGCCCAACATGCGCTTTCACAATATTCCCTCCGTAAAGGAATGGCATCTCCCCATTCGGCTTGATCCAGACCTTGTATCTCGCATGCGGTGCAATCACATCCAACGCAGTAATATGTAGTCTGAATTTGCCCGTCTTGGTGAATTTCCCGATGCAAGTACCTAGCGAAAGAAGATTTTCGCGAGGCACTGCCGTGGCCAGGTTGGCTATCGATAGGCGCACATAGTATACTCGGGAGCCATGGAGGCGGAAGACATGGCGGTCATCTGCTGAAGACTGGTCGCCTTCTGTGGCTGAAGAGGCGGGAGGTGCGATTAAGTTATTCAGGGAACGGCCAGTGTAGTTTGCGAGCTTGGAGAAAAGGGTTTTGGTCTCTGTCTCCGTGAGGGCGCGCATGGCAGCGGGGTGATCTCTCGGAAGTACACGCTCCAGAGATAAGGGGCCCAAGAAATAACAAGCTCTGGTGTTGAAGGAGATCCTGGAGCTGTGGGAATCTTTTCTGCAGATAAAATTTCCCCGCTAGCGTGAAGTCTTGGCATTTTCAGTCCAACGAAATTATTTTTTTCTTACCACAGCAATACTAGAAAAGATGATAAATGCTTGCGACGAACACAAATACCCATGGCAACCGAACATGCATTTAAACGAAAAAGGCTCAGTTTGTCTAAGGATGGTGATTCATATACACCGTCTACGAATGGCTCCTCTATGAAGGATTTCTACAGCCGTGCTGCAGAGTGGAATCTCGAACAGGATTACGAGCGCCGGCCGCGCAAAACCAGCAAACGAGATAAAGAGAAAAACCGTCTTCCGATTAAAACTGCGGAAGGGACGATAGAACATGTTTCAGAACCTATTGTGGAAGATGACTCGGAAGATTTATTCGATTCGGACGAAGATGATGTGGAGGAACAGCCAGAGGCGGAAGTTGTTGAGAAGCCAAAACCATATGTGCCTGCTAAAGTCCAAATTCTAGAGGCAAAAGAAGAACTGGCAAGGATCGCAGAGCTTATCAATGAGGATCCAGAGGAGCATACCGGTTTATTTAAAAGGTTGGCAGATATGGTATCGGAGACCTCGCTTCCCGCAGTGAAAAAGCTAGCATTGGCGACCCAAGTGGCTATATACAGAGACGTGATTCCTGGCTATCGGATAAGGCCGTTAGGCGAGGACGACATGACGACCAATGTTTCGAAGGACGTACGGAAACTTCGTAATTTTGAGCAATCGCTTCTCGCTGGGTATCAGAACACTGTCAAGGTGTTAGCTTCGTTCGTGAAACCACAGACAAAGGAAAGTGTTGATGCAGAAGGCTTGAAAGCTGTTTCAATCAATTGCGCATGCAGTTTGCTTATTGCTGTACCCCATTTCAATTTTCGGGGTGAGCTGCTAAAGATTCTGGTTTCGCAACTTGGCCGGCGGAAGGTCGATGACAACTTCGTGAAGTGTCGCGAGACAATAGAGAAGATCTTTGCCAATGACGAGGATGGGATCGTGTCCATGGAAGCGGTCAGCTTGTTGTCTAAAATGATGAAAGCTAGAGACTACCGTGTTCACGACAGCGTGTTGGATACCTTTTTACACCTGCGTCTACTTTCCGAATTCTCTTTAAAAGGCTCAAAGGATACCATTGATAACCACAAGAGCGACGAAACAATTAAAGGGAAAAAGCCAAAGATGAAGCGTGAGTTTAGAACTAAAAAGGAGCGAAAGCTGTTGAAGGAGCGAAATGCAGTTGCAAAAGATATGAAAGAAGCAGACGCTCTCGTCAGCCACGAACAACGGGATAAGATGCAAGCAGAAGCCCTAAAGCTGGTATTCGGCACGTATTTCCGCATTCTCAAACTCCGCAGCCCAAATTTAATGGGTGCTGTGCTCGAAGGCCTTGCGAAATACGCCCACTTAATCAACCAGGACTTCTTCGGAGACCTCCTTGAAGCCTTGAAAGAACTCCTAGCGCAAACTGCCACCTCCGATTCTTCTGAAACCGTGGATCCCTCGGATACCATTAATGGACCTGATTCCCTCGAAGAAGTTGCTACAAGAAGTATAACCCGCGAAGCGCTCCTCTGTTGCATAACCGCCTTCGCTCTCCTCGAGGGTCAAGATGGCAGCAAAGCTGCCTCCACCCTGCACCTCGACCTCAGCTACTTCATGACCCATCTCTATCAATCTCTTTATCCCCTTTCTTTACATCCAGAAATCGAATACAACCCCAACAAATCCCTATATCTCCCTGACCCATCCTCCTCTCTTCCCGAACATGCCCAAACTAAGACCGACAACAAAGTGAACTTCCAAACTCCCACAGTTCTTCTCCTGCGCTGCCTCCAATCAACCCTCCTTGCCAAAGGTACTAACGCGGCCCCTCCAGTCCGCGTAGCAGGCTTCACGAAACGGCTCATGACCGCCTCGCTACAGTTGCCGGAGAAGTCATCGCTGGCTTTGCTCTCGTTATTAACTCGTGTAGCGAAGCAACATGGGCGGAAGATCGCGCCGTTGTGGAATACTGAGGAGCGTCGGGGGGATGGCGTCTTTAATCCGCTGGCTGAGACGGTCGAGGAGAGCAATGTGTTTGCAGGGAATGTGTGGGAGGGCGAGTTGTTGAGGTTGCATTATTGTCCGAAGGTTAGGGAGGCTGCGAAGGAGGTTGAGAATGTTGTTGCGTCGGTGAAGTAGCGGAGGCGTATTGGCGGGGTAAATAAGAGTTAAGTCTTAATATTATGATTAGAACCTTGGGTTATAGATTTCCCTCTTCCATATTTACTGCCAATCGAGTGGTTTTGCTTATCGTGTGTGTTATTTGAATAACCGGTCGCTGCTAACTTACCTTGCCGAGAGCCTAAAATGAAGTCGAGGGGGAGAAAAAGATAAAGAAGCCTGGAGAAGCTACAGTCGAAATATCGAATTCCATGCGAGTGCCAAATTAATCTTACACAATTGAATTTCGAACAATTAATTCCAACACCATACCCACATGGGACCATTCCACGACCAGAGGTAAACTCACAGGTTGAAAAAAGACAAACAACCGGAAATAAAGGAAACTACTGAAAGGGCTGAAGAAGCGAATGCACCTTCCGTGTTATTCACAACATGTTCGAAACAAAAAAGAGAAAGATTGAAAACACGACCGGAGATGGAAAAAGAAAAGCTGCAAACTTCACAAGCCGAATCCAGAATATCTCATCACATTTCCATGGTCATTGTGTGCTTTAGTTTGGTGGGCCTTGCATATCGTTATTTCCCTGAGGATTCACCTGGTGGTACCAATTCGAAACGCCCGCCCATGGCCGATGCACGTTGAATTCAGTGTTGGCAGCAGGCCATTGCCCGATCTCAGGACTGCTGCCAACGTTTTGGGCTCCGTGGAAACGATGAAAACCTACTTGGGAGTATCCCTGTCCCGGGTGTCCTGGAGGCGATCCGTAATTGGGGCTAAAATCACGATGTGGCATGTAACTCCGGTTTGAAGGCATTGCCCCGTCACGCGTGGAGGTCTGGTTGTGCCTCATGCTAAATTGACGGTGAGGGTATCCTCTGTATTGCCCAGAAGCGTGCGCATGAGCACCATGTGTTCCTGGATTGCGGGAGGAGGGTTGAATTTGTGATTGTGCTTCATAGCCGCCATGTGTATACACCTGTGAAGCCGCTGACACTGGCTGTTGCTGTCCGGTAGAGTTTGGGGTCGCAACTGTGTGGCAAGTTAGCAACTTTTTGCGGAGTGCAAAACGAATGCCTTGGAGGTTCTCACATTTCCTGCTGCCACTCCCGCTCGCGCTGCCACGCCGACTCATTCCGCCGTTGTGACGTTTCCAGAAACCCCTTTTCTGGCTCGTTGGTGGGCCGTGCCAATTACTAAATTGTTGTTGACCTTGGTCCTGCGCCGTATCGCCTCTCACCGAAGGGCTTGTCTGGGAACGTCTTCTTCCCATTGGTCCTCCAACATTCTCTTTGCCAACATCATTTTCCCCCATTCTACCTGTACCTTGTACAATTGATGGTCTACCCTGATCAACAGGGGTTATGTACGTGGTAATCGGAATACCAGCAGTAGTATCGTGAGACCCTTGTTCCACAGCATCAGACCACTTTAGATCATCGCTTTCTCTGGCTGCTGGATTTGCGGAGATGGTGTTTGCCGTATTGTCACCGATTTTTGCCAAACTGATGGCAACCGATTCCACTGCTTCATTAAATTCTCCGGCTCCCTGGGTGACGTGATTGGTGATACTTTCTTCGTATGATGCAAAGCTCCTAATGCCTTCCTCACTTTCCAGTTGCTGCGGCTTTCCCCAAAAAGCTTTCAGATGATTATTGGTGTCTTCGAGCTTCTTACTGATTCTTATCTGTTCGATTTTAATGGCAGCAACGTCCCCGGCGAGGGCCTTGAGTTGCGAAAGGATTTCATTTTGAGCAGTTCCTTCGACTCGTAAGTCCTGTGGAACCGTTTTGGGAGAATCATCTCTGGGCGTTGACTGTTCCACCACGTTGGAGTCTTCGCCAGGAGAAGTTTCTAGCTCCATGTAGTGGTCGTGATGCGAGTGAATGGAAGGCTGGACAAAAAAAGGCGGCCCCTGACCACGTGATTTATTACTTCTTGCTGAGCTACTGCTGGAGATTTTCACACCGCTGGATATGCTTGTGCTTCTGCCATCGGGGACGAAAGAACTATAGGAGCTAACCTCTCGAGATTGTGGGCGTTGTCTAAATTCCACTGGCGTCGGTGGGCGGAGGGGGAGCTGGGGCAAGGAGGCGTGAACGTTTTGGCCCGGCAACAAGACCTCAGTGTTGTTCTCGCTTGAAGTTCGCCTTGGGGTCACAGTGCTGCTACTCCCGCACACAAACTCAACGTCCGCCATTTCGACTGAGCCCTGAGCACTTGGAATTCTCCTCTCTGGTAAGACCAGTTTGCCGCTGCCTCTCGTGCCGCATGTCCCTTTGTTGGTTAGGCTTAAATCAGGGGATCCAAGAATAATTCCCTCCAACTTAGGTAAAGCCTGGCAGTAATCTTCTTGAGGTGTCTCTGCTGACCCTACGCTTGACTCAGGAGTGAAATTCGGCTGAGCGGCTCTCCGATTTCCACCATACTCCTCACCTTGAAGCCTAGGCGTGGAGCTTACCTTCCTCACTGCTCGAGAAGGTTCGCCTAGCACCTCAGAGAAGGAGTCCCATCTTGGCAGAAGCGGCGCTGAATCCGGTTCTCTGTCGGTGCCCTTCTTCTCCTTGGGGTAATATATTTTGGGCTCTTCGGGCCCTTCAAAGATGTTGCTAGTTGTCGTAACAGTTGCTGGGTTAGTTGCTGGGGGTGGTGCGGACTCGCTAATTCCACGGCTTCTGGGAGGCGAGTAAGTCAGGGGCTGGAGCAACTCAGCCATTGTTTCGCGTTCTGGGGCAGCAAGATCTTCTCCTTGTGCCGCTCTCTGTCCCTGCTCAAACCTCAACATGCAGACGTTCTTAGGTTTCGGGCCCATCGTTGGCCAGTTGGTGTTTTCCCGCTTTATCTTGGATGGTAATTCATGGTTAGCGCCGTTGTACACTACTGGTGGTTTTCCCTCGTCATTCAAACATATAACAGAAAAAGAAGCATAGACTTGCAAACTTCCCTATCCACACAGCAATAATATGGAGATATAGGGTAAAATGTAGGTAAGTAGAATCTAACAGATGACAATATTACTTCCACCGATGAAGAGAGAAACTGATGATTGTATTGACAGGGGGTTGAAACGGGGTGTTGGAAGAGGTAAGCCAATTGGATGTAGGAAATGCAAATAGCGAGTCAAGACAAAGGGATCAGAGCCCTGGCAGTTCATGGAAACGTTGCCTCCAGTTTCCAATCAGGGAACTTGAGCATTGCCAAAGCCGATGTCTCCTTTTCATATTTGACGGTTGGTTGATTCGTGGGGGCATGTATAGATTTGGGCAAAAATTGTAAAGCAGAAACAGGGTCAGGAGAAAGCAGATCTCAGGAAAAAGCAAAAGTTAGTAACTTACTTGCTAGAGGAAATGTCTTGACTATTAACAGACTCTGATAGTCCTCATGTTCAAGATGCTGTTCTCAACTCGTGCTAATGATCCTAGATGCTAGCAGACAGAATTCTCATAACAAAGATGATAATATTGCATGATACGCAGATGTTTGTGTGAAAGGAAGTTCAGGGGCAAAAGGGATGAGAAAAGTAGGCTGTTGAACAATAACACTCCTAGCGCTATTTAAGCGAGGTGTTTTTGTTCATTCAGTGGACTGGGGTATACCTTCAGGGCTTCTTTACTCTACTTCTATATCTCTTTCGGGATGTGCTCCTTGTTTGGCTTTGCTTCTTGTATAGGGGCTCTTTGTTTTGTTTGTGGCTCGCGAGCGTGCACATGTGCATGAGGAGTAGAAGTGATAATGATATTGATTGCACCTTAGTGTTGGTGATGTCTTTTTTACCTCTATTTCTATGCCCTTTCCTTCCCTTTCATCAGGGAATCACATAATCCACTGCCCTTTGTTCGAAAAGGCTGCATACTCTCTCAGGACATGACAGGTTTGGCAGTCCTAGCTATAGCTAGTCTTTTTTAATCGGCATATTGTCATTCTCTCTCCCCCCCACTTTCTCAAGATCCGCGCCCCTGTTGTGACCTTCACAAGCTGCAGAAAGGGCAAAGTGGTAGAAATCTAGGAACGACCAAAACGACGACCCAATCTGATTAAACGATAAGAGTCAAGCCAACCCTTCTCGTAGGTTAGCAAGGGGCAGCAATGAGCAATGGCAAACGCCAATAGCTAACTTTTATTTGCGAAAGTGGCCGTGCACCCGCATCGCAACGACTGCTGTTGGGGTATAGTGCAGTCTATGAGGGCAAAGAGGTGTGGTGTAATTAAATACTGGAAGAGCGAGCGATTAAAATAAGACACAAACGTATACCCGGTGGATATACCTCCCTTTTAGCGATGAAATGTTTGATAAGATACAAAATTCACAGTGTAACAAGGGAAATAAGCTAGAAAGAGGTTAGGATATTCCCGTTTTGGCATGCATATATCGTGACATCGATTGCCGGTTTCTAAAATATAGGGAATCGGGATGAATAGGCAGTTTCAGTGTAGGTCGGCAGTGTATCACAATAATGTATGTTATCCCGTTCACTTTCTTTCTGAAATTTGCTAGCCTCCTTGTATGGAAACTTAATATATTCTCATCGAGAACGTATAGAACATGGAGGAGCCAGAGTTGGTTGTTAACGGCCTCCTGAGAGCACGAGGATAGATGTGGTTCTTTGGTAACGGAGGCAAGTTTGCTGATATTCTCCACCAACGAACGATACACTTTTTTTTGCATAGATCCAAATAAGACAAACATCGCATTCATCACGCCCTCTACTTCGAAAACGGTGTACCAGGGCTAACGAAATGATAGTAGCCAATTCAAGCCCCTAATCGCTAAAAAGAAGCTAAATCAATGGAAGTGGCAAAAGATAACGTGTAATACGTGGAGAACAAGATAATATTGCGGAGGTCGGCAACTCAACGTTCACACAAATTGTTTTCGCCGCTAAAACCAAATAGAATCATATCCGCATACGCAGTAAAGTAACATAAAAATGCGGGGAGCGAATTCAAACTAGATGAGTGAAAATGATGAAACGCTAGAAATGTACTCGGCGATATAGGGTGTGAATGCACGCCAGTAGAACGCTAAGGGGAGAGCGATAAGAGTAGCAACAATCGTGACAGTGACCAAGAGGGTCCTGAAGTTGGTCAGCATGACCCAGGGATGGATTTGAACGAGAAAAAGGGAAATGGATATCAAATTGAATCACGTTACAGTAGAAAATGGAATAATAGATACATACATAAGAAAAAGGAAATTCAAGATACAGGAATAGTGATTTTACACAAAAACTGGAGAGGAGGGGAGAGGGAAAAAGGAATCAAAGGGGTGGGTGAAGCGGTGAATATGGGTGGTAAAGGTGGGATGATGGCCAGGGTGTATCCTACCAAATGAGAACAACGGGGGGGAAAGGTACGCAAAAACAGAAAATTTCCTAAAAAATATGTCGCTTACTGGCGTGTAGTATCGCGTCGGCCACGGCGGAAAACCGAAAAGACGCCTCCGAAGAAGCTCGTGAAAATTGCGTGCCAGAGTGCTTTGAAAAAGTTCTTTCTCTTGTGGATTGTGACGGATGTGACGGACCGATCCCCAGCTGTCGTGGGGCGCGGTTCTTCGGCTTCCCCCGATGCTGCGCCTGACTTCGTTGCGTCAGGTGCTGGCGATGATTCCGAGCCTGCTGCTGCAGGTTCACTTGACTTGTTGGTTGGTTCGGGTTCGCCGGAGTTTGAAGGAATTGGCTCAGTTTGGCTGGTGGCGGTGGGTGGAAGCGTATAGACTTCCGCTTGCTTCGCGGAAGGCACCGCACCGGATTGTTTGGCTAGCTCAGGGGGTTCTGTTGCACTAGCTAATAATTCTTCTTGCGAATTGGCAGGAGCAAGAACTCTCTCAGTTGCACCCCCGTCCGACTCTTGAACCGGAGAAGAATTGTTTCCGTTGACCACTGCTTTTCCTTCCTTGGCCTTGTCGATTGATCTACTAATGCCATTGGAAGTTACTTCTGGAACGCTCGGCAATGATGTTTCCACAGCAGAAACAAACACTTCTGCCGGAGCTGTGGAAGGAACATCTTTATCAGCGACAGGGTCTTCATTATTTGAAACCAGTTGAGTGATACCAGCACCAACAAGCGCAGTTGTAAGGGTCGCTGCGGCGACCTTCACTGCCGGCTCCTCAAGAGGCGCCTGCGGTACCTCTTCCACTGGTGATTTGGATGTGGTGCCGTTAGTTCCAACGAATGGTTCTTCAGCTGGGGCCGCCAGCACTTCGACCTCGGGTTTGGGTTGCATCCCGGGAGGCACCTCTGTAGCGGCATTCGCGTTGTCATGAGGTACGACCGGTTCGCTCAGAGAATTTTCTATTGGTGACTCAATAAGAGGATAGTCAGCCGTTTTCAATGAAGTGGGCTGCTCAATTTCGACAGCAAATTCCTTTCGAGTATCAGGCTCGTCCGATTCTGATGCCTTTGTTTCTTCGGGATCAGACGCAGGGGGCTGCTCCTTTGATTTAGAAGTACTTTCGAGCTCATCAGCCACCATCTCAGCAGTAGACGATTCGAGAGTAGCAGCCGCCGTAGGAGGCTCACGACCATCACCTTTCTCAGCAGGCTCAGCGTGCTTAGTTTGTTCTGAAACTTCAAGATCAGTCTCTGCAGCTACAGCAACGGGAACAGCAGGCTCAAAGGTATCTCCGGACTTATTTTTCGTGGCCGGTTCGTTAGCGGGTAGAACTTCGGAAACAAAGTCGGTGGAAGGGGTAAGTTCTGGTTCAGCGCTTGGTTCTTCTGTTGCTAACTTTGGAATATCTTGATCAATTTCAGGCGGTGGATTTGGCTCTTGAGGAGGTCCGAGGGCAGAAGCTGCATCTACGGCGGGTTGTTCAATTTCAGTGAGCTCTGGCTTCGAACCTTCAAGTCCCACAGGGGTTTTCGTCACTTGACTCGGCTCGTTCGTCTCTGACTCGACCTCTGCGGTATGTTCGACCTCTGGTTCCTCAGCGGGAGTGGCATGTTCTGACTCCTCTACTGCGATTGGCTCTGGGTCAGAGATTTGTTGTTCCTGCTTAGAAACTCCAGGTTCGTTGTCGAGCGAAGGTTCAGGGACATCTTCAATAACCACTGGAAGCTCTGTAGCAAGCTCTTGCTGCTCCTCTACCTTATCCGTTGAATCTGTACGATCGCCATTTGTGACCACCTCATCTTGCTTGTGGTCAGGGGTGGTGTTATCGGCGTTGTCGGTAGCCAAAGGTTCATCCTCCGGAGCAGGCTCCGAGGATTTTGGTTCTTCCATCGGTGCGGGAATTTCAGGAGTCTCCACTTCTTGTTCCAGACCTGGAGCAGAAACCGCTTGAGGCTCCGTACTATCAGCAGTAGGAATTTCTTGAGCGATATGGGTTTCTGTATCCTCGGGAGTTTTTGGCGTCTCTGATTCTTCTACAACAGCAGACGCGCCGACGGTTTCCCCAGTGGCCGGTATTGTTGTTTCCGGCTCGTTAGACTCAAGATCCCTGTTGGTGTCAACGTTAGCTTCGAGCTCTCTTTCTGCAGTAAAAGTAGTCGGGGCCACGGTTGTATCTGAAGCATCCTCCCGTGTGATTTCGGGGGCTACTTCGAGTGTAGGCTCGACCACAGCATTGTCGACAACTGGCAACTCCTCGGCCTTTGTTGGTTCTGGTGGGATTTCATCTTTTTCCCATGCCGTAAGCACAGAATCTGGCTCCGATTTGGTAACAGCATCGCCGATGGCTTCTGAGGCATCCGGCTCTACTGCTTCTGTTGGGTCTTCAGCAACTTCAGAGATTGGAGCCTCCGGAGCAGACTTGGGCTCGAGTTCATCAAGCTGAGTTACGCCATTGTCAGCATCGATCGAAGTTTCGGGCTGTGATGGCTCCGTTGAAGCTTGGGTAATGTCTGACGTCGTGGCCACTGGAACAGGCTCATGTTCTGTCTGGGGAATAACAGCGTCCTTGTCAGGATCCAGGTCTTCAGGTTCCTTCAAATCCTCCGGAACTTCGGGCGCTTGGACTGGTGGAGGCTCCGTTGCAGTTTCCGGCTCAGGCTCAGGCTCAATAGGTTTAGCAAGTTCCTCAGGCTCTATGGGCTCAGGGTCATCACCGGAAGGATGTAAGGTTTCAGAATCTGTTACTTCCACAGAAGCCTCAGCAATTTGAGATGCTGTATTCTCCGAAACAGGCGCCGTGTCAGTAACGACATCATCAGCAGGTTTCGTGGTATCAGGCACTCTCAGTTCCTCTGGAGCCTCGGGAGTTTCAACAGTTGCAACCTCAGTTGACGGTGCAGGCACAGCAGGCAAAACAACTTCAGCAGGTTCAGCAAGGTCAGAGACGACATCGCCATTGAGTTGCGATGTCTCGGGCTCTGTTTTTTCCACTGGGGCACCGAGGACATCAGTACTGATCGTCTGTACTACAGGCTCAAGTTCGGCAACCACGCCATCGATAGGTTTTGAGGATTCGGGTTCGGTTTGCTCCACTTCTCCTTCAGGTATATCGGTGGTTGCAGGATTAGCTGCAAGATCACCTGGAAGTTGCGGGGCTGCTGGTTCCTCAGCTGTGGAAATCTCAGCAACGTCAGGCGTTGAATCTGGAGCCGGATCCGCAATGTCGACAGATTTGGAAGTTTCGGGTTCCACTACTTTCTCAGTGGTCTGCTCGTCAGCTACTTCGGTTTCGGGAGTAGAGGATTGTACTAATTCTAAATTCGCAGCTGGCTCAGATGCTTCTGGTTCTTCTCCAGAGTTTCCATTTGTCTCGGGCACTGTATCCGCCGCGGATTCTGGAGACTCTGGTTCTTCAGGAGTCGCTAGCGTGTCAGGCTCTAGTTCCAAAGAGGCATCATCTTCAGGTTTCGATGCCACTACCTCGTCAGAGGAATCAGGGACGACTGGTTCTTCAGCTTCCACCAAAGACTCAGGCTCTACAGAGTCAGGGATGACATCTTGTTGTGTAACCGGCTCGCCATCCGCGATGGTAGCCTCTTCCGATGTGGGTGCTTCTGGCTCCTCTGTTGCAGAGACCACGGGAATTTCAGGGGTAATTTCTGGTTCGGGTGCAGCTTCATGGGACTCTGGAGGAGCAGGAGCTGCAGGGTCAGGTCCAGCCCCTGCAGGTTCCTCATTGACTGGGACATCGGTAGTATCATCGTTGACAGCAGCTTTGGTTGTTACATCCTCAACCGGAGCAACCTCATCTGTGGGTTCGGAGACGAGTTCGGCATTTTCTTGTGGTTCCATGCTAGCGTCGGGTGTGACGTCATCAGGCGCTTCCTGGGCGATTGGGTTTGCGACTTCCCCAGATAGCTCGTCCTCCTTGTCAATATTGACGTCCTGCGACTCAACATCCTTGATAACATTTCCAGCTTGAGAGTCGTCATCTTTAATGACCAATGGTTCCGATTCCGGCGCGGTTACCTCCATAATAGGGGCTTGCACATCGGGCTCCTCTGGTTTTTCTTCAAGAACAGGATCAGGTTTCGTATCCAACTCCGCAATTCCTCCTTCTGGTGTTGACTCTAGATATTCCTCGCCCGAGGTCCCAATCTCTGCTGGCTTGTCGGCCTCATCCTCTTTCTGGACGTCTCCATTCACCAGGGGTATTATGTTCTCATCTACGACCTGGGATTGGGCTGGTTCGGAGTCAGCAGGGGCGTCAATGGCTGTGGTTGGCTCGGCAGGCTCGGCAGGCTCGGCAGGCTCGATAGGGTCGGTAGGCTCGGTATGAATGGGAGTAATTGGATCTTCGGGTTCTTCAATAGAAGCTGGAGCTAAGTTAGAGGCCGCATCTGGCTGGCTTGGCTGCTCGACCACCTTCGGTTCTGTCTCTGGAGACTCAATATCAATAGTGGTCTCCTCAGGTTTGAGTTCTTCGCCGGCAGCGTCAATTGAGGTTTCAGCGTTAGCAGGATTCTCCTCATTTTCTTCACAAACCGGGGTTTCGATCACCACATCCTGCTGCGAAGGCTCAGGCGTGTGGGCAGGCTCTGATGCTGGTGGCTTGTCATCAATGGTGGCATCTGGATCGGTCGCCACCTCGGTTTCCACAGGTTCTGCCTCGTCCACATCCGGAGCTGCAAGGTCGTTCTTCTCTGCCGGTTCAGTATTTTGTCCTTCGTCATTCTTCATTTGCAGTTGCCCCTGGGGCTCTTTCTCAACTATTTGCAGCTCATTTACTACAGGTTCAGGTGCGGAATCAGCTCGAGCCTCATGTGAATCTTCGACAGGGTTTTCGAGAAGCTCAGGAACGTCCTTTGACGTTGTGTCAGCTTCCGACGCTTCGACGTTCTCAGCAGCTAAAGGATCTTCGGCGAGCTTTGTATCTTGAGCTTCAAGTATCGCTTCTGTTGACGCTACATCTTCGACGATAACAGCTTCAGAGGCGTCATCCTTTGATACTTCGTGTTCCACTTTCACCCCATCAGCTTTCTCTACGCCCGAAACAGATCCGTTAGAAATGTTCTCTACGTCCTCCTTCTCAGGAGAATCGGCAGATTTCATGGTAGCCATGACAGGTTCCACTACCAGAACGTTACTTTCGTTCCCTTCGTCGTCCACAGCTACAAGTGTTATTCATGATCAGCACGTGTCATAGTAATCTTCACTAAATGACTAGAATTGGTTCTGTACCGCTATCGACCTCCTTGTCATGGAACCAGGAGCCCTCCAATCCTTCTCGAAATTTATACTGATGCTTTCCCAATGCCACCTCGAATGACTTCGAGAATTCGTATTGGGCGTCCGGGACATGGCCATTAGTCTGCACGGCCGTATCCTGACTGGCGAGTGGAGGGATCGGCTTCACATCAAGCTCGACCGGTTCCCAGGCGGGCTCAGTGAAGGAGGCAGCTAGGAAAATGGCGGGAGACTTGCTCGACCGGCGAATGGCAACAGTGATAGTACTCCGGGTATCATCTGCCATAGTGGATGGCTCGTGAAGTCGTTAAATCGTCGTGAGGGTCCCAATAAAAAGATAGTGAATACGGGACAAAAAGAAAACAAGTGGCAGTATTGAGGTATCACAGTTGCCTTTCCTTCGTTCTCGTCGAGTACAGGCTAGTAGTATGAAGGGGTTCCACGAGATGGCGGGTAACGGTGTTTCTGTTGCACAGTGGATCTTAATGTTGTTACAAGGAAAACAAACAGTAATGCCACCAAAAAATCTCTACAAACAATAGGATAACCAAGAGGGGAGAAAAACCACACAAAAGATAAACAGGTCAGCTATTAGGAAAACACAAGAAGAAGCCACAGAGAGGGGGAGGGGGGAGCGGGGGGATTGTATTTTGATATTCCAGGTGAAACACCAACGATTGGTGAGATTCTTCGTTCTCGCGGATGGTGGGCGGGGATGATGGAGGGGAAACGAACAGCGACGGAGGAACAGGAAGCAAAAGTAGATGGGAAGAGCGACGAGGAAGAAAGAAAACCGCCAGCTTTGATCAACAAGAGTAATTTTTCTTTTTTGCTTTTTTTTTCTTTTTACTCAAGCTTATGCGGAGATGTGGCAGCAAACAAAACAGCGCGAAGGATGAGCAAACGCGGGCGAAGGAACAAGCAAAAAAAATAGCCCCCAGGAGCCTGTGGAGACTCGAGCCCTCGACTGGCCCAAGTGTGGTCAGAGGAGAACTTTTAGCATGAAGTGGCTACGCTTCCTGGCTGCTGATGGGCTAACTTGCAATGCGGTGCATTGATAGTGGAGCCACAGTACAGACTAGGAATTGGAGCCGTTGCTTGGTCCCTGCTGTTGCTGCACTGAGGCACGGAATTCCCAAAGAATTGCTTTTCATAGTTAATGTTGATTGGGCATATCTCATTGAATTCTGTGAGAATTTACTTCTTGTGAATACTAAAAATGAAAAAAAAAATTCCTCTTCTGCTATGCGTCCAATTGATTGCACTTCGAAGCACTCTATCTTCCTCCTCTACAGCCATGTTGAAGAGATTCAGTCATACATAGATCACTGCCTCCAGGAAGAGGAAAGACACAACTCCCGTCCTGATTCCTCGACTCCCGTAGTTTTTTATTTCATTTCTTTGCTCGCGGATCCTTGAAATTGCTTAAGTTGGGTTTGGCGGGAAGGAAATCCGTTGACGGCAAACCCAAGCTCCCCAAGACGGAGGAGGCTAAGGCCGATATCACTGTGACGATGACAGGGTTTGCAACTTGCCCATGATGATTTGATATGGCCTCTGCAGCTCAACAAATCGGAGTGGAGGGGAGAGGTAACCTGCTCTTTCTCCCTTTTTCATTCCCATCTTGAAACTGGTTTTATGTTGCTTTTTCATTTCTTCCTTCGGTTTTAAGCTGCGGAACATCGAAAGATCAAATGGGACAGGAAAAACCCTGATGATGAAATGAAAGTAAAAATCAATCGTTCGTCCCATCAAAAAAAAAAAAAAAAAAGAAAGGAAAAAAAAAGCAAAAAAGGCGGCACTCAAAATTTTCGGGCGCTCGATGTCAATTGCTGTCTAGCCAATCGTTGAGCTGCAAAATTGGCCTGTGGTGGAGATACCCAGCCCATGTCTTCGTCCCGATAAGAGAAGAGCTTGAGGGCGATTGGGGATGGGGATAACGCGATCAACTTTCGACATACGTATCCGTGACATATATGTGAGAGATACATGAGAGATATACATCTGTCTTGTCAAAGGAAGGGTTGAAAGTCAATGATGTTGCCATCGATGTCGTGATCATCATTTCCCTGGTCGTTGAAGTTGAACAAGAGCGGTGAACGGGGCGGAAGACAGCTAGCGAACCTGAGAGCTCTTAGCTTCGGAGTAGCTTGCTTAGTTGAGTTTGGCATTCCATTGTGCCCTTCACCACGCTCGATTGTCAGTTCTGTTTTCTCATCTCCAGCTTCACGCGATGGTTTCGGGAAACAGAAGCGAACGCGAAGTGGAGGACGAATGGTGTGTGAAAAGGGAGATGTCCTGTGAATCCGAGGGCGCGTTGAAGGTTGAGCGGATGATGCTGATGTAGCATCTCGACCCACCAAGCCAAAGAATCCCCGCGGGTGGTGCAAGCAAGTGCCTCGGTCGGCTGCCGTTAGCGAGCTGCAGGGCCGAAAGCCCAACTGCCAGCCTCCTGGATTAGCATGCCCATCCCCAGTTCGTCAGCACCTGATCGCGCAGGAACGCGAAGGTTGTGTTTAAATCTTTGATTTGAATCGCGTTCGAGAAGAAATCTGGGTTGTACATCGTCAACATTGGACTATTCTTGTTAGAATTGCAACAACCTCTTCGCGCCCGATATGCATGTCACATAGAAGGTTTGGTTTCGAACTCCTTGAGAAATGACCAGCCCAATCCAGCTTCTGCTTCGCATGACAATGAATGGTCTAGTGTTTACGCGACGATCGTGGTTAATCGGCAAATCGTTTGTCCTCCCTTCTATGACTTGATAATATACAACCCCACCACCATTGTTAGCTTCAATGCATGACGAACAGGAAGGGTGAGGAGAGCAGGTGGAAAAGCACCATCGCGTCATTGATTGACAGCTGGCAGTCACCGTGCAGGTTTGGGCGTCGCGTTGGGTAGAGTTCTTGCAGGTTGGGGCAACGAATCATGGTCATGGCTATGTCAAACCGTAGATGTTCTTCAGGGTTCTTTCTGCCTGAAGGAAATGGGGCGAGATTTTTATCCTTCTGCCCGCGTTTCAGGTCAATGTTGGATTTTGGCCCCTTGATGCGCTCCGTCTGAAGCCCGGAAGATGAACTAAATCTTTTGACGGATTGTCTATGTATGTGTGAAGAACATGTTCCCCCACCAATGAACCGATCCCCCACACCGAGAATGGAGATGCTGAAGACAATAATGGAATATCACATTTCATTTTCTGTTCGTTTCGTCCCATAAAAGTGTTGTTCTTGTTGTGGTTCTACACTGTAGTAAAAGATTCTTTCTGTTAATTACCAACTTGGTGTCTGACTCGGAGAGCAACAAAATCTCAGCTATAGGCGATATTTATAGTGCGTGAAAACCGAGGCGTCAAAAGAAATCAAAGATCCATACTGGCCTACTGACAGGTGCTCCGCCTGGTTTATAACATCCCGCAAATAGTTTCATATCGAGATTCAACGGGCTGGAGAGTTTCTAAGTAGTTCAGTCACATATTTGTACATATCGACCTGTAGGTAGAAAAAGACTGAAAGCAACTGCTTCCGACAATAAAACCATCTTCCTGTTCGGCTGGCTTCATGATATTGATGGGCAGGAACGAAGCAACTGCGGACATTGTGGATTCAGCAAATTATTCTAACTCCCAATCCGTCTTCTCTTGCATGAATTTCACGAAGTCACTAAGCATAGTCTCTGAATACCAGTGACCCAGCCCTTCATACTCATTCCACGAAACATGCATTCCAAGTGCCTCAACACAGGCAACTGCTTCTCTTCCCAAACGGATAGGAACCGTCATATCTTCAACCCCATGGCCGAGAAAGAGTGGCGTCTGCTGAAAAAGAAAACCTTGAGAGGATGAGGGGAGCTGCAGAGGGCGGGGAATCTGAAGCTCGCCCCTGAAGAAGTCAATAGCATTACCAACCGCATCACTGCCATTTTTAGATTTGATTTCACTTTCACCATCTGTGCTAGAAAGTTGATTGAGCCTCTCTCCCTCGATCGTTTGATCATCCTCCCCTCTGCCGCCTGTTAGAATACTCCTAATCCGCTTTTCAAATGGCAGTCTGCCACAGAACCCAACAAGCGCGCCTAACACCTCGCTTTTCTCTCCCCCTTCCCCAATGCCATCCCAGAGTAAACATGCCACAATACTGGTAGCGCATCCCTGGCTCAGCCCCCCCAAAAGGAGATTCTTCGCGCCACCTTCGACCAACGAAATCTCCCGCTGCAGTAAATCATGTAAGAATTGCGTCGAGTCCCGTAGTCCACTACTCTGCAACGAGTCCCGCGCAAGGGGGAATGGTCGGTCGCTGTTGTCATCTGTAGGAGATGAAGACGACGGCAGCCACCAGAGATCAAACCACTGGCTCATGAGATCGCTGTTGTGTTGTTGGGGACGTCGCAGTGGTGCCGTTGGGAAAACAAATTTTGCGTGAGGGAAAGCATCTTGTAGGGTACCGAATTTGGGATTAGAAGGCTGTGAGACGGATGGCAGAGGAAATGACGTCGAGAGGATATCACGTCCGAAACTAGGACCATCGTCACCCCTCCCGTGGAGCAAGATTATTGTTTGCTTGTGAGATTTGAGAGGCTGGATGATAAAGGGTGGAGGATAGTCGGGAAAGTCCATCTCGCTTGGATGCTCAGATTTGTGTTTTCAGTGTTCGCTTTCTCGTTTATTTCAAAAATCTAAGCTTTCGTCATGAAGGAGCGAGTGGCATACGGATTGGCAAAAAGACCGCGGGGGTATACAGTTCACGTGGGCGCTCGAGCTTGCCCAGTCTGTCATTGTTGCATGCTCGTACTCATGCACTCACTAGCTCCTGAACACAGACAAAGAAAGGTGTGTCCTGATACCCTGTACTGTTTCGATGAGAGGGAGTTAGCTCAACCTTGCGTTATACGGACATACATCCGACAAATATCAAACCACACAAATATCTTGCTCGTGTCATTTTGAAAACTGTTCGCCATATGGTGATCATTGCAATATGATATGTGCTAGCAGTTTATCAGATTGATAAGATTGGAGCCCCACAAGATCGGCCATTGGTCATTCCAAAAAATAAAAAATAAAAAAAAGAGAGAAAAAACAATCTCAATTATCCTCCGCACCATCGGATTAGGAAGAAACAGCGACTCCGTACGAACCGACCCAAGTATTTCAGCTGCCACTAATCTGCTGAAATGGAAAGAACGGACACAATAAGATTGTATTTTGTCGAGGAGGGGCTGGGCGTCCCAGGCCAATTATGTGGTTGTTGTACAGCAACCCACAACTCCTGTCAGATATGGTGATACAATGTTTCTGGGCCGCTGAAGTTGAGGGAAACTTGAGAAGAAAAGTCGAATTAGGCTCAGCACCAGCCGTATCCAGTTTGTCGAATTCATATAAATGTGGTATTTGGGGGTAGAGATGTCTCAGGTTATCCAATTGCTTCTAAACAACCTACCAGTGCGATGGATGTGACAATGACAAATGTCAACTCTATTTAGCTTCATCCACATGTTGGTGCCGTAGTGTATCTACTTGCCATACCTACTACCGATGAGACATGGCGATCTATTCTTCGACAAAGACATCAGGCCAATGCCTCGAGAAACCTTGGATACCATTCCTCTCCGCGTGCGCTTTCTATTTCATACATTCGAAGCGGTGAGGACATCGGCCCCACATCCTGGTCGCTCACTTTCATGTCAAAAACCAATTGTTATACCATTCGGAGAACCACTGGTAACATGGGCGGAAAGACAAACCTCTCCCAAAATGGGCCTTGCTATTTCTGTGTGAAGACAGATGACTCTCACCGGTGTCATTCTGTTAGTGGAAAAACCGCTCATGTATAAGTCCTAGTAGGATAAGATGATAACAATACACCCTAGCATCTCCAGACATTCTGGATGGAACACACAGAGGAGACCTCTGTGGGGTGGGTGCGTCATGTTCCTCCGTTGGAGGTCGTCTAAACATCTTCGTCCCTTTCCCACTGCGCCATTTGCTAGGAGGATTTTATCTATATTAAGTGTGTAGCATTTGTCTTTTTTCACATTATCTGCTGACTCGAAATCCATTATCAGCTGTTCTAAGTGAACATATAAAGTTTTAGATTGAGTTTTTTTTAGATCAATGCCATTCAGGGGCAGAAGGTTGCATGGGGTTGTCAAGAATGAACCATAGCATACTGCATGGTCGACTGTCTGGGATGTTCCTCCTACTCTCTGAGCAAGCGTCGCCCACATGTGTACAGTTTGTATATACGGTAGGACAGATCTCAGCCCAGCGAGCAGCATCGAAGTTTGAATGCCTGGGATGCTTAGGGAGACTCACACAGCAAGAAAGCAGTTTCACTTCTAATGTCACTCGGGGGCTTCCTAAATCCAACGTAGATCGTCACGTATGCGTGGTTAAGTCGCCCGACCTGACATGATCGGGCATCGCTTTCTAACAGATGTATTCCCAGATGCCTGCCAAAGACACACACATACATGTCCGTATGTTCGCGTACAAGCCTCACCCTTGCATGTGTCAGAATTGATAACGATACACGATTTATTTCGATACTGTCGCTCAATAGACGAATGGAAGATTGTGCGTCCTGGCTTCTGGGAGGGAGCAATTCCTCGGGGTTAGATGTCACCTTGTTTTAGAAGGTTATTGGACAATTGGTCTCAAGAATACTATATGTGCAGTAGCAAGTGTGCATGTTAAGACATAACTAATGGAAAACCATGTTTTTTATCAATAAGCAGTTTTTTTTTTCCCCTAAAAAAAAGGACGAGCTCTCCACGACAGCACTTGGAATGACAGTTTATTTATGTATTCCATTTTTCACCAATGAGGTGGTCAGGAGCGAGGTGCATTCTGATGTTGTCTTCAACAAAATATTATGGCCGACTGGAAAATAATTGATTGACCCTCTAGGAACATGGAAAAACGGATACCTAATAAGCGTGACCTATCCTAATGTGCATACGTGTATATCACTGGATCACAACTGGCTAGATAGGGAAAGACAATAAAATGAGACTGAATGCTAACAGGAAGAAAGATTGACCCGAAAGTTCGTGATATAAAATCCTACGCAGCTACACAGAAATCTGTGTGGAGAGGCTCTTTACATGAATAATTTCAGAAGAGCGGATTTGGCTAATGGTAGTATATTGTCGTGTATGGACCGGTCTTCTCAGTGTAAGCGAACGACACCCAAGCTTGAAAGTCGGTACTGGCCTCGATCTCAGATCCAGGCCTATGAACAGGTTAGTAACAATCTGACAGGGGTTGAGCTCTAGATTCTGCTGAGCAGATAAAACGTACATATACATCGGAATGAGTGACGATATCTGTTGGCTATAGGATTTCGCCAGCTCCGTGTATCCGTGTTTCCCAAAAAAGTTGGTGAGGCCATCAGCTATTACCTTATCACTAATACCTAGAGTTGGAAGGTAAATTTTCGGCTGCGGCCATTTTTTTCCCGGCAAAATTTCATAATTAGCGCACACAGGGACTCGGTCTGGGGGGTCTCCTTCTCTGTTCACTCGGTCAGGCATCTTCCGCGTTCCCGCAGGAATATTCAAAGCCTCCCACAACTCCTTCAGCAAGGACAACCCATTGAGGGTCTCTGGGTCGTTAAGCTGTCCGCCGATCGTCCAAATCCGTGTAAGACTCTCAAAATCAACTTGAAGGTCGAAAACATATATCTTGAACCTGCTCTTCTTGGGATCGATGAGGTCGCAAGACAGAAGCTCGACATCCATGCTTGGAGGTAGTGTTTTGAAAAACTTCTCTATCATTTCCAGGGAATGGTCACAAGTGCCCCCAACTACCTGTCGCACTGCATCCAGTATTATATCTTCCTTGGGTTTGTTTGTAACCATAGATTTCAGGCGTGGGTACAGATACAACTTTGCCATTATGTTGCCGTCTTTGAAGTCCAATGACATGTTATGCTGAGTTTTGCATGGGTAATTTCGAAGGTCCATCTCTTTCGCCGCTAGTTTCTCCTCTTCGTCGGTCACCAGGAACGCATTGCGCAATGCGTGGTAAAGATCTGAATTCATCCCAATCCCCAGCAACTTGAATTTAGCCACGGCTTCATCCAAAGCTGTTCTGTTGGTTTGGTCGCGGCCACTGTTTGCAGCTTGGTTCGTAGCTTCAAAATTCATTCGAACTATGCATCGCTCCCTGGTGAAATTCTGACTGAGTTCAAGCGGTCCGATGCGTGATCCTATAGTTGACTCGTAACCTCCTGGGGTTCGTGAGGGCTTAAAGGGGCCAAGTAAGGGGATGACATTCAGGGCGTAAAAGCACATGTATTGAAATTGGTGTTGAACATCATATTTCGCGTCCGCAAGCAGTTTCCCCAAAACTGGGCCCGTTCGATTCCACCAGTCTTCTTGATCGAGGTTAGGGAAAATAAAGCATTTGTTCAACAGGTGGTAAGACTGCGAATCCGCTACGCATGATGTCTGGGAAGGCGTTTCTTTTATCGGAGCCACACCAGTCAAGGTCGTTTTCTTTTCCATGATGTGTTCCAGTAGCTGGTAAAAATAAGAACTTAATCGTGAGGCCTTTGTTGGATTACGGTGAGGGGAAAAGCTGACGAGGACTCCAAGTTAAATGTTGGATATAAATGAAGTCAAAAAAGGACGGGTTTGCAAGAGGGGATATTTCACCATAGAGGTGATAAAGGTTCCATTTATCTACCACTGAAGTTATGTTGTTTGCCATTTCAAAAACTTGATTAGGATAATAGGTGATAAATGTCTCAGATCAACAACTGCATTCCAATGTCAGTGCTACCCACCTTTTTTCCGAGCGTTCTCATGTTTTTGTTGGGCACTGGCTGTCCACGCGGCCACTCCACCGCATGCGATGACCCCTATATAGTTAGCTAGCTCCGACCATAACAATAACAAGATCAACCATCCCACAGGTTATGGCCTGGATAGTAGATTTTTAAGCAAAATGAGGTATTTTAATTAAAATAGCTAGCATGAGAGATTCATAGAAACACGTCACTCATGATGTGATGACCCCTATATAGTTAGCTAGCTCTCCGACCACAAGATTAACCATCCCACAGTCTTCCCATATGGCCGATCAGCTTGAGCGATGGCTTGTATGTAGTGGTCTTGCAATTGCGCTGATAACACCCGCATTGTAGAACATGCTTCAGCAGATCTGCACTAATACACTCGCTTTCAATTTGTAAATATGGATGTCTTTCCCCAAAAGCAGGTAGAATGAGCAGTATCACCTCTCACAAGTCCCGTTCATGGCATTAGGAATCAAGAATATCTGTTCTAAATCAATTGTCCTCATTGTCGGGATCCCCGGCGTATACAAACGTCAAACTTGGCCGCTCACTGCTCCGTACCACCAGAGACTAAGTGCAACAGCTGGTTGGAATGGTAGACTGCCGCCTAAGAGTGAGGAGGCTTCTTTCGTCGGGATTGGAGTGCGGAGCCAAATTTCGTAGAGCCGAGCCAGCTACTATTTCGGGTAGGTCAAATTAGTGGCTACCCCATTGACCATTGCAAATATGTCATTTGGAGGAGAACCAAATGCAATCATTGTAAAGGTATATTGCAACATTTCCCCTTTTAGGTAGAACGTATTGATTCGGAATCTGGAAACCGATGGAGACAAGAAACAGGGACACGAAATTGTAGCTGAACAAGGCAGCACAACCCGCTTCCTAGATATCGATATGCTTCAGTGTTGTCGCATGCCATTTTCTGCTTCTGAACGAAGGAAACTCTGATATCTCGCTGATATATAGTGCTTCTTGGAGAAATTCTTTTCGATTCATTATATAGTCAGAGTTTGTATAGTATTAAAACCTACAAGAGTATATATACCCGTAAGTAATAAGACTCCAAACAATTAAATGAATTTCTATCATTCGCAACTGACACAGACATTTCTGGGTTATATTTGTGCTTGCTGTCGATGGTAGCCCAGGTCATACAATGTCCGAAAGCACAGGAAATATGGAAGGCCGCTGCATATTTCCAAAACTAGAAGCTTCCTGCCCAGGAAACCCCCAATTCGGGTCGATCGATATGAAGCCGGATTCTCTCGAAGATATCGCAAAAGGGACGACTAAAGAGAGTACCTCGTCCCTGTTCGATCTGGTTCAGTGTGCGTGGTCCATTCTTCTGAGCAAGTACACCGATTCCGACACCATCACTTTTGGGGTCATAGCGAGTCCGAAGATGGATGTAATGGACCAGTTGTTAGCAGTGATAGACGAATGCTCTCCGATTTCCCACTCCGTCCGTCTTCAGAAAGTTCGGAAACTCCCAACGATGGAGTGTGATCACCAAGAGCATTTCAATACCTGTCTTCTCTTTGAAGATGTCATAACTTCAGGATGGATATCAAACGCTGGCGATGGTCTTTCCACCGTAAGAGATCCTGTGATATGGACTTTCAAACGCATTGGCCCACTATCCGTTAACAAACTCTGTAATTTTAGATAGGCGATATTTCAGTGATTGTGAAATCGTCCGCGGTCACACCACAAATCTCTATGCACTATTCCACTTCAATCTTGGGCCATTCCATGGCTTCCAACGTGATTGCCACTCTCAGTGAAATCCTCAACTGCCTTTTATGGAAACCGTTGCGGACACTTTCAACGTCGCAACTGTTGGGTGATTCTCACCGCCAGCAAATATCTGCATGGAATGCCCGGTCACACACCTATCCCCTTGATTGTTGCATTCACGCACTTTTCCATTTAAAATGTATGCTTCATCCTAACTCCCAAGCAGTGTGTGCTTGGGATGGAGGTCTGAAGTACCAGGAGTTGGACGACCTGTCCTGGAGGGTCAAGGCACTATTGACAGCACACAATGTTGGGCCGGGATCCATAGTTCCGCTGCTTTTCGAAAAGTCTAAATGGGCAGTTGTTGCGATGCTAGGGGTCCTCAAGGCTGGTGCTGCCTTTGTCGCGTTGGACCCTGCATACCCCGAAAAGCGTTTGCGGGACATCTGTGAGGATGTGGAAGCAAATATCATCCTTTGTTCTGATTGGCTTGTGCAGCATAACTTAAATTACACGACGATAGCAGTTGGCGATGGCACTGTTGCTTGGGGAACGGATCCTGCGCGAAATCAGTCACGAGTGCAGTCCCACGACCCTGCATATGTTGTTTACACGTCGGGATCGACAGGGAAACCGAAAGGGGTTGTGATTGAACATGCTTCGTTCTGTTCTAACGCAGTTGCCAGTAGTAAAGCACAAAATCTTGACAGCTCATCCAGGGTGCTCCAGTTCGCCTCTTATGCCTTCGATATCAGTATTCATGAATGCTTGACGACGTTGATAATCGGAGGCTGCGTTTGTATCCCTTCTGAGTTTCAGCGATTGAATGACTTGAAAAGTGCAGTCCAAAGCTTGCAAGTCAACTGGGCAGAACTTACACCGACCGCTGCCAAGCTGTTACGGCCAGAAGATGTGCCGACAGTGAAGACTCTAATTTTGGGTGGGGAATCCATGACATCAACGGACATAGCTTTATGGAACGAAAATGTGCGCTTGGTATGCGCTTATGGGCCTGCGGAATGCACGGTTGTTTCTAATGTACAACCCCATGTGACCGAGCCTGGTAATGTAGGATTCTGCTTTGGTGGGTCATGCTGGATTGTAGATAAGGAAAACCACAATAACCTCGCAGCTATTGGGGCCATAGGAGAGCTCGTAATCGGCGGGGCCATCGTTTCCAGAGGATATCTCAAGAGACCCGAGCAGACAGCAGCTGCATTCGTCACTGGGCCTCAATGGGTATCAGATTTCGACATAGGTGCAGAGCAACGGTTTTATAAAACAGGGGATCTGGCCAGGTACAGATCTGACGGCTCAATTGTCTACATTGGACGGAAGGACACTCAAGTCAAGATACGCGGGCAAAGGGTGGAGCTTGGAGAAATTGAATACCTCTCACAGCAATGCCTCAAAGAAACAATGGTTGTTGCCGAAGTTATTTCCCACGAAACACGGAGACCTTCATTGGTTTTATTCATGGCGACAAAACAGTTATTTTCAGCGGAGTTGGTCTCCGGCATCACCATATGCGAGCCGGATGGAGAATTTCGTGAAGATGTAGCGCGCTTAAAAGTCCATCTGCAAAATGCGCTCCCAGCATATATGGTACCTGCAGCATACATCCGATTGGCCGCTATGCCTGTGTCACAAACAGGAAAGGTAGATCGGCGGGTTTTGCAAAAGGCTGTCAGCGATCTATCAGAGAACCAGCTAAAGGAGTACCGCATGGTGACCAGTGTTGACAGAGGTTTCAGCTCGGCAGAAACTCCTGTCGAGGAGCTGGTCCAACAGTTACTGGCAACTACTCTTGGTCTGCCATTGACTGCCGTCGGAATGAATGATACCTTTTTGAAACTGGGTGGAGACTCTGTCTCTGCAGTCAGCTTGGTAGAAACTGCTCGCCAAGAAGGGCTCAAACTGACAGTGGAATCCCTGTTCACTGATCAATCAATATCCAAGTTGGCATGTAATATAGCAGAATGCCAAATATCCCACGATCAACCACCGCCGCCGTTTTCCCTGTTGAACGCCCTGGAAAAGGACTCAATTATCTCAAGCGCAGCGGTCAAATGTTGCATCCGCCCTGAAAATATTCAAGATATATATCCCTGCACGCCCCTGCAAGAGGCTCTCATCGCATACACGGCAAGGACGCCCGGCTCACTTCAATGTAGTTTTCGTTTCCAATTGCCAAGGGACCTTGACGTGGTTCTGTTTAAAAAGGCATGGGCAGAAGTGTGCAACGCAAATCCTATTTTACGCACGAGAATTATCATGGCAGATTCACTCCAAGCATTTCAAGTTGTTAGTTTCGGAGTGGAGCCACCGTGTCAATCAAGTGAAAATGAATCGGAATTTCCAGAAACACTCATGTCGTTCGGGACTCCGCTAGTTTCAAGTTCGATCGTCGATAAAGGGAATGAGATCGAGCCACTGACCTTCATCCTCACAATTCATCATGCCCTATTTGACGGATGGTCATACCAGCGGATCTTGGAAGCTACCGAAAATGCGTATAAGGGAACACACATGCCGTCGCAGCAGCCTTTCGCGTTATTCATCGAATACGTCAACAATTTAGATCTAGAACTCGCGCGTGATTTCTGGACAGAAGAATTTCAAGGATTGAGAACGGTTGGGTTTCCATCCCAATTCCTCTCGCCAGGCTATACTCCAAAAGCCACCAGAACCGCCACCCGGTCCATCATGGTTTCCAAATGGCCTAACGGCAGATATACATCATCCACAGTGGTCAGGTTGGCGTTCACTGTTCTTCTTTCATGGTATATGGAAACCAACGATGTTGTTTTCGGGATCACCGTGGCTGGTCGCGGTGCTCCGGTCCCTGGGATCTATCAAATGACGGGGCCCACAATAGCGACGTTTCCGCTCCGTACTATTCTCCACCCTCATCTAAGCATCGAGGAGACACTGAGTGAAATGCAAGCGCATGCGGCGAAACTGATTCAGTTCGAGCAGACAGGCTTGCGACGGATCAGAAGTTATGGAGGGGACGCATCTTCAGCGTGCGACTTCCAAAGTTTGCTCGTTATACAGCCGCAAAAGAGTACAATTTCTTCCGAGCTATTCATTGAATCTCCAAACAATTCTGCTGAACAGCTGAAATTGAGCACCCATCCACTAACAATGGTGTGCGAACCTTCTGGAGAACGAGCGTTGCTTGTCACTGCAATTTTTGATGGTTGTATTTTGGACCACGACGCTGCGCAGATAATGTTGGAACGCTTTGAGCGCGTCCTTCACGATATTACAGATAATCCGGGACAAAGAATTAGCTGCGTAATTCCTGATATGCCACCAAACCCCGACGCCTGGATGAATGAATCGGGTCTCTTGCGTGACGTTGAGTACCAAGCGCAAAAATATCTAGGCGAACCGTACCAAGTAGTTGTTGACATGGTTTGTCCAAAAGATCTGTGTACAGGGAGGCTTGCTGTATTTGTTTGTGAAAATCCAGGGCACCAAAGCATAGAGACAGAGCTGTTTGCCGTCCCGGAAAATACCTTCAAGCTTAAACTCCGTGGGTTGATAGAATATATGAACAAAGCTATTCCTGGGAGTATGTTGCCAATTTTATGTCTTCCAATCAATTATTTACCGTGGACCGCTGCCTCCCAGCTCGACAGAGATCTCCTGCAACTCGCAGTTTCCAAAAAAGACCTAGGTTCTCTCCAACAACTCACGGCGTCGTTCCCCAATCAATCTCAGGGCGCAGCATCAGACCGTGAGGAAAGAGTTCGAAAAATTATTGCACGAGTCATCGGCATAGACACAGATGCCGTTGGGATCAACGATGACTTCTTCAACCTAGGCGGTGACTCCATCTCGGCAATACAGGTGGTCACTCTGTGCAGAGAAGATAGTTTATTGCTGACCGCCTTGGATGTCTTCGACGCTAAAACTGTCAAACTCATAGCCTCGAAAGCAAAGCCTTCTACGATTCCAACACCACCATCAACACCCAGTGAAGGTGGACAGCCGATGGTCCGGTTCCCCTTGTTATCCTTGGCACCTCCTGAGGAAGAGGAACTCGAATTAAGGCTCAAAGAGAACTTGGGTATTTCTTACGACGAAGTAGAGGATGCGTACCCTTGCAACCCTGTACATGAGGGGCTTCTCATCACTCAGTCGTTGAATACATATAAGTACCGGTCATATACCATATGGGAAGTGACTTCAAAAGTTCCCCAGTGTTCCATATGGCCAATGCGCTTAGTAAAAGCCTGGACAGACATTGTAAGGCGCCACCCAGCCCTGAGAACCATTTTGGTTAATCGCGGAACCAACGGCCAAGGGAAAACACATATCGTGCGGAAGGTGCTAAATACTGACCTCCACGTTCTGTCATGTACTGATAACGAAATTATGGACATATTGCGCAAGTCTTCCGTGAGTAATGAGGTGAGCAGTGCTCCTCCATATCAATTCACCCTGTGCCAAACCGATACTGGTAGGCTTTATTGTAAGCTCGAGGGTAGCGATGCCTTTCTAGACGCAGCTTCCCTCCTAATAATTTTACGGGAATTGTCACAATCATACGAAGGACGGCTCTCTTTCTCTGCAGGTCCATTGTACAGTCAGGCCACTGCGTACTTCTGCGATGCCGTGAGGTTCAGAGGCCAGATAGACTACTGGAAAACCCAAATGGTCGATATGCAACCGTGCATATTTCCCCGACACCAAAGTGACGAATTTCAGAGAGAACTTCGCACCATGAAAAGAGCAGCTACTGACAAAGCTTTGCTAGGTCGCTTTTGCCTTGAAAATGGGGTCACCATGAGCAATGTTTTTCAGACTGCCTGGGCTATGGTACTGCGGAAATACACAGGGTTGGACGACGTATGTTTTGGGACAGTTGTTTCTGGGCGGGATGTTCCTATTCCCGAAATCCACAATGTCGTTGGCTCTTTTTTCAATGTACTTGTTTGCCGATTACGTTTCACAGCGCAAGGCAGCTGCCGCGACGTTTTGGTGAGAAATCAGGCGGAGCACGGAACCAGGCTTCGAAATGGGAATTGCTCCCTGATAGATGTTTTGCAACTTTCCAAGTATTTCGGCAAACCGCTATTCAATACCTGCATATCGGTAGAACAGCCCTTGTCAAATGAAGACGAGAGCGAAATTTGCTTCAAAGAGGTAGAAACATACGAAGCGACAGAGGTAGGTCATGAACGTCATGTCAGACACAAGAAGCCAGTTTACTGACGCTGGAGATAGTATGACATTATTATCAATGTATGCGTTGGGAAAAACACGGTCGAAGCAACATTCACGTATTGGGCTTCGGCATTGGAAGATTCCGAGATCATTACCGTTGCGGACGAATTTAGAGAATCTGTAGCACAAATTCTCCTTTTGGGAGAAGCAACCGAATAGTGTATTGCTGTGATAGCAAGGGAAACTCCAGATGTAGGGTGTGGAGTACGTAATAAACGTTTGATATTGAGCTCTGCCTGCGCGCGGGTTTAGCAGTCACTTCGGGACGAGCATGCAAATGGAAACGGCAGTAAAAATGACTTCAATGGGGTGCTTGGATCAACTTATTTACCGTGAGAAGAGCGCAAATAAGTCAGTAGAATTACTTACCTCAAACATGTCAAGGTGACCTTGGATTAACGTCTGTAAGCTATCCGTAAAAACTGCAAGCACATATTATTTATAGCGGTGCTTGAAATTTGAGAAAAGTTGATTAACCACAAAATGCTCTCTGTACGACCGGCGGCTGTCACCACGCTCAAGAAAGGTTGGTGAAATTCTCTAAGAAACTGAAATCTTAAATCAACGAACATTTTTGCTTGGAGGATACAAGAACGTCTGACAGCCCAGCATTCTGCTAACCATGCTCCGCTGAAATGGCTAAACCAACATCACAAGCTGCCGCAGGGAGTAGCAGAGGGATGGGGTTTCGGGGGCCAAGTCTTTTTCACCAGAACGAATATATCTCTATTTATTCTCTGGATGAGCTGACAATTTTCTCACAATGCGAAGTGTTGGATTTTGGAAGCTGCCAGGAAAATCACTACAAATTCAAGCTGAAGCACGGAGCACTCATTGGTGAGACTAAAGATCATGCCATATCATGCCAGGAGGCTTGTATGCTCTGCCTCCTAGTGATCGACATGCTTCGGAAGGTAGGTCGGAAAAGGGTACCAGCGATCCTTAGCCCCCACAGTCCAAGTAAAACAACATGTCCTCCCTCCTGCGCGCTGCTAATAACGGCGCTGGTACAGGATATGTCAAGTGAGTATATTTTGGGTCGGTCCAATGGATTTGGCAAGCAACTGTAGATATATCGGTACCATGAGCTGGAAAGGCTTGTCACTAATTGTCAGTGAAATGGCATTCAACCGCTCCGTTTAGGATCTCGATCCGCAGGGAAACAGGGGCTAAAAAGGTAAATTCCACTCACACCTCACCTGAGAGCCGCCAAAACCAGTGACAAGATGAAACACAAGGAAAGCTGATGGTCACCCTACTAGTAGTCAAAAATCCCGCTGTACAAGTTCCAACGGTGATGTTACTTCTAGTTGGCATGATGTGGTTCGATTGAAGGCTTCTAATAAACGAGGAGCAGTTGTGGGGCCAATCTCAGCCGCGCGCTACTTTCCCGCTAGACTGAAAATGGGCAACAGCGGGAGGACGAGAGTGCAACTACATACCTGGTGCTCTGGCGTCGACAACCATCCCCGCGAACATTCATACTACGTCTTCTGATAGCAGCTGTTGGCCAAGTGTGTTCTGGAAACAGATGCAGCCGTCTTTTTGACACACCAAAATCCAAAGAAACTCAGCAAGCCGGGATCCAGCAAATCCCCCAGACGAGGAGAATGACCGAGAATGGGTGATACTCAACAGCCAAAATTCCTATCTATTGGAGCTTTGTACGCGAAAATTTCTTAACCATATATCGACAACATTGGCTCCGGATTTCCCGGTGTATCGAGTTATCCCACTGTTCTCGCACCCCTCAGGGTAGTCGTGCTCTGATGGCCGTTTCGTCAAGCTGTTCAATTTTTAAATGAGAGGAATGAACTTTAACTTGTAATTGGGTGAGACAATGGAATTAGCTCTTCTCACTCGCCTCTTTCAGCCTGGTTGGCAATTTTCAGTTTTAAGCTGTACTGGCTCTTCTCCATTTGTCAGATACGGACATTGAAACGGTGGCATTAGCAATATGGGGTCTAAGATTCCGGCATCACTCGCCGAGGGGTTTGCTGTTTACCTCTCTTCATAATGAACACGTATGACCAACTCCCCTAATTCTCCATGATTGCATCTTTCCTTCCAGCCGATCAAAAGCATGTGTATGCCTTTTCTATCCCTGATGCACAAATATTTTCACTCTGTATTGTTATATGCATCCTGACTGTCTCCATTTAATTGATATCAGTTCACATCATATTTCTCATTATTACCCTTCTTTCACCTTTCGATTCCAACGACCAAACCAAAGCACCCAAGTATTCGTTTTACAATTGTATTCCTTTGAACCCCTCTCCATCAAAAGATTGATACCCCTGGCACTAACCGTATCCAACAAGGCCCCAAGACGAAGAGTGAAGGGGCTAAAATCCCAATAAAGGCCATGGGTGCTGCAATGAGAGGTACAGCATTTGTACTCTCACCTTAGTAAATATCAGAAAGATCTGTCCATGAACACATGTCAGATGTGGATCTCAATCGCCGTCAGGGATCAGGGGTTGAGAGGGGACCACGCTCATACCGAAGCTACAGCTGTCCAACTGCTTGCCGTCCGTTGCGCTAATTAATAGGGATCTTCAATATATCTCCCTCTTTTCTCCCCTCCCTTTTTTTGTAATGTAGCTTTTTTTTTGGTCTCCATTTTTCTCATGCGTATGACGAAATTTGGAGAGCGAGCCGCCGGCTAGAACGTGCGCCCATAACAGGTTGAATCCTGCAAATGCTTTGCTTCTAGCCGAGTCATAGCGAAGCTTTCGGCATCGATAGATATACAGGGGTTGCTTTAACGTTTCTATGCCCAACCATCTTCAGTTCTAGTTATTGGAATAATCTGCCCAACACCACGCCTAAAAACATGGGTTCAGTGTATCCAGAGCGTATATTTTTCAATGAATGTAATCCGTAATATCAGCGATGTAATGCATTGTTACACTAATATGAAGGCGGACTTGCCTTTTTCAATTGAGAGTTCCCAAAGCTAGCACAAGTGTCAGAGACTCGAAAATTTTTTTTTTCCTTTTCTCTGTAGGAACATGTTCGTAAACAAAAATATTTGAGTTGTAGTATATCAAATAGTATATAACACATAGCTATTAAAAAATAAAAGAAAGAAATAGTCCGTAAGTAAGTATATATAAAAGAGAAGAATATTAATGAGAATTAGCGCTGAAAAATTCAAATTTCGCTTGTGCCTGTGAACCAAAACAGTCGTGAGTGTGCTTGATCAGTAATATTTACGTCATGAATGTGAATAAAGGCGCTTCAAAAGAAATGGGAGGGAAACCTTGACGGCAAGATAAGAATCACACAGGTAGAGTTAAGAAAATAAAGGGGAAAAGGAGAAGGTGGAAACAAAATCCCACAGACGAAAACCGAATCAACCCCGAACACGTCCTGAAACCCCATCCCAACAAAACACAACGAAAGGGAAATTGGTTAAATCATAAAGGCATCCTCAAAAGATCTCCAGATCCTCAAACTCCACAACCAGCCCGTCGGGTCCCGCGTCGTCGTCCATGGAACGATTTACGATTCCACTCCCGCCAGCCACAGCCCCTTGCCCTTGCTCCGGAGTCCCACCCTGGACGAAGCGATTCCCATTCCTCGTTTCCCAGACGCTATTGCTTATCGAAAAATTTGATGGACGACTAGCATATACGCCAACATGGACACTCTTGTCCTCAACACCCCAAAAGAACCAGGTGACCTCGCGAAGCTTTCGCCAGGTATCACTCAACGCACCAGGCGTGCATGCATAAGGGGAGACGGCTGAAGGCAGCTGGTACCAGACCCAGAGTGAGTGGCCGACGCGCTCGAGCTTTATCCGCAGCGAGTTGATTGTTGTGGGTTGGTTAGCGGGTGCCAATGGTGATAGACACCAATCTGCACCATCCGACGTAGCGCTCACTGAGGAAGCATTGACGGTTCCGGAGGAAAACTCCAGACCGGCCTTTACCCATTTGCAGGGAGTGTGCCGGGTTGGCTGCGGGTATGGAGGTGGTGCCGTTTGCTCTCGAGGTAGTTGGGCTGAGGGGATGACGTGTGTGTTATGAGTAATATTATCATTAACATTATTACGGCCAATATTTGAGGGTGGCAGTGCTTGTTGGGACGGTGCTGGGCCAGCGAATATAACCAGGCCGCCCTGATCCCATTCCATCTCCCAATCCGCCGTGACTGTCACTTCCGCAATAACGAATGGTTGCAACAGCGATGTGAACAAGATGGGAGCTGTCGAGGTGTCGCGGTCCGGCGGTTTGCGCCATAAATCAGTGTTAGGTGCTGCAGCCAGAGTAAAATAGTCCATGCGCTCCGGGCAGGAAAAATTTGGCGGCAGGTTCAGTGCCGTAAAACATGATCTGTCGGGGGGCATTGTTATAAACCCAATTGCAATTGTATTCACAGAATTGATTTTTTATATCAAAGCGTCAATTCCCGACATGTAATTTGCTCTTTTTACTTTCCCAGAGGCCTTGACCTGTTTAATTTTAATATCGACTTGCCTGACAGGAGTTCTCCGGCTTCTCGAAGTGAAGCTCTGTTGCTCGAGTTGGGGGCACTGCTGGACCAGCGGAATGGCCAGTTGTCGTCGAGAACAGCGACCTTAGCGTCGCTACCTCCCCAGAGGGGAAATTGCAGTACGGTACGGGGTATCAACAACAGTAACTCAGGGCTCGGAAAGTTCTGTTCTGTGCGTGTGTTGGTAGGGCGAGTTGCTGCGCTATCCAATCGGTGTGGAGCACCCTTGGAGCTACACAACAGTTTTTTTGAACAGGCTCAAAGCAGCTGCAATCACAACCGAGGAAGAGAGCAATAGCCGGCTTGAGGAAAGATCTAGGGAGCCGAACTCCTCTAATAGCTCAATCCAACGTGAGAAATGTATGAGATGTCAGCCTCGAGCCGCGTGACGCACTTTGGTTCTGGCGGGAGTACGAGTTGAGCTGACACAAATCCACACAGAAATCAAGAGTCAAGCAAATCCAGCGAGCGGAATGGCCAACTATGTTTTCAACGATTGGGGAAAATTAATGTGCCATAAACGACAGTTTTGCAGGTATGTGAATATATATATTGAGTATAGAGGGTAATAATTAAAGATTTGAAGAAAGTCATAGACCAAGCATTTCATAATTAATGGATTAAATAATTATTAGGTGGCGGATTAACTGCTCCGTTGCTGTATAAAACCCGAATATCTCAACAAAATGGAATCCAGGAGGCGCGCCAGTGGTGGAGATGATGAACTCCGGTCCAGCTGGCCTGGTCAGACGGTGGCGCTTGCTTCACGAAGCAGGGAACGAGCGACAGAAATGAAGCAACAACAAGAGAGTGAAACAGAACTGGAAGAAGGCGAAACAATACAACTATATCCTCGTCATTCCCGTAGCTGGATGGCAAAGACTGAAAAAGAATGAAGATGAAAACAGATTGGGAGTATGCGAAGAAACGAGCTGATGAAGGGGGGCAACCCAGGTATATACGAATTTTATTAGCTATTGGGAACAAGGGTTTCTGTTCCTCTCCAGCTCCATAGCACAGTTTTTGCCCACATCCAAAGAAACCCCCAATGCGTGCTCTGACAGCTATCCCTGGCATGGCAGGCACAACAATAGCCTGCATGCATAATGCACTGGCCCCAGCTTCCGTCTCCGATGACGGCCACATTGATGGCTTCCCGCGGACCTGACTCTGTCCACTCCGATCCCAGCAACCTGGTTGAGAACAGAATTCGCGGACGCCCCATTCGCAATTCGAGGGGAAAACATATATATGTGTGTGTGTGTGTGTTTGCGCGCGCGCAAGTGCGAGGAATTCCGGAGGACATGTTGCTTGTTGCCCAAAAATATAAAAAATCAAAAAGTCAAAAAGTCAAGAATTTCGGAAAATCAAAATAGCGGTACTGTCGCAAAATCTATTCTGATTACCCTCCCTGTATTCTAATGGATCTAGTTTGGGACACAGGAGCCATGCATGGAAGCTAGAACAGGGAGATCATTCCAGGCCTTGAAATATGCGGTTTCAGCGGTTAACAGGCCTGCATCTGCATGGATTAGTAGGTCGCCGATTTTTGCTGCTTTTGATAGCCCACTATTATTTTTGCCACACAGCGTATCATTTGGCCTCCGACGGTTTCCTTTCATTGAATTTCAGCTGCATTTGGATCCCGGGTCCTCCGAAGCGGAAAATGATATGAATACTTGGATTTTATCCCAGAGTTGGTACGCCGCAGCGGGCGAGTTTTGATACCTGCATTCGACTGTGGGGGCGCGGGAAATTCACGATAGAGCAAAGCCCATATGGATGGTATATCTCCGACCCGGGGAAATCCAAATAGAGAAAATGAAAATGGAAGGAGTATCGAAACCCAGCCTTCCAGAAGCCAAACCCATATTTTTCGGTCCAGAGGCGCGCAGATCCCATGGACAGATCAGAAGATCAAAGAATGATGCGCCACGGTAGAACTTGTGCGCAGGACATGAATGACGTTTCACCTCCTGTCTTAACACTCAGCTTCTACAATTTTATGTAACTCTCGCGCTCTCTCAACACAATTTTTCTGAGGCTACAGTGTCTAAACAGGGTCCGCCTGTGACGTGCAGGGTCAGTAAGAACTCATCGACGAATCAATCGCTTCAAGAATGTTTATAATTGTCCACAAACTCTTGCGCGCCGTTTCAATATTCCCACTGAGCTTGCTTGCCAGCACAGCTGAGCCTCAGCAGACAAGATTGTCTGTACAATCGACGCCGCACGCCATGATATTATTAGCGTTTTGGTTCGAGGTACAACAGCTCAATCCCAAAGCCTAATAATAACCATTCAGCATAGTCGCTCTTACATTCGCCCCCCGCAGGCCCGTTACTGAATGTGTTGTATGCCATTGACAATTAAACGATCTACATTACCACGAAGATGATCCGCAATTATTCCATTACTAACACTAGACCGATCTAGCTGAGGATCGTCCATGAGTAGTCGTTTTGGCCGGAATTCCTGGAGGAAAATCCATGTCGGCTGTCAGAGAAGAATCAGGACTCCCTTCGCATCCGTACCCTTTGATAGTAATCATTACCTCTGCATCCTGTACGACTAACACTTGATTATCCTGCAGTGGACAACAGGGAAGGATTTTTGATGATGACCCCACTTGTGCTTCCACTTGATGCCTTTCAGACAGCATATGCCCCATCAGGAAGTCCAAGAAGCGATAGCTCCGTTGTGGATGCGTTTGGCAGGCAGGTGACTGTTAACTGACAGAGTGGGTGCTCAAGCAATGACCGATGTGGGACATACATGATAGGCCGGCGGCAACTCCTGAGTAGAGAGGGACCAGACTCAGCTCCAGGTTCAACGTCGCGAGACCAAATGTAGATGAAAAACGAGCTCAGATAGGTCCGGGTTGCTATCGAGTATTTTGGGCCTGGCGAGTATCGGAGCCGTCCCTAACACGTCGCTGTCTAGGTAGTGAGGAGAGGAATTCCCGGATAACTAGGCCTGCAACCCGTCATTTGGCCAATGCCAGCTCGCGGCGTTCTTCCGAGAGACAAAGAGACAAAGAAGAGAAGCCAACTGAATCTGAGCTGGCGACACTTGAGTAAAAAAGCGGGCTTCTTTTAAAGTGCATTCATTTGAGAGGAAACTCCGCAAAGTGTTGTAGTCGGCAACGCTTGTTGAATCAGGTATTCCATTCCTTCGTCTGGGGAGTGAGTATGGCTTCGAAATTTTGCCAACTGGGCGGTTTCAAGAGTAACAAAATAATTTGAAATACATTTCGGCCTCAATTCTGTTGGGAGCAACATGACATAACAAAGAATTCGAAGCCTCCATCAATGTAATAACTACAAAATGAAGGAGATAAGTTGCAGAATGACTTTTCCCAGCAAGTCATGCGAGAGAAACCGAACGAAGCCATATGATTTAGTGGTTTGCAGCATCGTGTAAAGAATTTCCAATACCGGTCATAGAATTATAGGGCAACGACTAACAAACAAAATGCCTGGAACTTAGCCAACACTGTGATCGTGGTTTCCGGTGATTTGTGCATTGCAGCCCTCAGTCGCAAACCTTCAGCCCAGAACATTTTGGACAGGGCCAGCTGAGAGGAGTAGAACTGCGGTTAATACTGCAGGGCTAAGACTTCTCTTCGCCAAAATTCCATAGTTAGTTTCTAAAATAATATGAGTTAAACATGTTTGGCATAGTTAAATATATATCTATTCCCGTCAACCCAATGTGGTATCTGGCGGCTAGAGTTAGGGCGGGAAATAAATGGAAAACTTGAGCCGCGCTAAGCCACAACGGAAAATGCTTGAGCTCATCATGCGGCTTGTCCATATCATGCTTCTCCCTTCATCCTTCCTCTAGAAACCACACAGCTTCGTTCTGGGGTCATTTTATCTTCAGAAACAGCTGGCGGGAGAAGGCGAACGTATTTTAAGCTGGCAGCAATTCCCGTGGCAAGATGGTCTGTACGAAGTGCCAAAGGAAGCTCAAGAAAACCGAGCTTGCCACTCCAGCTGTCACACGAAAGAGTGATATATATTATGGCTCTCCGAGCATCACCGTTGGTGGCGGTGGAGGTGCGAAGAGTAAATCATCTGCAACCCTAGGAAAAACTGGGATATCAAAAGTATGTCATTTCAATTTATTCCATGTTTCCACGACTATCATCCCAGCCCTCACCCTGAAGGGATTGCCTGGAATTTGACTGGGTGGCCACATTCAACGCTTTACTCGTATCTACGCAAGTACATCGTAGGGGTTCAGCGTGGCTGAATTGATTGCGTGTTGGATTAGCCAGCATTCCAACATCGGCTTGTGCAGATGCCTCAGCCCTACCGATGGCCTCCCTTCCCACATCATATCCCTCTCAGGGTGGCACAGCAACGTGGTGCGAAAGCCCTGACATTCACAATCATGGCGAATCGCATACGCAACTAAGAATCGTTTATCGGTTGATACATTCAGCCCTCCTTTTTTTTTTTAAAAAAAAAAAAAAAAAAAACCTGAAGGCATCCACTAACTTCTCAGCAACAGAATAAACTCCTTAGCAGCAAGGCCAAAAACCCATACGCCGCCTACTCGAGTGCGTGCGAGTCGTGCAAAACTAAGACAGAGCAGGGCAGGAAATTCTGCCAACGATGCGCTTATACGAAGAACGGTATGTTTCCCCAATCTTTCTTGTTTCCCGTTGGTTGAAATGATGATAGTTCATTAATCAAACTCGTTGTAGCCTGCGCAATGTGCGGCAAAAGCCTAGCCGCCGCGGGTAAAAACTCGAAGGACCAGCCCGTCGTTCAGGCGCAGAAATTCAATTGTAAATGAGCGAAATCTGTGGCCACATTTCTCATTTAATGGCTAGTTTGTGTTCTTACCTCTGTCTGCTCTTATATCTATCTCTCACGTGGCTATGGAGAAGAGCATGTGTATGTCTGATATACCAAATTTTCGGCGAAGAATGTTTCTCTTTTGGTTTGGAAGATGCTATGAGGAAGGAATTTCCCGGCGATAAATTCTCCCTTTGGATTTACGTATTCTTATTTGCCCTGGGTTTAGGGTCGGAGGTAGGGTGGTGCGCGGCGTTTCTAATGGGAAGCTTGGGATATGATTCCTGAAAGATCGTTATGACATGTTAGTTAAATACATTCTATCAACTTTCCAAAAGTAGTGAATAATCTGGGAAACAATTCACTGATGGAGATACCTTATAAGGATAGGAGGAGGGTTCTTAGCGAATCAATCCCCCACCCAAAAATAGGAAAGATGTACAACTTTGTTAAACGTCAAATTCCATGAATCTAGTAATTGTACAGACACAAATGAGAGAAGGGAATCTTAGAGGAAGAAAGAAAAGCTCCAAAAATCAACCTGATCCAATTCTTTACCAGAGCTTAGTCCATACAACATTGCAGTATACAGGGGGGGAATTATACAAGAAATCCACGGGGCCAATTCAAATCACAACTTCACCTACAAAACAGCCTCCTCCCTTCCCAAAAGTCATCTCTCCTCCAGCATATTCTTAATCGAACTCCAATACACCGGCAGCACATACTTTTGAATCTCATCCTTGGCCAGCCACTTGAAATCGACAACGCCCAGAGTATTTTTCAACAGGTTTGCCTGGCCGGCCATGATTCTCCCCTTAAGGAAGAATATTTTTTCGCCGCGAAATTCAGTCCCCGCTTCTGGATCACGTTTCGGTTTGCGGAGGTTGTAGACGTAGTGGCCGATCGGGTGGTAGCCAACCATCCAGGTATTCATGTTAGGACCTGCGGAGTCCAAGAGCGCACGTTCCGCTCCCTGTATTGATGTAAATGATATTACGTGGTTAGCTTGGAAAATCTATTGATATCGCCCGGGGAAAGGTTGAGGCAGGAATTGCGATATTTGCTGCCTTGAAACAAGCAGCCACAACGCAGAGGACATAAAATGGGAATTTAAAAAAAAAAGGAAACGAAGAATTAGAACGAACCATTCTCAAACTCTCCTTCTCCTGCAACTTCACACTCGGAAACATCCAGAATACCTTCTCCCCATTCTTGACCTGCACCAACAAATACAACGTCCGATGCAACAGCCGATCCAAGCTTCTATGATCCCCTTTCTCATCCGCCTCCGTAACCCTCGGAAGCGGCCGCGGAACTTCGTCTCTTTTTCCCTCCTTTTCATCCGTATCGGTAACAGCTCGTCCCTCCGCGTCCTTCACTAGTGCATTGATCTGGTGCTCCGGCTCCGACTCCACGGAGCCAACAAGCAACTCGTCGTTCCATGCCTCACTCGAATACGCATTGTACCGCCCGATATCTCTTGAGGGCGTCAGCCGCTCTTTGATCTTGCGCTTCCAATCGACGTCTGCGGGTGTGTCACGCTTGAAATAAAAGTATTTCGTAAAGGGCAGTGCAAGACGGTCGTTTAGACGGCGTTGGTAGAAGTAGAACGCTTTCTCGAATGAGGTGAGCTCGCGTGTTAGCCGGGGCGGGCGGGAGAGGACGATTCCGGCTTTTATGTCGTATTTGGGTGTTAGGGTGGGCGAATTACTTGTGGTATCTGATGGTGTGGTCTGAGGTGTCGCTGGAGCTTGAGCTGCGGACTCAGCAGCAGTGGCATATCCGCGGCGGCTGAGCGTTTCTTGACAGCTTCTGCACACAGCAGGATCAAATGTTGACGGTCCTGAAACAAATTAGTATCTGTTCCCAGACAACTCAGGTTCCCCTTTGTAGATGGGAAAGAAACAATATCACATACTCAACAGCGTTGCAAAACGCCTGGCACCATTGGCTCCCGCAGACATCTCACAACCAACAATGTAGACAGCAATTGCTCGTTGCTGTGTGGCCTGGCCTGCGTCCTGTCCTGACCTGCCTACTGAGCCTGCAAAAAAAAAAGTCTCCAGCAAAACGTTCCTTGAACTCAAGTGCTGGCACGCTAGATAAATTGTGGCTTAATCTCCACACGTGACGTAACTAATTTTTGCACATAAAATTTTCTGTGCCCGTGTGAAACATCTTCTCCTCATCTACAAAATATGGCACGAATCCTTATCATCAATTGCGTCGTTTTACTCCTCCACAGCTATTTGATCATTTAGCAGTGCCTAGAGAAAGATATTCCGTCATTGCGGTCAATTTTCGCTAGCGGTACCTTCGTCTTCTAAGGTGTACGGTTAGATAGCTACTGCATACAAAAATATGCCCTCCAGAACCAATGTATTCGGGATACATCGGTTCTTCTATTCACTTCCCCGATAATAATTTAAATGTTGCATTCAAACATTTGTGTCATGCTTTAAAATGATCTAAACTCCTTGTGCAAATCGTTTTGAGTCGTGTCTCGCGAATTGGGCTCCCTTCTCTTAAAAAGATTAATTCAAGTCACATATTTCTTCCAGTGTCCCAAAAACTCGAAGTTTGTTTCCGTAAGAATCCCAAAAATCATCGGAAAATGGAGGAATTAGTCTTGAATTTTGTCTCTTCCGTTGACTCACGGCCTTCTCTCGAAGTTTTCGGAAAGGTGAATTGGAATCCAGAGATAGCAGCTGGCTTTTGAGAGTACCGTTTTCGCCATCAGCAGGTTGTTCGGAAAAGAGGGAGCGAATACGACAGACTTCGCTCTCTGTCCTCCAATCCACTGGTGCTTGTTTTGGCGTTGATTTATCCTTCCTAATCGGCGGTCTATTAAAAATTGACATCACCGACGTCGATGAGGAGAAGCTCTTGGAATCACTGCAATCTGGCTCATCTACGTCTATGAGTTTTTCACCTTTATTTTCAATGCGTTTTCTTATGCTTGAAGTTGTCTTCAGAGGCGTCCTTGGCCAACTATCAAGAACAATGGACTCAGTAATCGGAGGCGAGGAAGGGCTGGAAATAGTTCCTTCTCCCAACAACTCCGCAGCCAGCCTGATCAGAACCTTTGCTGTGAGCAAGCTATCGTAACCTGCTTCGTGGAGTGGCTTTTCGTCAACATATTTATCATGTTCTGGATCGAGAACTAAATTGCACGCGGTTAGAAGATGCAATTCTCCATATGGGCTGTGTTAACTTACGTATTCTTGGAGTCCTCCTCTGCTCCAGTTTGTCGTTAATTTCTGTCAGGGACGACGAGGGTGTCATTGATGAACAATTGTGCGTTGCCATATATTTCGTGTCAATAACGAGGGGAAATAAAGCATGGATAGCGTTCTTGAAATCTTCGATGCGATCCGGAAGGTCCCCAATGAAGCATTTGTAAAAGTTAATGAGGTCAGTGAACAAGTTATGCCCAACCAACACAGGCTGCCTTGATTTTAATTTCAACTGTAAGTCGTCAGAGTACCTCAACAAGGCGCTCGTGCTCGTGTTAACTGGAGCGGAATTAGAGATACAGCTAAGAAAGACCCTTGGGTCCATTGCAGAGAGGCCACCTCCAACCATGCCCTCAACAACCCAACGAAACCCCGTTTTTTGGATAACCCGCTCTCGAAGAGCTCGTGATTTATCAACACGTATGCTCTCCTCACGCTGTTTGTCGTATGGAATGATTTGTACGAATGTTTGTCGACCGATTGAGACGAGCGAAGGATACTCTACCCGAACCAGCTGATGTACCAAGCGTTTTTGGTAACTGTTTAGACTGAACCTCCAGCTTCCTAATGGGCTTTCTGTGTTTCCATTTTCTAGGGGACAAGGTTCCGGGATGTTGAGGTAGTCTTCCTTATCCTTTCAGCCGTTAGCGATGACTTTCGAATGAATAGAACGATCATCTCCTTACTCCTGTCTCGTTAATCCAAGCGTCAATAAGACGGCGAACCTGGGTTAAAAAGGCTTGGGATTCTGGGTCCATGTCTTTGGGGTTGACATCCATAAGTTTTGCGATACTATGCTCACTCTCTGCTAATTTCGCCATTGCTTGTTTTTCCTCGAGGCGCGACAGATATGGCAGCCCCTCTACAAACGGTGCTTCCATTCGGAATCCGTTTTTCATCAAAAACTGGACAGCTTTGTTTATTCAGTAAAACCTCATTGGTGGTGGAACAGTAAAATTTGCCAGTTGATATGGGGATACAAACCACGGCTTTGATACGACCATCGTCTTTCAACCCCTAATTTTTCGTCAAGCACGGGATTCAAGTGGAGGTTATAAGGCCGTAACACATAGGTTCCTATTATTCCTGTTTAGCATCAAACCCAAAGTTTTGTCAACCGCGCACGATCACTCTGACCAGTCTCCGTGTCCTCCCTTGCAAAGGTCAAGCCAATTTGCAACACCTGATAGGTCTCAGCTGCATATTTAACTTCCTCGTATCTTGCCTGAAGAGTTTGTTTCTCTCCCCACAGATCGCTTCCGGGATTAGGGCCAGACTGTCTTGCGACGATTCCGGAAAACTCTAGGTCTAGGGCAACGAAAGTGGACTCGGCCAGGTCATTTAGTAGTCTAGGTAGATGCTGGCTAAACGATTGCTTTGTCACATCCATATTTGATAAACACGCAGGTTCAGATATGGAAAATTGAGCAAATGGGACACAGAAAGTCAGGGAGAGTTGAGTTCCTTAGGGCTCACTCATGGACTAAAAGGAATGAGAAACCCAGGGAAATGAAAGAGATTGAATGAAGAAATGGATGGAAATGGAAGCCAGTTTAGAACATGTCAGTCTGTGTGCAGCACCCAGGAGATAAGCAACACAAACAAGAGATGAGGGTTTTCCTCTTCCTATGTAAGAGGGGTTGTGATGATTTGGTATTGTCGCTGGTTAAGAAGTCGCCCAGCAGTGTGACCTCAGTTTCCCATCAGATCTAGCAGGAAGTGATAAAAATCCTTTTGTCTGCACCACAATTGCAGGCGATCTTGGGCAGGAGACAATGGATTTGAATTCTCTTGTTGTAGTAACTTAAAGACTAAAGATGCAGGCGCCAGGCGTGGATAAGTTACAGGGACAATTGTCCCAAATGTGTGTAGCTTCAGTCAAGCCGCCCTTTCCAGAGAGCTCCCTACCATTGGGCTTCTCTGCTCTCTTCAAAGTTCAAACCACACGGTCTCTTGGTGATCGACTAGGTCAGTCGTACAGACGGTGAGCGAGAGCGAATGGGAAAATCTAGTCTCGCAGTGTTTGCTCACACCTCTCCCAAGCAAGCTCCTCCTGCGCAGACCAGATACCCATCCAGATCAGAGGAAGTTGTGATATTGAAGTGCTTTACCGCTAGGCTAAACGGTGAATTCTCTATTTAGCACAGCTTTTAAGTTCAATTCTCTTTCACGCCTTGAAGTCTTAACAGAAACAGAACTTGACAACTGGTGACTGAGAACTCTGAGTTCAATCTGAGTTTCATCAAGACAAATGCATGAACAACTCAACAAATATTAGAGTTGGGAAATTTCCGAAATAGAATAAATTAGATAGATCTCTTTCACATATAAATTTGGCAAAGATTAGACCAGAAGTGGTAGAGTGAAGAGAGGGGATAGGAAGCTCCCCATTCTGCAAGAATAACTCCCGCCAAACCATCCAACTCGGTCAAATTGAAGGATTATGAGAGGTGTCAAAGTCTTTTGAGTGAGGGTATTTGGTCGCCTAAATCGAAGAATTGGATTCGCTTAGTGGTTCGTGGTTTTCAAGTACCTCAGATGCACTACGACAGATAGATTGAATGATTGAATTTTTGTTCCCTATGACGGGGATCTCGTGATCCACATTTAGACCGAGGATGCTGAGGCTCGGCCAGCCCAAGCAGGAGTTCTGCTCTGCAAGTCAACAAGGATTATTGCTAACTTGCTATGTCTGACTGAAGTTGAATCTTCTCATAACATTTCGACCCCGACAACCCGAAGTCTTGCATGATGGCAGAGAACAGCGTACATCACGCTTCGACGCCGCCACGATTGATGTCCTCCTCAGTCTCCTCCCTCAGCTCCTCCCTCTCCCTCTCATCCTCCAAACAAATATCTCAGGTTTACAAACAGTCCTCGGAGCTATTTCTCACGCGCCGATTACAAGAAGCGTTATCAGTTGTTGAACCCATCATCACTCCACCTTTGTCACATGATAATCAAGAGGACGGCCTTGCTCCAATTGCTACAGCCTCGAGTAATCTTCAAAAAAAGGTTTGGACCCTGTACATCTCCATTCTGAATGCCATTGTCGAACTCGGCGCCGAAGAGGGGATAAAACAATTTGGTAAAAATGAATGGAAAACTTTGGCTTCCAAAGCCCGCGATGGTGAGCTCTGGAACATCGTCTCCCAGGTAGGATACGGAGGCAGGGATGGCTGCATAGATGCGGATGTCGTTTATAACATGTGAGTTCCGATCAAGGATGCAGGGAGGCTTAATATTTTATCTTGAACAGCGCTGACATGTCATTCGCCATTACCGTTCAGCGCCACTCTGCTCCTTACCCATGCACCATCGCAGAAGCTCAATCAGCAGCGCCTCGAACATTACCTATCCTCCTCCAGCCAACCTAACCTTGACGTCGCAGCTCACGTGGAGAGCTCACCGCCCAGGAAACGAAAATATGGAGCATCGCATGCGAATGGGACAGATACGCCAAGGGACCTGTCGGCGCGGATCCGGATATTAGAGCTCTTCACCCTGCATGTCCTCCCTCGGAACGACGAATGGGACTACGCTAAGGAGTTCATCAGCCTGTCTGAGATTCTGGACGATGAGCGGAAAGACGTCTTCCTGCAAACGTTGGAGAATCTACGAGAGGAAAGAAAGCAAGGTGAGCTACAGGCTGCAGAGCTCCAGCGCGAGAAGGAGGCGGAATTCGAACGCCAGCGACAAGAGGCGGCAAAGAAGAAACTACCTACAGGGAAAAAGCCAGCCACGGAGAAATCGCGTGTCGCAAAAATAACGAACGTCCATCGAAGAATGGGCAGCGAAGTCGACTACGGAATCGAGAATGAACTTCCAAATGCCGGCACTCCTTCGGGCAAAAGTCGAAATCCCAAACCTGCAAGAAAGGCCGTTAAGGCAGCTTCAGCCTCAGCGACCGAAGCGTCGAAACAATCGAACCAGGCCATGGGGCGAATGCGCATGTTTGCCAGTTTACTGGTTGCGCTACTCAGGAACATGCGTCGCTACATGTCTGCGAATCCGCTATCCTTTTTGCGTGCGCTCCTTATTGTTTTCGGTGTCCTCATCGCGCTTAGACGCGCAGATGTCCGAAACCGGCTCCGCAGAACCATGCATTCTGGATGGCAGAAAATTCGTGGCACTGTAGGCATGGGCGTTAAGGTTAGTTACATATAGCAAAGGGCATGATGTACTGTACATAGGTATTTTGTTTATAGGTCTATATATATTTTTCCCCCCCGGTACGGCCATATTGAGTTCGGTGTATATAAGGAGATGGGTTCGTTGTTCATCATTTACCTGTTCTATTCCTTTGCATTTCTTTGGTTCATAATCTCCCCATAGCCGTTTTCGTGGTCTGCTTTTTTTTTTTTTTTTGTACATAGGCTATAATCTCTATGGTGATATCCAAATTGCTGAAGACCGGATACACGAATTACAAATATTACCCAATCTCAGTAAACTTACCAACCACCTTTTCACCGCGCTCAACATCATTCTCAATAACATCAGCACAATCATGCAGGGTTTCTTGCATATCCTCACTCGTTCCACCCGCACCGGTACTCACACTGAAATCCCCCCTCTCACAACCAGCTCCCAGCCCACCTCCTTCTCCTGGCACCCTTTTCTCCTTTTCTCTCCAGTCCCCCACACTCCTTTCCCCCCACCTTTTAAAGAAATATACCATGAAATGAGCACAGACGATCTGCTCCAACGTATACAAGATAACAGGTACGGTTAACTTAGCGACAAGACGCAGATTTACCATGGGGTACATGGCGTAGACCATGGGAATTCCAAAACCGGCGGACTTCGCCGGACCACAGAAGCAAATGGCTATGGTTTCGAGCGGCGGGGTTCGCTTGATGAGGCGGGCGAGGAATGCTTGCAGGAGCGAATGGAGTTTGGCTTTTTTCGATATAATTACCGTTGTGACGGAGGGCTTCGCAGTTGCGGGCCTTGCTTGTGGAATGACCGCGGAAGGGGGATATGCGATTACCAGGCTGAGACCAGTGAGGCAGGTGTAAAATAATATGTTAAACAGCGTGATGAATGCGACTGTTTCGTGGCTCAGCGATTGGAAGGCACCGGTTGCGAAGCTAGTCGAGAAGCTGGACCTATAAGTAGAGAATAAGTAGAGAAGAGAAATTAGAACAAAGGAAACCTTAGAAATGGCACATTTGGTTTGCTTAAAGGGTTACATTCCGTGCTTCAAATGCTTGCCGTGATCCACGAAGAGTCGGAAGGCATTCAAAGGAAACCCACCAAACAATGACAATCAAGCATACACTGCTCCACTTCACCAAATAAAAAGTCTTCATCACCCAGACCGTCTTCTCCGCCCACTTCCACCGAATAAGTTGGCCAACCACCAACGGCAGGAAAGCACTCAACCCTAACTGCTTAAACACACTCCTATATATCCCTTGTAAATCACCATTCGACTCCTTCCACACGCCAAATGCCCGAGACTCGGGCATTAATGTCACAGCCCAGCCAGGCGCGATGAACGGAGCAATGATATTCGCAATAAATACCTCGACCAACGCCGCCGCTTCATCTCCACCCGCAGCCCGAGTCATCACCACATTAGACACAATGGTGGTCGGCAGGCATGCCAATATGATATACCCGGCCAACACGTGCCTATCAATCTTTTCCGCATGGTCCGTGGTGTCTACCAAACGCACCAGTCCGGTCATTATGGCCGGGATTACCAGAAACGAGATACCCTGAGTCTTGAGATGCAGGCGGAAATTCAGCAGGTGCTGGAGCAGTTTGTCACTAGGGATAGAGAGACCGCTTATCAGGAAAATCAGAGCCACCGCCCCATACAGGATAGTGTATTCCGATCTAATGATGCCACCATGCTTGCCCACCTCTGGAAAGTAGTATGCGAGGGCACAGCCAATATTTAAGCCGATCAGGAGCCACTGGCGGAGAACAAATTTGAAAATAGTGGTACAAAGGGAGCTTTTCTCTTCCCTCGGGGGTGTAGGAGAAATGGATTGGGGTCCCATTGGCTGGACTATTTCAGAATATGTACGCCTCTCCGTTCTGCTTTCTATAACTATAGAAAGTTGTCTTCTCTCACAGAACAACCACCGCTTGCCAGGAGGATACGATGTGCCTGTATACGCCCTTTTCGGCAGACTGGACTCACGGAAAGGACATCCATAGGAAGTGGAGCAGAAGAGAGGGTAGACAGCTCTTTCCTCTCTCGTCGGATGCTAGGAAAGAGAAAAATACAAAAATAGAAACAAGAATTTGAGCTTGTGGAAGGTGGGTACTTTAGACCAGTCACGCATTAAGCAGCGACTAGCGAGGGACAATCAGAAGTCGATAGATGTGCTGGATATTTGGCATTGACCCTAACCTCCAAATCCCGTCCCCTGCATTATCGAGAGCAGTTGAGAGCATCATAAATCTAGTATGGAGACAAGTGGAAAGGTTGAAGATTGGTGGAGCAATTTAAGGTTTCCGGTCCCCAGCATCGTTGACTTGGCAAAGGCGTTGATATTTTTCATAACGAGCATTCGGTCAGGGTTGTTTATATCACTCTGCCAAACGGGGCGGGTCGAGTTGAGGATGATTTCCCCCCCTCCTGTCCTCCATTTCTCCGTGCCGCTCATTATTCACAATGTGTTAAAACGGTAGGGATCAGGGCTTGAAAACAACTAACTACGGGATGTGGGCCAAAATTTTTCGTTTGCCTCACCCTACTCACTCAGATATACTAATATTTCTCTGTCCCTATGTGTCTATTCAGTAGGCGATCTGAAGACCATTGGTGATTATCTGATTAGATTGTCTCCCCTAGTTAGCTACCTAGTTACAGTTAGACTAGATCATTGGTCACTCCATCTAGTTAACCCGAGACGCTGATGAGAGACACCATTCCATCACGCCGTAGCCCCGGATACCTCCTAATCAGATTCAAAAGCGTGAAGCTGTGTGTAGCTAAAGATATCAACGTAGTCCTTTTCACCCGCCTGGCTTTTCTGAAGAGGCTCAACAATGAATATCTGAGCCAACATTGTGCAACCAAAGGATCCGACCTCGGCATCCTTGAGATTAGTCATCCAGCTCGGCAAAAGGCGCAGCGCGAAAACCGAAAAACGTCACGCTCACGAGTTTCCCGCGAGTGCCCCGAGATTACCCGCTTTCGGCAAATGCCCCGCAAAAAGAAGCCATGCTGCCCGCACTAAACCCCATCGGTCAAACAGCTGACAAGAAGACCCTAAGCCGATGTCTGGGGATTGATGAAATCCTTCCCTGGAGACCCCTTTTTTTGTGTTTTTGTGTTTTTAGTTGGCTGCCTGTTTGAAAGCATGTGAAAGAGGAGCGAGCAGCTGAATCAACAGCTGGTCGTCTCTTTATGTATCATCCATGGACCATCCTACAAGACGGGTTAATGTTTCAAATGTCATTTCTGGGGGTATTACTGAGGGGCGTTTGTTTTCACATGTCTTTTCTGATCCCAACCTAAATTTCTGGAATGATTCGAATCAGGTGAGTGAGATCTGGGAACGGTCATGCAGGTCCAGCTTCGCGCCGCCATTTCAAATGCCTGGGAGCTGCGACTTTTAGTTCGGCAGGACCTCGGGACTGATGAGAGCCCTGAGATCGCCACGACCATGGCTTTCAACAGCCTCTGTGTAGGAACAACTGGCAAGGAACTTGATAGATCCGTCATGGAGACAACTGATTCAAAAAGGAAAGGAAACTCCAGGTACTTGTATGTACTAGTAGTTTATAGCCCTGCTGTCGGGTGTTTAAGATAAGGGTTGTTTCGCCCTTCCGTCCTTCCGCTCGTCCATGGGCCCCTCACAGCGAAATACTCTCGCTTCCCGGTTGTTCAAGGCTATGTATTTTCCCTATACAAGATACTTTCGGGAGTATTGAAACAGAAAAAAAAAGTAGGGCTTACCCTTGTATTGCATCATTATTGGCCCCATCAATTGGATCTCCGTTTCCAAAAATTCCCGTCCTCGATATTTTTATGTGCTTGTTTCCGCACAACTCCTGTTCCTTGAAAAATCTTTATTGTGCCTATTCCAAAATATAATAAAAATAAAAAATATCTTCCCTCGGCTTCTCTCATTTTTGACTTTCACCTGGGATTACGTTTTTCCCTCCTTTCCCTTTTGTCAATTGTATCGCCTAAACATTGAGATTGGAAACGACAGGGTTCGAAGATAACAGTTCGCGGACTTTGAAACCGGCGCAATTCCTGCTTGACCTCTCTTCTCCTTCTCTCCCTCTAAACTCCTTCACATCATAGTAACATGTCTGAAAAGAATGCAAACAGTCAAAATGGGAAGAAGCCCACCTCGGTGGCCACCAATTTAATTGGTTAGTTTGATAACCCCCTCTATCCAAATGCTAGCCTGGAGCATTGCTATGACTGACTAAGAGTATAGCGGGTGGTACGGCTGGAATGATGGAAGCGCTCGTGTGCCATCCTCTAGGTACGGGATTTTCCCCTCTTTTTTTTTTTTTTGGTCCGAGTCAAAGCTCCAAAATATAGGGTGTGCTGGGCACGGGCTCAATTTTCTTATGGTTTAGATACTGTTAAGGTCCGAATGCAACTGTCAAAAAGAGCGCGGGCACCAGGGGTGAGTTCTTCTATACTGAAAACCACAAGTGCGGTTTTGAGACTGATGGAGTACGGGTGTAGGTAAAAGCTCGTGGATTCATTGCGACTGGGCGGGAAATCGTAAGGAGGGAGACAGCTCTCGGTTTATACAAGGGTCTCGGTGCTGTTTTGAGCGGAATAGTACCGAAGATGGCCATTCGATTCACATCGTATGGGTGGTATAAACAAGCGCTCACTAATAAAGAAACTGGGAAGCTTTCTGGCTCCGCGAACATGCTTGGTACGTTAGATCAAGAGGAGCGTTTGATATGAGGATTTCTGCGTTTGCCCAGTTCAGCATGGCTTACAATTTATCTCTGAATTTAGCTGGTCTTGCCGCTGGGGTCACAGAAGCTGTCGCAGTCGTCACGCCCATGGAAGTGATCAAGATTCGTCTCCAGGCACAACAACACAGCCTAGCTGATCCTCTGGACACCCCCAAATACCGCAGTGCGCCACACGCTCTCCTCACCGTTGTCAGGGAAGAGGGTTTCGGCGCTCTCTACCGCGGTGTTTCCCTCACGGCCCTCCGACAAGGCACCAACCAAGCCGCCAACTTCACTGCATACTCCGAACTGAAGGCGCTCCTTCAAAGATGGCAGCCCCAATATTCAGGGAAGGAGCTCCCCAGTTACCAGACCATGGTTATTGGATTGATTTCCGGAGCTATGGGTCCCTTCTCGAACGCGCCCATTGACACGATAAAAACCCGTCTGCAGAAAACTCCAGCTGAGCCCGGCCAAACGGCTATTTCACGCATTACGTCCATTTCGACCGAGATGTTCAAGCACGAGGGCGCCAGGGCGTTCTATAAGGGTATCACGCCTCGTGTCATGCGTGTGGCACCGGGCCAGGCGGTAACCTTTACCGTGTACGAGTTTATCAAGGAGCGCCTCGAGCGGTCGCGCTGGTCAATTGTGGGCGGGAATAAGTATAATGAGTAACTTTAACGCTTTGTAGCTTGTTGTCACCTGTAGTTTGTCTGCACTGGGAATCGAGGAATATCACCCCGAGGTTGACAGCAAGTCGCTGCGGTGGAAGTTACGCTTTTGGCCCTGACTTAGCATGTATGTGGTGATTGGCTGCATTATTTCTTTTTATTTTTATCTGCGTGTATAAACTCGCCTTTTGGTTTCCTTCGGTGTCACCTACCATCTGTCGCTTGGGATGTCCAATTTATGTTGTGGATATTAGCGATATTGTTGTTTTTCTGCGTGGTTACATTTCCTTTATATTTTTCTCTCGTTTCCCCCTTTCTTTCCCTGTTTGCTTTTTTCTGGAGCTATACAAATTTCATTCCTGGATTGATAGACTTGTGGCATTGTTTATTTAGGCCGCAGCTTATATTTCTCGAGGCCGATGTACATTTGTGAGATGCGAAATGTTACTTTCATATTACCGATTCTCTGGGATCAAGCCTATCATAGGTTTCTAGCTATTTTTAGTCCATGTAAAGAAGCTGGAAAAGTGCTATAGGACATCATCAGGGTTCAAATCTCCACTGTGAAAATACAGCAACGGGTCTCGTAGCGAAGAACATATCCAGCCATCTCAGTAGAGAAATCTATAATTGTTAAATATCTCGAAATAACAAAACAATAAATAACCATGCCAGTACATAAATTCGGGATGGTTATAGGATTGAAGTCGAGTTCCGTGGCACAGAGATAGATACATTTATTTACTAGGTAGTTGGGGGCGCTGAGGCTGGGTTTAAATATTTAGTTGACCAGCTCGTTTCATCCCTTCCGGTACAACAAAACTACATCGAACACAAATTACAAGACAGCCTTCCGAGATTATAAGCGGTTACAAACATGCAGTCCGGAATATCAGGTATATATCCTCCCCTCTACATTTCATTATTCCCGCTCTCCAAAAGGAAAAAAACCCAAATGCTGATGGGCCAATAACTATCCCCTCATCCCCGCAGTCTCCCCTGAGCTACATAAAGCCTTTGATGCCTTCATCGCAACCCCCTCCCACTTCTGTCTCCCCGTAACAATATCCTCCGAGAGTCTTGTCCCTCTGGACCCTATCGCTTTCCCTCCCCCAACTACTGATGATGACACCAAATTTTTCAACTCCCTACCCCTCCTTGCCCCGCACATCCAACCCAAAACCCCAATCTACCTCATCCTCCGCCGCACCATCGTCTCCAACACCCTCATAGCCGTGACGTATATCCCATCGACATCTCCCGTGCGTGCAAAGACTCTATTTGCTAGCACGCGCGCAACTCTCGTCCGCGAGCTTGGCAGCGAGAAATTCGATAGCACCATCTTTGCGGCGGATGCGGAGGAGGTTCTGGATGCTACGGTTTGGAAGGAGAGGGATGCGGATAGAAATGCGGCAACCGGAGGTGCTGCGGAAGATGGCGAAGCGGAGAGTAGGAGGGATGATTTGATGGGGAAGGAGGAGAGGGAGTTAAATGAGGTTAGGAGGCAGGAGGAGCAGGCGAGGAGTATGGCCAGAAGGAGGGATGTGGGGATTGGAGGAACCATTGGACGTGGGAATGGGGAAGGGGAGAGTGAACTGCACATTGGAATTGGAGATGGGGTGAAAGAGGCCTTGCAGCGGGAGCGGGCTAATGGCTCAGTTATTCGGCTGGTGAGTTTGTGTGTGCTCTTTGCGCCCGTGAGGGGTTTTACCACTTCTTGGAGTCGAGATATGATGAGTTGGAAATTGCTTGTCATACGCTAATCTAATGTGTGCCTTGTGCTATCATATCTAGACTATTGACGTGGCAACCGAGACTCTCACTCTAATTTCCACCGAGTTGGATGTCGAACCTGATTCTCTTGCAAGCTTGATCTCAGATTCGAAAGCCCAGTACACGTTTTACCACTATCCGGACCCCAAAGCTGTGATCTTCATATACACATGCCCATCTAGCTCTGTAATCAAAGAGCGCCTGTTACATGCCAGCTCGCGGAATGACGTGGTGAAACTTGCCGGTTTGCAGGGCCTAGAAGTTGCGCACAAGGTATCTAAGACGCTTTATACTCCGTATGAAAGAAAAGTATTCCTTTGATGTGCAAGTAGCTAACTCTAAGGTTTTGCGGAGTAGATTGAGGCATCGGAGCCCACAGACATCACGCCTGGAAGTCTTGCTGAACTAGTGAATCCACGAAAGGATGAAGCGCGAAAGGCATTTGCGAGGCCAAAGAGGCCCGGACGGTGAGCTGTGGTGTTTTGCCGTTTTCCAGGACTGGTCTAGGCTGGCCTGATCACCGGTCCAAGGTATGGTTCCAATTTCAAGAATCACTGGGGCATTGCTAAGGTCAAAATGTCTCCGCTCTTCATTGATTTCCGGAATCCCTTATATATCGTACCCATTTGCGCATTCTCTATAAATCCAAGACCATTTTGGTAGTTGTAAATCCCATACCCTGAACGCCATCGCAAGCTCTATATTTCGTGGCGACTCATAACCCATAAACAAAACGCGTAGTCACTGCATTAATTATGCACCTTTTTTTCCCTTCATGCCCATCCTTACTGCGCCTCTCACGCGCCTCATCACCACTCTATCCGTTCCCCACAAGAAATAATCAGTTTCATCATTTCCTGTCAAAACCGAGCACACATGACAAAGAGATGTCGCATCAAGATACCCCCGCACGATGCTGTTTCCGTTGGAAGAACAAATCCGTCCTAGAGCTACCCAAATTGATAATCTTTGGGCACCCATCACGATCCTTCTCCAAGCGAGTACACTCGAAGCAATAAAATGCGTCACTGATGCCTTCGCCACCACACACGATGCACTTATTTTGATAGTTTCCGAACGAGCACTCGTCGCAAATACGTACGAGAGTGGTAGGTCGCACGTAGGAGTCGCAGACGGGGCATTTGCCGTCACATTTGTCGCAGAGGCGGCCGATGGCGATACCGGTCTGCTTGCGGCACATTACGAGATCGGGGTGGTGACGGGACATGGTTGTGGCGGTGGTTGTTTAGGATGTGGGACGTTCTGGGCTTCTCGTCGAGGGGGCGGGCGTGCCAAATTATGAATGGCTTCTATTGCTAATTACAAGAAACAGCTGCTTCTCGTGCTTTCACAGGATTTGGGAGGAGTGTGGGTTTCTTCTCGGTTTTGTTCTGAATCGACGTAGTTTGATGGAAATTGCTCATAGCCAGCAGAACACACAATTTGACACTATTCGCTGGTTAGACTGCAGCAGATATTTGATAGGGTTGTGTTTCAGATACAATTAAACAGAACAAATCATCCGGGTTTGTTCTTGAATAAATATGTTGAGATACTCAAAGAACCTCAAGAGCTTGCGAGATGCTTGAGGAGATTTGTAATCTTAAGGGTATATTACGCTATACTCGATTAGCTCTGGTTCCCAAAGTTTCCATCCAGGCCTCCATTGTGAGGTATATCCGCATATCAATAACTTAGCCCACGTTTAGACAAAATCTTCATTGCTTTTGGTCCTTTTTTCTTAGTGAACCTGTCTATTTTATTTGAGATCCATCCGACATTCCGCTAGTTATACCGAACAGCTTAATGATGGCGGACGGGTAAGTAACTCTCTCCAGCGACACGGCCCAGGGAGCTAACATGGTAATTTTTGTCCCAGAACCATCGCATCGGCCGTCGCACTTCCCGAACAGGAAGAAAGTCCGGATAGCAGTCTAAAGCGCCGCCAGTCCCCGGCTGATGATAATAAGAACAAGCGTCGCCGGTTGAGCGAAAATAACAACCAACCTGAATCCGGGGAGAACAAACCGTCCTCCCTCGCAGCCACGACATCTAAGACCATCAACAATGCCACAGACCAGAGGGAATCCCGACGGAAAAATGGTGCAGCAGAGGAGCGCAAGCGTGGTCAAAGATTGTTTGGCGCGCTGCTGGGTACACTCTCACAGAGCTCACCTACAGCAGCACAGAAACGTCGCGCCGATATCGAGAAGAAACAGCAGGCAAAGCTCCGCACGCAAGAGGAAGAATACAATGAACTGACACGGAGGAAGCAAGAAGATCTCTTGGCAATGCGGAGGAAGCAACAGAGAATTTATGATGCGCAATCGGTATGTTGGTAGCTCCAGCTGACCCGGCAGTCGTTGGAGTTAAATTATCACATAGATTAATTTTTTTTTTGGTCTCTTTAGATGCGTCTTCGACACTCGAACCAGCTAGCTATGGCCCATTTCCTCAAAACAACAGCCGAACCGGTCCTCGTACGTATACAAAGCTATCTAAACAGACCCATGGTGTACCTAAATTCTGCTGACACTTAACAATTAGTACTATAAGCCGTGGGAACTTCGACCCGAGGAGGAAAATAGAATTAAGAAGCAAATCGAAGATTGCAAAGTGGCCATTGCAAGGGAGGTTGAGGATTTTGAAGCTAAAAATCCACCATCGCCATCCCGTCCTGTCCCAGAACGAGATGATGATCAGGCAACCGCTGCAGATGAAATAAGCTCAGCCGCCCTTCCAGGGACTTACGCAATTTCTGATTCTCAGGACACAGTACAAAAGTTCGATACGGTGGGTGCTGACACTAATAGTAATCACAACCCTCCTCAACATGAGCATAAGGCTGAGCCAACCACGACTACTGAAACTGAATCCCTCAAACCTCCCCTTCCCTCCACTGCCCCGGCTACATCTGATCTTCCCACTGTTTCTGATGCTACTAACGAAACCTCCACATCTCCTTCTAAAACTCACAATGACCACCCATCCACAGCTGGTGCTAGCCACCATCAGAAGTCAACTGAAGATGATTCTGGAGAAGTCATACTTGAAGATAAGGAGGATACTGTTATATATTAGAATCAATCTGCTTCGACTTTCTCCGGCAGCGTATCCGTTCAATCTTCAACTTTTCGCCTTGTTCCCCATCCAGCCCCTTGTTTCTCCCTAATTTCTCTCCTTCAGCTCGTCTCTACTCCCATCATCTGATAAAATGAGCAGCTTGGACCCCTCAATTACACCCCTATATTCCCCAGTTGCGCCTCCGCCCCTTTCTGTTCCAATTTACCTTTTTTTATTTCCAGTCATTAAACGCGCAGTGTTACGCCCATTATTTCTGCCCACCCAAGGATACTTCCTAAATATATATCAGAGCGAGTGTTTGCGAACGGCTTATTTTTAGCGCAGATTTGCTAGGGTAAGCCTTAGTGTATGGTGTGATGTAAATCGAAGACTATGTGAGCAGGAGGGTGAAATGGTGACCGAATTTCTTGAAAACCCTTCTTCCCTTTCTTCCTTTCTTTCCTTGGAACATGGGGTTGGAATGAATGAATGGTTTTATATTTTTATACACATTCCCCAGCTACGGTTTATGTTGATAGGTGATTTTCGGTGAGCCATATGGAATCGCTTTCACTCTCCCTATATCGGACGAGGGCAGATGATTCAAGCACACAATCTAACGTTGTCGACCCATTCCTCAAACGTGCGCAATAGCGGGTTTGACTGGCATCCCGCAAATATGGCAGGTTCTGTCGGCAGACTCAGTGCCGTTGACATTGACTCTTGAGGAAAAGGGCGAAGAATTATTGTAGGGACAAAAATGGAGAATCGTGAAATCAGATGGCAGATTTGCCGCACAGGAAGATTGCTTGGGTTGATACTGATGTGCAAAATTAACAGCCTGGCAATAATTGGTTTTGGGCAGGTTTTCGACAGATACGGAGAGGCCAGGCTGGCGAACGACGGGACCAAAGGGACCACGATATGAGATATTTTTTGATAGAAATGGGTCTCTGCAATATTTTGAATGAGCTTTTGGGGCGGCCATGGCATGGGTTCGAATCTTAGGTGTTTGGTCTTCGCCACGAGGTTTCGCGTTCCTGCACGATCCCTTGCATAAGCTCCATCTGATACCGGGTGTACATGTACATTGCCCAAAGAAACTAAGGACGATACAACTGTTCCCAGACAGTTGACACTGATTTAAGATCATACAAATGTGCTATGATTTCCGGGCATCACATTAATCAATTAACAGCATATATATATGCATCTATCGTAAAGTAGATAAACGAAAATGTCATACAAATAAGCAACCCACTTTTACGCCTCCAAAACATTCATCTGAATCGTAATTCCAACCTTATCCAAGCGATCAATATACTCCTGCCCTAGCATCGCAGGTGTCAGATACCCACCTTTAATTTCCTGTGACATCCTCTCACTCGTCAACAAAACCATAGCCGACTCCGCAAGCAACACTCCCGTCATTCCATAAGCATCGCAATTTGCCTTGTACGTCCCAAGTACTTTGATAGGTTTCCCTTCAGCAGACCTCTCTTCGGCCGTTGCGATCGCTCGATACTCAATTCTGTTCCCTGTAGTTCTCCGCTTTTCCGGCCCTTCGCCTGGTGCGTAGATGAGTTTCCTCACCAGCCAACGCACAGGTGGTAATGTGAGCGCCAGCACTCCAAATATGGTTGAAATGTGCAAGATGATTCCGACCAGGGCATTGCGAACGGCCACAAAAGATTCGAAGTGGAAGTGCGGTCCGTACAGCTCGGGCATTAGGGAGCTGCTACGGTGAACGACGGCGACGTCGCAATGGCCGGTGATGTAGCTGGTCATCGTGCCTAGCTCAGGCACGACGCGGACACCAAGTACTCGTTGAAGAAAAGGGGACGAATATTTTCTTTTGTGTTGGCTGGCGGATAGGTAATAAGGGTTCTGTGCCTTGTATAATTCCTTCAGGGGCACTTTGTCAACCAGTCCTATGACGGTTGAGAAGGTTCCGCCACTCACGCCTGCGGTTCTATAAGGACCGAAATTTGTTAGGAGGGCTACAATTCTCATAATATTTTCCCTATACAAGTGGGAAAGGAGTAGCATGGTGGTAATTGCTTACTTCAGCTTATAAATAGAACTAATGACTTCCTTGGTGTGGACAGAGAATTTGTCACTGACATATTTGACCAGCGCCCAGGTTAGTAGATCTGTGGGGGCGCATTCCAATCCGTCTGCTGATATTATCTGATGAACAGGTAGTAAGTCAGTAATAAAAATCACACTTACCCCATGATTTATATATATGCCTGCTTATCACTCACTATTGCACCTGTCTCCTTAGCCTTCTCGTGGTATTTCCCGATCATCTCTTTAACCCACGGCATCTCGCCGGTCCTATGGATCAGAATCTCCGGTAAGTATTTTGAACAAGTAAGTAGAAACTTTAGCAATCCTTACACATCAAGATAATGAGTACCATTGTTGGCACAAGCTTCCACAACTGGCGTCGAGTACAGATGGTACGGCCCGACACAGTTGAGAATCACTTTAGTCCGTTTAGCAAGTGAATCTAGCTCTACAGGCCGTAGTTGCAAATCCACGATCTCTGCCAGTACCCCGGAGAATTAAATCAGCAATCAATTATATATAAAGAAACCGCCCGCAGGGGTAAAGGTACAATGGGGAAGAGAAAAAGCCTGAAGACGACATACCCGGTTCTTTGCGCTCGGGATCAAGTTTTCGCAATTGCTCCCCAAGCACGCTGAGTTTCTCCACACACCGTCCAGCAATTGCCCATGTCAAGTTTGTGGGAAGATTCTGCACAATATGCTCAGCGCAAAGCTTCCCCGTATATCCCGTTGCGCCCAGAAGAACAATGTCGAAATGCCTTGGGGATGTCATGATTTTCTGCAGCGAGAACTCTTGTTGCCATAACCATCCAAGACCAAAAGCTCCTTGTCATTCGATACTATTTATTTATTTTTGGGGGGCAAATTTGGGCCAATCATCAAGAGTAGAACTGAATAGCACTGGGAAATATTTCTCGGAAAAATACACGGACACTGGAAATATTCAATACCACAGTGGAAGTTATGGGGCCTTGATACCTAACTTGGCAGCCAAGTTTTATGCTGCAAGCCTCTAAATCTACCCCAACTGGTTAAGGACCTTGCCAACTGGTAACTATGTACTAGTATTTAACAAGTTTACCATATATATTTCTAGTCTGCTTCCAGTGTGTGGCAAGGCGAGGGAGCTAAAATAATAATATGGCTGAAGATGTTGCAAGCCGATCCCGTGGTATAAGAAAGCAAGAAATTCCTCGAGAAAGGCTCGTGGATTTGGGATTTTTCCGTGATTATGAAAGGAAAATTCTCCTGATTATTATAGTTATGATTGTCATTGTAATGTTTTTTATCTCTTCATTAGGGAGCGGATATATATCATGTGATATTTATGCACGTGACCTTTATCTATCGCGCCAAGTCTCGAATTTTGACCTAAGCGAGCCCACAACCTTCAACGACGCTCATCACGCAACAGTCTGATTTCTTGCAGCCTCATACTTCCTCCTCTCCTTGCCCGCATATACACATCCAGCGCGACAAGATGACGAAGCGCACCAAGAGTACGTTTGCTAATCATGCTTTTTAAACTGTCTTTTTTTCTCGATTTAAAACCTAGGCTAATTTAATGTTTTTATAGAGGTCGGTGTCACCGGTAAATATGGTACCAGGTACGATTCAATCCCACGGTCAAATACTGCGATCTCCCGACTTTTTCCTGTGGTGGGGTCGCTTTCATGTAGGAAGCGATATACATATGTATTTCAGGGGAATAATTACGGCAGAAGCTCTGGAAACATACAAAGGCGAGAGATTAAGACGGAAAAGTGCTGTAACTGACGCAACAATATTTGTCGTTGAACAACAGATACGGTGCCTCGCTCCGAAAGCAAGTGAAGAAGATGGAAGTCTCCCAGCACGCCCGATACATCTGCACTTTCTGCGGCAAGAATAGCGTAAAACGCAAGGCCGTTGGTATATGGGAGTGCCGGTCATGCTCAAAAGTCGTTGCTGGTGGTGCATGGACTGTCTCGTATGTTTACATTCCGTCGATTGCGCTCCATTACTGGGGCTCTATTGTCATTCCCTTCATCCAAGAGGTTTTGTCGAATAGATATCAGGCTGACAAAAAGCGCTTTTTGGTTTTGACGCTGTGGTATTAGGACTCCTGCCGCAGCCACCATCCGATCGACCATACGTCGTCTCCGGGAAATTGCGGAAGTTTAAAGATGACCGGAGGATGGGAGTTATTGAGTTGTGTTTCTATTTTTCATCTGTGGCCTTTTAGTGTTTCCTTTTAATGTTCCTTTTTTTTTTTTCTCGGATGAAATGACGGGAATTTGGGAGGTTGCAATTATGCAAATGAAAAAAGAATCTCGATGAGAATTTCACCAGTTTCTATCTTTTCTATTCGATTTCGCTGCGCGTACATCCTGCGAAACAAGAGATTCATATACGGGTAAAGGAAACATTCGTTCCGCAGCGTGAGACACTCGATTGATGGGTTTTTCACGGCTAACCGATCGAAGTCTCCCGAGGCCGAGTAGAGAGAGAAAAGACAAATCGAAATTTTGCATTTCTTCTTCCCAACCAGGTCCTAATTCGCTGATCGGCCACCCTTTCTCATGGTCGAAACACACATGGCAGGCGTTGTTCGGGCACCAATATTCATGACTCTGACAGACCTACCCATAGTGATGATACCTATACTTCCAATTTCTATATATACCACCCACCGAGCACGGCCAATTTGAGACTTCCGCTTTACCACACAAGGCTTGACAAGCTCTGGCTAGCACGATTACCTTGTACTGCCCCTAACGCAATCATGAGGAAGGTGGCCAATGCACTGAAAAATATTGAAAAAGCTCTATTTTTCTTAGTCTGCCATGGGAACGATGGAAAAGAGCAGTTCCCCTCATCCGCAGAGACAATCTGCTTCCGCAACCCGTAAGGGCAAAATACGGGCAAACTCTTCCTCTATACCAATTGCCGAATCAGGATTTCCGGCCAAAATTAAGTCAGCCTGATTATCTTTCCCAATTTGCCAGAGGAAAGTCACATATATCGAGAACGGCCCTAAGGATAAGTGTTCTTTTGAGAGTAGATCTTTCTTTGGTGACCTCCTAACTCCGGTGGTTGGCATCGACACCACTCGCGTAGAAATCAATGCACGTCTTAGCTAGTATGGCTAGCATGATCAAAAGCCAACAATACTAAATTAGGATATTTTTTTGGGGAGGTGGGCGGTGAAGAAATCATGCGCAAACCCTCAGCCAAGGAATCAACCTGGGATGGTGGTATTGGCAGGCGCTGAAACATGATTCCTTGAAGGTAATAGAAGGATCTAGTGACGTGGCTAAACTGCTCACGAGTAATAACGCACGCGCAGAACCAGCTCAGCTACTGTTCGACTAAAAGTATAACCTGGCTAGGATAGTTAAAATGCCCCGATAACTACTGCGTACATAATGAGGAGACACATCCCTCTGTGACCCCCAATCGTGCCTAGCTTACAAAAGGTACATGTACCAGCAGGGAAGTGGTGGGTGCATCCTCACCGGTTCGTGGCGCATATCACGTTGCTGCGCTAGTACCCCAATAGGCCTAGCTGGCTGCTTAGCCCAGGTTGAAAAGGCAACTCGTTCCCCCACAGCTTCCAGTTCTTTACCAACTTCATCCCATCTCCAGTACTTGAATATCACGGAAATTCAGCTCTTCATGCCGCCACAAAACCTCCTATCTATACATACGCTCTTCTATTCTCTCAATAATGCCAGACACTTGCATAGTGTGTCTAGGAGACCTTGGCGATGGCGCCAGCGAGCCTCCTTCTCTTCGTTCCGTCGTCGACGCCCTCCCGCCAAGACCTGTCAATACTGACGAAGCTCCGGTGCTAGAGGTGGTGGTGAAATCCCCACAGATAGACTTGGACCCTGATTCGGGGAAAATTGCCCATCTTCTTCCTTGTGGCCATAATCTTCATGACGACTGTCTAAAACCTTGGGTAGAGAGGGCGAATAGCTGCCCCATATGCCGGCAAAACTTCAATATGGTGGAGCTAACGCATACTGTTGGAGGTAAGTGGTGAATTTCGTCAAGAGGTCTTCACCTTTGTTACACAAGTGAATTTGGACTGTCTTTTCACTATTCAGCTGGGACTTAAAATTTCTAACCCTTCTACGTTGTGTTGTATTATTTTAAACAGGTCCCGTTGTTTCGACATATTGTGTCCAGGACCGTGTGCAGGTTGCGGAGATTGACCCCTCGATGGTAATGGACGATCTCGGAGATGAGTCCGATTCACAACCATGTCCAATTTGCGGATACAGTGATAATGAAGACGTCCTTCTCCTCTGCGATGGTTGTGATGTTGCCATCCATACGTACTGTGTCGGACTGGATTCCGTCCCCTCCGGCCCATGGCACTGTTCCCAATGCGAAACACAACGGCCTATTTCAGCGGTAGGCCAACGTCTACCGAATCGGTCCGGCCGCCGCACCCGCAGTGATCAGAGGAGAACGCGCAGTCGGAATCAGATGCATGCATTTCATTGGGCCCGTGTTTGGCAAACTGTCTGGGATCACCTCAACCTAGATCTAGACTTTCCTTTCGACGACGAACAAGCGAACAGCCGCAGTGCTGAACAACAAAGACGCGAAGCTAATAATCGCAGAGAATTTCGTGCTTGGGAACGTCGTTTTCAGATTGCTGAGCGCCAGGGGGCGGCTAACCGATTTAGAGATACTGCGTCAGCGCTTCTCGAAATCGGACGAGGTTGGCCCTCTAGACCTAGGCAAAGGATTGAGACCCCAGAGCCCGAGTCCCTGGACGAAGTAAGAGCCTGGAACGCATTCGAAAGAGCAAGGGAAATACAGGACGATCCCTGCTCGAATCGTCGAAAACGCAAGTCCCCGACTGCTTCGCCAGTTGAGCCACAGCCGCCACAGCCCGAGCGGAAATTGAAACGCCCCCGAACGAGACGGCCGGAAGCTCTTGCTGCTGACTTTCTTGATCACGGGGGTGAGTCTTCCAGATCTGGAAGATCAGCTAACGGTTCTGCTTCTTCTGGAAGGGTTCCCGCTGATAGCAATGCTAGTACGGGCCCAAGCTTTCTGCAATCCCTTCTCAAGGAGGTTGAGGACTCTTCTGCCCCCGGTTTGACGAACGGCTCGTTGAGATCAGCCGCTTTCTCGTCGACACGAGGAGATTCGAACTCCCCAAGACCATCATCCCCGACGCAGTCGTCTCTCTCCTCCAATCGCTCCTCACCTCGGCCGTCATTTTCCACACCACCTCCGTATAACAACAGCAACAGACCAGCCACACCCACCGCGATATCTGATCCATCTTATTCCTCTCCCGAATTTTCACCTTCGTGCTCTCCTAACCAAGAAGAACCAGGGACCGCAGAACAACCTCGACTGCCCCGCCAAATGGACCGAACGCGGCGAGCCGGCTACAGCTCATCGACATCGCCATCGCGCTCGCTATCCGATGAATCATCTCCAACACGTTCCTCCCTCTCGCTCTCCGTAAAATCAGATCTACAGAAAATGGTGAGCGCAGCTCTAAAACCTCATTACCGAAGCCGCGGTGTTTCAAAAGATGAGTACACAGATATAAATCGACGGATCTCACGATTTCTCTACGACAAAGTCGGTACTACCGTCGCACTAGATGTAGAATCGAAAACTAAATGGCAAGCTGTTGCCAAGGAGGAAGTAAACAGAGCCATCGCCAGGCTCAAGGAGTCTCGGGACTTGAATAAGGCGTGTGAGACAAGTGACATTAATCAGGTCTTTTCATGAACTCACGATGCATATCAACGATCCTTATGACGATCATATTCCCTGGCGCCCCGCATTTTTGCATCTTATATTTAGCTAGTTTTTTGTTTTTCCCTTTTGTCCTTTAACCCAGTTTAAAACCATATTGTCTTCGTACGTTGGAAAGTCAATTGGCGCGGCTGATTTGCGTATTTCAACTCAAGACAGGCGACAAGTTTTCCCCGTGCGTGAGTCAGTCGTCTTTATGTCGTGGTTTAGAACTTGGGAGGACCTACATTTTTTGCTTTTAATCACTCTGGCGTAGGTGGATATTTGTTCTGGGATGTTATTGAGGATAGATACCCTGTTTTCTTTGTGGTTGCCTTCTTTTTTGACTCCCTTTTGTCAATTTAATCCGACTCTTCTTCCCTCTACCCCTCTCTCTGCCCATATATTCTACTCACCTCCCTCATCACTCGATACAAGCCCGCAATTGCATCCTATATCCAGCATGATATAGTGTAATATTTATTGTCAGACACATCGCTGACAAGCAATGGATACCACCAAAAGTGCCGTTGTCAGCCATTTTGTTCATACCGCTATTTCTCGCAGGTTTGCAAAATTAAACCGCCGGTTTTCTTATTGCTCGTCGATTGGTCCTCCTATCGACGATGTGGATATCTATCGATGGTATGAATATCTATTGATGATATAATTATCTATTGATGATATAATTATCCAGCAATGATATGAAGCTCCAGACATATATCTAGCAATATCCCTCAGTATTATTCTTTATCCATGTTGTTCTCCAATATCCCATCTTAGTAGATGCGATGCACTTTCTTTATGCTTATGTAACTGGCTGTAGTGAGCGTTCTCGTTGAGATAGTGTTGGAAGTCCTACACAACCTAGATATTTTGTTGGGGGTTTTGGATTGGTTCGTCCGCTCTACTTTTACACCAGAATGGCGCTGGTGGTGATCGAGCTCTTTTGTCCCAGTGGCCTAACAGCTTTGAGGGGGGGTGGGAAATGTTGCTTCATTTTGTGGCTGAAATGATGTCAATGTGTGATAATTTATATTTATGCAGTGGAGACTTGAATTCAACACTAGTTCACAGTTGGCTTAAAATCCCCTCTATTCTTATCCCTAAATTATCTATCTTGCCTATTCAATATCCAATCAATTTCGATGAGAATAAACATCACCATCTACCTCTCAATGCTAGCTTAGTAGCTGACTATCTATCTGCCTACTTGCCTATCTATCTACTGATCTGCCTGAATGAATGATATCCACCGATGACATCTATCGATGACATCTACTAATGATATCTTTCAATGATATCTATTGATGATGTCTGCAGTGATATCTAGCAATGATATTTACAGATCTGCAATCATGTCTAATGATGATATCTGTGATGATATTGTTTAATAACAACATAATGAATAATATGACTTCGCACTTTCTCTCCATCTTGCACCAGCTGTATGTTCCATGAAGCTTCCGCTATAGAGTGTTGTGGCTGAGCTTTCCAACCCTTTGGAGGAATTAAAGATGCCTTTATCCCTGGGATTTAGAGGTTCGTTTGCCCACCCCCGGAAAGGGTGACAGTGGCAGCCTGCCCCTAGTATTTATCAAACCTAACTCTGCTCGTTGGTAAATTAATCAAATATCACAGCTATAGGTTGGCAGTAACGTTGAGGTGGCGGATAACGTTGTGGCGGACCCTCGTTGACGAGGGTCTGACCAGAGGTTGAGGTGAACGGTAGTTTACAAACCATCTAGCGCCCGGTTAAGTTCAGAGAGTGCAAAACCATTCACTGAATTCATCATCAAAATTAACATTTATTAAATAATTGAGGTTTTGGTCATTGGACCTTTGGGAGTTCGAGGGTTGGGATATTGTGGCGGAGAACCCTAATTTCTTTTACTTCCCCTTTTTGTGGAAAGTTAGTATTTCATTTGCCTCACGGAGGGGCCTTATGATGTGGCAAGATCGGTGGAAGGGCACAGGTGTTTCTCGATCTTACTCTGTTCTCTTCACCTTGGACAACGGACATCCTAGCCAGGGCATGTCCCCCCCCCTTTAATCTCTCTCTATGCAGCCCAATAGAGCCCGCTTGTCAGCATACTTTGGGCCAGCAGTGGATACGTCCCCTTCCTTGCCCTTCAAACTCGATCAGGTCTTAATTATGAGATACTTATAGTTACTTATTCTTAGATAGTAAGTAGCTTTACGTCTCTCTCTCTTTCTTATTCTCTTGCTATTACGTATATACCATTCGTATTCCCTACTTCAATATCTATTACAGATATAAATTAGTAGCAAAATCTGTAGCTGGAGTAATCAGAGCTCTAGTAATTATTTTTTACTATTTTATCTCATAATCAAATCGAATCTTACTCATTTCATACCAGCAATCCGTTGTTGAATACATATAGTACAAGTCTTTCCTTGCACGCAAATATAGAAATATATGTTACAATACGCCCCATAATCGCTAGCAATATAGGTTGGAACCATTTGAGCTCCAGTTTTGATATGTCCGCTTATATCTCTTAGAGTTCTTGAGGAGTTTTGTTTCAAACTTTTGCACACAAGAGGAAATATCAACACTGGGGCTTAAATGCCAGTCTTGGCAGAGGCGGGGTGGATAGCGCAATGGCAAATGCTGCCCGTGGAAGGCCTTTGCGAGTAACCATTGAATGACTGGGGCCCATTCCTGCTGAGGTACAGAGATTATGGGTTTGAATCCCATTCTGCCACTGGTATTACCATGAAGAAAGGGTTCTATAGAGATAGGAAGGGTATATTATTGGCAGGGCTAGAGAGTATTCAATATGTCTTCTATTGATTTCGTTCCAGTATGACACGGTGAGGGTATGAGGCCCGTGTTAGCGCAAAAATTCTACAAGGGTGTGCCAACATGCTTCCACAGATTCAAATCAGAGATTATTCCACACATAGCGCTTCTTGCTAATGCACAGTCCTTTTGTGGGTGGAAAGAATTGCTCAGTCACTCTGAATCTTCAGACCGGAAATGAAGGACCTGGGTTCTCCAGCTGACCAACAACAGTGATGGAACAGTGCAGGACCTGATTCCCAGCTAACCAAGATGGTTCTTGCGTGTCCATGGGACTCTACTACCAGCATGGCGCTGGTGGTGATCGAGCTCTTTTGCCCCAGTGGCCTCGCAAATACTAATACTTGTAAATCAGCCTAGCATATTCACGAGCCCTGATTTATTTCCCCGATTTAAAAGAAATCAGGCTAACTTTGTCTAAAATAGTATTCAACTTATTGAACCTCACTGTGACGGGTTAGCACCCGTTAGTAGTTAACTTACGCAACCAACCCCTACCGCCCGCTCGCCCTCTCACATGCTCTCGCGCACCTACAAAACACCCTCTCCTCACGATCCCGCTCCGCGCTCGTGTAGTCTCTAATGATTCCTCTGTGTAACTCTTAATGTTCTTCCACTCCGCACTCCACTGCAGTGTGACCTCTGATATTCTTCTGTTCCAATTCCTTCTCTATAAGAACTCCCTTTGTACAACCTTTCCTTCTGATCTCTTCTCTCTTTCCTTCCTTAATCAATTCATAATCTGTTATCAGGATAGTGTCAAGTCTGTTGATAGTGCTGTTGAAACGGATCGTACAAATTGCACAAATGGTACGAACAGTTTAATCTGTAATAACAGTAACATCTGGTTAATCGATGGCACGCCCGTTACACTCACAAAGCACTTACAGTTGGTAAACAGGCTTATTCTTATTTACTTATTCTTCATCTTATAGACAAGTCCGCTCCTGATTTTAAGATCTGTGTAGTTTAGTGAGATCGCTTTCCCATGGTTGTTAGAGAAAGCTTATCTTAATATCTATAATACGATTAACCTTAATGCAAAACATCTGAGGCAAAGTAAAGTCAAAATTTCTACGAATATATAAGGAATATCCAAGGATTAGAGAATGGGAAGGCTTTTCCATTCGCCTTTATTCAGTGCTTTTAACCTTTCTGCAATGTCCATCTCCTTTCAAATTACTTCCCCATTCATATAACAGCTATATATTTGATGAAGTCATCTATGTCAGCATGCTGAAATTGACTGCTACTGTGCTACTTATTTTCATCAGCATGGCTGTTGGCCGCGTAGCCCCCCACTATCGATCAGAAAAAAATCCTCCACCAGATAGAAACTATATTTGGAGATATTGTTCGACGGAGGTCTGGGTATGTAATGATATAATTCAACCCCCTCAACCGTTTGCATGTATCTAAGTAGCTTATACTATATCTAGTGTGAAACCAATGAGGATTGTAACGTGTATGATGATTGTATTAGAAAATCATTAGTAAGTTATAGTTTTTTCTAAAAATAATGAAAGCTAATAAAATAGTAAATACTGATCAAATTGAAACCAGGATCATGATCCAGGTTATGTTGGATGTGGTGTTGACATTTTCGAGTATCATACATGCTGGACTTGGGCTGTAAGTGGTCCACCTCTCTCTTCTATAAGCTAACCTCTAACAGCCAACACAGCCAGTAGACCCTTCATAGCTCAAGTAGTTAACTATATGAAATTATTTACACAAACCACAATTATTCACATGATGGTTATTTTAAAAGGGTAGATAGTTCAGAGACAACATTCAGACATATACTATTGACATAGGCTAGTCAAGAATGTCAAATATCATATTCATCAAGCCAGTATAAACAATACGAACTTAGCACAGTCCCACTAACTATTATCAAACTCTCTCAAGTATATTGCTAGGAATTTCATAACAGAATTATTAGCTTCAGATATTCTTCAATAAATATATGATGCTATTCTTGTGACTACTATAGATAATCTACACCAAGTTTTCAACCTACATCCCCTATACAAAGGACGTATTATTGGCTGAGGAACTCATTGAAATCGTTTATACTAAATTATACACTAGTAGCACTACCTGTGCAGCCTGCAAAAACACATCTCTAACAGGATCACTATTTAATAGTCAATGTTTTGCTAGATGATAACGCAGTTCACTACTTCACCCTTTGCACCCACTCCTACTCAACGCCAATCTTTGCCATACAAAATCAAGAATGGCTGGCTATTGATATCTCAATATTTACCGTAATAAAATATTATATATTTGTACTTTATTGATGCAGGTGAATATAGTTGGAAATAAAAGATTTTGATTTTTAAAATTATCAATAGGGTTGCTATTACAAAAACTTTTTCTCGGGACGACGGAGTGTCCGAATATTGACCCAAATACTGAATATCAAAAGAATATTGAAGTGACTATGATAACTCCGATAATTACATGATAAACAGGCAGTATTTATAAGGAAGGGAATGCTCGAATATACGAGCGAGACAGTGCTCAGTTTATACGAGAACTTACGAGATATTATCTCCAACACCTTTTTGTAAATCAGTTACAGTATATAAATTGCGAGAGCTGTATTCAGATTATAGTATTGATATCAATATAGATAATTCACATTTTGAAATGAAGAACTTACAATCTTAATTATATTCAGCAAGAAACAATAGATGTCTATTATACTACGGGGCAACCTGCCCCTAGCACCCCCCTTTGGGGGGGGGGGGGGGGGGGGGGGGGCAAACGAACCTCTAAATCCCAGGGGATGAAGGTATCTTTAATTCCTCTAAAGGGTCGGAAAGCTCAGGCACAACACTATAACAGGAGCTTCATGGAACTTGCGCTGGGGCAAGACGGAGCGAAAGTGCAAAGTCATATTATTCATTATGCTGCCATTAAACGATATCATCACAGATATCATCACTAGATAGATATCATAGCTGATATATCATCGATAGATATAATTAACAGATGTCATTGCTAGATATCATCAGTGGATATCATTCATTCAACCAGGTCAGCAGATAGGTAGGCAGGTAGGCAGGCCGGTAGTCAGCCAGTAAGCTAGCATTGATAGATAGGCAGGTAGCTAGATTGTGACGTTTATTCTCATAGTGATCGATTGGATATTGAGCAGGCAGATTTGTTGGTAGGTATGGAGGTGGATGTGTAGCTAGCTATCTAGCTAGCATTCTATATTCCATTAGCAATAAATAGATCGGATATCGAGATCATTCAGGGGTAAGAATCGGATCTGAGGTACTGAGCCAATTGTGGACTAGTCTTAAAGTCAAATCTCCACCGTTCCAAAAAAAGTGGGAATTATCCCACTTTGACATCAAGCAATGTTTTCCCCCTCAGAGCTTCGTATGATTCTGAGAGACTTCGCTTCGCTCCGTCTAATCATTTAATAAGTGCATAGGTTGGTTAATTGCACTTGGTTAAGAGCCACTATTTCTTGTATAAATTTAGTGCATATCAAAATAACTAGTGGTTCAAATATAGTCTTCAAAGTCAAAAATCAAATCTGCATATTTTCCCATATAGAATCAATTTGTAACGGTAGGCCCCCGCTTATAAGTATAGGTATTGGGCGCGGCTGGCAGGAAGTTTTGGCCTAAGTGGTTTGTGCTGTACTGCCCGGCTGGTGCCTGATCATTACACAAATATCGTTAGAGAAGACAAGTATACTCACTTACTATACTTACTTCTCATTTTTGAGCGCACGTAACAAGCTCACCACGATCTGTTATAAGTATAAACTTCTTGAATTCACTGTACTCAACAGAATCAGTTCATTGAAAGACGCAATATCATAGAATATCATCAACATAGAAGAATATATAATTTTAGAGTCACTGGGGCAAAAGAGCTCAATCACCACCAGCGCCATGCTGGTAGTAGAGGGGACCAACCAGTCCAAACCCCCAACAGATCTTTGTCTGCCTTCTATCAGTGTATCATCTTTAGAATATCGCAATCTTCTATTTTTGAACTGAAAGGAGAAATATTTATAGATCTCACGAAGAGATATTTTAACTAAAGGTAGATAATCCTTCGTGAGCGCACCGCGTGGTGGGTCTGTCGCGATTGGGGCTGGTCGATTCACCAGGGGAAAACCGTTCATTACTATTGTTAGCGACTCCACGCAGGCTCATTTCAAGTGTAAGAATGATAATGACAATGTTTATGTCTGAGCCATCTCAATGGCCTATGTCGCGGTCACTGGTCCGTGTTCGGCCAACTACGGCCAACCTTGCCCAAGCGGGGACGTCATACAACTAGTGGGGTAAAACAAGAGAAGTATGTCCGCAGGTTCCGAACGTTTCGGCCTTAAACCATAGTAAATCCAAAACGCCTTCATATCACCCCGTCCAGGCAGTGCAATCAATACGTTCCAATTTCCAGACAAAACGTTCGATCCCTCCGGAGAAGATGGCGACAGATATTTCCCTCGCAGGTGCAACGAACTCGTCCCATATTATGTATTCCCTCAGAAGCTGGTTCACATGCTAACCAACTGGAGACAATTAGACTACCTGGAGATTCGCAACGCGGCCTTTGAGTGGTCTGAAAGCTACGATCTCAAAGACTGGGAGCGACTTCAAAAGATCCTAGCCCCTTCTGTCCGTCTTGACTTCCGCAGCCTCAAGGGCGAGTTACATGAGAACTTGAGCCCCAAAGAGTATGCCGCCATTCTTTCCAGCCGGCCACTCCTGGGTGACAGAACCTTGAAGACACAGCACCTCTTAGGCGGCGCCAAAGTGGAGTGTCAAAGCGACGGCATAGTCAAAGTTCAGCACCAGATTCGCGTCGCCCATCAACGCTACAAAGACAATACCTTTACTGAGGTCCTAAACAAGGGCCATGGTATTGGCGTTACCACGCATTGGTACAGGAAGATTGATGGAGTTTGGAAGATAGAAGGTGTTGCGCCGAGATTGGACTGGAGCGAATATGACCTCTTTGGTACCCTGGCTCCTCCCAAGGAGAGCTAAATCTTCATGGTAGACAATCTATGTCTGCATCTCTGCAGCAATATACACTGTGGCTATAAATTCACCATTACTATGTTCGTACTGATAACCTGCACTCTTTAAACTAATAGTCTCTGTGCTTGCCGTCCCATGAGACCACGGCCGTAGGCTTTGTCAAGAAGGTCCCATCGTACTTTGTGCGCATCAGATGGCAGCTCAATATTTAACTATCATGGCTTACCAACCAGCAAACCACATTGGGAAACTGGGCGTGAATGTGCCCACCAACGGCGGCGCAGACGAAAAGTGTATGTTTATCCGAATATTGACTCTAGTTAACTTAGTTACTGATGGAGGTGGAAGGTAGGTTCATTGTAACCATCCAGCGGGCGCAGCACTGCTTAAACAGGTGTTGTCAAGTAGCATCAGCAAGCATTAGGGACCCCTCCTTGCCACGAAGACCCAAACATCATGTAGCTGGCCTGGATATTATTTACAAATTTTGCCTTGTTATCCCATAAAACGATATTCCCACTCCCATTCCTTCATTAAAATTATTTCTTATTCCCTAACTAATTTCAACTATCATCATCATGTTCATCTATCTTCTTGCCCCTATCCTCCCTGAAAACATTCTACAATATCCTGCTTATTAAGCCTAAAAACGCGGAAAACAATTGTTCCTTCGCCATCCACTTGTGGGTAGTCTTAGTCGATTCTTTTCGAAGGATTTGTGGCCAACTTCATAGACATAGGGCAGGGTAGGCTCTCGGCATTTGATAGGATGATAATATTGAATAGAGAGAGGATCGATCGCGTTCGATGGATGGCTTCCGTTGATATTTGAGGTAAACACACCTTCAACTAGGATGGAAGACGCAGTAAAGAGGGTGGTGCAATATGAGAGACAGCATGCCTACTAGAGGCATCTGCATAATGATTGCAAAAGAATCCAATTAATCATAGCAATATGAGAGGCAGCAAGCCTACCAGGGGCATTGCATGCATCATGATTGCAAAAACAACTTAAAAGGGAGACAGCTGGCCTCTTCAAGATACTTAACCTGCTCCAAATCAACACACCACTATCGTAGGGAACACGGGACCAGCCACTAGGTTAAAACTTTCAAGCATTTGATGGCATCGGCGAGTATTAGGGATGCCAACAGTTACTATTTTTACCCGCGTAAGGAGTTGAAATGGATAAGCTCTGGAGCTAATTATAGATTTACGATCAGATTTGATCCTAGATTGTATCAAAATTAGATAACCTTTATCCAATCCTTGAATCAGACTTTGCTGCGGAAGCTATATGATTATTGCCAAGAGTGCTAAAACGATGCTGTCTTCATTTCATTTACATATACTTTTCCTCATAAATACCACTATCTTTTCAAGTAGAATTATTATCAATTGAATAAATTCCTTGATATTCGGTAACTTGTGGTCGATATTCGGATAACTACCTAACGGAGGAAAACGAGGTGCTCCACGGTTTGAAAAGATCTAAGAGCAACCTCGGTCCAGCAAAACCGTCCAACCGAGGTTATTGTTTGGATTGCCAAACTTCCCTATTGGTCAATCAAACGGCTGGGCATTAGGGGCGTGGAAATAAAGTCCTTGTCCTGGCAAGCCCCTAAGCACTTGATTTGGGTTTGGAGGCGAGATGCCCTAAAGCTTGGCTGTTAAGTTAGGCACCAAGACTCCAGAACTTCGACTGCGAGCACTCCTGATTTCCATCATATTTCTAGCGCGGGAGAAACTTTATTTCCACGCCCCCTGGATTATGGGCTGTGACGGAGCCCCTGCAACGGTTCATACATTAGTTCGTCAAGGAAGTTCGGCTGAATCTGCATTCCCACGCAATTTGAGGCTCCTGGATATGAAATAACTTCAGAGCTTGTTTCGAAGAAGGCATGATTCTAAGACCAACTAAAAAAAACTTTGCCTTGTCTTCAAGTTATCGAAGGACGGAGAGCAACATAACTTATCTAGACCAAGCAGAGCTTGACAAACTCGCTAGCTGTAGTTGTCTGAACGCATTGAATATGTAGCTCAAGAGATCTTCAGCGAAACTGCAGGGAGCATTGGATGAACCCTTCAAGCATCAAGGGCCTTCTGGGATATGTGTTAGTTTGTCAGGGATATCATCCTGGACGGTGCAGGTTTTCTCAGCCGGAGATAAGAAAGAGGGTGATCCCATGTGTTGCATAATATATATAGTCAGGATGAGGTTCATTCTTCCAAGTGCTCTCGTTCTCTCGTTCTCTTGTTCTCGTTTCACCTTTTTATTTTCTTCTCTCTTTTCTACCTCCACATTTGGATTCATATCATTTGGCCAGGTCCAAGCGAGACTTGGTCTCGCTTACATCAGAAGATGGAAGAGGAAGACATAGTTGGCTCACCATCCACAGTTCGCACAATGGCAACTTCCCTGCAGCCACTGTTATCAAACGACACCATAACCGAACGAGAGACATTTGGACCGAATAATGGAATCGAAATAAAAAATACTTCGAGAGGATACAGTTGGGAAGGGGACCAAACGAACGCTGATATTGAGACGGACGCCCAGCTTAGGGAAGCGCGATACCAGCCGGATACCAGCACGGCTAAAGACCCGAATCTGGTTCAATGGGAGGGGCCCTCCGACCCAGGAAACCCTATGAACTGGAGTCTCGCGAGGAAGTGGTATGTCACCATTGCCATTTCGTGTGTTGCATTCCTTGCCATGTTCTCCAGCAGTGTTTTTGCCCCAGCCACCGGATACACTGCAGAGGAGTATCATGTTTCAGAGTTGGTCATGACGCTGGGGACGAGCCTTGTTCTATTCGTAAGTCCTTAGTGGATTGGTCCCTTCCAATTTAGCAATGATGTTGATTGTATTCAGGGATTTGCTTTCGGACCATTGATATGGGCCCCGTTATCCGAAGTGTACGGCCGAATGACGCCTCTATGGATCGGCTTCGTTGGATTCACCATCTTCCAAATACCCGTAGCAACAGCTCACAATGCTGAGACTATTTTGATTTTTCGGTTCCTGATCGGGATATTCGGCGCCTCCACGGGTGCTACCATTGCGGGTATCATTTTTGACATTTGGGACCCCGTCACTCGCGGAGTTGGTGGAGCGGTATTTGCCGTAGCAACTTTCGTTGGGCCTGTTGCAGGTCCAATTCTGGGTTCATTCATTGTAGAATCGAAGCTTGGATGGCGCTGGACCGCATGGCTGACATTCATATTCTCTGGAGTCTGCGCTATTATTGGAATCACCACGATTCGAGAGACTTATGCCCCAGTCATCCTGCAGCGCCGTGCTGCTCAGCTCCGGAAAAGCACAAGGAACTGGGCACTCCACTCCGAGCTGGATGAACATATGCCAACATGGGTAGACCTCTTCACAAAATACTTCTCCCGCCCACCACAGATGTTGATCAAGGAGCCAATCCTTCTATTCATGACGATATATATCGCCGTCACCTACGGCATGCTCTATCTCTTTTTCTTTGCGTATCCTATCTCTTTTCTCCGGGACCGCGGCTGGAAAAACGCCGGAGTCGCTTCATTACCTCTATTGGGTCTATCCATCGGAATCATAGTTGGTCTAGGCATCATCGCCTATGGCACAAAAACCCATTTCGCCCGTAAATTAAAGGAACGCGGAAGTGTTTCCCCCGAAGACCGACTTCCCGAAGTGATCATTGGCGCTGTCTGCCTACCCATCGGTCTCTTCTGGTTCTCATGGACATCCAGTCCAGAGATTTCCTGGGTAGCGCAAGCTCTTGCTGGAATCCCCATTGGTGCGGGCATCATCATCATATTCTTGCAAGGAATCAACTATCTTATTGATGTTTACATGATCCTTTCAAATTCTGCCATCGCAGTCAACACGTTTGTGCGATGTATTACAGCCGCTGCTTTCCCGCTGTTTGCGGTACATATGTACGAAAAGCTTGGGGTTAATTGGGCGGGAAGCTTACTGGGATTTTTGTCTCTTGCACTGGTCCCGCTGCCGATTCTTCTTTATTTTTATGGGGCGAGAATTAGGGCTATGAGTCGCTTTCAAGTTAAGCAGTAATGAGTGAACGATATCAAAATAGTAACTGAATCTTAGTACCTGATTCCTTAGAGATTTCGCTCCCGCCTCTTTCGTAGCTCTCTCTAATATGGGGACGAACGTGTAAAATCGAGGCTGCATAGCCACTATGGTGAAAAAAAACCACCCTTGAACCCTTGGTTGTTGGAACAAGCAACGAGGTCAATCAGGAAAAGCAATTCATCGATGGCCGTCAAAAATACCCGTACATCTCGTTACAATATTTACCGTCATACCACGTGACTGTGCCGGTACCTTTGAGTTTAACCCCGACGCGTCGACTCTGAGCCGCGCGAACAATGGAAAGAAATTCGCTTCATATAGCAAAGCCAGCGTAGAGACGACCCGGGTACACAGGCTATTCGTTGAACTCATTGTTGTCACGATTGCTTCTCGCGAACCCAGCAAAGTCTCTCCCGGATTTGTCCTACCAGACCAATTGATTGCCAAATCTGTGCCCTCCCCTTTTCACCTCTGATCAACAACCATATGGTCACCTAGCTTCCGAGGAACCCCCCCCCCCTCTCTCTTTCCCACAAACGACGATGCCTACGCGCACTCGACATTCTCTTACTGCTACGACTCAAGTTGCTGAGCCTGAGGAAGAATCGAGTGGCCTCCGTCGCCTAAGGTTTAACGAGACGCTCTCATGGCGGGCTGGTCGAGCGATTCCGGTTGCAGACTTGTTGGAGAGGCTGGAATCGCTCGCGCTTGAACTGCGACAACTAGACCAGGAAGAGACGGATAAGGACTCGCTGAAAAAGGTATCCCAGGAGCTGGCAAGCGGGCATTTGCTAGGACACCGAGATAAAGGTGTGCGAGCATGGACGACTTGTTGCGTCGTGGACATTTTGCGCCTCTGCGCGCCAAATGCCCCCTTTACGGGTAATCAGCTAAAGGTATGGAAATGCGGGTTTGGACTGAT